ACGACGGTTTGTTTTTTTACATATATGCTATGACAAATACAAGTACCTACCTGAAATTATAAATAGATCTAGAGTCTTGAAGTGATTTCACAACAGTTGCAAGACGTACAATGAACTGGTAAACGTTGGACAAAGATAGCTTGTCTCGTTTCACTCACTATCATCATAATAAAACAATTGTTAGCAAGTTTATAAAAAACAACTTTATTAAACTTCAAATTTGAATGTTGATAATGTACATTACTCCAATAATTTCATATATAAATTATTAATATTGTAAACGCTAAGCTTTTTGGTTGTGCAATGAATACGGAGATAGCGTTAATCCCTAATCAGGTCTAAGTCTTATAGTCTTGTACAAAAGTCTTCTTATACCGGATCTGAACAAGACTTATGTTTGTATAACTAATTATATACGAGTACTAATCTACTGATAACTCCAAGCCATGTAGAGATGTATCAATAGTTACAGTCAGGTAGTGACCTCGTGGTCGTTTTAATATATGCTCACGAGCCCTAGACTGTGGACGTGGCAAGCGGGTGCCTTCTCTTCGTATTGTTTGCTCTATTAATCAAATTATTGAGCTCGCTTAACTTTTATTAAAGTTGAGGTTATAATTTCAATGAGTATATTTTGTTATATCGCCACTCCCTGTAAATTACATTATGCAAACAATGTTTAAAACTGGAAGTAAAGTTTTGTAAGTCTCATTTATGAAATTAACACTTATGCGTTTAAGTTTGCGTCTGTTAAGGTTTATTTCTTGTACAGTTTTCTCAATCTATTAACATCAAATTTAAAATATAGCCTTTTAAATTGTCAGCGGACCGATATCTTATGAAACTCTACCGTGTGCAGCTGTTATCGTTACCAATATGTGCGAAACGGTATGGATGATTGCCTCAGACTGGTTTCTCTGCGCTGTACCGCTTATTTACAGCTGGAAAGTGTCAAGCCGGAAACCACAACTTTCTATATAATACGCTTAATGCTCTTGTCAGTTAAAATGTTACATCAAAACAATTTCGATCGCCATAAAATAGATTGCTTCAGCCAGGCACAAATTTAATTGATCCTGCCTCTATCTTCCCTGTAAACTGTCAATATTTTTTTCCTGACCCAATCTAGCTTAACATTTCAAAAGGTTGATTATGTTATACTTCCTAAAATTAAACCTAAAATAAATCAGATTGCAAAGGCATATTGAACAAGATTTCATCGTTTCCATCGATTTACCGTTTCTGAACTGATTAATAAGTATTTGTTAAGAAACTGTACTGTCACACCGTTCCTAGCTGTATGTACATAGCATATGTACTCATTTCTTTTATTTAACTATCATTATAACCGTTTCAAAAATAAAACCTATATATACATAAAACCGCAGTATCTCACAATTTCATATCTATGGTTTCTTTAATATTTTCCCAAATAATTTTGATATTAATACTAAAAAAAGCAACTTGTTGACACATACAAACTTGATTACAATAATCTGGTTCAATATCAGCATATAAGTGTCAATATTCGTAAAAATAAAGACACACTTGTAACGAACTAAACGGGGTCAATGATTTTCCAGAAGTCTTGAACACGAAACTAGGGCAGTGCACTTGAATCATATTTGCTTGTAGACAGACAGGTACATATGATTCAATCAGAAGACGGATATCAGTAGACATGTACATGATCGTCTTAAATGCAATGAGTATACCCAAATGCCACCCATTTAAGTATTTTCAGTCATATTATTAAAAACACTCGAACTTAATGAACTGAACTTATGAGACGTAAAAACAGGTGAGTTTCCTGTTAACACTTTCGCTTTAAATCATTAAAAACATGTATCGTAGCAACAGAACGTCTTATCAGCATCTTATAATTAAGTAGAATTTGAGTATTCAAATAACAGAGTTTTAAGTGCTTATTTACAGGGAAAAGTATATCGTGTAATGTAAATTTCGATGTCAACAACCCTTGCAATTCACCAATAAGTCTTTGACTTGCTCGATGCTTACAAAGTTGGAAATAATAACGCACACACTATGTATTGTTGTTCTATAACGGACTAACGGGATTAAAACACTCGTCAGGTCGGCAGGCACTCGGCCGCATCCGCCTTTGTAGCAGTTTCTGCGATGATATCGCTGTGTATCTTCTATAATATATGGTATTTCTTTTCAAAATGTCTTTCAATGTATAAGTCTATTGTTATGTCTTACAAAGCTGACCTGATATGACCCGTCATTAGAATTAATTTCGTATTTTTGCGTTGAGAAACAATCGGGTCGCTTTTGTTTTGTAAAAACTAGATACGATTTCGGATAATTATATCATTTGTTTACAAAATACAAACGTCTTGTGGTCTATACATGCTATAACTAATATTTTCACTTATATCTCAACTACGCAATATTTTAAAGTTACGTAGAAAACGTCACACAGCTTTTGAGATAAATATTGGTTGTTAGTAGAATTTTGGAATTCAACTACCAGAAACGTCTAACATTTAGTATATAAATCAACAGGCAAAAATATAGATTTGCACTTGTTATTATATTTCGTCTGTTGTACGTATGAGTATTTCTAGTACATATGAGTCATTCAGAGATAATCCTTTTATTTATTTTTTCTAACTTGTATCTTAACTTATCTTAACTTGTATCTCTAGTATCTTGATGACTCCAAATACAATATACTAGGAGTGTGTTTATTATTATTAATGTATAAAAGAAACCAGTGACCAAGGTCGCAAACAACCTTATCTCGGCAGTTGCTCGCTGCAGCCCTAATTGTACACGGATTCTACTTAAAGTAACATAATATTATCGAAACGTAGGCAGAGTTACAAACAAAACAGATATTATTATTGCTTGCCTTGCAACGTATTTGTGACGTAATCTGACTCACCTACGAATATTATTCAGAGTTCCTGTATAGTCTACACAAATAAATATAATTAAGGTGTATACATAGGTATTTGTAAAGTTACAACACCATTTTACTGATTTCATCTGAATATTCACACGTTACTTACACCAAGAAGTCATTCTTTCTATTTTTTTCTGCCTGTCTGTTTGTTCCGGTTAATATCCGGAACACGTGGACCGATTTAGGCGGGTTCTTTTTAGCTTTAGTTATTGTTATAAGGAGGAACTTAGGAAGTTAGAATTAAATATTACATATTGTACATTGCACAGCTAGTTGTAAATAAAGTGACGGCATAATATTTTATGGCCATACCCACGACATTCGTAGTAAACAGTGTGTGTTTATAATACCACAACATTAAAACTGATATCAAGAACCTAGACATAAGTAAAACATCACCGCCTATTTTTCACCGACTTTAAAAAAGGAGGAAGAGATTTTCAAATCGTTTGTATCTTATCTTATGTTTGTTACCTCAAAACTCCCTCGTATATGAACCGTTTTGTTTTTTTTATTTGCAAGATATTGTACTCCTATAGGTACTTTTCGTCCCATTCAAATTTAAAGCAAACGTGCACCCTGAGGGTTCACGTTTACATTAGCAAAATAGGGAAGAAATTTATATGGGTGCGCATTTATTTATAATTTAGTAATGCATTATGTATGCAGTAATGAATATGTATGCGAAAATAGGCATATAAATATACCATACATAACAATTAGCTGACTTAAAAAAAAGGATTTTAATTAAGGAGTTATCGAGTTGAAATCAAAAACATGTATTCACGTCTACAGTCTCTTGAAGCTGTGAAAAAAATAATCTTCTAAATTAACGTAAAAAAAATTCGGCAGTTCCTGCCGCAAAGAAAAAAAACACATATTTCAAAACTCAATGGAATCAAAACTTATAGGTTACCAAGCATTGCAATCAAAACTTATAGGGGTATTACTCGTTGACATAGAACTATGAAATTTGGTGAGTAACATCGTCTTATACTACAAGTACGGCAAAAAATCTGAAAACTACATTTATAATTAAATTATAAAAAATGTAGTCTTTATTTAAAGTACCTAATCAATCATTGAGGTACAATTTCACCTTTAAAGCATTGCGAGACTCGTTTCCTGAACTATTTATATTACAAAATTGTACTAAACGTTCGGTGTCGAATGGTCGGTGCCGACTCGCACTTTTCCAGATTCCAGAAAAATACCACAAGCCGTAACCTATATGGCCTTGAGTAAACCTACTTTCAGACAGGTAAAATATTATAACTCTCATTATTCGGAGTTCTTCTCCAAATAGCTTTACAACAAAAATATAAAAATCAAAATATAAGTTTAAAAATATAAAAACACTGCTATCGAGTATCAAGTATCTAAATAACAGTTATTATTATATTTATTTTATTAATTATTATACTCAGTCAGTATTTAATTTTATTTTCTTTGTATGTATTTAGCCGGTTACGGTGACGGGATAAATTCAGGTGCTAATACATCGTAGTAAAGTCGTGAAGATGATTTTGAATAAAATAATTACTAATAACATCCCTAACATTAGTAACAAAATCGATTAAATCATCAAAAATAAAAAAGTCAATAGTTTAAAGTAACGAGAAATATAATATGAATACAAAAACATTAAAAAAAACAAGCTTTCTCAGCGTGCTGTAGTTGATAATAATTAATAAAATGTCTATAGTGTCAATTACCGAGGAAATCAACTGCGTGAAAACGATTACTTACTCATAAATTTTGTAAAAAATTAAGTTATCGTCAATGAAAAAAGCTGTAAATAAACACTGTGTTTATTGTGAAATTAAACCTAATTAAATCATAGTACAAAACATTTTCTTTTTCTTATTTTTATGGTAAGTTGACAGTATTTACAAAACATCACGCACGACATCTATAAACTTAATCTACAACCACAACGCTTTACAATCCTTTCCCTCTTTTTCGGCCCGTCTTTAGGTAATACATATATACTTTTATTCAATAAATTATATAACTTTCAGATCGAAACCAATCATATCTCACATAGTATAATATAATGTTGTTATCTTTACACAGGGGATTTTTCCTGAAGAGGAACTTCTTCGGGCGCAGTACCATTAGTAATATTCGCCGTTCGGTCATTAGCATTTCTCGGAGAGGAGCTAAAACGATTTCTAATAGAACTCCAATTTTTCTTAATTGTTATTCCTGCTACTACGAGAACCATTCCAGCTACAACCATAGCAATTATGCTTTTATCTACTCCTCCAGACTTTGCGCTAGATGTCGTAGCTCCAACAGTTGCATTTTCCGTTTTGTCTATTATGTTGCTATTAGGTTCCCCTTGTAAATGTGTTAGCTCTTCTTTTGCCAACCTCGGCTTAACCCCTGTTGGTTCTTTATCGGTTGATTTCGATTCTACCTCTGTGGGTTTTGGATCCACTATTGTTGATTTAGGTGGTACCTCTGTGGATTTCGTTTCGGCTTCAGTTTGTTTAGCTGGTTCAGTAGCTGCTAATTTTGGTACTTCTAACGACGTTGTATCTGTGGATTTTTGATTAACCTCCTCTTGTTCCACATTCACGTGATTTGCATCAGTTTGTGTTAGTTTTGATTCTTCATTTAATGCGTTTGAAACTGCTGCACGGAAAAAAGCTCCATCAGCAATTGATTCTCCTGCTGATGCGACTATCGTTGTGGTCTCAACATTTGTTTCTGGTGATATTTGACTATTTTCTCCTGTTTCATTATTTATATCAGAGACGGTACTATTGATGAAGCCTACGTCCTTTTCAATATCCGTTTGTAAAGGAATTAACGCTGGTATAACAATATCAAGATCGTCAATGTTATCTGGAGCATCGGGGCAGTCGTATTGTTTGTTTTTGCAGGATTCTACACATACAGCTCCTAAAGAATCTTTCAATGCCGTACAAAGATCTTCGACTAATTCCGACGTAGCTGAAGGTAAGGTTAACGTACGTAGTGCTTTGAATATTGTAAAACTATCCGCTTTTAACACCTGGAAAAAAAAAAGAATTTTTCAAAATTTACAAATGTGTTTAAATAGCAATATAAGTATTTTCTAGTATAACTATTATCCTGTTCTTATAAATATTTGATCGATGACTCTTAATTTATGAAACATGACATATAATGGTTGCACTCACATGTGCATTAGTTATTTTAGGCCAAGCATTGTTATAATAAATAAAGGCTGATCTGTTGACGCAAGTAAGACAAAAAACTGTTACATTAGATTCAAATCAGATTCAGGTAATATACAAAATTATAAATGAATGAGCTGATTTCTCAAATCTCGATATTATTAATTCGTGAAACAGATTAAACAAAATTATGAGATCATGACATGTCATGTATTATATACTCACTCTTAAGCATTAATTCTAAATTAGACTTATATTAGTTTAAGCATTCAAAGTGTGTCGGATATGATAATAATAAGACAGAGTATATTAATATTACCGTTCTCATGTCGTTTCCTCCTAAATCAAATTCTTGCAACTTCGTTAGTCCAAAACTGTTCTTTAAATCCGTTGGATATTCCATTAATCGATTGTTCCCTAGTGTCAAAGATGTTAATTCAGGTAGCTCACTGATTGACTGAAAATTGAAAGAAATTATCATTAATGGACAAAAACATTTATGAATGTTTAGGTACTGTAAGCAAAAAGTATAATAATAATAAAGTCACTACGACTATGTGAAAAAGTCCAGAGGGACATTATTTATTTAGTTATTTATATCTTTATCGTATGAACTTCAAACACATAACAAAAGATGAGTTACAAAGGTTTAGACATAATAATCGGCGGTGTTATCGACAACATTAAAAATTTAGGGTACTTTACATATACGTAACACATTATCACGCGAATATCTAAAAATATCAACAAAATCATTCATACACAAACATATATACCAACAATATATATTATTCTATATGTTAAGAATGAACCAATTTAAATTGTTTCTAATTCTCTTAAAAAGAACTTCTTGGGTACCTTTTCGGAGTTCCTTAAAATTTTTAATACACATAAATCCATAAACAACTTCCTTTAAACATCCTCCTATATATACATATTCCGATCAGATTCTGATGCATGAGTAATCTGAAAATCGTGTACTAAGGGCATATATATGTTCATCTTATGCATTTTCGACCTTATCGGTTGTTAACAGAACAAAAAGCTTTATACAATAACTTACCCCTGGTGCTATATCCATAATTTGATTGTGGTTAACATTCAATATTTTTAAATTTTTCAATTCGGATATCTCTTTGGGTATGATAGTTAACTTATTATTTTGTAAATTAAGTATCGTTGTGTTAATGTCCAAAGGTTGGGGCAGTTCGGTTAATTCGCCATCGGAACAATCAACAACGTACTTGTCCGAATCTCCTTCTATATTACAAATACATTGTGTGGGACAAATAAGTTTATCAGTGGTCGGTACATTTTCATTATTTAAAGTAGACGATGACAGTTGTACGTCCTCAAGTATGGGTGGCAGATCGGAATATACAGTTGTTGTTTCAATAGGTTCTTCTGCTCCACTACCTTCTTTAGGGCTCACATCTAATTCATTGTGTATTACAGGTGGAAATTGGTTATCATTTTCTTCGGGAATATGCAATTCGTCATCACTTTGAGCCGAAATTGTCCTGTAAATCAATTTAACATCTATATAATAAACTAACATGTGACTTTATCGAATTATCATGAGGTGACGCAAATTCGCTTTAAGAACGCCAATGATAAAAATCACGATAAGTTTATGTACTACAAGGGCGCGACTAGCACAATATCTCACGCACATTTACCATGTATCTGTGTTTAAAATCAATGTATGAAGAAATAAATTGTGTAGAACCTAAAAAAATAATTAAATTAAGTAACCTTTATGAGCAAGATTTGCAAACTTATTAAATATGTAAAATGTTCTAATTTATGGTTACTTATTTATTAGTAATTGAGCAGTCATCGTTTGTTAGATCATGTTTATATAATGCATGCATGAACTCTGCCATTTTACTTAGATTTTATTTAATTTAAAATTTGCTGCAACCTTAAGAGCAATATTATTAAAATTATACTTACCCAAATAGTGCCAACAATATTATAAAAAGATGCTTCGACGTCATGGTCACCGTAAACTGCACCCACTAAAACAGATGTGCCAAATGAGTTTCGGAGTTGTTACCTGTCGTGACACTAGCACTAACGTAGTGTACAGCGTATAACTCACTGACACTTATAACTATTATCACTCAATGATAAGATTACTAACGGCATGACAGCTTATCGCGAATCAGGCACGATAACGTCGGTCTGCATAAACGTGAAAATATTGGGTGGCTGTTTCAATATCACTTTAGACAGAAAATAACCCTAATCACACGAGCATAACTATAACACTTTTCTGCAAATGATAGCTCGATATGCCACGGACTACCTACATGTATCAACTGTTAGTTGCTAAATCTAAAATATAACAAAACGGTATACTTGTGTAATTTGCACGTTATCAGTATCACAAAAAAGAAAATTAAGTGTAAAATGACTAATTACTTTTACGGAAATATAAACTTATTCATAATACTTTTATCAAAAATCGGATCAATGCAAAACGCGCACTATGAGTTCGTTATCTCATCTTCACACTTCACGGATGCTACTTTTATACTTTTGTTTGTGTATTGTGAAGCCCTGTTGTTGTGCAACACAGCTGTTGATTTACTTACGTGCAGGACTACAACACTAATTGCATTATAAATTAAATCGTTAATGTGTCGATTACAAAGACCTATTATACTGACCACATATTTTACAACCGATTCAAGGTTATTTAATCATCTTTTGGTCACCTAAAACCTTAAACCCATAGGATATATTATTTTTTTCTATGATATTCATTTACGGTTAATATCAGTTTTGTTTGTGTATACAGATATGCATGAGTATATCTTGTATGTTTGTAAACTACACTAAGCACAACATTTTTGCCCCTTGACGTTCATTGACGCAAAGAATATTCGCTGGATTCTGTCCAAATATTGTGTTAGCCAAAAAGTTGGTGAGGCTAATTTGTATGTTTTTATATTATTCAGTACTGCAACGGCGGTGACCTGGCAGATTATTTACAAGCGAATCGTCTGCTCAGCGAGGGCACCATTCGACTGTTCCTGAAGCAGCTAGCAGAGGCCATGCGAGCCATCCACGCTAAGGGCATCGTGCATCGCGATCTGAAACCTCAGAATATTCTACTCACACACAGTGTTGCTCCTCCCCGTACGCCGCATGCGTCCGAGATAACGCTCAAGATAGGTCCGTTCAACATAAATAATTACAATATTATTAAAAATACTAAGAATAAATGTGTCAGTACTACATTTATTTATCGTTATCGTCACATGAATCAATCTTTCTTCATTATACGCATAGAATGACTAGTACTGAAGTTTTAACCAATGTATATAATTTTCTTAGTATACCTACATGTAGTTTTTATTGTTGTTATAGATAACTTCTTTCCTTATTTTGCTTCCTCTAACATTTATTATTATCTTCTCAGGCTATTCCATTTACTGTAGTTCTACCTAGTTGTACATTTTTACTATATTTTTAGTGTAGTACGATCTATTGAAATACAATTGTAGGTTGGAGGCTGTTTTCCAAATTACCATTGATATAGTCATATCAATCATTTACACCAGCAATCCTCTAAAACTCTTATGATAATAAGTTTATGTATATATTATGCATTATAAGTCTTATCGAAGTAGTTCAATATTATAATAACTTTTATTTTATCTATGCAGCTGACTTCGGCTTCGCAAGGTTCCTCGAGGAAGGAAACATGGCCGTCACGCTCTGTGGCTCTCCGATGTATATGGTAACATTTACTTTTCTATTGATATTATACTTATATCTATTTAGACGCAGAAATATACTAACTGTAATGATTTTTCATAATCAATACAACAAATTCCTAAATACACATAATTAAAGTCAAAATCATTACATAACTGGGTGATATTAACAGATATAAATAATGAAGAAATATTTAAAGTATTTTATATGTACTGCTTTTATGTATGTGTGAAACTGCAAAATAGTAATTATACCCTTCCTGAGAAAATAATCTATTCAGAACAGACAAAGAAAATTGGAGTAATTAAATTTAGCTAGACTAAGGGATACCACAAGTGCTCTCAGTTGGGAAATAGAACTGAAAGTGCAGAGATAAATAGATTGGCCATTCACTTTACACGTTTTTAAATATTCCACAATTTAAATCCCAGAATTCTCTTAACATCATAAACAAATGATTTAATATTGATTAAAGTTATTAAAGCAATGTACCGTACTTTGATTCATCACTCGTATTTCTGAATAAGCTAAATCGGCTAGATTTCAAAACATAGACCTTATATACCATAAGCCATTTTATTTTATCTTATTTTAACAAAATAATATTATTATTAGTAATCCGTCAACATTTTGATTAAATGTCCCAATACATGCATCTTTCATATTCACAAGTAATACTGACTTACATATTCATAAATGAGGTTTATAAACTCGCATACACTCATACAGAGCGTTTACACGCGCTCTCTCGAAATAATATAGGTACACTCACACAACAATGCATATTGCGAGTATATACGGATCTAAATGCATTTCTCTTTGTTTGGTAATGGTTATGTCCCTATAAATTCGACATTGCTATCATTCTACACCCTTTGGCAATTGTTTCAGGCGCCCGAAGTTATAATGTCACTTAAATATGACGCTAAAGCGGATCTCTGGAGCTTAGGGACGATAGTATACCAATGCTTGACTGGGAAAGCCCCCTTCCAGGCCACAACGCCTCATGAACTGAAAGCCTTCTACGAAAATAGTGTGGACTTGCAGCCCAAGTGAGTACCTTGACAAAACAAAACGTTCTGCATTTGTACATAACAGATAGAGCAGATTTATAAACAGTTAAACCCTGATTTTTATCACAGAAGTTTTACCTAAAGTTGATGCTATATAAAATTGTTCTTACTTACTTGTAAAGTTAAAAAAATTAGTAACAATAATCATGATTGATTGATTGATTTTGTAACTTCTTATTAATGTTTACGTATATACACTAATTTAAGATTTGAAATATTCCACGATACATATTATTTATAAAATATATGCATGTTGCAGAATGCCAGCCGGTACAAGTCCCGAACTGTGCAGCTTACTGATCGGCCTATTGCGACGAAATCCGCGTGAGCGCATGCCATTCGAAACTTTCTTCAACCATCCGTTCCTACAGCGACCGCGGACTACCTCTATTACCAGTGAGTTATGCTACTACGAGTACACCATATCACACTACCACGCACAAAATACACCAAACAATATAAATACGTTGTTGACTGCTTAACTACTTTTTTGTTTGTAAGTCACACCAAGTAAAAAGGAATACAATGTAACATTGACTTGACTTTCAGCTGAATACATGAAATACTAATCCCGAGTGACTAATCATCGGTGACCCCTTCTCATTGTCTGCGACATTGCTTTAACCCTTTCGAAATGGTCTGCCTATTGCTTACTAAATGGGCTGCGTATTTCTAGAATATTTTACTTTATGAGGGTTGTAGCTTTGCGACAGCTACCTAACCCTAATGGGGTTTTTTTAGATCCAAACGATTATTAGGTCAATTTACTACAGTCTAAATATGTAAACATGGATTTAAGGTTCGGCACAATTAATGTATGACTTCTACTATAACATACAAGAAAATCTGTGATTTGTTATTATTGACTTTAAATTAGCATAATATGTAGAAAAAATGTAAATATCATTCCGCCGATCATCTCATCGTTACCATGTTATCATTACTTAGCTTCTAGTCCATGAAGTTTTGAACTAAATATTTATAAAAATAACTCTGTACTATAGTGTATATAGTTAGTGTGTAATATTGTTCAGGTTTGGACTCGGATCTGCTGGACTTAATAGATAGCGATCTCGAGGGCCGAGCTGGCACTAACTGTTCCATAGAGAAGTCTTGGGAAAAAAAGGGTACATCTTCACTTATTTACAGTATGCTTTGATTGTGCATGGGGTGGGTGACGGTGTTCTGAAATTATTACAGTATTTAGGTATGAAAGTGCCAATATTGTGTCATAATTTTTCGAATGAACTGCATAATATTAAACGTTATTTTAAAAGCATGAAAACGAGCCAGTGTCAGTTCTGAATACGCTGCTTTATCCGAATGACTGCTATACTAACAGAATTCTCGGTTTCGTTCATAAATTCGCTATCGAAATTTTTCTAACATACAATATATGAATACATATATTTTGAACTTCAAATATAATTAGAAATGTATCTTTGGTAAAAAAAAACGTTATTGCTAACTCCAATTCAAGTCGGTATTTTTATTTTTCTGGAACTGGTTGAGTTTCATGCTTATTAATGTGGTGGATCACATAAGTAACGCGTGTAAAGACGAAAATATAGCTGATTGGGCTACTGGCACATTTTTCGTTACGTAAATCAAAAGGATTTTGTACCAAAATCTGTAGGTTTAAAAATTTCAAGGACTAAAGGATCGCTTGCAATCTTCATTCTGCTTGCCACTCATTTGCTGCTTGTCTTTTGCCTGTATCATCAGTTTGTATAAAACTTGAGCATGATAAGAGAAGTATGTTGGGTGTTGGGTGTGTCAAATCAATTTAATCAATATCATTTGAACTTGCAGTCATGTTAATTGGTTACATTTGAAAAAAGAAGATTAAAAACGCAAAACAAAATTATCTTCTTTTTTACCTTTAGGATTTAGAGAGATACACAGCCATACCTTGTTTAAAAAAAAACTGTCCAGAACGTAGCTAAGACTTTTGCTCATCTGAACATGTTTACCAAATCTGCAAGTTCTTATGATCGGATGGGTACGGATTCATAATATTGTATTCTATCAGGGCCGAGTATTAACCCAACTGCGATGCCGACGATGGGCTCGGGAGGGCCAAGCGCGGCTGGTAGTGGGGTCAATGTACCACAGCGAAACACTCCCACAGCACGCGTCATCAATCCTACTTTACAACCCTTGCCAACGCTTCAGACACATAAGAAGTCACAGCCGACATCCTCCGGTGAGTAAAGAACATATTTACAAGGCTTTTGCTTTAAACGAAAAATACTTACGTAGCCACCATACGACGAAAACTGCATGCCAATATGATATAATGGATGATCCATTTAGATAAAACAAATGGTCAAAACCTTAATAGATACAACCAATATTTAGGATTTTAGCAGAATTTAAGAATAATATTGAGTTGATATTCTGCAAAGATTACCACTGAAACAACAATAATCTTGGTTAAGCTAAGTTAGTGTTGAACCACAAATAAGATACTATCTGTTTGACATCATTCTTCAATCTATATGGTTATTCTGCTCTCTCATGACCCGGATATCACGACAACTATGAAAGAAAAACAATAGGTAGATATTATATTTTTAGGAAATATAAATCAAAATAACTCAATGTACCATATTAAAATTTCGATATAGTAGATATAATTTTCTAATCGTGTTCTGTTCATTATAATTTATCATATCATTTTATATGATTATATTGAGAACTTTTTTTATTATATTTATATAACCGCATAACATTTTATCCATTAGGTTATCAGTAAAAAGTTCCTTCAAACACAATTAAAATTTACATAAAATACGAGTGAATCAAATAAAATAACGTAAATAGTTACTATCCATATCATGCAGCAACTCTGACAAGTATCCGCGCCAATCTATAGAGTGATTATAACAAATTATCAATATTAATTCGTTACTAAAGGAGTCGACGTCACAGTCTTTTTACAATGTTCTTTAAATGTGAAGTCACGTGTTGAGTAACATATCAGGTGACAGGTCACATGGTAGAGCACATTTTCGCAAAAATACTAAAAAACACTTGTTCAAATACCATACATTATGCAAATATGATATATGTATATATACATTGAATATAATATATACATTATGTATAAATTAAATATGAAAATACGAACTTGAGCAAAATGACTTTATGATTGTAGCGATTTAAGCTATCATGGTCGTTGCTAAAAATTTCCAAACATAACGTGAACAAAAAATGGGTTTTCTTAAAATGAGACCTCTCCTGTACAACTAGGCAATACTGATTGTACTAAAGTACTGACTACATAACACTTAGGAATACTAAGATTGCTATGATGGCATTATATAAATACGTAGGTGTACATAAATACATATATAATGGATGTTCTACATTATATACCAAGTAAACAAATTGATAACCCTCACTAACCTGCCCTTATAGCTGGTATCGACTTTATTGTTATAATTTGCTGTAATTTATGGACCCGCTCTACCTTTTTTATGAGTTAATTCATTCTATATCTGTTGCTATGAAATAGTAATTATATTCTAGTTCCGTCACCAGACATCCCTCTTTTTCTGTGTGCTGATTATAAATATTTATTTTTATTATCATAAGTAAACAGAGTTAATGGTGCTCTGTTTATCTTAATTATTATCTTAGATGTTTAATTGCAATTACATTCTTATAACCCATTAAAAGCATCATGTAAAGTAAAGCCTAATAAGTTTGCATAGAATCGACTCTACAACTAAATTATTGGTATAACAACATACCTCATCAGCTGTAACTATATAATGAAAATATATTCTATACAAAAAAAATATATAATACGGGTGTTCAGTAATTAGAGATATTTTAAAAAATAACTTTTACTTTTTATATATAAGTAGGCCGAAACTGTGCTATTTCAGTGTTTATGGTTTTTTAAAACCTTTTAAGTTTACTTTTGTTATTATCACTATCAGGCTCAAATATTATACTGTGATAATGACGGTTATCTCCGCCAATAGATTAGTATGTATTACTCACTTTGCCAATAGAACGTGTAAACAGGGTCGAGGTCACCGGTTCACTAGGTTAAACTACATTTCAATTAATGCCAAGTTATACGATCCGGGTTACGACGTCACGTAGGGTTCAAGTTTTCTTTTTTAATTAAAAAAAATTTGAATTTGCGTCGTGTAAAAATAAAACCAGGGGATTCAGGACACGGGCACGCCGTCATCGCGGCGGTAAGACCCGTTATGGAGGATTGCCTCGAGAGGCATCACGGGACCCTCTCATACCAACTGACGCAGGTGATCACTGGGAAAGGATGTTTCGGGGATCACCTGTGTCTGATCCGCAAGGAGCCAACGCCTGAGTGCCACCACTGCGATGGCCAGACCGTGGACACGGCTCTCCACACGCTGGCAGAGTGCCCGGCGTGAGTTGAGCAGAGGCGAGACCTCGATGCGGCCATCGGAGTGGGAGTTCTCTCGCTCGATAGCCTGATTGCGGCTATCGTGTGGAGCGAGAGTGCGTGGAACTCTGCCGTCTCCTTCTGCGAGCAAGTTACGCTCGCGAGAGAAACGGCGGAGCGGGACCGGGAGAGGTTGGGCACTCTCCCGGCCCGCCAGGCCTGGGAACGGGCCAGGTACCGCAGGCGACTCAGGCGCCGGTGGTCGCAGAACCTCCGTCCTCCATAAACGCAAACCTGGGGGTGACAGGTGAGGCCATCTGTCACCCTAGCAGAAGCAGGCCGGGGTGGCGGCGAGCACGTTGTGAAGCGCGCTCGCTTCCAGGGAGCACAGGGAACATGGGGTTCCCACACGGGGGGGTCATCTACTCGTCTGTAGATGACCCGAGGTATGTCGGGGCACCAGGGACTTCCTTTCGGTATTGGGGTTTCTAGGGTATACCTGGTTCCCCGGCTATTAGTACCCGAGACGGCGTGCGGTTTTAGTCGTGGTATCCGAGGGGATTTCCGTACGGAAAAAAAAAAGGGACTCAGGACAACAGCACTGCAAAAGAGAAGGAAAACTTAAAACAAACCCTATAACCTAACCACCTTGGCTAGCGTGGTACAGTAGGCCAAAACCACCTTTCTAGGGAGAGGCCTGTGTGTCCAGCAATAGGCTGTTGTTGATGATGCTCAGGTCGACAGACCATGCTCAGGTGGATCCACTGCAAGGTCGTGTGTCGTGCGCGCACATACGCCTCGCATAGTGGGTATTGGGCTACGTCCACACGTACGCTTTGATCGTGGAACGTTTGCCGACATATGCTGGCTCTCCTCACACTGCGTAGAACATGCCCCGGCACGACTATGAACGTCCACACATTGCGAAGCATTCGATGAGCACATGCCTCGCAATGTCTGTATCCGCCTTTACGTGCTTATACTTACTAATTATTATCTGTCTAGCTACATCTGATAAACAACAAAACAGAAGTACTCAAGAGGAACAATTCACTTTGTCTATCTAATTATGTCGCACAGTGGTTAGCAAAATATATAAATTGTCTTCCTTTTGGGAAAAATATTACAGTGGAATTCAGTAATTTAGAAATGTACAAATTATGTATATTTCTGAAAATGTATTTTATTAGTAATTAGTTTATAAGATTTTGTTATGTAATTTAAAAAAAAAAATAGGTGAAGGTACATTATTAATATTACATGGATGTTACTTAAAGGATTTTATGTACCTATCCAGATCGGTTGTTGACTATTAAAGTTTAAAATCCCTACCTACTTTTTATTCATTTCATCGATTATGGGCATTGAAATTAATAAGCTTTACATATAAGGAAAAAAGACACTAGATTGTAGACGCCATATCTTGTGTACACTTATCTGTTAAATCGTTTCAGCCGAGTCGTCAGACACGACATGGGCGGGCGAGGACGACTTTGTGCTGGTAGAAGCTACCGAAAGTGGATCTGCGGAATACTCAGAAACTTCATCTGGTTCCGAGGCAGCGCCCAGGCCGCGCTCGCTAGCGCTGGCGGGCGCCTCGCCGCAGCAGCCCACCGCCCCGCCTGCGCACACGCAACTCGCCGCCCGGCAGGACGCCGCCCCGCCCCCTGCTAACACCTATACTAGGGTAATACGGGGGGCCTATAGACGGGTAATACAAGGGTTATACGTGACAGGCCTGTTGGTCTAGTGGTTAGCGATCCTGACTGCTAAGCCAGAGGTCGTGGGTTCGATTCCCACCCAGGACAAATATTGTGTGATGAGCACGATCATTTGTTCTGTGTCTGGGTTTAATTTATCTATAATATGTATGTGTTTAGAAATATATAAGTATGTTCATTCACAAATATGTATGTCCGATTGTTTTGGTCGTAAAATTGTGACTACTACAAATACATATGTATATTGCAGAATCCCCTGGCTGTAACTTCTAATAATAACGTACCACGATCACAACCCATCGACGTGCTTCGATCGAACTACAGTCGTAATGCGACCAACATCGGCTCCTTATCGCCACCGACTGTAAGTACTTAGATTGCTTACTTAGTTTATGTTAGACATAGAACAACGGTACGCTGTTGTTATTGGACTATAGAAAAACTAAAACACAGGACGCCCTTCTCTGTTTTAATGTATTTTAGATAGATATAGCTCTCCTGTAATATATTTTTTTATGTTTCTTGCGTGATGTTATTATAGTTTTAACATTATTTAGAAAATCGAGAAATATCTATAGAAACAAAAAAAACATTTTATTACTCTGTAGAAATTATCTCATTTCAAAAAATCAATACATATAGTTAATCAATACATAAATCCAAATAATCAAGCACCCTAGGCAAAAATATATATGTGCACAGCCAGTGATTTAGCTATTTAGAATTTGACCACTTTGATCTAATTTTGCAATAAAATGCCTAAAAGTTCTTACATAATAATAAGGTCACTGAACCGCTCCTTAGAACAAATTTAATACACAGCTGATTGAGTATGATGTTAGGTCTGTTATTAATTCCAAACATGATCTATTAACACCCCTGCAAGTTTCAGCCCAACACATTTGACTCTTTTTATTTTTAGACACCTTTTATTAATGTCTGTGCGGAAATCCCTTAGGATACCATCCACCGGTGGTTATGTCGGACATAAACCGACCAAAAACCGCACGCCGTCTCGGATACCAGTAGCCGGGGAATCAGGTGTACTCTAGGAAGGAAATCCCTAGAACCCCGACGTACCTTGGGCCATCTACGGCTTGTGGATGACCCCCTCGTGTGTGGAAACCACGCTGTTCCCCTTCTACAACCTAAATGGCGCGCGCGCTCCAATCCGGCCTGCTTCTGCTAGGGTGACAGAGGGCCTCACCTGCCACCGCCAGGCCTGCGCTTATAGAGAACGGAAGTCGTTTTGCGACCTTTGGTGTCTGAGTGTCATGCGGTACCTGGCCCGTTCCCGAGCCTGACGGACCGGTAGAGATCTAAATCTCTCCCGGTCCCTCTCCGCCGTCTCTTTCGCAAGCATAACTTCCTCGCAGAAGGAGATGGCGGAGTTCCACGCGCTCTCGATCCATACCATATCCGCAATCATGGTACTAAGCGAGAGAATTCCCACTCCGATGGCCGCCACGAGGTCACGCCTCTGCTCAACCCACGCCGGGCATTCTGCCAACGTGTGGAGCGCGCTGTCCACACGTTCTGGCCATCGCAGTGGTGACACTCAGTCGTTGGCTCTTTGCGGATCAGATACAGGTGATCCCCGAAACATCCTTTGCCCGTGATCACCTGCGTCAGCCGGTATGAGAGGGTCCCGTATTGCTTCTCGAGCCAATCTTACCGCCGCAATAACGGCGTGCCCGTCGCTTGGTTGCCCAAGTCGTTCCCTCCACTCCTCCACGAGGACCTGGCTGACCTGGGATTTCTGATTCTCGATTTCCCGTGGAGTTCCGGCCAGGAGACTCGCCACCCCAAAGGAGATCGTACGGTACTCTTATGACTCTGATAGCTAGCACTCGCAGCGGTCCCGCAGTAAGGCAACGTTGCTGGCCTTCAGGGCCTCCACCCATACTGGGGCCCCATAACCGCACAATCTCCTGCAGGAGGCTCTACTCCTCTACTAGTCATATTGGTCCCCTCATAGCGCTGCTCACCAGACCTCGGCAATTATGTCCGGCTGGATCTCTCAGGCCTCAGACTTCCTCCGAGGCCCATGAAATAACAAGATCTTGGATTTGTGCATAGCCACCTCGAGTCCCAGCCGCCGGATCCGCTCCACGACTTGGGCAACCCCAGCTGTGGCCTATCGCCGCACGCCGTCACAAGCGTGTCGTCCGCATAACACGTGACAGCGACACCTAAGAAGGCACCGCGAAGCACCCAGTCGTAGCGTCCCACAGGAGCGGCCCTTACACCGAACCCTGCGGAACACCGCACGACATTTCACCCCGACCGAGACCGGTCTTACTTGGGTAGACGACGGCTATCTCCGACAAGTATACCCCGACTATGCGGTGGAGGTAGAGGCACTTGATGACACACGAGCGCCTTCCTGATGCAACTCCAGATTATTTTTAGACACCTGGATCTGGTAGAATTAATTTTTAGAAAAAACGGCCATAGTAACTAAATTATACCGACATCTGCAAATAAAATGAAAATTACATATTTGTTTTAACGTAATGCGTTTGTATAATGCTATACGTGCTTTAAACGAGTGTGTTAATATTTATTTTTTCTGGTCACATCACTTGTCTCAATGTAACTTAATTGTCAAGTGAACACATTCACTTACACAAATACTATTAATATTTGTGGAATGTTGTGTGATGACGGCTTAATAATACGGAGTGTCACCACTCCTAATTCATTCCGTTTGTGTTGTAAAAGCCGACTAAGGAAGCAAACTATGCAAGACAACAGCACTGCAAAAAGAAAGAAAACTTGAAACAAACCCTATGCCAATCCGTCTGGCCATCGCGTGATATGGTAGGCCAAAACCTCCCATCTAAGGAGAAGCATATGATATGACCAGCCAGTGGATTATTAAAAATGTTGTTGATGATTGAAAGTAAAATCGTTACATTAATCTGCAAGCGTATTTACGTGTAATGTAAGAAAGTAAACTGTGGGTGTGTTGTGCCAGGTGCCGTTTACAATGACGCCCCCGTCGACACGACGCCGCAGCAGCAACTCTGGCAGCTCTCCCCCGCCTTCGCTGTGGCAGGTCTCGCCCACGAACGCCAGTCCACTTCGTAGATCAGGTCAGTGCAACGTTTTCTTTTATAATCGTATGCAATAGTCAATTTATTTGTGTCCCGCACATAATTCTTATTAGAATTTCGCATCATGTTATACGGTTTTAATGTAAAAACTTTTTCTTTTCATCTATAAATTACGTCACACAAATTTCATGATTTTTTTACCTCCTTGTCGCAGCCGGTCACATCGGTGAGACTCCCACCCTCCCTAGTGTGACGTCCCATTTTGTGCAATTTTACATAAAGAAAAAATATTAAATTAAAACAAATGCCAAAATTATATTGATTACTTATTCGTTCTCTTCCTTATTCGTTCCTTTTATTACCTGTGTATTATATATTATTATAATTAAAAAAAAAACAAATCTATTCAGAACTTTACACGTATTCTAATCGAAGTAATGAAATATATAAACGACAAGCTAACGTTTTTTAAGTTCTTTCATGGAGAGGAGCGACGAGATTTTAATCAGTCCGTTTATCTGACACTAGTGACGGATCTGATATGGGCAGGTTCGTCCCCGCCCGTGTCGCTGGCGCTGAAGGCGAGCGGCGAGGCGGGCGCGTGCGGCGCGGCGGGCGCCTCGCCCAAGCGCGCCGACGCGCTGCTGCGCGGCCTCAAGCTGCACGCGCCCGACCCGCCCGTCTACATCCCCAACCTGCAGGAGGAGACCATCCTGGCCGTGAGTACTGGTGTCTCACGGTTCTTGTCATAGGCGTTACCATTATAGAACTTAATTTTCGTTCGAAAAAAATTTAAATTATTTTATCGATATCAGATTTTGCATGTAGGATGATTAAATATTGCAAACGATAGATTACGATCGTTCGGTAGATTATTTTTAGAGATTCTATTCTATTGTTATATGATTCTATTGTTATTTAAAATAATTATACTATTTTACATAAATGTCATTTGTGATTGCCTATAATTGAATGACGCCAAGCGTGTTTTTAAATATTTTTTTTAACTTATTGTAGATATGTGTATCATTTGTTGGCGATCTAAAAGAACACGGAGGTAGCGTGCCATAGAGTACCAGCAGTATCGCTTGAATATTGCTGGCGCTATGTAGCTATATCGTATCTCTACGGCGTCGATACGCTAATCGTTTTCGTAGAGCTCGATCGAAAAACTTCTTTTTTATGCAGGAGGAGCACAGCAAAGTATTCTCCCAATTAAACTTTGTGCTGATGCTGGCGGAACTGCTGTCCGATCTCGCGGTCTCCTGCGGAGCGCCCATCGCGGCTCTCATGGACACGTCAGACGGTAAATATACTAGCATAAACTAATCAGATAGAGGCAAACCGTAACGTGACCACTGATGTGTGTATGTGTGGCAGAGCGCGGCACGTCGGCGGTGCGGCTGGGGCTGCTGGTGCAGGCCATGCAGGCGCTGGCGGCCGGCCTGCGCCTCGCCGCCGCGCACTACCGCGACCGCACGCTGCAGCCCACGCCGCAAGTGCGCAACGGTCAGTACACGCCGGCTTTTAGCTCCAACGGTTTCTACTTCATCGTTTTGTATTACAATCGATTAGAAATTATTTATTTTTTTGTAATATGTTAACGCACCAGACCTGATTGCTTTCGCCGTCTAGTGAAAAAAGACTGGAGCCGTTATGGAAATATAATTTGAGTGATAAATTGGGATCGATACGGCTTTTAGAGTTTTTACTCATTGTAAAAAAATAAATTTAACGTTTGCATATACTACGCACAAATTTTAATAAATGCCTACATGTGGTCGACTTTTTAAGTGCATATATTTTCGTTCTAGTCGTGTCACTGATGAACGGAAAGTACAAGTGGATCGTGAACGAGTCCCGGAGACTCCACGAGGCCGGCGTCATCCCCGCCACCTGTGACAAAATCCTCTATGAACATGCTATCGAACTGGTATGTAAATCCGATACTAATGAAAAGAAATAATGATAAAAAACAATTGTAGTAATTTTTGAGATATTTTAAAGATTTGTACCAAACGTTGAGTATAAAATTTTGTGTTTTCAGTGTCAGATGGCGGCCATAGAGGAATTATTTGGTGATATGAAAGAGTGCGAGCGGCGCTACATGTCGGCGCAAGTGTTGTTACACTCGCTCGTGCAGCGACACCCACTACATCCGCAACACAGGACCACACTCTCCAAGTGTTAGTACATCCCTTTTTTATTTAAACTTTACTTGCATAGTAGGTTTTTATTTTTATTAGTCAAGCTAAAGCAAACAACAAAGTTACATCGTTCTATATATAATAAGAAATAAAATTTAAAAATGTTTATAAAAAAATATGACATGTTGGATGGTTACGACCAGTGTTATCAGGAGTCATTTTTAACCAGTTTCAACTTTACTTACAGATCGAGATGCAGTACAAAGGCGGCTCAACTGCCTCAAAGGACCGCGCAAAATAATGGACGTAAAGCTTGAGGCTGGGATCTCATAATGTAGCATGCTACCTGCCACACCTAGGAGTAAGAGCATCGTGACATGATGACGTGATGCAACATGAAAAGTGATTTTATTTTGTTCTCAAAAATGACTCAGTGAGAATAAAAATAATGTATAATCTTAAAATGTATAAAAAGTATAAATTATATCAATTAAAATCATTGTATACAATCGTTTATGGTGTGATGATGATTACCAGATATGGCAATAGTGAATTATATTTTTTTATATTCAGTACATTATACCCAGGAGTTGTAGTCATAGAGTCGTCTAGATTTTAAAGCTGAACGAACTTAAATAATCGCTTCTCATTGAACATTATTATAAAGTTTATTAGATGCGTGTCTTCAATTCCTTTCAAAATAAAAATGGTTGTATCATTTAGTGAGGTTTTAAATTTTAGTATTAAGCACATTTTGATGTGTAGCGATACTATTCTACGCATATTATAAAAAATGTGAATGAAATAATAATATCACAAGTTATATTTTTCAGTCAACAACATTTTAGTGAAATATTAATTAAATAGGCATAAAAGCATAGAGTAGAGAATGTAGCATTGTTTTAAAATAAGTCTCATTAACATTTTATTATTACCAACTCGTAGTTATCATGTAAAGTGAAAATTAAGGACGAATCATGTCTCGGTATAAATATAATGCTATAGAGATCTCATTGATGACCAATAACAATATTATGGCATTTTTAGGCTAAGCTGTGAAATATAATTTTAAAGTATTCTATCAATAATAAGATGATTGCATGAATGAATTTTTGTCTTAATTTCTTCTAATCATACTTATTTTGCCCTTTATATTGTGATCCTCAACATATATTTTATCCTAAAAATGTCTACTGCTTTACTGAAATAAGAATAAAGACTGTTGTATTATAAAATTATTTTGTTTTGTTTTTAATAAATACTTATTTTTAACATCACTAATTATTATTATTTTTGAACTTTCAAAAACCTAAGGCTACACAATTAATGCAACACAAAATATGGATTAGGTCCCTTTTAATATGGAGTAGTCATGATATTATCTTTCATTCACTTTTATTCATTCAGACTTTACAAGTTTTAACGTCTCAATTCCTTTGTTTTTATAAAAACATTAACATTGTTACTTGTGAATACGACTCCATCGCGGCTCTATCGATAAAGTAAGCAATATCAATAATTCGGAAAAGTAGAGTTGATTCATCTCCAATCTCGTTAGTTTAGGGTATTACATTGTTTTTCAACAATCATTTTCAATAAAGCCTAAATCGAACCATGTTTCAATTGTTCATTTTAAGTAACCGCTCGTAAACTCGTCCCAGCAAAATAATGTCGAAAATGTGTGCGTTACCCCAGCAAAATAATGTCGAAAATGGTCATTTAAACGTTATAGATAATTAGTTGCTCCCCTTCTGTAATTGTTAGGCACATTTTTAAATTTGTTTCACTTAAACTTTTTTAGTTATTTCAGAAAAAACATTTCCTGCTGGGGTAACGTTTGAAACGTTACCGCAGCCAGACATTTTCTTTTTTAATTGTAATATTGAAATAAATTTTAGCTAAATAATTAGTTATCTGGACTAGGTAAATGTTACAACTTATTTGGTATTTGTATTTTCTTCGGCTGCGAAGTTATTCGAGATCCTGCTGGAGTAACGTTTGTGGGTTTGCTGGATCTCTGAAACGGGTAAGCGGATTGTAACCATCTTTTGTACATAACTTCTTAAGGATTATTTTTAATTTGTTCAACAACAAAATAACAAAAATAATGGACCGTTTAAAAATTATTTAGGTAAGTATGAAAACACTTCAATACGTCCTAACACTTTAAATAAGACCTCTAAAGACTTACTTCAAACGTTATTCTATTGCTTGTAACTACCTTCAAATGTATACGAATTTTCGTAAGAATACTGTAAGTGACTAAAAAGTTATGATGAAATGTAGCTCTCCACGTTCACGATCACAATGTGTGCGGCCTTTTTTGGCCACCGATAAACCTGTGTGTGGATATATAAACTAAATGTTATGCCAATAATTAGTTGTTTAGTTCAGTTGTCTACCTGTAGAATTTCAGCGTCGTACATATAATAATTTACGAGATAATTAAATAAAAGTCATTAGAAGGTGCAAGTCCGTGGTAATCCGACCATGTTTAGGTGGTTACAAAAAAGCGATCACCCAGTACATTGCGCTGTCTTTTAAAATGTTTAGTGTAATACACCTTACGATTTCGGTACAGTTGCGTACAGTGTTAAATACATTCAATATTTATTCATTATTATTACCCATTATTTATTTTGTTTTTTTTTTCCTAATTGATCTTAAGCACTAGTTTCTTTACTTAAAATTTCTTTAGTCTTTTTAACTACCGGAGCTACAATCAACAGAAAATCTGCACTGGTCCGCTAAAATTATAAATATGTAGATACATGTATGAACGATTCACCTGACTGCAATAAATCGAAAATTTAAACCAATAAGAAATCGTTTCATTTCTTTGATTTTTTTTTGTAAAAAAATAACACTAAAGTAATTGTATTTTATTTTGAGGTGTATAGAGCTTAGACTTGAATGCATCAAAATATTTAAAGCAACAAGTCATCTACAATAAGTTAAAATAGACCGAATAGTAGAAGAATACAGTAGTAAATTAGAATGCATCAACATTGCATCGCCCAACAGTCGTATACCTCGTAAGAGTAGGTAATATTGTTCTGTGGTCTATACCGAGAACCGAGAATTATCTATACCTATATACCTACCGTTAAGCGTTGAGCCCGTGACTGTTGATTTCAGTTAAAAACGAACAGTTGTTGAATGATATTTTGATATAATAACGGTAATTTAATTTATCGAGTGAAAGTGATACATTTTTATAGATAAAACTATTGGTCAGATAATATTTGTCAATCAAGAATCGCCGATAATACATCCTTCGCTAGAACGCGGGAGAAGAGGGGCGAAGGGATACTTCATTGTTTGCAATTTGCATCTAGTGCACTAAACTTGACCCTTAGGCAGATAATATACGTCTTGTAAAGTAGGTACGTGTGCGCTTCCGCTTTCTATTTTTGCAAATATTTATCGTATTCTTGAGAGTTCTTCAATATGTGTGTACCTAATTACTAATAATGGGCATTAATGCTAATTCGATTCAATTTAAGTAATTGTCAATTCTTGCCTTAGGATATTAATTACTAATGCTAATATTGAAATTTCGTTCAGGGTGAACAAATTAAAAACGATCATAACTTGTAGGTAGGTATATCACTTATTACTAATTTTACATAAATAATTTATTTTATTATAATTTAACTCAGCGCGATTTTGTGATCAAATATTTTATTTTCTCCAACATTATTACAGAAATAATGCAATACAGAGTTTGATCGCGATATGCTAGCATAAGTCGATTCATCACTTAAAAAAATCCCCATCTATTCACAAAATACCTATTTACAACGCATACGTTACACTCTTCAAAACTTAAATTACCTATACCTATCCTAAAATTATACTTCAATTAACAAATACTACACAGGTACCAATTCTATGAACAACTATAAACAACTCACCTAAACATTACGAGAAAACAAAAGCATTCAAAACAATAGGTACCTAATCTCCCGGCTGATTACTAATTATGCAATAAACAATCCTAAATAAAAATTATTTAAAAAACATGTAGTTTTTTGTAACACTTACGTACATATCCGTAGTAAACTTGCAAATAATATCCTACACATTTTAAAAGCCAGCACAATGTACTGCGTGATCGCTTTTTTGTAACCACCTAAACATGGTCGGGTTACCACGGACTTGCACCTTCTAATGACTTTTATTTAATTATCTCGTAAATTATTATATGTACTACGCTGAAATTTTACAGGTAGACAACTGAACTAAACAACTAATTATTGGCATAACATTCAGTTTATATATCCACACACAGGTTTATCGGTGGCCAAAAAAGGCCGCACACATTGTGATCGTGAACGTGGAGAGCTACATTTCATCATAACTTTTTAGTCACTTACAGTATTCTTACGAAAATTCGTATACATTTGAAGGTAGTTACAAGCAATAGAATAACGTTTGAAGTAAGTCTTTAGAGGTCTTATTCAAAGTGTTAGGACGTATTGAAGTGTTTTCATACTTACCTAAATAATTTTTAAACAGTCCATTATTTTTGTTATTTTATTGTCGAACAAATTAAAACTAATCCTTAAGAAGTTATGTACAAAAGATGGTTACAATCCGCTTACCCGTTTCAGAGATCCAGCAAACCCACAAACGTTACTCCAGAAGGATCTCGAATAACTTCGCAGCCGAAGAAAATACAAATACCAAATAAGTTGTAACATTTACCTAGTCCAGATAACTAATTATTTAGCTAAAATTTATTTCAATATTACAATTAAAAAAAAAAATGTCTGGCAGCGGTAACGTTTCAAACGTTACCCCAGCAGGAAATGTTTTTTTGAAATAACTAAAAAAGTTTAAGTGAAACAAATTTAAAAATGTGCCTAACAATTACAGAAGGGGAGCAACTAATTATCTATAACGTTTAAATGACCATTTTCGACATTATTTTGCTGGGGTAACGCACACGTCGAAAATGGACATTTAAACGTTATAGATAATAAGTTGCCCCCTTCTGTAATTGTTAGGCACATTTTTAAATTTGTTTCGCTTATTTGTTTTACGTGTTACTTTATACGTTATTCTATTGCTTTTAACTGCCTTCAAATGTATACGAATTTTCGTTAGTATACTGTACAAAAAGATAACAATAAATTAATACATAAGGATAAATTGCACATAGTTGCTAGCAAGAGACATCTGATGCATGAAAGTATATTCTGTACAGCTTCGCATATATACAACAATATTCCAAGAGACATCAGGAAGGTTAAAAAAATTATCACGTTTAAAAAGAAACTATATGACTTGTTGCTAAATAAATGTTATTACACGGTCAAAGATTACATGACCAACAGGTCTCTGCTCCATTACTCTATACCCGTCATGATTTGCTCAGTGTTTCCTACTCTTATTAAATTATTGTATGTCTAAAGAATTGAATTGAATTATTGTATGTCTACGTTATTATTGCCTGTTTGCAAATTCTGTTAAAATGTGATCTATATTGAATTAACAAATTTTATTATTCATTGCATGTACCTATATTATAATAATTTTAACTATTTTATGCTCAATGGTCGGGACATAGCGGGACTAAATACCGATAACTATATCATCTATATAATGTACCTATGATCTACAATAAAGATTACTTACTTAAAAAAATATCAAGAATGACATCAAGATTAAAACCATATTTGGAGAAAACATGTAATAGTCTAAGATCCCGCTGCAGGATTGGTGCGTTCATCGATTTTTTGTTTAAAACCAAATTTTTATGTTTATTTATAATTAGGAGAATATATATTTACTAGGGTGCCTATCAAAATTTGGCTGCCATTATTTTTAATTGATTTTTGGTAAAAAATTTCGTTTATTTATTTATAAAATAAAATAACGTCTACATCACGGTAATTAATATGAAGATTCTAAAAAATCACGGTGTCCGTTGCGCACCTGGCCGCACCTCTTTGCAGCCAGGTGTAAACAGGTATGATTTCGATAAATTTATACGTTTATAACGTATATTTATTATATGTCAAATTGAAGCTAATAATTTCTAATAATTAAAAAAAAAAAAAATTTAATTTTTAAAAATTTGGTTTTAAACAAAAAATCGATGAACGCACCAATCCTGCAGCGGGATCTCGTACTATAACTTATCCTTATTCATTCATATCACGTAGATAGTGATTGATAAGTCTTTCGATGATGATAATTAACGTAAAAATATAAAACACAATAAATGTCTGTAAATCAAAACTTTATTGTTTAATACTGTACAAACACGCCAGTACCCTGTTTCAAGAACTTGTATGGCTTTACGCGATTACGGCCACGCACTGGGCACAACATGACTTTGTCTGGAGGAAACTCGGATGACCCGCTGGTCTCGAGGAGTATGTCAAGACATGTCAACAACTTTGTTATTTTTGCCGAAAGTGTAAGGGATTTGTTTTCTTCTGATGTCTGATCAGTGTTAATAACTCTTTCAATGTCTCTGATGTCGTCATTTATACCTGCGTGATGGGTTCCATTCCAGTGGAGAGTGAGAGAAAAAATTGGAGCCTTTTTAGGGTAGTCACTTCGCAATGCAACTAGAGCAACCAGTTTTGCTGACTGTCTTGTTATAATTGCTCTGTATAACATATCATTTGTGTTTACTAATCCCTCAGAGATCAGAAATGCAGTTGATGAGGACTGGCTGTATTCTGGCCAAGCAATCGATTGCCATTGTGTTAAGGAGCCAGACAATCGTACTGGACATGGCACTTCTCCTTTGGCTGGCAGAATCTTACCTGATTCTAAGTCTTGCAATTCCTTCATTAGTTCTACTCTTGATTTTAATCTTTTCCTTAATGTTAAAATGAAATTTTCCACAGTACTGACACTCAAACTAGGACAAGGCTGAATATTTTTAGCAAACTTTTGATCTTCTGTAATAGTAGCCATAAAATCTAAGCCACACATTCTTTGAGCCCATATATATGGTTTCCCTAATTCAGAAATGAAGTGGTCAAAACTTTCAGATATGCCTGCAGACTTTAGCAAGTAAGAGGTGGCTGGATGTGGAGAATCATTGCCTGAATCTCCAGGATATAGATTATTTAGAATGCAATGTCCATTTAAAACATCTGCTGCTGATACTCCAACCACTGGCTTTGGCAAAGATACTGTGAATTTAACAACAACTATCTTTAAATGTAGCAGATTTGAAAAAATCAAGTTCAAAGCTGTGCCATCAGATACCTTTACAGATACTTGAACACTTAATGGATGTTTTTTCAACACCTCTTTTTTCTTAGCTTCAGCCTTTTCTTCTTTAGACACTTTAGCAGTCCTATGGTGGCGTTTCTTTTTTTCTCTCTGATCATCATCATTGTTTTCTTGTTCAGAGTCTGAATCATTAGATGCAACAAGATCAGTGTCAACATTACTTAGTTGTTCCAGTCTTCTGGCTTCATCTTCGTCACCAGAGATTCCTGTAATAGTTAATTATTATATTATCAGAATATCAGTTGAATAGAAATCTTTATTTCAAAATATACTAAGGAATGTGTAGACTCACCTACTGTAACAGTTTCAGCGCCTAAAGCATCTGAGTATGCACTAACATTTGCAAAAAGGAGAAATAGAGGTGCTGGGAGCAGTGATGCAGCCCTGGCTTCATCTCTTTTGTCATCAAGTCTTAGGGCCAAACATTCTTGTAATGGTTTAGTTGATTTAAGAACATTTCGTAAGTATGGCACCAAAGCATCAAGACGAGAACGAGCAGCAGCTATGGCAGCAGCAACGCGTTCTTTTGAAGCTACGAGCTCATGACACGCAGAAGATAATTCGCGTCTCTGTCTAAGTTCCCATTCAAGTCTCGCTAGCTGGAGCTGATGTTCATCATTCTTTGTCAGGTCCTGAAATAGAGTTTTAATAATATATTGTACATATAGCTTCTTCCCATATTAGGGTTTAAAATGTTAAGAAAGGCAAACAATTGATGTAGAAATAAAAGTTAAAGCTAAGAAACCTACAGGTCTTGATATTTCTGATGGGGCATCCTTATAAAAATCTTCAAGTGGTACAAGTTCAATTTCTTCATCTTTAGATTTGAACTGCAAACACTTGGTAACTTCTTTATTGAGATGATCAGCTTCATACAATAAATTTTGTAGAAGGAGATGTGTTGAGTCTACTCTTTGTTTTTCTTTATGTAATGCATCACGTCCAGCCCTTGTGCGTACTTTTTCCAAACGGTTGAGTTTTTTTAGAGCCACTAAATTCAAGGATGCTTCTATTCTTTTGGTATTAATTTTTTCTCTGGCCTAAAATACAGAGAAGTGTTTAGTAAAACCATCTCTCACACTAAATATTTAAATATTCATTAAAGTAACACTTTGAAGTGTCTATGTACAATATTGATTCGTAATAAATATCTACTAAAATTAACATTTCTGTCAGATAGCATTAGAAATTGCAAATACATAACATTTAATTCATTGATGGTATAGTAGACGGTAAATAGTTTACCTCATCTGTGTCTTTAGCTTTCAGTTCGGATATTTCAGCAAACAAATACCTGACGTCTTGGCAAATTTTTTTAAACAAACTGGCATCCTTCTCTGCTGGCCGTAATTGTGCTTCGGCTTCTTCAAATTCGACGACTCGCTTAAATTTCGAAACGCCAATTAAATTATCAAAATTAAATAACTCTGAGGCAATAGAGAAGGCTTAGATAGGAAAAAATAATTTTCTAACCGTGTACACATCAACCGGTGCTTGTTTAGATGCTTCACTTGACGTGGTTGTATTAATTTTACGACGTTTTTTTGTAGACACATCTTCTTTTCCCATTTTGTTGTAGACTTGGTTGAACGAATAATTTTATAAAGTAAATCAAAGGAATAAAATACCATAACACATTATAGGTATTTGAGTTAATTACTATAACCTATACCTAACCTACAGAAAGTCAAACTATGTATGTAAATGGCGATTACATTTTTTATCTGTTAATTGTTATGCCAAACCTAAACTTGTTGCCAACTCTAAAAACAGTTTTTCCAACACTTCAACTTCACTTAAAGTTGAAAACCCATAAAAAACTGATTATTACAAAAGTACACCTATACCTAACACAAATAAAATTATAAAATTATATAATTATTTATCTCTTTATTGTACACCACTGCAGTATTGTTTGTTCCAACCTTTCAATTCAATTGTATGGATAAATAACTTGTTCTGGGTCTGGTTCTGTGCGATGTGTCTGGTAAAAGATAATAATAAGTTTAAAATGTTGTCTTCCCAATACCTTAAATTTATAATATATATATATATATATAATAAAATTACCTTTTTTTTTTTTCGTTATAGCATTATTTCACGGAATTAAAAATACTTAACACTTGCATGAACGCATGCAACTCAGGACTCAGGAGTCACAAACGCTTTGCGGGCCTTCATTACAACATACTATGTTTACAACCAAACTAAGTATACTAAACACACCAAACTCGTAAACATTTAATAGGTATGCACAGCAGTGATCCGCAAGGAGGCAACGCCTGAGTGCCACCACTGCGATGGCCGGACCGAGGACACAGCGCTGCACACGCTTGCTCTCGCTCGGTAACATGATTGCTGCCATGTTACGGAGCGTGGAACTCCGACGCCTCCTTCTGCGAGCAAGTTACGCTTGCAAGGGAGATGGCAGAGCGGGGAGAGGTTTAGCACTCTCCCGGTGGGCCAGGCCCGGCAACTAGCCAGGTACCGCAGGAAACTCAGGCGCCGGAGGTCGGACCTCCGTCTTCCATAAGCGCAGGCCTGGGGGTATTAGGTGAGATCATCTGTCACCCTAGCAGAAGCAGGCCGTGGTGTTGGCGAGACGCGCTGCGAAGCGCGCGCGCAGTTTCGAGACCACTAAAGGAACATAGAGGTTCCCACACTGGGGGTCATTTGGATGGATTTCCGCACAGAAAAAAAGGTATGCACAGCAGTAGAGTGAAACCAGGGAAACTAAATTTTAATCTCCATATTTTTTTTTTTATCAATTTTTTTTTTATTGCTGAAACACTTGTGTTGGCAGTTTATAGCCAAAAAAAAAGTCAAAAAATATGTTTGTAGTAGGTACTTGGTCATTCATTAAGGTCTTCTAACCCACACCCTCGGATATGCGCGCGGGCCACTCGCACTTCTCACGAGATTAATTTATTACTTATTATTATATATATATATATATATATACTCGTATATATATATTTATTAATTTTATAAGAATTCTCGTTCGTCGAGACATTTTAACGCGATTACTTACTCCAGCTACCTGCACCGTCACCTGCACAAGCATCTTGGTCCTGAACTGTGTCAAATAATATTTCTCACACGGCCATCCGATCCGAAACTTGGCAGAGCCTGTGCTATGGTAACCAGACCAGACTGCTGAGAAACATACTTATATATTTTTTTAAATACATACTTATTGTAGATAAATCACACCCAGAAACGAAACGAAGCAAGTCGCATACATGTAACCCGCGCGAGTAGCATGCGAATTATATCAACCAAACGTGCAAGTCACTTGTGAATGCTAATGACGAAAATACTTTGCCCGCTTCAGCTACTTGCCCCGTGTAGGATCACCCTTACTGCTATGTTACCGCTTTACACTCTATGCACCAAAAAGATTCAAACATGTTAATTATTTGTCAAACGGATGTCTAACTCGTAAAATTTGTAATAAAGAAATAAATACACCAAAAATATCCTCTTTCAAAAATGCACATTTGGCTAAAATAAAAAGCAGAGCATAGTGAGATTTGATGATGACGTTCTTTCGCAAGCCTGTTATTATATTTATTAAGGAAAAGTTAGGGCGATCTCATTCCGTCGCTGCTGCCTCTGCGTTGCCATCCAGTTCCTATGTATGTCTATCAGTTTTGTACCTACAAACACATTTAGAAACATTCATTTTTACCATTTTTAATTTTATTTGGCTGTTATCAGTTATAAAATATTTCTAGGCATTTCCTCTTTAAACAAAGTCTCTCACCCGATTCTGTAATTCTTCTCGTGACTTTTAGTTGTTACTTAATACATTTTGTAAGCATACCTAATCTTTTGTAAAAAAAAACTATTAATTTGTGATAATTGAACACATAGATCATCGTTGTTATGAAGTGGTAGTTCTCCTAGCCGATGGAGAGCAGTCTAATCTCCCACATGACAATTCCAAATTTTTAAATTCTAGTTAATTTTAGTTTCCGGTAAAAATTGTGCACATTTAAAGGTAATCGTAGTAGAATAACAAAATATGTTTACGGAATTATTTTAGTGTGACATGGACATGTTGTCGGATAGTTGTTTTTACTGAGCTTTCAAATATAATGTATTTTAAAAAGCAGCATAAATATATTTTTCAGACTACAGTAATCTAAAAATATTATCATATGGTAGTATCCACATCCAGCGTACTCAAACCAATACTGATCAGAGAATAGATGTCGGTAAACTGTAACTGGTAAACTAAATACAGTGAAACCTGGTTAAGTGAGACATCAAGGGACCTGCAAATTTTTCTCACTTATAGAGGTATTCCACTTACTCAGTGTCTCAGATATCTAGGTTTAATGAAATATCTGTCTCATTTAAAGAGGCTTCCTATATTATCAAAAAAAAAGATAATAAAGGTAATAATAGTAAGGTTCAGTTTTCCGCGTACTGATAACGATTTGAGTCTTCGTTTCGGCATTTTTCAAATAATCAATCGTATGATTTACTGTCATGTATCAGCAAAACTAAAACTGAAGATCATTGAGGCTTAAAATTAGTTAAGTGCGGCATTTGTGGATAGAATAAGAATAAGTAAGTAAACAAACAAAACGATGTTATCTCAGTTACAGAGGTTAATGCATATAAAATTCACTTGTTGTCTCAGTTATAGAGGCAACTATGACGATGAAATCGAAAGAACGAATCCCAGATATAGAGGTTTTGCTTCGTCCCACTAATAGAGGTAATTCAGTGCCAAAGTGTTGGGACCTCAGTTGAGTTCCAGTTATGGAGATTTCTCACTTATGCAGGTCCTACTTAACCAAGTTTCACTGTAATATAATTAAATATAATGTTATTGGCCATGATATGGTATAAATTTCTGCCAATAGTTTGTGAAATAATTGCATGATACTACAGTAAATTAAAATTTGTAATCACAGCAAAGGAGGGACATACAAATCCCCTCGAATACGGAAAATATACGGAATCAATCTTAGCATTCGCAGACGACCTTGCGATCCTCATATAAAGTAACCCGAAGCAGTGCCAAGAACTACTGCATAAGGTGGATGATTTCTGTACCTGGACGGAGGGAATAAGGATAAAACCTAGCAAATGCTATTGCCTTTGTCTGGGCCGGCTAGGTACCGGATATACTTCATACGACCCCGGGATTACTATTCCCTATATATACTATTACCTATTGGTGGGGATAGTGTTTCAACAATATCAGAAACCCTGGCCTTTTAATTCTTTGGAAGAAAGATATACCTACTACAAAGGTCGTAATCCATGAACGCAATAGTCGATAACTTTGTAAAAGAGATTGACAAGGTAGACCAACAGCCAATAAGTAACGTAAAGAAAGCTTGGATTTACGACAACTACTTAAGATCACGTCTCAAATGGCCTCTTTTGGTATATGATATAAACCAGAACCACTTAAGAACATTGAATGCCAAAGTCACTAAGACATTCGACAGGGCTCGATAAAGACCGACAATGAGATAACAAAATCAATAACATGAAAACAAGACCTACAAGGTGCACGTAATGAACATAGAAATGCAGAATGAATGGTTATCTCTAGAGAATTTTCTATCCCACCAGCATTGAAATGGCGCACACTATTATACGATTGTTCACGTGCTTATTAAAACTTTACCTCAACGCCTTTCAAAAAACTCCCCGATCAAAGCAACCTAATAAAGTGGGGGGAAAAGCTACAGAAAAAGCTTGTACGATGTGCAGTGCGGCAAAAGGCACAGCCAGGCACTTACTGACAGGTTGTAAGGCGCTATTAGACCGGAGTCATTATTCACGTCACCATGATAGGGTATTACAAATCATACCCGAAACTGTCAGTTTATCACTGGCGAGAGCGAAAAAAGGAACATCGAGGTTACAAAGGAAGGCCCAACAAAAAAGACTTCAAAAAAGCCGTGCTCAATTATAAATACCGCCAGTGACTGCACATTAATATATGAACATGTATGAAAATCATTACAGAGTATCGGAGGATATCTGTGCCTCGGCGTCCAGACCAGACATATTTCTTTTTGAAATCCTACCTCCTACCGTATCCAGCCCCAACAATGAGCCCACACGACGACAGTCCCAACGGCCATTTTACATTAAAGTGATTCATAAAGATTCGCAATATCTTTTGAATCACTAACTCCATCGATGCACACAAGGAGCCCCGGCCTTCCGTTTAACTTATTTGTGGCTCTCTACCAACAATATCTGATTTGCTTTGAACCCTAGAATTGCCTAAAGACAACACATCACTCTACCCGCATTGTTTGAATACAAATAAAAAATCAAGAATTTAACTGCGTCAAATTAGCGTCAGACTTTTCTGCGTAATCACATCATAGCATCAAAAATATCATTAAAGGCATTTGTTTCAGATGACACAAAAAGCGGCAAAGAGCACGTGCTCTGTACCAGACATTAAATTGCCAAAGAAATATAGGAGGGTTAAAATTACTCAGGACGAAGTTGACTATATCAATGGCGGTGGAATTGTTTAGTACTTTTTTTTACAAATTAAGTAGAAATTATAGTAGATAAGGTCCAGTGACTAGATAATTTTACAAGAAGAAGATGTTAGACTAGAATTTATTTCATACATTTTATACCTAGGTATATTGTGACGTTGGTATCCAAAGGAACGGGTTTTGTTTTCATTATTCTTGTATAGATGCAAAATCTTTAATTTCGTAAAGTAGTAAATCTTTACCTGGACAATTATATTTCAAGTAACTTTTTTATACCCCCTGACCAATCAGGTTTCAAGAAATTATCGTTACGTTCGAAATCTTGAAACCTGATGGGTCATGATGCGGGGCTTGATCGAATAACGAACAACTTAACGTGAATCATCCTATCTACATTTCTTCTGGATATCTATTTCTGATACAATAATTCCATGTAATTGAATAACTATTTCAGATCTCACCATCTGGCTCATCTGCAAGTGAACAATTTTTAAGCAAATCCAAGACAAAAGTTTTTGGGGTCATAGAACTACCGCGTGGTGCACTAATCGACTGTAGAACAAGAAAAAAGCAAGAAGTTGCTTTACAGATTTTGTTAAAAGTTAAGTCGAAATAATATACTACTAAATAAAATATGACTGTATACGCTAAACTAAAAATATATATAGCAACAAACTATAATATAGTGTTAAATGAGATGTTTAATTTCATTTTAACGTTAAATCAAAAACATTGTAGGTGGTAGTAAATCCAGATTAAATTTTAATTGAAAAGCCTTTACTTTGCATGATTAGCTAAAAGGCCACCAGATATCGTGGGTAACGCAGAATGGTGACTTGAGAAAGCGTTACTACATCCCTTCTCTCTTCTCTTATCCCCATTCATCTTTTTAATAGGCGCAGGCCAACTTCTTTGCTTCGCCGTCTCTCCGAATAGCATGGGGCACCGGATATAGATATAACAAAGTGGGCCCATTTGCCGGTTACAAATTGACTTCGGTGAACTGTTGTGAAAGATGGTTATGCAGAAACTCTCTGATAAAGGAGTATCTACGTACCTACGAGTATTCAAACACTCTTTCATTAAAGCCACCCAAATAACGGTAGTCAAGTAAAACAAAAATATTTTTCCCGTAGTACCAATGGATCAACTATTTTGGCACAACTAGTTGTGCTATAGGTACACCCACACCCATCAAAAATATGTCCCCGTGGCACAACCATGAAGTCGGTCTATGAGTACCTATTGTACACGTGGTTACATTAATGTTTTGGCCACTTTTTCCATGTAGTTACATTTATGTATTTAGAAAAAACTTTTATTTTAATGTTACTAATGAGACATTCTTGTCCTATTAGTTAAGTTCCTAAATTCAATGACACAAAAAAAAACCCAGTTGTTGGATTGTTCCAACAACTGGGATTTTTTTTGTGTAATTATTGGAATAATAGATTATTACAAATTATTATGATTAAAAATCAAATGGATGAGCGTTGGTAAGCCTACCCTACAAGGTGGTCCGACGACCAGGTGAAGGTCGCGGGAAGTCATTGGATGCGGGCAGCTAAACCAAATGAACATCACGAAAACAACTGAGCGTCGATAACTCACGAAATCCTCCATAGTCCGGTAAAGAGAGAAACCATGTTATGATACAAGATTATAAATAAAGTACCAAAAAATGGTTTTAAGACTATAACCTCTTGCTTCCTACAAATAAGACTAAGCAGAATTAATAACAACTAAATCAATAATAGGATCAGGATACACTTGTATAAAATTGCATGAAACTATTTTTACGTCAAAAAGTAACACCTTTTTTCTCACTTTCCTGCAACCTGTGGGAGCAATTACAAGGCAAAGGAAAGGAAATAGACTGGGTAACTGATTAAGTCGACATAGATACTTTTAGGGGTTGTAAATACCTCTATTTCTGATACTTATATTATATTCACTATAATATACCATATCCCAAACCTAACTATTTTATTTTATTTATATACTATATATTATATATATACCTAACTATTTTTTTTTTATTTTATTTGGACTTAAAAAAATGCCGAAATTGTGCCTAATACATTTTTTAGAACTTATATTCTTAATTATTTTTTTTACTGTTTTTGTGTAGTGAGTACATTGTTTAATAATTTCCATTAACAAAATTGTAGTTAACTTTACACACGGGACCGAAGTAGATGGTTTATAATAGTGTTACGAGCGGGGTATGAATAAAAGTATCAGTAATCTTCCACCACTGTATGTACTTCCATATCACAATGAATAAAAGTAGTCGGTTAATTTCTAAAATTGCACTGTATTTACTAATACTGACTTTAAAAACCAGAAATCACTAGATAACTCGTTAGTCGCACTAGAATATTGCTTCGATAATAATTCGCCGTGTCGTAAAACAATACAGTCTCGTACGGCTAACACGCTCCGCTATTGTAGGGTTATCTAAATAACTGGAATGATCCCTAGTATTCGATAGACCGTTCCAGACAAATAAGAATTTTCCAGTTTCAGTAATCTGTCATAACCCGTTACTTGAAGCGCCATCTAGCGCTACAAGTATCGGAATTATTAATCATAATCTCAACAGTTATGCGTCACTTGATACTAGATGGCGCTGTCCTCCAGATTCCATACGACTCGAACTAATTACTTTACACAAGAACCATTTAATCCTTTGAGCAACAATAGCAAAGAAAAATAAATTGGTGTTTTTTTTTCCTTGACGAATATCTAAAAAAAAACTGACCGTTTAGTTGCAGAAAAAAGGTATAAAATTCTAGGATAGTGTACATCGAAAAAAACTTAGATGAAAAACCGTATTACGAATTAGCGTACAAACCGGTTACACCTAGTTGCAAACTTGGCTTGTATTTTTGGACTGTTTTGTTTTCTATTCGTGACTAACTATTGCTACGTGGACTTTAATTTGTGCTTCTGATACTGTTGGACATGATGACCTATACGAACGAGGTATATGTTCATATCTTGATTTCTTACGGATACCAAAGAAAAAAAAATTAAAAAATTATATTTAAGTTTTAAAAAACGCTTTAAGTTCTGAAAGAAATGGGTCAATCTAATATCTTGAAAATGGTAAAGTTTGGGATATGGTATTTCATAATGAAAACTATCAAAAACGATGGCAACTACAACTCCTTATAGTAGAACTGGAACAGTGGAACTAGATAGAGTTGTGTAGCTCCTGGGTTAGTGATATAAAAGATATATATCATTCACGACGTTAAAATCTATCACTCACTCACACTTGCTCCGAATATATCAGTAACTCACTACTAGCTCACTAACAAGAAATAATTTCTTATTTTTAATTATTATATAAAAGGCTGTTAATAATTATGTTATCTTATCAAAATGAATAATTTTGTATTTAAAAAAATAGGTTAAAAATGTAGTTTCAAAAACTGAATTTAGGTTTATAAAAAAATAAAGAAAGATTTGTAAGGCGAGAGAGGCTTGAAGTGAGTGATATACGAGTATGATCTAGATGAAGAAATGAATTAATTGAGAGACCAATCAATTGAATCGGATCAATGAGCTAGTGAGCTAAAGGAGTTAGTGAGATAGATGAGTGATATATATCTTTAGAGCGAAATGATATGTATCAATCTTTTCAGCTCAGTGATACATTTTGCGCATCACTAGAACTAGAGCTATGTAGCCAACTCTAAATAGCGTGCGATGCTAGAGTTGGGCAGGTCAGATGGTGAGTAAGATGTCAGATGTTACCACAGAGATATAAGATGTTACACCACAGAGTAAGTTACATTTGCATCTGTAGGACTACCGTAAGGCTCACGCACTTATTATTTCGCCTAACTTTTAAGAATAGTAAGACATTTGCTTATAAGATCATTTAGGATACTGGCTAACTACAATTGTGATGTCTGGGGGGACGACGGCCCATGTTTACAAAAGCAATAAAATCTCTTTTTGGAACGAAGTTCCTTATCGCGCGTTGTGAAAGGGGGCTAGACGGAAAAAATTCATACCAAAATTTGGGACGCGACACTTTTTTATTAATATAAATTGACGTCTAACTGTGGATACCATACATTAAATTTGCTTCAACGTTCGCCAACGTCCATACCATGTTGAATACACCGGTTCTCGTCCGATCACCAAAGTTTAGCAGCATCGGGCGTGGTTAGTACTTGGATGGGTGACCGCCTGGGAATACCACGTGATGTTGGCTTTTTGCTCTTTATTTAATTTTTCTACCGCAGGTTTTTTTTTTTGTGTATTTCGTATTTTGTTTTCGTATTTTATTTTTCTTTGAATTGTATAGTTTTTTTTTTTGTGTAAGTATGTAAATGTGAGTATGGTGTAGGCTTGTAATGTTAATTCATATTTTATTATCTTTCTGGTGGTTTTGAGTTTTTCCACGGTCTACCCAAATGTCAACATTATATTTTTTTCTTGAAATTTTGAATTTAGGAAATAAAACTAAGTAAATATATTTCAAAACACTTTAATGATCAAAAGAAGTTGATGCTATGTACACTATTACCCAGATTTCAGTCAAAGTTTTTTTTAAATTAAAGTAAATCTTATTATAACATACAACGTAAGCCATGAATTTGATGAAAGTATGAACTATGATTAGTAATAATATTTTTTCGTGTCATCTTGTCAGACATTCAGCGCCATCTATCGAATAGATAGGAAATCATTTCGCAAGGAGATTTTACCAATGTATAAATTGTTTTAATTGTTTTTAACATGTAGGTAAGCCGCTTTCATAGATGACGTTGTAATTAATATCGTGTCAAATCAGTTTTAACTTTAAACAACTTCGTTCCTATCGGGTGTCCCACGACACCACACGGCTTTTTTTTCTTAAAAGTTCTGCACACAACAAGAGGACCATTTCTTGAATTTAACTAAATGTATTTTAACAATAAATGAATTTTAAAATCATGACTGTTATCAGTACCTTAACGTTTTGAAATATCAATTCCTAATTACCTATATTTTAAGATGTTTTATGATTTAATTTAATTGAAAGATGTTGAATTGCATTACAAATACCAAACTCGTTTTTGTTTTTCAACCACTTACATACATATCACAATTAGGATACTAAATTTCTTTTAAAAATGTAAATCAATTGATTGAGTGATAATCGATCAAAAAAGAGATATGTTTTTTTTTATTTGAAAATAATTGAAATGCCCACAAGATGCTTGTGCGTTAACATAAATTAGCAGAATTGAGTCCAAGGTTGCTATAGTTTCTACAGTACTAGAGAAAAGTGTTTATCGATTTTGCTTAACACTGCGTATGCATTACATACAATAACTTGATTTTGAAATTTACTAAAATGGAGTTCCATTTCGTTACCTTTCCAAGATTTTTTGTTGTAGATGGCTCCTAAGCGAAACACAACATTTTTTTACGCGTATTATTTTTGTGGTAATGTACAAAACTTTAAGGCAAATACTTGAATTTTTTGTCATTATTGTGGAGCAATGAAGCGACTTTTACGTTTACGTAAAACAGAATGAATATCATATTCTTTGGGCGAGTGTTGTCATTTAAAAAAAATAGAGTGAGAAAAAGTATATGTATGAATCTGATAATATAGTATATTATATATTATTGCGTATATTAAATTTAATATTAACTTAACGTAAGATACAAAAGCAAAATAAATAAATTGTAACCATTAACGTTCTTATTTTGTACTTACTACTTTAACTTACTTACTCGAGTTGATTATACGACTATAGTAATTAGGGACTTCACGTTCATCGCATAATAATATGTTTCACCAGGCAACAACGAGCTATGTTAAAATTGGGCTTCGTGTGATACGGTTTATTGTTTATTCCCATGAAAAATTATTAATTACATTAGGAGTTATCTGTTTATTAAGTATTATAAAAAATATAGTTAACTTGTTTCCCCAATTAATTTAATATTCGGCTTTGTATATCGAATTTCGTACATAGTCGAATCAAATAGCTGTCGTGAATTATTGTCCAACAGCAACTTCAATCGCTCATCTATATCTATTTCATTCAACTGTCAGATTAATCAGATTTATCAAACAAAAATTAGCTAATTACATAGTTCACAATTTTCACGTTTTTTGGCTGACTACATTCTATAAAATAAATATAACATGGTGCGAATCACAATGATTTTACGTCGTACACCTGTTATCAAATTTCGAAAGGGTGGGTTAGGACAATCTTCAGCCGCTGGTGCTCCTGCTGCAGTTCCTGCCGCTTCTTCTCCGGCTTCATCTTCAGCCAGTTGCGTAGTATGTCTCTTATTTACGGCCGAGTTACATAGTTTAGGATAATAATAAAACGGAAAAAATACCTATTTACATAACTAGATTTGAGTTCAAATCCAGGATCTGAAGTCTTGGATGTTATGAGGCGACAGAAACTACATAAGCCTTAACTCGAACACATAGCTTGACAATCTGCTATTATAGATCAATATGATAAATAATATATCAATATGATATCTTCACTTTAAGACGATATGATAAACCTATGGACATGCTAAGCATCAGACTCATCACCTTAATGAGTAATGTGAGCTATTTTGGTGTAACCTTTCAGCAAAACAGCTTACCCCCATTTGGTTTTACCCCGTTCTAGATAAAGGCAGAGAAAATGGTATTGGTATTAATCAAATGGGGGGTAAAAAATATATAAGAAAAACTTTTTATTTCAGTTCTCACGGACCCAACCAGCGGCTACAATGAGCACATGCTCCATACCTGACATTGACTTGCCTCTAAAATACAGAAGGACTCCATTGAGTCAGGAAGAAATAGACAAGATCAATGGCGGTGGAGTTATTTAGTGCCTGAAGTTGCAATAAGTAGTAAAAGAATGTAGACCTCTTTGAAGTAATTAAATTATAGAACTTTTCTCATGCTGAACATCATTTTGGGTTGATTAATTTGCTAAATACCTATTTATATAATTTAGGGGTGAATTTAGTTGGCTTTATAAAGCATGACCTTTAATGAAATATATTGTTATTAATATATTGATTGTCTCATTTTATTAACTTGCTTCCTTAATTAATCCAAATTGAATGTTTATATCATTTCCATATATTGTCAATAATATTTCCCCTTTCTTGAATTTGAATTTTGACATACATCAACATAGTAAAAGGTTATATTTATTTATATAAGTTAACAACCATTAAATATGTACTGTATTACTGTAGTATTGATTGGTGCCTCAATATTTAAATTTACTTTCTATAACATGTTGGCCTGGTTAACATACATGACTACCTAAAAATTACAGGTATCAAAGATGTAGTTGCAGATGCTATCACCTTTACAAACAGAAGCTTCCGATACAACACAATGGGATAATTGCAAGTTACAAGAAAAAGACAATGGTTTCTTTGGACATTACTACAGATATAAAACCAAAAGAACCATACATTATAAATGATTGTAGCTACTACTAATACTATATGCAAAACAAGTTTTGTTGTAAAGGATATTAAGAAAAACATAAAAAATGTAGTTAACATGTTTTATTTCCTCTTTTATTTGGGAGTATAATCAACATACAAAATATACATTATATACAGTAGGGAACATAATAGACATATTCTAATAATATCGTATATTAAGTTTTTCTTTCTGGATGGACCACATCTGTGCAGCCGGCCCATCGTAAGCGCCATTGCTATTAGCATCAAACTTAATTATACCGAATTTAGAAAATTCGCTTTTCCACTTGTTAGTTTGTGATAGAGTGAGTAGTGTATCAGTTATGCCTTTTTTTATTTCGACTGAAATGAAAAATAATGTTACAAACCATATGCGGGAACATGTACCTATGTGGTTCTGCTGTTTCAATTTTCATTTTTTTTAATAATATGTAAGATTAAACCAGTGTGGATAATGGACATGTTCCGAAATAAACTTAGTATTTTATGATAAAACTGGGACTCAAAGGAACTTTAATTTATTACAGGATTTTTTTTAGTAGAACTTATTGCATTTTTCGGGTAAACTGTTGCTTTTAAGACAACACAGTACAGCAGTGGAGGTGAGCGCCGACGCGACGCAAGGAGTACTCCTTAATCCTAGACCTGTGTCACAATTCCCAGGAACTGTCGAAGTCGCAAATGTTGTCCCCCCCCATCTATCACGCGATGGACCCGTTACCCGCACGGTGAAACCATGGAACGCTAAAAAACTTCTGAACCAATGGTTGTACGAGAAAATGATACAAGATTGTATAAATTTACAGCTGAAGGTCATTGCTCCACTATAAACCAAAGAAACTGGTAGTTCCAACTACTAAAATAATAATAACGTGATACATGTCATCCACGTTCGGTAATCAGATTAAACAACAAACTAAATACATACATGGGTAGATATTATTGAGAAATTACACCCAGATTCAGAACAAACACTCGTGGTTATCACACAATTATTTGTCCTGGATGAGAATACAACCCACGACCTCTGGTTTAGCATTCATGATCTCTCACCACTAGACTAAGAGGCCAGTTAATACTAATAGTCAGATTAATGATACAGCTTTTTTCAAGATCAACGATAATAAGTCTAAACTGCTTTGATCAAATGAATGGCAATATAATACAAAACCTAAACTATGATGATATAGAAAGCCTACTTGTACCACTAAGTTAAATATAGCCACACACATTTGTGTCTCCGGTGTCCAGTTTGTTTGAAAAAAAAGAAGAAATTGTCGCCTGTTATGGAAGTGGAATATAACACTGTGGCCTTGTGCAGATACAATAATTTATTCTGTAAATATGTTTTTTGTCTATTTTTAGGGTTCCGTACCAAAGGGTAAAACGGGACCCTATTACTAAGACTCTGATGTCCGTCCGTCCGTCTGTAACCAGGCTGTATCTCATGAACCGTGATAGTTAGACAGTTTTATTATTTTCACAGATGTATTTATTTTGCCGCTATAACAACAAATACTAAAAATAAATATTTAAGTGGGGCTCCCATCATACAACAGACATGACTTTTTTGCCGTTTTTATAGATAATGTTACTAGGGAATGCAATCTCGTTCTCGCGAGGTCTCGGCCTTTTTCCCTTGAGCCCCAATCTCGCGAGATTTGCATTCCCTAAATGTTACGGAACCCTTCGTGCGCGATTCCAACTCGCACTTGTCCGGTTTTCAACATTATGTCGACAAGCTATCGAAAGCACTATGAGTCAATTGTTTATAACTTGTTAAGGTGGTTTTGATAATATAAGCAATGATAACATTTTAATTATCTTAAGTACATTTAATTTCTTTTTAATTTACCTACTTAATTTCTTTAACCTACCTGCCAAATTAGCGTTCGCTACAACAGGATAGGGTGGCAAGCGACCAAGTGTTTCCAATGTTATAATATCTCTACCGCCATCGTACATAAACTTTTTTGAATAAAGAAGAGTTGTAGAATCCACTGCAGCCCATTCTGCTTGTTTAGATAGAACCATCTGTGCTGACGACAAATGTGATCCAGATTCTGAAATAGGGTAGATAGGTAGGTTAAGGTAAATATTACACTTACCTAATTATATTTTATATACATGTAATTATATACTATCAAGTCAACACATTTCAAAAGTATCAAAATAAGTGATGTTGTATACTTAGTGTGGATCCAAAGAAAGAAGCATTTTCGCCTTTGTCTTTGAGCGTTTTTAAAACAATTTTACTTCCACTAAAAGATTCTTCGTCACAGTATGCGAATGTACAACCACGCAAATCTAACAAAGTATTCACGTTATGTGCCCTGGAAAACAAATAACTTTTCTGTAGGTATAGTTAAATACAACAATATTAGCAGCCAACCAGAAGCTTATTGTAGCATTATATGTTTTAGATTCATTGTTATCATAAGTCAGTGACATGCTGATAACATTTTATCTACCTATTTAGTTTTTATTTGAGTTGTGAAAACATAAATAAATATCTTGTGGACTATTTATTATTGATAATTTTGTTACTTTAGTTTGATCATAAAACTCATTTACTTTTTGTCGCTATGGATTATGATATCCGAGAAATAACCAGGTTTATTTTCCAGGTTCATTTGGTGAGCAAAAACAGGAGTTACTGGCAATAATTCAATGGCTGTTTTATTTTTCTCTCGAAGTTTCATATACGCTGCAGCTGACATAAACCCTGTGATAACAACAAAACACAATTTCATACGTGATTTTATACTTACATCAAAATGACAATTCTAGGCCCACCCCTCCATTAAATTGCTATTGACATACAAGAAACTAGTAGGCCAAGATCCCAGGGCCCCCAGACCTTACTTATTTTCTGATGGACAAAATATGTAGAATAGAGTAGTATTAGTGTGTAGGTACAGTGAACGTTTACACAGAGGCGGCCTCTGCGGGTGGAGGGCTTAGCGCACCCAATCAATAATGGGTTATTGGAAAAATACGTTTATTTTATTTTTGCGCCATACAGCTCGCGTTTGAAAAATAATGTCTGATTAGCGCGCTCGATTTACTTAGGGGATTTCCCGTCTTTCGTTTCGTCTGTCATTTTGACAGACTGGAGAGTCCGCCGACATGCGCAGCTTTTTTTGCACCTTAAGATAAGGGCAATGATGGGCAAGACAATTCAGCATCTCTTTTCTCTACTTCTTTGGCGCGGCTAATGGGCAGCTTCAGAGTTTTCCGTGCCTCTCAGTACTCCTCATGAATTCGGGCCACCTCACCCTCTCCACAGTGGCCCGTAACTGCGGACGTAGGACCACAGGGCACGAGTACAGGTCGCGCGGAGGTCCACCTACTCCTTTCTTTTTTTTTCCCGTGCGGAAATCCCCTCGGATACCACCTATCGGTGGCATGTCGGATTCGAACCGACTAAAACGGCACGCCGTCTCGGGTACTAATAGCCGGGGAACCAGGTAAACCCTAGAAAGGAAGTCCCTGGTTCAGGTCGGCCTACTCCTGGGACCATTAGTAGGTCGCAAATCGGCGTAATCGCATCACGAAAGCGATTGATGATTTTTTTATAAGCGAGGCACGTATAATTGTCTTTCTCTCTTAGTCACGGCGGCACTTTAAATACGCATAGAGTATATTGGGCCCCTACGATTGGTCTGGCAGCTTACAAAATATTTTAAAATAGCCCCTTATATGACATATAAAAATCAAGTCTTAGACTAAGTAAGGTGTATGGTACTATCAATTTCAAATTGCTTAGAATATACCTTACAACATAAGTAAGAATAGTTAAGTACCGTAAATAAAGTTAGAACAATTTTTAAGTACCTGTATCACCTGATACCTGAGAATTGGCCGTCGGCCCAAGCTATTAGGTATGTATACGTTCACAGTACACACTAATATTACTCTGTTGAAATTTTTTTTCCATCAGAAACTAAGCAAGGTTTTAGGCCCTGAGATCTTGGACCATAGGGCAAAGTTCTAGGTATTGTAATCCGGTGCTCTATAGTAAATTCTTTGGTTAATGTTTTTGTCTGTTTTGTTCATCCTACACAACAATATAGATTGTTTAATAAAAATACTCCAGTACAATAACAGTGAGCAAAATTTCTTTTTCATTTAGTGCCCGATACTTAAATATCAACAGGCGTCTCTGAGTGTACTAAGTAACTTTATAAATATTGCTTATTTGCCGAACTTGTACTTATTGTTCTTTTACGACGATGTGCTTAAACTATTAAGGAACAGGTAACAGGAAGGTACAATAAAATTGCTTTAGGATTATTCTAGCAAAATAGTGAGTTTCAATGACATCATTATTTGTATTGAAATTATTCATTGGGTAGTAAATATCTGTAGATATAATCTTACCTAAGTCTGCTTTATTTGTAGAAAACGGATCAGGCCGATTCCGCAAAGGTCCTGAGTTCCTACTTTCATATTGCAAAGTAGTATAGCAGTTCAAAGCTTCTTCCAACAACTCCAATATTAATTCGTACAGTTGCACTGGATGACTCGGACACATGTAAGTCACTATACGTAACTCTTGCTTGTTTTGCGCCATTGTTAAATTTATTGCACAGTTCAGAGAAAACGTCTTAAATAAATATCGAGAGTTTATAATGAACTCATTTGTTTATTGAGAGTATTCATATAGTAGTTATGCTCTGTAATCGTATAAATAAACGCGATAACCATTGCACGCCTCGATCATGTATTGACTGCTGTCTAGCTTTCACATAAAGCAGCCGCACGGTGACGTGAATGCACGCAGTGAGCACGTGCAGGTTACTGTTACTTTTCTAGGTTTCTAAGACACTTTCTCCGAGGCATTTTAGTTGCAGACCAATATTATTAAAAAATATCAATGCCAACCTCTTATCATCTACTTACGCAGGAATTTAAACAATCACTGAATGATCAGGTATTAAAATATATTACGTACCTAAGTACAGAATAATAATATGTTATTAAGAACAGTAGGACAGCTAATTTTATAAACCATTTAGGCTAGCTTTCGATTAAGTGATTTTGAAAAAGTCGTAAAGTTCCTTAACTGTTTAGGTCATTGCGATAATACCCTTGGATAACTAACAAGCCAAAGTGAGACTGTTCAATTAATACATAAAAATAACACATTTATCCATGTGGTGACGGATTAAGAATACGGAGTGTCACTACCCCTATTCATCTCGTAGGTCTCGTAAAGTAAGAGCCGACCTAAGACAGCCAACTACGCAGGAGTTTTGAAACAAACTTTTTTAGGTGTGGAAACCCCCTCGGGCCGTCACCCCAAAGGTGTTTGCGGCGGGTAAAATAGTGAATCTGCGACTGAAATAGTAGGGAGCGGGGAACTGTTGTTAATAAGACATCCGGACCCCTCCGGACTCCTGCTCGTAAAGCGCTCCTTGAGGTGGATTCTCTATTAAGGTGACGTACGGCACATTACAAGCAAGCGGACGTCGCAGGAGTCCACGTCAAGCGTGGTGAGCGGTGACCTGATGTGCTCTAGCCACGGGTAGGTATCTTGTTGAGCGCAGTTGAGAAAGAATACGCGGGGCAGCCTAGACATCCATATCCAGATGCATGGTGGTCTGAGCGTGGATGTCCAGCAGGGGATTCTCCAACGCTATTGCAGCTGGTACCCCCCTTTTTTTTCCGTGCGGAAGCTGGTACCCCCCTGTTGTTCAACGACGCTGTGTTGGGGAGGTTGGCCTCCGAAAACCTCACTCACTCGGTGAAATGCAACATGGATTTGCTTGACGACCGGTTTTCTGTATGGCCGTGGTATTGATGCAGTTACTGCTTCTGCCAATCTGATCATTTTGCAGTGGAGACTTTTCTTACAACTAATTGCGTATTGAAAAAAAAACACATGTACGTTTACAATGTTTACTAAAGATATAAACACATTAATTTCGATTAATTGTTAACAATAAAAAATAAACTTAAATGTAATTAAATAGCTTCAAACATTCAACTTGAATACATACTTTACAGCCTTCATTAAATCTCACATAAATAAACTTTTGACGAAATGGTGTGCTATAATATCTTTCTTATATATTACTGTACCATAAAATATAAATGTTTCAAATGCGGTACAAATAAGAGCATATTCACCTTAGGACATAATTTGAACGACACATCGAAAATTTCACATTACATTAGAATATGCCCTTCCTGAAATTATATTCAGACAGGTCTACGGAAGTTCTTGCCAGCGTATTTGCCTGCGGCCCCGAGTTCCTCTTCGATGCGAAGAATCTGGTTGTACTTGGCGAGACGTTCCGAGCGACACGGCGCCCCAGTCTTGATTTGACCAGTCGACAATCCGACCACAAGATCAGCGATAAAAGTGTCTTCAGTTTCTCCAGACCTGGGAATTGAACATGAAATTAATTGGTGTTATCGAAAAATAAATACCATTTCTTACAAAACAAATACCTCTTATACGAATATAATAGAGAAATGTAAATCTCAAACAGAGCCCATGATGCTATATGGGGATTTACTCGAGCGTCATGGGGACATTGCATTTGACAGATTAGGTAATAGAATTAATAAAAGTTATAAAATGTTTTTACTTACAGCGGTGGGAAAAGCTTCTACAGGTTTACAAAAATGTAAGGCGAGGAAATCAAAAAAAATATATTGGGGTGCATCAGAAATTTTGGGAATATGTTAGTTGGGGGTTATGTTATAAGGTTATAAGGTCTGACGATTGTGACACAAGCTGAATCTGAAAGCTGATGAATTCGATGACGCCCAATACGGTCATTCCCTTTAATATGCCATTTATATACGCGTATTATCTTAATTCAATCAAACAACTTAAAGGTATTAAACAAATAAGAACCTGCCGTCTGATCCGAAACTAGGCAGAACCTGTGCTATGGCAACCAGACTGTTGATAAACATACTTGTATATTTCTAAATACATGCATATTATAAACTTCCACCCAGATACAGAAAAAATCATTGTGTTCATCACACAATTATTTGTCCTGGGTGAGAATCGAACCCAAGGCCTCAAGCTCAGTAATCAAGGTCACTAACCACTAGACTGAGTCATCATCAACAGTCTTTAATAGTCCACTGCTGGACATAAGCCTCTCCTGAGAAAGGAGGTTTACTGAGTACTTGATAAATAAGTAAATCAATGCCTTTGAAATAAACAGGTTTTCCTGTAGTTAAATTCAATAAATGTTTGTTAACCTGTGAGAAACCATGGTGCCCCATCCATTCTGCTTGGCCAGCAAGTGAGCGTCAATGGACTCAGTCACACTGCCGATCTGGTTTACTTTCAGTAACAGGCAGTTGCAAGCCTTCTTTTCTACAGCTGTAGCAATCCGTTTGGGATTTGTTACCTGTAATAAAGGAACAATTTATTTATAGTAAAATTAACTTGCTTTGAACAACTTCTGAAGTTAGAATTGATAAAAATATTACTGACCTGGATTTCATACACAGATATTTTATTTCATTATGCATTCGGAAGGTCTAGTACGAGTTTATTTCACATTAACTCGCTCTCGACTGCGAACGCGGAAGGCGTTGCGGAAAGAATTAAGTGCGAGCGAAGTAAAATTTAATCAAAATTGATGATGATGCAATTAAATTGGACAGTGATATTTGCTGTACTAACTCGTAAAATGGATGCAATCAAGTTTCACACAAGAACAAAATTCAAGTTCCTTGGATTGACAATAGGGTAGGCATATGAATGAACCTTTTAAAAATAGAGCGCCCTGGATATGCATAGGAATATCTATAATCTATAAAAATATCTATAATACTAACTGTAAGGTCGTCTCCAACTATTTGGATAGGAGTGCGGGCAGTAAGATTAGACCATGCAGCCCAGTCATCCTGGTCGAAGGGATCTTCAATAGACACCATAGGGAAGTCTTTGCAGAAGTCTAAGTACACCTCAGCTAACTTATCAGATGATAGGTAATCGGCAGGATTAGACTTAGGGTTCTTAAAGTCAAGATCGTAAGTTCCATTCTTGAAGAACTCGGAGGCAGCTACGTCCATACCAATTTCAATCTGTAAATAATATTACATCGCTTTTAATCAATTGATAACTGAATATTGAAATTATTATAAATGTAATGAAAGCCTTGTCGACTTTCTCCAAGAGGCTAGACTGTGTAATAATACAAGGGTTTCATTTGTGTGGTCACATCTTCTCATCTCATCTTGAATTGACTCCCTAATGCTTCGTTTTATACTAGATGTAACACAAAAACTAAGTGTGGATTGCTTACTAGAAATCGTGCGAGGGTCATAAGGAAGTTAACTAGGGTTTATCCTGACTCCATTCTAAATGTTTTTAACGTCAAACATCTCATACACGGCCGTCTGATCCCAAACTAAGCAGAGCCTGTATTATGGTAACCAGACTACTGATAAACATACTTATATATTTGTGGCTTCGCCCTAGCTAGTCTAAAAAAAGTAGCCTAAGTTACTCCTTATGTCATCAGCTATCTGCCAGTGAAAGTCCCGTCGAAATCGGTCCAGCCGTTACAGAGATTACCCGGAACAAACAAATAGACAGACAGGCAGACAAACATTGTAAAAAATGTAATTTGTACTGTGTAAACATACATATGCATTTAGTAAAAAGCGGTTATTTTAATATTACAAACAGACACTCCAATTTTATTTATTTGTATAGATGTATAGAAGATAAACATATATTATAAGTTGTAGAGATGTTGGCTATATGTAGGCATCTCTTATCTAAAGTAGTTATGATTGATCATTAAATCATGAATTAAGGACATAACAAAGTAGTCAGAGTAGTAGAGTCAAAAAACATTTTGCCTTTACTTTCATAAAAGATTTAATTACTGTTTTAGGTCTAGTATAGAAAAGGTGGTATTTATTAACAATTTTTTGAAAAGTAGTCATTTATATTTACTGACCTTGCCGGTGTATCCAGCCTGCTGGATGGCATCCTGGATGAGGAATAGGGCGTCCTTGTTGTTCTGGATGTTGGGCGCAAATCCACCCTCATCACCGACAGCAGTAGAGTCAAGGCCAAACTTTTCCTTGATGATTTTCTTCAAGTGGTGGTACACTTCTGAGCCCATGCGCATGGCCTCGCTGAAAGATGCAGCACCTGAAATGTTTAGGAAAACAGAAATTGCTGTCACAGTGGTTTACACTGGCAAAGTTAATTGGTAGATAACAAGCTATTAATTTATTTGGTATTTATGGTTATGGTTTAGTAGTTTAGTTTGAGTAGGAAGAAGTACTCAAACTACACCTGTAAACATCAGCCATAAATCTCAGATTAGCGAGATCAAATAAACAATTTAAACTCTCAGTTATATAATTTTATTAATTTTTTGATATCATTGAATTGCAAACCAACAACTGATTTATTAGATGGAACTGAGAAACCTATACAGAAATGCACTTATGTTTTTCAACACTATGGGCAGTAAACAATAAACTAATAATGCTTTAATGCTTTAATTAGTATGGTCATAACTACATCTAAAAACTCATACAACTTTCTGTTACAACTGTCAGTAAGTGTAAAAGTCATACCAGTAGGCAAGATCATGAATTCTTGCATAGCCAGCTTGTTGCCAGCGTGAGAACCTCCATTGATGACGTTGAAGGCAGGTACAGGTAGTACAATATCATTATTGCCTGCCAGATCAGCTATGTGCTTATATAGAGGTACACCTTTTTTGGCAGCTCCAGCCTTAGCTACAGCGAGGGATACACCGAGAATGGCATTAGCACCAAGCTTGGACTTGTTTTCTGTACCATCCAAAATTAGCATGAACTGATCAATCTGTAAACAAATATTAAATAGTTTAAATCAAATATTGAGAGTAATGCTGTTGATTCAGTATAATAAAAAGTTAAAGCACAATATTTATAATTAGATTTACTAATGACATTGAAATTTAAACTTATATCCATGACATCTATTTTTATTCAGTTTCCACTTTGATAAGTGGCTAGTGACCCTGCCTGCTAAGCCAGAGGTTGTGGGTTTGTTCGTTGTGCCACAATTGTTTGTTCTGTGTCTGGGTGTAATTTATCTATACTATGTAAGTATGTTTATCAGCAGTCTTGTTACCATTGTACAGGCTCTGTGTAGTATGGGATCACACAGCCGTGTGTGAGGTTATTACTATTATTATTAATTTGTTATTTTAACAGAGTTCCACAAGACAAGATATCACTAAGTATAACTATGAGTATTACAAAAAAGTAATACAGTTATGCTACCTCTTTCTGCTGAGTGACCTCAAAGTTTTCTTTGAGGAGAGCAGGAGCAATGCTGTCATTGATGTTCTTGATAGCAGTGAGGACACCCTTGCCATGATATTCTCCTTTTATGTTGTCCCTTAGTTCAAGGGCTTCATGAACACCAGTGGAGGCACCAGATGGTACAGCTGCCCGGAAGAGACCCAACTCTGTTACCTAACCAATTAATTCACTTTTTTAAATGTATAAAAACCACAATTGCATAAATATTTAATACATTATTTGATATTAAGGTAAAGTGTTTACTTTCCACAGTGCAGGATGCTTGAAAGTTATATTTTATACTTATTAGGTTATATTATATATTATATTAGGTTACCTATGAAATTGCCGTTTTGTATGCAATAAGTGAAAGTACTTATTTTTTCAAACTTTTTTATTTCTGTTATTCGAAGTAATCACCCATGCAATCGACGCATCTTTGCCAACGCATTGGCAGTTTATTGATGCCCTTCTTGTAAAAATAAATTGATAAACTGGATGTATTTGATAAGCTAAACTGTCAAACTCCTGGGCAAAGACATCCTCTGAATCAACATGTTTTGTTTTTAAAGGAAATAAATAAATGTAGGGATGGATGATTTAAATATTTCTTCTCCCTAGTCCACCTGGATATAGCCCTTTCAGTATGCATTAAGGTCATCAAGTCACGTCTGTGTAGATCGACCTTGGTGGTGTATGTGTCATTTTTATATAATGTTACATAGAAATAAGAGATAAGTTAACACTGTATAAATTATACATACCAGGTCTACCTCGACGGTGGGGTTGCCACGGGAGTCGAAGATTTGACGAGCTTTGATTGACTTAATAGGCATCCTAGACGACGGAACGAATAAAGATGATTTATTAATTTTTGAAAACATATTTTTTAAGTTATCATATTCAATAAAGACAAGGTCAACTGTAGGTTGTACGGTACTCGGTTTACAAATTTAAAATTAATATTGTATGACATGATGCATGTATGTTTGTAAACAAATAAGTTATAGTATCAATTAAATTTGCTAATTAACACTAAAACAATTGACGCAAGCTTAATAAAAGAATCCTACTTTGATAGACCAAGTTATTTGTAAAAATGTATTATTCAATTAAAAAGATATAGGCACATTATAGTTAATTTCATTCTTAAATTAAAATACAGTAAATGTTTACTTACTTGATAATAAATACGTAAATTCAGTAAAATTTTAACTCGCAAAGCAATAGCCGATAGCTGAATACGGCGGAAAAAATGAAAAGTGTATGCCCTTCGTAAGGTGAAACTAGAGTCGAGAAAACTGATTTCCGATTTCTCTGAAAACCGATGTTTGATATGTCACGCATAATAGTCATGCACTAGTTGATATGATGAGAATACTGTTTAATTCTAGCGAATCTCTGTTAATACCTTATTTCGTTACATCGATCACGATAAAACGGAACGTTATGGACGTACAAAAATAATTTCAAAAAGATAAAAAACGTAGAATGTTTAAACACATTTAAACTTCAATTTTCAACAATCAACAGTCCACTGCTGGACATATGCCTCTTCTTAGAAAGGAAGTTTTGGCCTTCTGTAAGACGCTGGCCAGACGAGTTTTGTGTTGCCTTTCATTTTCTTGCTGTTGTCCTGCGTAGTTTGATCACTTTGTCGACTCTTGCCGCACCCGCAGGATGAATAGGTGTGGTGACACTCCGTATTCATCCTACTCCGCAACTACACGAATAATTCATGTAGTTGCGGAGTAGTGACATAAAATAAAGTAGTGATAAATAATTTATTTCAAGAATGTATTCAAATTATTCTTAGTATTTTGATTATTCGTATAGAACTCGTCGTTATAGAGTCGTATTCGATAATACAATGAAATTCCTCACTCTATTTTTGTTACGTCAAAATTAATCTAACTGTCAAATCAGTCAGTAAGTATACAACTGTGTCTGTCAACTTTTAATTTGTTTTTCAGGTAAACAAATTTTATCGTCGAATTTAGATGCGAGATAGAGTCCTGAAACAACAATAATAATAATATATGCTAAAATGAGTGACGATGATTCCAAAACAGAAAAAAAACCGATAGTAATAAAAAATGCTACTGATTTACAAAGGTTAAAGCTTGAGAAACTCATGAAAAATCCTGTAAGTATGACCTATTTATGGTAAATATCCTAACTTTACTAGAGTAATATTATAAAAAATAAACTTAATGTTTCACCAGGACAAACCAGTAGTAATTCCAGATCCTCCAAAGTTGAAATCGTTAGCTTCTGCACCAGACTTCGTTCGTAATGTAATGGGTTCAAGTGCAGGCGCTGGATCGGGAGAATTTCATGTATACCGTCATTTGAGACGTAAAGAATATGCTCGGCAAAAGTTTATTCAAGAGAAAAGTGAAAAGGTTTGTTTTTAAAGCATTCATATATTTTTTATAAGTAGTTAAATTTGTATTAAGGCTACAACTAAAGTACAAATGTTATAGGAAAAACTTGATGAAGAATATCATAAGAAAATAGAACAAAATCGAAAAGAAGCTGAACAGAAAACAGCAAAAAAACGAGCGAAAAGACTAAAGAAAAAAAAAACTGCTAAACTAAAATCAAAAATACCTAAAACTGATGATAAAGATAAAGTATTATCAGAGTCTGAAAGTAGCGATGAAGATAATTTAGAAGAAAATGATAAAAATAAAGAAAAGGAAATAGAATCAGAAGAAAAAAAGTTATGATTGTTTTTAGTTTTATTTAATAGAATAGTTTAAGTATAATAAAAGTTATTTTTATTAAGTTCAACTATTTTTTTTAATAAGACTCCTTAAAATTAAATCCATTTAACAGAATCAGACATAAGATTAGAAATTATTAATTAAAGCAGTGTGTGATAGAAGTTAAACAAAAGTTGAAAATTTGTCATAACCAATTATGCCATTAACAAAAAAATAAGGTGGCAAAGGAGATACAGCATATGTATCATGTTGTGGTATGGCAATGCGGTTCCAAGATGTAATATCTGCTTGTTCATCTTTATTCCTCAATCGTTTACACCATGGAATCATGCTTATCCTGCAAAGTACAAAGAATCATTTTTATTTATCAAGTTATTTAAGTACCAAGAATATTCTGGCTTTGTAAACTTAGAAACAGCAAGAGTAGGAAAAGTCTCCAAACATTTCTCTATACCACCTGAAGCTTGACTGGAAGAGAATGCCCTGTCCTATGATGAGCAAGCCTACTAATTTAACATTCTTGCTTCTAACATAAAAGTTCCTCCCACTTGAGTTTATTTCAATCAGTGCCTAAATAGTAACAAAACATTTTGCCTACATAGGGGCATTAAGTAGTAACTAGGTACATAAAGGATCATCACACACCGAGCGACGTCTCTACAAAATCAAAATTTGTATTTAAGATATTTTTATCTGTATTTGGCATGTTTTACCTGGCGCTCCACTTGTACTGGGCTAGCATTGGTTTAACTTACAATATTACACGCCTAGGGCTCATTGGTTAAGCCGTAGCTTGAAAAGGGAGATGAAAATAAATTTTTACTTGTACCTACACTATGTAGTGGGTGTAAATGGTGAAGATTTATTTTCCATTTAAAAGAAAGTTTATTGTTTACTTTCAAAAACAATAAGTTTAGATATATTTTTAGTGGTAACTTAAAGTACCTACTTAAAATATATTTTCAGTTTTCAATCGTTAGTTAAATATTCAATGAATTTCTGCTCTTTTTTCCATATTCATTTATCTTAAAACTACTCGAAAAAAGCTTTTATAACATGTTCTGTCGTATACCATTTATACAAGCTTCCAAAAAAGCATCCAATAAAAAACTATTTCATTAATATCTAAATTGTAACATTTATGGCTAATACAAAACAAAGAAATAAGTCTCTTACCCAAACATCAGCAAAGCACATGAAACCAAAACAATGGAAAATATAATAAGCCATGGCGAAAAATTCAACATTGTAACCTTACAGAAGCTCCTGCAAATATTCCTTCAAAAGCTGCCGAACTAATTAATAGCCGTTCAATTTATGAGTATACCTACATATTTGGCATTTTTACACAACCTCTGATTCCACGGTAGATGCTAATACATAAATGTGGGCATTAGGTATTTTGTGCGATCGTATTGACGGTAGGTTAATGACGTGAAATCATCATTAACAACCTTTAGTAGTCGTAGTAGTAGTAGAATATAAAACACGAAGCAACTAGATAATATGGTATTGTTGTAATTGACTTCGCTAGCCAAGTTACGTTTACATTTGAAGCGATCACAGTTGGATCTTTATTTTTCAAGAAACACGTTTTATAAAACGAATTTAGCAGTGCGGTGTCTCGTCTAATGAGTTTTTACGGTCAACTTATTTACTGAGTGCATGTTGGTCTAGTGATTCTGACTGTTAAGCCAGAGGTCGTAGGTTGGTTCCCACCCATAGTAGGAACAATATTATGTGAAAAACATGAGCATGATCATTTGTACTGAGTTTATCTCTTTGTTTTAGTCTTCGTTATCTTTATGTGATATTTTATCAAAAAAAAAAATACACTGCTCTCGTATTAAAGTAAATAACTTGCAAACTAATCATAGCTAACCCCAAAAACAGTAAATGATCATCAACATTTTAACCACATTTTACACGAATGTACAAAAGTTACAAGTTCATATGTCGTACTGGAAGAAAGCTGCAGGAGCGCCTCCTACTTTCGGTTGGCTTAAAAAAAATAAGAAAAACCTAATCAAAGTCAAAAGTAATTTGCTCACTGAGATTTGGTAATCATTTACTACATTAGGGGCATTTGAATAAAATTTAAAGTGCAGTCAGGGCTAAAACAGCTAGAACCATTGTAATTTTAGATTGTCTTTGTTTAGGGCTGCAAATTATTTTTTTGGTGGTTATTAAAATTAAGGAAGGGTCGTTAATTTTAACAATGCCAAGAGAACAATTTTTTTTTTATAAATTCGTAAATTACTCCAATAATCTGAGAATGTACCTAAGACGTCCATAACGTATGTATGTGTTTGGGTGTAAAATGATTAAAAAACGTATAGTTCTCAAATTTTTATTAGAACTGAAAAAGAATATAGGTAAATGTTAATTTAATCTAGGTTATAGTACCCTATTACTGAACAGATGCCATGACACTGTCCTCATTCTTTTTGAGAATGACAAAACCTTCCATAACGGGCGACAGAGGTATGTATTCATCGGTTGCAAGTTCTGCGCGTTCGCCAAATGAGAGTAATACAGGGGTGGTATGCGTATGTGAACCAGCGATCGTTTTAGGCGTGCCCGCTTTGCCGATAACGTCAACAGCCTGAAAAAAGGAAAAAATTGAAATATTATTAATCATAGACGTTTTTATTATTTTTGTACTGGTTACCGTGGCATAGACGATTATAGTGTCGGAGATATATTCTGTTGGTAATCCATTACAAAGCTACATAATTTATTAGATTATATTAATATTTCCCATTGCTAATAAAATTAGTTTGTTGTTCACAATGAAACAAACATTTTGTGAAGATTTATTCAATTCCATTAATAAAAACCTCCGAAAATTTATGTAATTAAAAATTGTATCCTTACCTGGCCAACACGGACGCTCACGTTCAAGGGTTGAAGATTCTCGTCTAAAGTAACTAACCAACGAGGTTGCATCGCCGTGGCCAATACGTACAGTAGGTAGTGTGATTTACCCAGGATTACTAGAAGAAAATAGAACTATTAGTTAACTAACTGTATCAAAATTTAAATTTGATAAGATGAAATGGTTGTATTTTTTTAAAATAACATATTATACACAATATTTGATTAAATGGTGAGATTTTTATAATCACTACGTATACATGTGTTCAGACTCATAAATTTTACAAAAAATATATTTATACTATGGGTTCGACAATGAATAAAACAAGTATATAAGGCAAAAGTTAGTAGGGGTAGTCCTTAGGGGTTGACTCCACAACAATTTGTTGAAATGAATGTTGAAAAAAAATTGTTGAAGTAAAACCGTTAGCAGTTTTCCTACAAACTTTTTGAAAAACTTGTTGAAATGTTTTCAACAATCACCTGTAACTAGACTCGTGTTGATAGTAGAAGCAGCTCATGAGTTATGGAAGTAAGAACCAACTAGCGTACTGTACTTTCTACCTAACACTAAGGGGAGAGGCGTGTGTGTATGCGATAAGTAAATATTTTCATGGAACATCAGAGTTAATTAAAAAGAACCCCTACACTATGTTTCTTGTGTGAATTCATAGTCAATGCCATTATGACTAGTTGCACCTGTTTAAAAATATATATTTTCTAATTTAAATTTTGTGGTGGACGACGTAAATGCTTTGTTTCTACATAAACATCATAATTAAACTACAAAACTTACTATTTTTGCAATCCAGGAAAGCCGTAAGTACGACAAGTAGCCCGGCGAGCGCGGGTTGGTTGATAAGGCGCCTGTCCGCGTGAGTAGGGCACAACGTGACGGTGCCTTTGCCCGCATGGCACAGCCCTTGTGCTAAGCGCACCATAAATAAGTGCACTGGAGATTTGCCGTGGTATAATGCTAGAGCTCGCAACATTGTCGCTAACCTGTGACAACATTTGTTTTATTAATATATTTATGTTTCCTCAATCACTCTTCACAATTAGAAAATTCAGGATGAAAAAATTTCAAGTTGACTAAAAATCCTAAAGTACCAATATTGTTGTTGTTTCCTATTGTACCCCGCCCAGTTGTAATTCTTATTTTAACTGTGAGAGGAGCATAATAGATCAAATTTTATTGAACCCTCTCCACTCACTTTAACGTCACGTAACGTATACACGGTGATTTTGAAAGCGTTTTGGAAAAGAAAATATTGAATTATTTATCAATAACAGAAGCTATATATAACGTTAATTGAATAAAATATATATGTTTTTTTTCATCGAAGTCGATATTCATATCGTTTACAGAGAAAAAGTGAGAACCAGTGGTAAGGCTATTCAATCACACGTAGGTAAATACTACAAATAGAAATACTATGCGTTTTAATATCGAGTCACATAAAATCGTATTCGCCAATAAAAACAAAGCTACCGAGTTGCGCCGGAGTCGTCCAACCAATGACGTATGCCCCGTAGGCGCATGCGCGGGACTCACCTGTAATCGTGAGGCGTCCTTCGCTTTCAGTCGGTCAGTAATACCATAACATCGTGACGGCACGCTACATTGATTAGCGCTAAAATGAGTCGACAGTACGAATTTTCAAACGTGGAGTACTTGGCAATGGTACAGCTGTACGCTACTGCCAACTATAACTTGGAAGAGGCTCGGCGTTTGTATTCCCAGCCGGAGCATTTAAATGCACTACGGCTACGTGGAATTGAAAGCCCTCAAATTCCCTCCACACCTACCATCTTGGCTGCAACCCAACGTCTTCTCGACCACGGACAATTTCGTGCGCCTACTCATGCGCAAGGTCATGGACGTTTAAATTATTATTTGCCGGAGTGTAGTGCGTGCATACCCGGACAATGAGTTTAGTGATCGGTGGATAGGTCGAGGAGGGCCTGTGCCTTGGGCACCTAGAAGCCCGGTCTTAACGCCCCTGGATTTTTTCTTATGGTCGGAAATAAAAAGACTTGTTTATACAAGGGAATATGAAAGCCGTGATGATTTACGCATTGCGATAGTGGACGCTTTTGATAAAGTGAAAAGTGATAGAGACACATTATGAAAATTAAAAAACAATTGCATTAAACGTGGACGTTTGTGTATTGAACGCAGCGGACTCCATTTTGTGCAGTTACTTCGATACAGAGAAGTGTAAATAGTGTAAATAAACTGTAAATAGGTATGTTAATTATTCTGTGGATAGCTCCGATTTTTTAAATACGCCTGAAATATTTATACCTACAGTCCGTTGATAAATTGATTTCTTGTGAAAAGAACAATCGTGGTTAATAATCGAAAAGAAGTTTAAATAAAATAGGTATTCCCGACGGTCCTAAGCCCGTGTAAAGTATGAAAGACAAACTGGAGTCTATCTATCTACGTAAGTACTCGCTAGCTCGCGCCTATAGGTATACTTTTATCAGCTGCTGTTAGCGTCAGCGGTGCGCAGCGGCCGCCGAAACGCGCTCGGACGTGTTTCATTCATATAAGATAATGAATGAATGATCAGTCCATTACTACTTTCCAAGTCGATCGAGTAAAAATGAATATTAAAACTGAAACTTTTTTTTTAGTCAACATTACAATTGATTTAACCATTTTTATTGGTACTATAGATGATTCCAAATTAAAATGTTTCGTTTCCAAAACGCCTATAAAATCACCGTGTATATGTTACGTGACGTTATATCGTATATAACGTGTATACCTGGCGTTGTTAGTTCCAGCTCCAACAAGACCCATGGCGAAGATCGCATTATAAGCGACGTCGTTATCTGAGTCGTGGGAATACTTATTCAGAACGTCGATCACAGCTAGCTGAGGGTTCGATATTGAACACAGAGCGATGGCTAGAGGCACCGCCCTTCGAACAGCCGGCTCGCCGTAACGACCCTATAAAATAACATTGGAATTTTGTAAACGACAGTTATTATTATAATTAGTAATGTAATGGCATAACTGGCCCACATTTGCTATTTCTCATGCTTGATATTTCTATGGAATTTTTCGTTTACTTTATTTTGATTAGTAGAAAATTAAAGTGCAAGTTGAAGTTCTTACGGCTTGATTATCAAATAGAGACATTGGTTACAGAAATTTAGTTACCTAGTTTAAATCAATTACATTCATAATCACATTTTAAATATTTGATGTTTAAGTATGTTTAGATCACCTAGTAATTTTGTCTCTTCATATATTACCACATAGTGTGACTTAAAAAAACGCAGTTAAATTAGAGAGAGTACAAGCTAGTAAGCTCATACTTCCCTGCATGCATAATAAACTGACAGGAAAGCAAGTCCCAGCTAGTACAAACAAGTTTTAGGTTGAAAAAAAAATCATTACTGTGGTCTAAGAACTAACCAGCTGTCCAAATATCCGCGTGCACATCTCGGCCCCGGTCTCCTCGGCGAGCGCGATGACAGCGACACCAAGCGTAGCGACCGCCTGTACGGATGAAAGCTCCTTGTTTGCTTCCTTTTCCTTGTCCTTTTCCTTGCTCTTACCGTCTTTCGATGACTTGCCTATTACAAAAAACAGAATTGATTGAGAATTTGCTTAAGGAAGCTTTCTTTCTTTTTCTTTCTTTTTAAAAAGACAACTCCCGCACTAGGAATAAATCCTGTGTCGCGGGGGACTTCACAAACATACATGAAACGGACACAAAGTACACCCAGACTCAGAACAACAATTTGTGATCACACAAAGTGTTGTTCCATGTGGGGTTTGAACCCACAACACTCGGCGTAATAGGAAGGAAAAAATAGAATCAGCATATCACACTTAAGAGGCACATCCCTACGAAAAGCGCAACATTGTGCAAAATCCCCAACATTGATCAAAATCATCGAAATCGACCTTTGCTATTTTGAATATTTTTTTAATACGTAGAAATTGTGTGCCGTAATGTGCAATAATTCAGAGTATACGTATATATACAGAGTATATATATAATTTGGACCACAAGATTCAAAGCATAAAGGTTGCTTGCGAGTGTCGGACTCTCACTACTGCTTCTATTATATTTTATTTTATTCTTCGAACAAACAAAATTTAGAAGAACTAAGTGTGTGAGTTTTATTTTGTATTTTTGTACGAATTAATATTAAACACAAATGTTAGTACTCATTACAATCGTAACTTATTTATAAACCTATTTCAGGTAGATTTGGAAAAACGCAAATAAAATAATTATAAAAGCAGAAAAAAATAAAGAAATATGTAAAACAAAAATGATCAGCCCTGTAAGCGTGGCGGTAGGAAGTGTTTTTGTTTTGCTCCGTAAAAATATTCATATTAATTGTTTAAAGTGTGTTTTCAATTAAACAAATTAGTGTCCTGTGATTGTAATAGATTACAATAACTTATTTTATATCGACATCAGTGATTGAAGTTAATAATAACGTAATAAATAACAATATAAGTTTCTAAAACAATAAAATCTGGAATCCATTTTACGTAAAGCAGTGTCAACGCATCTGTGTTTGCCAAAACGCGTAAACGACGCGTTTTCCACGGCGCTTGCGCCTTTTTGGACACGAAATTGCATCGTTCGGCGGCCGGCACCCGCGGCAGCGCAGCTGTACAGGGAAGTGCACTTAACTACTTTAATTCTAAGAATACTGCACGTGCGGCCTCATTTAACATTTGGCATACTATTTTTGAATAATAATATCCATAATGCCCGTAACAAATTGCGCTGGGTGTTTGGTGCCGATTAAAAGCAAAGATCGCCTGCAATGCATTTCTTGTCATTCCTTCTTTGACTTGCCTTGCGCCGATATAACTGAAAGGCGTTTTCGCTCATTAAGTACTGAATGGAAGGGAAACTGGAAATGTCCTGAATGCTGTAGTCGGATCCCAAATAGTGACAATGCTAATACCCCTGTAGCAAGGAGTACTTCTAAAGCCAGTGTTGCTGTATCGAGTCAAAGCCGGGGTAATATTACCACCCCAATTGAATCGCCGCAGATCCCACCCAATTTTGTCACCGAAGACAGGCTACGCGAAATACTGAAAGATGAAATCTCTTCTACGATCAAATCCACAATTAAGCAATTAATAACTACCGAATTCAAAACTATATATGATAAAATTACTGACTATCAAGAATCTATGACATTCCTAAGTAAGCAATATGAAGACATAAGAGTGCGCCTTGATGATACTATCTCCTGCATGAATGAGCTGAAAAGGGACAATGAAAGACTAAAGACTACTGTTAGTGACTTAACAGGGCGGCTTTGTTCAACTGAATTACATATGAGAGAATGCAATGTTGAGGTTAATGGCGTTCCTGAAAACAGATCTGAAAATCTCATCAATACCATAGTCCAACTGACAAAAGTAATTGAAAGTCCGTTATCTTCTGATGATATCCACCAAGTAACCAGAGTCGCAAAATTATCCAGAGACAGTGAAAGACCACGTGCCATAGTCGCGAAGTTGCGAAACCCTCGTACCCGAGATATACTACTAGCTGCAGTAACGAAGTTTAATAAGCAGAATCCCCAGGACAAACTCAGCACCAGTCACCTTGGTATAGGCGGTACTCGATCGCCGGTTTTTGTCAGCGAGCATCTGACCCCAAGCAATAAGCACCTGCATGCTGCTGCACGGAAAAAGGCTAAAGAGTTGTCGTACAAGTTTGTATGGGTTCGTAACGGACGGGTTTATGTGCGTAAAGACGAAAACCACCAAGCTATATCTATTAGGAGTGAAGATAGTCTTAACCTTATTAAATAAATTCTCTCCAAGTGTTTGTTACGAATGTTCTGGATAATTGTTTTTAAAAATGCTTGATATATATTATCAAAATGTGCAAGGACTAAGGACAAAGACTGCAGATTTATATAAAAATGTTATTATCTCTAATTATAAGATTATTGTTTTTACAGAGACATGGCTAAATGCAAGCGTATCCAACGCCGAGTTGTTTGATAGTCGATATGTTGTTTGATAGTCGATATGTTGTTTACCGTAAGGATAGAATATGTTCGCAAAATACTAAAATAGATGGTGGTGGGGTTATGATTGCGGTGTCACGGGAACTTTTTTCTGTTAGAGTACAAAATTGGGAAAGTAATGATTCTGAGGTTATGTGGGTCACAGTAGAGGTTCCTTCAAAGCACACTATAAAAAAACTTTCAATCTGTGCAGTCTACCTGCCTCCACCTGTTAAACTAAACCAGTTGTCAAAAATATTAAACTCCATTGACAACGTAATCAACGACAGTAATGACGTCATTGTAATTGGGGACTTTAATCTCGGTTTCATCGACTGGCGCTCTGATAGTGATTGTACTCACATGACTCCATATAATTATAATGTAAGTTTAGGATACTCGCTTATAGACTTTATGTTGTCAAACAACTTGTTACAATTTAATTCTGTTAAGAATAATGATGGTCGTTTATTAGATCTAGTTCTCAGTAATATACCAAAGACATATGTAACAAAGCCCTTATGTTCCTTAAGTAAGAGTTACCAAATACATCCTGGTCTGTTAGTGAATATTACTTACGACGATAATGTTAAATATCTTGTTCCAAATCCCATAGCTAAATATAATTTTTATAAGACTGATTATGTAAATATTAATAGAAATTTGAATAATGTAAACTGGTATAATGTATTTAAACATTGTAAGGATGTTAATGACATGGTGAGTGAATTCTATACAATTTTAAGACAGCTAATTTCTAAATATGTACCAATCAAGAAGGCCACTAAAGCACGTTATCCACCGTGGTTTAGTAATTCATTAATCAAGCTCTTAAATGAAAAGGAGAAAGTCCGTAAAAAATACAGAAAATATGGTAATCGGCGGGATGAAATCGAATTTCATTTACTCCGAAATCGCTGTCATAGGCTCTTTGATACATGTTATAATAATTATAAATGCACAATAGAATCGAATATACCATACAACCCAAAACTTTTTTGGAGTTACATCAAAAACCAACGCGGTGGATGCTCAACATTACCAGTTAAAATGCATATGAACAATTCTGTTGCAGAAAATGGTAGCGATATTGCAAATTTATTTGCTGATCAATTTTGTTCGGTGTACTCAGATAGTATTCTTATTAACCCTTGTACATTAACTTCTCCCAACAATAATTATTTGGTCATGTACTGTTTACGGAGCTTGACATTCGAAATGCAATAAAAAAACTAGACGGATTGAAGGGTGCAGGACCTGATTTGATCCCTCCCATATTTGTTAAGCTCTGTGGTCAATCGCTTGCGTTACCACTTTCCTTAATATTTAACCGTTCTATATCCGAAGGCAAATTTCCTGACGAGTGGAAGAAAGCTCGTATAGTACCAGTTTTTAAAAAAGGGGATCACGCAAATGTTTCTAACTACAGGCCAATATCCATACTCTCTTGTTTTTCAAAATTATTTGAATCTGTTCTGTATCCTTCAATTATAACATTAATAAATACTAGTATTTCTGATCATCAGCACGGATTTAGAAGCGGTCGCTCAATTTTGACAAATCTAGTTACCTTTATTTCAGACATATCTCAAGAAGTAGATGCTGGATCGCAAGTAGATGCAATATATACTGACTTTAGCTGTGCTTTCGATAAGGTCAATCATAAAGTTCTTTTACAAAAACTGCATGCCTATGGCATAGGGGGGGGCATTGTTAAACTGGTTCGAATCATATTTGCAACATAGACCACAAAGTGTGGTTATGAACGGATTTGAGTCACGAGCCTATTATGCGGTTTCTGGAGTGCCTCAAGGTTCCCACTTAGGACCAGTTCTCTTCCTTATTTTTATAAATGATATAAGTTCTAGTATTAAGCACTGCAAAATGTCACTATTTGCTGATGATCTTAAGATTTACCATCCAGTTAAATCAATCAGTGATTCCCAACTAATACAAGATGACCTTAATGCAATATTAGATTGGTGCAACGTAAACTGCATGAGGCTTAATGTTAATAAATGCTTTCACATCAAGTACACCAAAAAAAAACCACTTGTTCCTAAGTATGAGGTTGGCGGGGTTTATTTAGCAGAGGTCAATGAGATTCGTCATTTGGGCGTTATCATCGATACAGGGCTGACTTTTACATCGCATATTGACAAAACTGTAACTGAGGCAGCACAAATGCTTGGTTTTTTGAGGAGAAATAGCTCAGATTTTAAAAAACTAGATACCAAATTACTTCTGTACAATGCTCTTGTCCGCAGCATTCTCGAATTTGCGAGTACTGCATGGTCACCATGGTACGCTGTTCATTCCCAAAGAATTGAAAGCATTCAAAGAGCCTTTACCAGAAACCTTGCCTACTCTTGCAGTGGTTTTTCTCATAGGAGCCCGTATGACACACGGCTATCCAAGTTTAACATGACCACTCTTTCTAATCGCAGACGCATTTTTGACCTTTGTTTTCTTCATAAATTAATTAATAATAATATACAGTACAATTATTTATTAGAAAAAATATCAGTGAAGGTTCCTCACTCTTATCCCAGACATATAATAACTAAAATATTCCACACACAATTTTCAAGAACTAATTTAGGCCAACATTCACCAATAAATAGAGTCCTTAACCAATATAATAGTATCCAAACTCGTGATCCTGACATTGACATCTTTCGCCAATCGTATAATGAATTTAAAACTAAAATAACAAATGTTTTGTGTCCGTCTACCTTAACCCCAAACAAATGTGAATAAGATATAAAATAGATTTAGAGTAGTATTAATTCAAACAGTTTATTATTATTATTAAGTATCCTTCTTTAGTTAGTTTTTTTTTCTCGTTTGATTGTAATTAGTTTACTACTTTTTACACTACTACATTACAGTAAATGCTATGTACACCTTAATTGTCATACATATCAGGTATAATGCCACGTATTGTCAAAACTAGTTATAAGTATAATATGTATGATGTGGTAGTACTTATTAATAAATAAATAAATAAAACAAAGCAGTAAGTATCCATAATGTACTTACTTTTTTACCCGACTGTGCAAAGCCTAAGAAGATGTCTACCGATTCAAGAGCTTCGACGTAGTAACACAAACACCTTTAAAAGGATTTTTTTTGAGTTACTGAAAAACGCATTGTACAATCAGATTCCTTTGACAGGCCTGTTGGTCTAGTGGTTAGTAAGTATGACTGCTAAGCCGGAGGCCGTGGCTTCTATTCCTACCCAGGACAAATATTGTGATAAACACAAGCATTTGTTCTGTGTCTGGGTGTAATTTTTCAATAATATGTATCATCAACAGCCTATAACAGTCCACTGCTAGACATAGGCCTCTCGTAGCAAGGGGGTTTTGGCCTACTATACCATGTTGGCCAGACCAGAAAGTACTAGAAACCGTCCAGCGTAATCCGCGTTTCGGCACGCGAACTACTGCGAAGCTTCTGCAGCGTCACGGGACGTCTATATCACACTGGACTGTACACAAAATCCTTCGCCGGGACCGCCAACGGCCATATCGCATCCATAAAGTACAAGCGTTCGTGCCTGGGGATGAAAGCCGTCGTGTTTCTTATTGCACATGGTTGGCGAATCAGCAGCGGCATAATCCTACCTTTGTGTCACACGTGATTTGGACCGTCCACTTTTACCGCCGGAATTCTCAATCCACGTGAGTACCAACAGACGCGACATGAAACGCCGCATTGGTCCGTAAATGTTTGGGCGGTGATCTACAATAAAAAATTATCGGTCGCTTCTTTTTACCAGAGCGGATGAATGGGCATCGATATCTGAACTTTTTGCAGCGGGATCTAGTTGATACCCTACTAGAATTGGAGAATGACTTTGCTCATGAATGGGATCAAATGGAAGATGTTCCTATTGCCCGATTATCTAGAATTTAGTTCCAGCAAGACGGTGCCGCCGCAGATCGTGCGACCAGTGCGCGACCATTTGAATGAGATGTTCCCCCAAAGGTGGATTGGGAGATTTGGGCCTCGCCAGCATGTTCACCTGACCTGACACATTTAGACTTTTTTTCATGGGGATACATAAAAGACAAAATGTTCGTGACCCAAGTGTGACACTGCGGAAGAAATGCGATATCGCATAAAGGACGCGTTTCAGAAGCTAAATAGTGATATCGTAGAAGATCCCACGATGATGCCTCGCCCTTGTGAGCGAGTTGGAGGCGCATCTCATAAGAAGAGAGAGACCTTAAGGTACTGTGTAAACCTGGTGCTGATTTAATTTATTGTTATTTAAACTGTACTTAAATGATATCACTTAAAACATTGTCAAAAGGACAGACCTCGTATTCAAATAGATCGGTGCTAGAACTGAAATATCGTAAAAAATTCTGTGTGTGAGAAAAAAAACTGTATTTGTTAATTTATGTAACGAAATTCGTTTATGTGACGAAACGGTTGATTTACTACATAGTGAATTGAAGCACCATCGTCAAATGCGTAATATTTAAAATTAATTAATTTATGGTTAATTTTAGAAAGTTAGAAAATAATGCAGTTACAAAGGTAAGATTAATTATTTTTAAGCAGGTAAATTGGACTGAACCATTGTTTAGATTCCATAATACTAACGTGTAAATAATGTGTTTGGTTGCGTTTCAGCGACTTTTATCTATTAAGTTATGACACGAGGACCAACGACCTGAGTTTGTGACGTGCGAGCGTTCGTCAGCTGTACGCGCGCGAGTTACGATACTGCAGCGATAGATTACCTGTACATGGCGTAGCGCAAAATAAAACTAATCACTGTAAATCCTTTATCTTTCATTTTTATGATGAACTGACCTTTGCATAGTGATAAGTATGCCCAGAAAGACCTTTTAGTGAGATATATGAGACCTTGTGCTTTACACCCTGTACATCAAATAGTAAGTAGGGCACAAGTTTCTTTCTAAGCATAAAATTTTATAATATAGCTGTGAGTATAAGCTTTACTAGACAACCCCTTAAAACTTCAAGAGAAGGAACTCAACTCAAATTCAACTTCGAGAGAAGGATCAACACAATCATTTTTAGACACTGTTTATCATCAGGCAGGTCATATTATTACTAATACATCTAAGTATTTTAAATTGACATGACCTTATTTTAAAAGTATAAAAAAGTTATCATGCTTTTTAAATAGAAAGAAAATAAATTGATTTAACACAAAGGAAATGGATAAAGCTAGGTCATTATTCCATGGTTAACTCATATAGGTGAGAGATATGCTGTTTGCTGTTCAAGAGAACATAGGACCTGGAGTGACAGGTAATGAGACGTTTTTATTGACAAGTGTTAAATCTACTTGGCTACTGCACTTTGATAAACAATTTATGCTTACTTTTGTTCTTATCATCCTTGGAGCTGCCAGCAGAGGGGGCACTGCTGCTTTCTTTGGATTCTTTCTTGTCCTGTTTCTTAAAAGCTGTGTCTTCTGAAGAGGATTGTTCATTCTGAAATGTAATGACCTTATAAGTACACTTTACTTTTTCTTTTAAACTTTTCAATTTCAGTGCCAGTCGTGACAAGTTCAATGGACTGTAAATTCTTGTAATCAAGTTATGTTTGTTGGAACCTGTGACAGACCATAAATCATAATTAGAACATACATGTCTAAACAATGCCACGCAGGTAATAATCATAATATAATATTATCTTTTTTTATGTTAGAGGGGGCAGACGAACAGACGGGTCACCTGATGGAGTGTGACCATCGGCGCCCGTGATCGTCTCAGGAGTCACAAACGCTTTGCCGGCCTTTTAGGAAGGAGTACGCTCACATAATATCTTACATATGACTGTCTGATGTACTATGTACTATTGTAACTAGACTGCAGATACACTTACTTATATATTTCTAAATACATACATATTATAGATAAATGACACCCAGACACAGAACAAATGACCATGCGCATCACACTATTATTTGTCCTGGGTGGGAATTGAACCCACGACCTCTGGCTTAGCAGCCAGGGTCACTAACCACTAGAACAATGGGCTAGTCAAATTATTATTACAAAGACAGGTAGGCAGTTGAAACAACTGATAAAAGCCTGTATCCTGAGAGATTCCTATTAGTTATCCTTCTTGGATTCAATTACATATCTGTCAAGTTGTTTTTTTTCTAATTCTATGGCAAAATATTTTAACATATAAATGTGACTTAATTTGTTAACTTACTACATTTTAGTGTCAATATTAAGCATCTTTATTTCTTTTACAAATATATCAACTTACATGGCAACATGATCACACAAGAATAATCTACTAGTTGTACTCGTTAGTTGTCCTAAATACATACTAATAAATGCGAAGTTTCTGTCTGTCTTTTACCTCTTCACGCTTAAACTAATAAACCGATTTAGAAGAAATTCGGTATAGAGATAGTCCGAGTCCCGTGAAAGGACATGGGATAGTTTTTATCATATTTTAAGGGGGTGAAAGGTGAAATTTGGTAAAGAGATACTTAGATTCTTGAGGAGAGACATATGCAACATTTACGCGGGCGGAGCCGCAAAGCTAGTAACTAAATAAATCGTTCCTTCGTTTACTGGTTAGTTTTCGATTCCTTTCTCTAAGATGCAAACCCTCTAACCAATATACCAAAAAGTAGTCGAAGCTAGAGACAAGCTAGAGAATGACATATCTAAATTCTAAAAACAGGAGTATTCAGTTTAAAGGAGTATGAGACTATGTAGTTAAATCAATTACCGATATGATCATAAAATAAGTATAAGACAGACCTGCTGAACGACAGATTGACCAACATATAAATTAGTGGAGTGGACTTACGTCAGTTTCATAGTGCTTAGAGCAGATGTGCAGCATTTGTTGCACAACGAGCACGTCACCGGTGCCGGCGTAGGCACACATGGACAGCGTGGTCTGGCACAGCGACTGCTGCGGCTCCGGCAGCACCTCCAGCGCCGCCATCGTCGCCTCCGTGCGCTCCTTGCAGCCTGCGGGGAGGGAGGGGGACAGAGGTATATATCGGTAAATGGGTTTGTTCACACAAATCACGAATGTAATTATATCATATTTTGTGAGCTTATTTTTATTTTATTTATTAAAAAAAAGATGTAATAGACATTATTATCACGTAACCAATGATTCTAACTAAATCATTTGGCTTTAACGATTTTTATTGTATTTTTTGCACTAAATAAAACAGACCTACTACAAAATAAAAGGTGTTCTGCTTGTCAACAATCCTACTTATTGGGGACTTATTTCGTCATCTACGCTACAACTTATCTTCACAGTCTATTCACTGGCAAAACTTTCGTAGTGATTCGTAAATTACAAAGTATCTATAGTAGTGCCATCAAACAAATGTAATAAGTTTATGTAAATGTAGTAATATAGAATAAAAAGGTTGAGGAAAGGTCTTATTCAAACACAAATTAGAGAGGGTATATGTATGAGTAAATTTTCACCTAAGAAGCACAATCCAAGTCCCAAATGCAAGAATCTTGCATAGGTGGATGAGTGTAAATCCTTGTTGTCATCGATTAGACGTTGAATAATTGAACAGGTTACCTGAAAATAAGGTAAAATGAGATGACAAAACTCAATGGTAAATCTGTCTATCATATTCATAATTTACTTCAACATAAGAAAAAACACACATGTAAATTTTCCCAAATTGATCAAGCAGTCGAATCTTATTTTCAGAAAATGCGTTCTCGGTTTTCAATTCTGTGTATTTATCGCAGTAACATAGTCATGTCTCCCTAGTAGTTGAAAGCGATTCATAAATCCACACTTATATTAAAAATGTGAAAGTGAGTTTGTTTATTTATTACTATTTCACGCCTAAATTGCTTAACCATTTAAAAAATTCTTTCACCAATGAAAAGCTACATAACCAGCGAATACCTACTTTTTACCGTGATAACCGACATACACGCGGGCGGAGCTACGGGCAAAACTAGTAGGATATATTTTTCTCAATTTTCGAATCTAATCTCTGATCTACAAGAATTCTTTGCTTGTCTTTCTAACCGTATCTTCTACGAATTACCCATTAACTGAATCACATATCTAAATTAAATCTATCTTGTTAAGTCCCCAGGTTTCAGTTCCAGATTTTTTTAATCGATAAACAAATACGTCTAGATGTGGTTTGTCTGGAACATACATTAAGTTGATAAAAGTGCACTTACGTCCCCATTGCAGGAGCCAACAGCGATGAGACCACAGGACACCGCAGCGAGCGCGCAGATCTCGGGCGGAGCCGTTGTGTCACTCAACACGGGAAGCAGGTGCGACAAAACATCTTCACGTTGCGTACCCGCATATGCGATACCCAGTCCTGTTATTGATTAATTTTATAATATTTAGTAAATGATGTACTCCTTATTTAAATGTTTTAATGTTTCTTTACGACATAAAATTAAGATCGGGAACTCGGGGATTTTTTTAAAGAAAATATATGTATTTCAATGTTTTTATCATGTTAATTTCTAATTGGGTAAGTACGCCACGAAAAGCTCCAGCGCCCACTAGAGGGCGGCACAGGCGTACGGGCGTTGGGAATCTATAGTGTACCAGAAACGATTTACCAACAATGGATCTTCGACGATATGATATTACTTATGTGCCTATAGATCTTGTAGCACAATTTACCCAATATGAGAGTAGAGGACAAAAAAGTAAATGTTATAAGAATGAAAACCGATAACGATCAATTACGTGATAAAAATGTAGTATAATGATTTATCTATTTCTTTTTCTATTTGCCTACCTCGCCGGTGCAGTGGTAACGTATGCGGCTGCTGAGCTGAGGTCTCGGGTTCGAATTCCAGGTCGGACCGAATGTTTGTATGATCCGCAAATATTTGTTTAGGTGTTTGGGTGTTTCTATGTATAATATGTATGTATTTACAAAAAAAAAGTATTTTAGTATTCTATCAGTCAATCTAGCTTTCGTAGTAAAAGCTCTGATTAGTTTGAAACTAGATCGCGTTGTGTGTCAAATGTCCGAAATATTATTTATTTATCTGGGCGATACAGACTTCAAAGTTTTTGAAGTGAACGATTAACGCCAATTAAAAATGAGGCAGCATTTTTAGTAAATTTGAAATTTATGATAAACAAACAAAAATAAGTTACGTCAGTTATATACTAACCTAGAACACTACCAATCCTGAGATTTGAACTTGAGTGGAGCACATAGTCAGAGAGCAACGCCAAAGCTGGATCACACTCATTCCTGACTCCACAGTTGACCAGTCCTAGGGCGAGTAACGCACCCGCCTTGATGTGTTCATCGGTGGTGTACAGATACTTGTCGATTGGGGTTAGACCGCCGTCCACGTCCCATAAATGAATCATACCTAACGAGGCTGCTGCTGACAACATTCCTAAAAAAAAATTACAATGAAAATCTGACAGACAACTTCTTTTCATACTTTTTAAACCATAATAAATAAGTAAGACACATCATCATCTCATATTTCATTAAAGTTTGAAACCAAGCAAAGAATATAAAAAATAGAAGTGCCAATATTATAAATATATTCATTCTGTAGGTGTCGTAAGCGCCGACTAAGGAAGCAAACTATGTAGGACAACAGCACTGCAAAGAGAAGGAAAACTTGCCACAAGCTCTATACTAGTCAGTCTGGCCAGAGTGCTATAGTAAATTAACAACTTTTACTAGCTTTTGATGGTATCAATCACATGAAGGCATAACAAACACGTGTTTATGACAGGCCTGTTGGTCTAATGGTTAGTGACCCATCATTTGTTCTGTCTGGGTGAAATTTATCTATAATATGTATGTATGTTTATCAGCAATCTGGTTACCATAGCACAGGCTCCACCTAGTTTGGGATCAGACGGCCGTGTGTGAGATGTGTGAGGTGTATTAATGTTATTTCGATCGTTATTTTGTCGACAATATTTACGTAATAATATTAGTTAGGATTAGGATTTGATTATATATGCCACTCATAAAATTTATTAAAATACATTGTTACCATGATCTTTATTCTTGTACATCCATTTGTTTCCATCTTCAGTGGTCACTAGTTTATCGCGTCCAAAACCAGCATTAACAAACGCATTCACGAATGTAGCTGAAAGATTTTGCCTTGCAGAATCGACTGGGTGTTCCGTCAAAAGAGATGGCCGCAAAGCTGACCCAGCAGACTCCAACCAAGTTTTGTAAACTTCTTCGGGAGTTTTGGGCTCCATTATATCAAGCTATAAGATTTTTAATAACTGATTAATGAAAAGAAAGAAATAGGACAAACGAAAATTGTATTTTTAATTGTAAGAAAAACATCTGATGGGAAGAAATTCAAGTTAATTGTTTTATCAGAACTAAAATAAACATAAACACGGAATACGGCATTTGTATAGTTTAAAAGCCAAAAGTAAATGCAATATCATATGCTATGTGCTATTGTTAGCCAGGTATAGATTACTTTTAGAGTGGTAACTTAAGCTTCGTTAATATGTATCCTATTTTCGAGTCTATAGCTAAGAGAGGTTTGTGAAATCTTAAACTTTGTCCAAAATGAAGGTTTGTTGGTTCTTCACGACAAGGCCAAATCTATTGCTTACACGACATTGGTAACAAGTACAACAATTCTGGTGTTTTAAGTTTGTTATAGGTATACATGTTTTTAGCGTTACTTACTTCTCTGCCCAAGCTGAGAAAATGATCATTAATATGCGCGTTAAGAAGAATAGTACGTAAATCTTCATCGTCTACCTCTAAGGGTATATATTGACGAGCAAGCATGTAGCACAGTTGTTTTTTGATCAATCTGCAAAAGAATATATATTTTAGTTCATTATATAATCAAAAGTTTATAATGCAAAAAGAAAAGGCAGTGATTGCATGTATTCATATACTTACGGATCAGTGCAGGCATTAAAAACTTCTTCACACTTGGCTTTGTCATGAAGTTGCATGGCCACCAACAAAGCACGAGGGTATTCTCCAAAACGTATGTATGTGTCAAGAACGCCTTGCAGAATCTGAGTGGACTCAGGTTCTACTACATAACTAGCACATCTGTAACAGAGCACAATATGAATCAAATGTATGCACAAAAAAAAGTACAGATTGATTGTAAATGAAAAGGCACAGTGAGTATTAAACTTAGGCGATTATCACACTGCACAGCATTTCGTTGTAAAGACTCCATGGACAATCTAATCTAAGAGGTACCATTTGACATTTCATTCTTTTCAAGCCGAAACAACTTTGCATTGGTTACTAACTCACACAATTCTATTAAACTTTTTCATAAAACCATATGTGTATTAAACTCTAATAGTGAGTCAACTCTCTTGATAGACCGCTAAATAGCGACAAGGCTGTCTCGAATAAAAATGTGCAAGGGTTGTGACAAAAGCGATCATGATGATGAGCATGATATAATCATGGTGGCTAGGGAAAAATAGTACTTGGCAATTATTATTTTTTATGGAAGAGTGATGTGTAATTGTGATTGTTGAACTACTGATTGCCTGCACTTTCATCTACCTTTAAGGTCACTACTCTGTTCCTAGGAGTTGTAGTAGGACATATAAACTATTTGAATGAATACTCTATCCACTGCAAATAGACTTACTGAAATCTGACTGCTCACTTTAGAAAATCATTAGTGTTTATGCAAGTAAACAATAAAACTAGAAACTCTTCACATTACACTACAAATTAGTATAAATTTTCTTACCCAATCAAATAGAGACACACTCTTGGATAATTACTCTGGTCCATATGCTGAGTGAGGAGGTCGAGGCGGTCTATCTCCATCAAAAGATCACAAGCTTGGATCTCAGCTGAATGTTTCATATCAAACGAAATCACATCTCTGACCAAAGGCAGCAGGGAATCCATATTATCTATGTTCCATTCTTCAGCTATCTCACCTTCCAGTTGCCTAGTTATGAATATGAATATAATTTTATATTAATTAGCACTGTATAATGTGACAGAACTGTTTACCATTAATAAGGTTGGCACTGATCCAAAGTAGATAAATTAGATTTCTATTCAGTGCAAATATTTAAATGTATAAATATCATCGCCTAAGTTCTAACACTGCGGATTTCAAAATATGCAACTTTTTCGGGAGAGAAAATTACAATATGTTTCATTCATGTAGAAACAGCTAAATAAAAAACAAAATGACTTAATCTATTTCTTTTAGCCGTATTATTACCATATTTTATTAGAAATATGTGGAACTTACAATAAACAAAAATATTGAAACACTATTAAATCTTGAAGTTTAAATACAATTTCTTTAAAACTAAATTGTATTTAAACATTTTTGACAGGTGTTATACCTGATAGCCTTATCATTAAATGCACTTTGTGTAACAATCTATAAAAAAAAACAAAATCCGTAACAATTTTAAATTCTTATAGAATAATCAGTCTTCTATGTTATACCAGTGTTCAGTCTCAGAGAATCATCACTAAATACAATTAAAACTAAAAAACTGTATTTAAATCTATACAAATATTATAAAGCCGAAGAGTTTGTTTGTTTGTTTGAACGCGCTAATCTCAGGAACTACTGGTCCGATTTGAAAAATTCTTTCAGTGTTAGATGGCCCATTTATCGAGGAAGGCTATAGGCTATAGACCAATAGGAGCGGAGCACCAATGAAGAATGTTTCAAAAACGGAGAAAATTTATTACTATTGAGAGACGCAGACGAAGTTGCGCGGGTCAGCTAGTATTATATAAAATTATTATTGCTATATGTTATAGCATCGTAAAAGTTGTGACAGTCAAAAGGGATGACTGCCTTTAACTCTTGTAGATGTTTCCATTTATTTTACTACTATAAAGTTTATGCCTTGGGCCTTGTCGCTTTTGGTTTAGCTTACATCTTCGAGATAATTCTTTGTACTCATAGCCAAAGTTTAATTTATATCTAATTATACCAGGGGGACTATACTCCAATGCTTTTATATCTGTCACTGTAGGATTCATACAGAAATTGCTTTTTATTGAAGTAATCATCAAAAAAATCATAATTTGAAAGTTGACTTGAAGGTTCTTTAGGTCTAGCTTCTTTCGAAATCGCTGCGTACTGTGAGGCAAATAAATTTCCTTATTTTTAATTTTGACTTTGTATTTCCATTGATACTTATAATAGCATTGGATAATTTAGCGTTTCTTTTTTGTTTCTTCCACCTGAGAATCGGCATAAGTTTTTCTTGAAGGGTTTTCTTCAGACAATCAATGATACACAATACAAAAATCGAGGCCACCAAATCTGCATTTTGTTCATCAAGCCAGTAGCAATAAACGTCTTTGGTAACTAGATTATATAAAGTGAAATTGTGTACACACAATTTAGTTTTATAATATAATGAGCTAGCATCTAACTTAGGACACAACTTTACAGATTCGAGATCATGAGCAAATAAATGTACTTCTTCCGCCAGTGCTCGTGTCTTGTTCTTGGTCTTCTCTTCTCTAGCTAAATCTTTAAGAATAATGTGGTTTCGGTAGGTACTTTCATTTAGGTTCTTCTTTTCTTTCATTAAGATCTTTCTTCAGTTGAAATAACTCAGATTTTGTTCTGTAAATATTCTATCAAAAGATCAGCGGCTGACAGCTTGTTTATTTTCTTCAGTACTCCTTTTGTAATAAAGGTTGTAAATAATAGGCTCTAAATATTGTTTAATTGTAGAAGCTCTACAATACTGAGAGTACAATTTAGGTGTTGTCTTAAAAAAAACCTTTAGGAAAGAAATATTGTCATTTTTTGAGTGACCCGCTAAAACTTTGTAAGTAAGCTGCAACTTTTTTGCTATCCCATAATCCGATGTTGATAACCAGAGCACTTGTCGCGATGCGTTAAATAATGGAATAACACTAGTTACGCGCTGTTGCTGTAGCTTTCTGTACAACACTGACACACACGGTGTTTTTCTTTTATCTAAGTCTAATTATTGATTCAAACTCTTGTGTTTGAAACAATTATATGCACAACATAATTTGAAAAAAAATTGACTTCTGTGGTGTTAGAACTTAAGAGATGATATGTCTATTTGCATTGGTCTGAATGTTTGTGTTTATAATATAAATTGTATGTGTTTATAAATTTATTGTTTAACCATGATCTAGAACCAATAGTACAAGCTCTACTTAGATTGGATCTAGAAAAAGCTGGTATATTCATATTTACATATGGATTAGTGTTATATCTATAGATTAACTTCCTTTCTTCACAAACCACTATGTATGTCTTTATCATACTTTTATTACTTTGTAATCCTATGCAACATCCAACTGATAGCTAGGTGCATTAAATCTACACCTTCAGGAAAGGTTTACTGTAGTATCTCATTTGGTACACAAATTATAAAAAAAAAAGCTTATTGTTAGGTTTAGTGAAAAATAATAATATAAGTTTAGAATTGAAATCAATATTAATATTAATTATGATATATGCATAACTTAACTCTTCATTAAAATATATTAAAGACACTTATTTTTCTGGTATTTGTATACTTTAAGTATTAACAATTTGAAAATGCAGTGAAATATTCTTGAAATAACATTTAATTAAAGTTTCATGTTGGCACTTAGTATCAATTATTATTATTCTTTACATATACATTATCAAGTAAAATATGACTAAAACAAAACATATATACACACCTGACATATTCATGTCCCCAGTCACCAACATTTGACATTGTTCCTAACAGACAATACTTCAGGCATTCTCTTTTTTCAGCAGCATCCTAAGCAAAACATAAATTTATTTAATTTATTTAAAGGCAATTAATGTTTACTTGTAGAAACAGTATAGTATACTTACAACTGCGGTACTGACTCCCATAGCCAAAACAGATACAACATCAGCACAGAACTTTTTAGTTTGTGCACTATCAATTTTCTCATACACTTGCTTCAAGGCTGGATAATGCTCCCGCAGAAACTTCAGTGGTTTTGGTACTGACGTCATCGATGTAGTAGATGTTCTTATAAGCTTGCTAAGCATTTGTAAGGCTGGTAAATACAGGTCTACATCGCTACCCTGGTCACAAAATACCGAAATAGGTTAGAACTGTTTGATAAATTAAAAACAAATCAATACTCATACATACCAATAATACATACCAGCAACTTATCAACCAACATATTAAGTTCCTCTTGCAAACGCTTGTCTTCTTCAGACTGTAATATGATGAAATAAAAAAATAATTATAAATGAACAATAGATTTAATGGATACATCGATAGAAATGAGAAAATATACAGACCAAATCATCATTAGGAGCTGCTGCTGGTTCAACTTTCTCCTTTTTCGGATCTTCGGTCTTATTTTTGACAGTCATTTTGAGTTATTTTGAAAATTATCTCCCTTAAATTATACAAGAAACAATACAACTCACAGTAATATTTTAGCTTTCAGTGATTTTACAAAATTTGACAAGTCACTACGGCATTGGGTGGGTTACACATGGAAAAAAATATAAGTTTACCAAAAAGTCATGAACAGAGTTTAACGAGCAGAGGGACGTTTTTCAAATGTTAAAGTTTATTTTAATGCTTATTAAAATATTAATACACTGAGGATAAATTATTTAAATAATAAAGAATCTTGTTGATAATATCCTTAACTCACGTGTTTATAATACGTTATCGACTGGCGTTAGTAATAATATAATAGTAGTAGTATTATTTTAATATTTGAGGAGGCAACTTCAAACGTGTATTCTTTGGTATTCTTATTAGAATTATAGCAGGGGAGCCCATGATGCTAAATGGGGATTTGCGTCATGCGAACTTATTACATTTGAAAGATTAGGTACTAGAATGATTAAAAGTAATACAATGTTTTCACTTTCAGCGGTGGACTAAGCTTATACAGGTTTTCAAAAATGTAAGGAGAGGAAATCGAAAAAAATATTCGTGCGCCTCAGATTTTTTTTCTGCTAATATAAATATCAATGTAAAATGTATTGTTTGCCTCCCTTAAAGATCATAAAGAGCGGATTCCACTGGTAGCGAAATAGACCCGTTAAGGACACCGTTTAATTGGCAAGAGTAAGTTGCACACTTGTATTTCCACCAAAAAATAGTCACGTATCCGTCCCGTGCGGGAACGGGCCATAGTAATTACGGGTTCCTTCAACTTGCAATGACGAATTACATAGTAACATGTCTACTCAGAAAGATGTAAGCGCGGCGGATCGAACAAGTACAAAGTGGTTGAAACGACTAACGAGTCTTTTAGGGCAAGTCAGGATATAATTCTTTGTAAGTGCAAATGTAAACCAAACTTATTTAAAAGGAGTATGTCCCGTCTAACCGCTCATTAATCTTTAGCGGTGGAAACCCGGCGATTTGTGATGATATTCGTTACTGACGAATGCCAAAACAACATGGTGCTAACCGTATTATACATTTTTAAAATTAAGCATGAATATGCAATGCATTGGCATTCAGATATATTTTTGCTACAACTATAGCTATACTGCTCTATGCAATGAATAATACATTTTTAAGTACTTCTTTTATACATTTATAAAAAAGTGAGATCCACGGTCTGGTAGGCTCTTTGATTAACACAAGTAGGTAGGTTCTGTATAACTATGTAGATCTAATACTGTTTAAATTACTTAGTCATTTTAATATGTAATTGTAAACAAAATTGCAATATGACACTAATATAAACTGAGAAACTGTACACCGTGCTATTATTCATTATGCCCTATCTGACGGTTTACAAATTTATCTACTGCAAAAAATATTTAGATTTATATCCAATGGCTACATCATGTATGTATAATCCACTTATATTACCATTTCAATGCCTTTTTCTGAGAACAACAGCGCGCCGGGTAACGGTTCTAAGCGTTTTATGATAACGTTGTAGTTTGTACCAAGACGTGAACAGACACAGTTGTAACTGCGGGATATATACATATTATAAACAACTAAATTCAGTTCATATTTATCCCGATTTAAAACTAATTATTAGGTCATTTTATGAAGACATCGGTAAGTATGTAGTTCTAATATTAATTGCCGTCAGGCCTTCCTGAGAGTATAAATGAAACATTAATAGGCTTGTTGAAGCCGTTGACGTTATGTTGTACCTACTAAATTGTTACCTGAAATATGGATCACATCGTAATTTTTTGCCGATTCATCAATTCGTTGACGGCGAGTGGTCAAAATGTACCTTTTTTTGTTAAGAATTTTTAAATTAAATATATATAAGTATATTTTTCCATTAAAATTATGAAGAGATCCATTTGAAATGTGTTGGATTTTCTCACTTATGGAATCAGATCAGTCTAAAGTTCGTTATTTTCTAATATTTAATTAATTTATTTTCAATCTTTATACGTGCGCGTTACTCCAGCAAAATAATGTCAAACTTAAATTATACCAGTAGGTATCTATAACAGATAATTTATTGCACAACTTCTGTAATTGTTGCGCTCATTTTTTGCATTTACCTAATAGTTTGCCGAAGTCAGACATTTTCATTTTTAATCGGAATATTGAAATAAATATTAGCCTTATAATTAGTTGTCTAGACGAGGTAAATGTTGCAACTTGTTTTGTATTTGTTCTTTCTTCGACTGTAAAGATATTCGAAATCTTGCTGTAGTAACTGACTCGAGCGGGAGGTACTCCAAGGGCGGCAACGAACTTGTGACTTTTGAGTTGCAGATGTCCATGGGCGGCGGTAGTTGCTTAACATCAGGTGACCCGTCTGCTAGTTTGACCCTTATACGAATAAAAAAAGTAACATTTGTGGTTTTACTGGATCTTTAAAACTGTTGAGCGGAACACTTCTAAGAATTACATTTAATTCGTTTTTGAATATAAAAAACATAAATAGTGCACCGTTTAAAGGTTAATTAATTAAACATAAAAACGCTCAATAGGTCAAAACTTTTTGAATAACAAATGTCCCGGTCGGCTACTCCGCAGTTATGGCAGCCCTATATTAGAGGGGACTGGCGCTCGACGGCCGCTAAATGTTAGTCTCAGACGGGTTGATAAATTCAAACTTTTTTTTTCAATTTACATTTATATTTATTCTGAATTCGAAACGACATTCTTCCTTGCCTATCTAACGTAGGTAGAACATTAACTAGATTGATGTAGTTGAAATCTTTTGAAAAAAATCTGTGTTTCAGATATTAATCATGCACCAAATAAAACGAATCCCAATCCATAAAAAAATATTTAACAAGGCATTTGCATCCAATTTTGTGGAATGTTCCTTAACATTAGATGACATTCCTTATAGAAGAACATTTCCCGTGATCGGCACCAAATTGGAATTTATTGCATCAGGTAGTGGCACTAAGTGAGTAATATTTTTACATTTATTTAAGACTAGCTTTTGTAAGCGGCTTCTTGTAAAAGTTGTATTTCTATATTGTAGGAACAGTAGTTTTTCTTGGATGAAAGGATACAATACGATGTGAAGCGTACGTGCCTTGTCAAGAAATATATGTAGATATAGAGTAGATATGCTGATGTATCTCTCTAGATTCAAATAGGCGATAATCTGAAGATTTAAGATCTTCTATTTAAATGGCAATATTATCAAAAAACAGCCTAACAATTTTAATCAATTAAAATTGTTAGGTGTTGTCAGATTCTTTATTAATTTTTAGTCTTAGATGAAATATAGATATTTACCTTCTACGTATTTTACCTACCTACCCTTTTAGCTTATATAAAATTAATAAGACCCATTCGACATTGGCGAACCACGGGCAAAACACAAGTTTTTTTTTTGCTTTTCATAAAAGGTTTTAATGCAAAATATTTTAAAATAATACATAAAGATGCCTTTTATGTACGTTTATATGTTACAGACTCCATGAATATATAGATCACCGTCATAAGCAATTGGGTCCAGTTTTTCGGGAAAAATTAGGCGGTGATGCAGATTTAGTTTTTGTTAGTGATCCTTTGCTAATAAGGACTCTTTTACTTAATCTAGAAGGGAAGTATCCAGCACATATATTACCCGAACCATGGGTATTATATGAAAATCTGTATGGATCTAAAAGAGGATTATTTTTTATGAACGGTGAAGAATGGTTAGAAAATAGACGCATTATGAATAAACATTTATTGAAAGAAGGGTCTGAAACATTGTTAGAAGGCCCAGTGAAAACAACAGTACGAAAATTTATACAGAAGATGAAATATGCTACTGAATCTGGTACCTTCGTTCCTAACTTAGAATCAGAATTTTATAGATTATCTATAGACGGTACGTATATATATATTATATACATTTTAAGTGGTTCTATTTTTTTTTAAATAACAATGAGAATTGTTCAACTGTACATTATACTATAAATTACAAGTATGTAAGTTCATCAGATAGGTATTGCATTATATTGTTCAGAGCCTAAAGCGGAACGAGATTGCATTGGACTTTTCTACCCACTAAAAATGCAGTTTGTCAGACATCCGACAGCCGCAGAGGTTTCCTAAAACCTTAGCGTTAAGAAGTTCATTTTCAGTTAGTTCAATTTCAATGATGACCCTTTGCGGATATGGAATTGTAAAAAAGAGATTCTGAATCTGGACTAATGTGTCATGTTTTACGAGCGAATGAAAAATTTATAACTTTTTTCTGTGACTCGTAGACCAAATATACTTGTTCGCAAATGTCATTACGTTATCGGCAGAATTCCAAAATAATCATCACTGCATTGGCCTACAATGCACTGTCAAATGCATTTCTAGATTTCTAATATTATTTATCAATATTTCTTTCAGTTATTGTTGCTGTAATCTTGGGCAATAATTCAACCATAAAGCCTAATAAGGATTGTGAAGCCCTTTTGACTAACTTTTCTGAATCAGTCAAGAAAATTTTTCAAACAACAACTACACTGTATGGACTACCACTACATTTATGTCAAAAATTTAATTTAAAAGTCTGGAGAGATTTCAAAGAATCAGTAGATATTTCCTTGTCCTTAGGTACAGAATTTTAGAAAAAGTTACTATTTTAATTGAAACTATGAAGATATTGCATCATTGTAAAATGTTTCAGCTCATAAAATAGTTGATGAGGTATTAAGTAATCGACACCACAGCAATGGATTGGTAAAAATGCTATCCGATGAAAAAGTAAGTGACGAAAATATAAAAAAAATCATCGGAGATTTCGTGATCGCCGCTGCAGATACGGTAAGGAAATACCGTTCTTTTGATATAACCCTTCCTCCTAATATTTTATACAAATTTTGATTTTCAGACTGCTTACACGTCTTTGTGGACATTGTTTCTTTTGTCAAACCAAGAGAACACGAAGGCTGAAATACGCTCTAGAGACAAAAATTATGTCAATTATATACTTAAGGAATCTATGAGATTGTATCCTGTAGCTCCTTTTTTGACAAGAATATTGCCAACGGAAAGTGTGCTGGGATCCTACAAACTTATAGCTGGTGTAAGTACTAACATGTCCATTATTGTTTTCTTGCTTACTTGGGGTTTCTTGGGTTTTCTACTTATAAGCGAGGGTAACCAGGACCTGCATGGGAGTAAAATACTAATATTTTATGCCACAGTGTTTTCAAATTATGCATTTTAAACATAAATATGTATGTCAGCCAAAATGTCAACTGAAGAAAGATTTACATAATGCATGATAAATTATCCTATATAAAAAAAGAATAACCGACTTTAACGTTCAAATTCTGATAGGATTTCAAATAAGAAAAACATGCATTCATCATTCCCTTTTATATAAACTTTAAAAATGGCCATCTTCGACTAATCGGCACATAACATCAGCATTGGTAAAATAAAAAGGTCGTGATAAATTGAATAAAAAAAAAATTATTTGAATAAGGTTGCCTTACCTTGAAGTCTATGTCCGACTTGCTTACATGTTCAACAAGGGCCAACCTAATTTCATGCTTTGCAAGTAATATGTGTGTTCCTGTAGCCTGGTTGTGACACCTTTCGTACTAGTCTCTCCTACGTAGTCACATAGGATCGAGCACAGCTACACCTTGAGTGCCCAATGGATCAACATCCATTGGAGCGCAGTAATCATCTTAGATACCACTATGTAGCCCCATACTAGCACATCACAATATCTAAATATAAATCATTAAAAAGCATAGGCTTTTCTACTCTTGAACATGGCACTTGTGCTTGCTAGTGGAATAACATATTTTTTTAGGAAAGTACCTACACCCAATTTTCGGCGTGAGAAAATCTTACCCTCCGGGTATAATGTAAAGTCGTATACTGTTCTTGTACCGATTTAACCTTTTTGAAATACGTTCACTGAGTCATACTTGTTGGGGTCTAAAGAAAAAAATATTTTAAACTGCAACAGACTTGGCCTTGGTCGTGGTAACGTACGTTATCCTCAGAGTGGATCGCACGGAATAGGTCACTTTGCCTGAGTCGGTCCTATGTCCACTGCCCCGAGATTGTTGTTTGATCTTTATTTTTTTTGGTATTAGGGGGCCAACGAGTAGACGGGTCACCTGATAATAAGCAACTACCGCCGCCCATGGACACCTGCAGCTGCACACTGCACCTGAACTGCAAAAGTCACAAATGCGTTGGAGCCTGGATTTGGGCTCCGGTAACCTCACTTACTCAGTGAAAGGCAACGAAAGAATTGCTTAATACCGGTTTTCTGTGAGGCCGTGGTATCCCTCCGGTCGAACCGGCCCATTCATGCCGAAGCATTGCGTTTGATCGTGTTGCATTTTTCAGCACCATCTGCGTATTTTGCGAAACAGGATAGTACTCGTCCTCTCCCGTTCCTTTTCCACAGCCCCTTTGGCTAATATAAACTTTTTAAAAATGAGAATGAACGTTTCGGACCATGACCTGAACCCTCGAAACATTCATAATCGACAGCCGTCACGCGGTCAAAGCAGTGCGCTCGAACAGTTCATTAAATGTATATCTGACATCCAAAAAGTATGGACATAAAAAAATTACTCTTCTGAACTTAATAAGTGATTGGTCTACCATTCAAAATTTGATCCACTATTTTGCAACCTGTAAAGTTTAATTATCTTGACATCAAGTAGGTTATATTGTTTTAATGGGTTTTGTGTGTTGGAATAACGAATTCCTAAATAAACGTGTTGAGTTCGGTTCCCTGTTTTGCCACTTTCCAGGTTTGCAATGTTTGTTTGTCTATGTCTATCTTTAAGGTCATGTTTATCTATTTACTAAAATCCAACTTGACTTTGGATTAGTCTCCCACACACAAACAGTGAAAGCCTATTTTGTCACCCAGAGTCAGAGGTTTATTTTCACTAGAAAAATTAACCGATACCCTGTTCCAAAGTCTTGTTTATCCCTCATCAAAATTCATCATAATCAGTCCAGACGTTAAGCCTAACAGAAAAACAGACTCACATACAGCACCTTTAAAGAAAAAAACCTTTTCAGTTTTGATGAAAAGGATATCTAATCATTATAATAAGACGTTTTTCTAGAAATATCATTGTTAGTAAAATGAAATTACTACACAAATTCTAAACTAGCTATGGTATTTTTATCATTTTAGTTGCGTACTACACCTATTTTATCTTGTGTCTTTGTTGTCATTCAACTGTCAAATACTGACATTTAATAGTAGAGGTTATAACTTAGAATATTTCAGAAATAGTTGTACCTATTTGTTAAGATGTTAAATATATCAATAGAAATGTTCTGTCGCAAACATATTTCCAGTGTTCACACTATACGTAAATATAGTGCAATTTGTGGCAATTATTATAAAGATGTCAATAACGTTGTAAGTTCTAAACATATACATAAACCCAATACTTTGAAACATTTACCTAGAAGAAATATATCCACGGAAGGTATCTTGAAATGGCAAGAACAAACTTATCAAAGTATATCAAATAGTTCTCCTGTAAATTTGATACAAGATGGATTGCTATACATTCACGATATAACGGGGTTACCATGGTGGGCTACAATAGTCGCATCCACGATAGTTATAAGAACGGGCATGACTCTACCATTAACAGTGTATCAAAACTATATATTAGCCAAAGTGGAGAATATAAGTTTAGAACTCAAAGATATGGTTAATGAATTAAAAAGGGAGACTGCAATTGCAAAAAAGGCCTACAATTTAACAGACAGACAAGCCACAATTTTATTCAAAAGGTCATTGAAAAAGCAGTGGCAAAATTTAATAGTAAGAGATAATTGTCATCCACTGAAAGCAACTTTACTTATATGGTTTCAAATACCAGTTTGGGTATGCATGTCATTTGCATTGCGAAATTTAGTTTACATCGCTAATGGAGATCCGGCAGCTATGGTTACTTTTATGGAATTATCTGCTGGTGGAATAGGCTGGATACCTAACTTAACTGAACCAGATCACTCATGGATTCTGCCAGTTGCATTTGGATTAACAAATTTGACTATTATTGAAATACAAAGGTTATCTAAACTTAGACAGCCATCAAAATTATATAATATTTTTACAAATGTATTTAGAGTATTTACAATTGTTATGATTCCTATAGCAGCTAATGTACCTTCATGTATGTGCTTGTACTGGATGACATCAAGTGGTATTGGTTTAGTTCAAAACTTGGCACTGCTCTCGCCATCACTAAGGAGGAAATTAAGGATTCCCTTAGCTCCTAGTGAATTGGAGGAACCTTATAAACATATAAAAGAGGAATTAAGACATGGATTTAAAAAATATTTACCAAAACCATCCTAGTATTGTTGTTTTATATAGTTATGCAGTAATTTTATAGTACTCATGTAAGTGTTTAAGAACATAAAAGTTTCGAAATACTAGTAATAAGTAATTATTTTTAAAATAAAAAAAAATGTAAATAAGTACATGTATTATAAAGATGCATTTATTTAAGAACTTTCTTGTTTCAATTGTTAACTTAAAGTAAAAATACTATATTGTTATTAAAATCCACTTCATAAATATTTTATTTGTTTACCCTGTTGCTGAATTTAAAATTAATGTTTAATCACTTGCGTGTGCACTGCCAATAGCATGAGCCTCATATTTATGGACCAGGGTCAAAATTTTAGGTTTTAGCATAATATTAGGCATGTGTTATTCTGATGAGATACACTTGGGTGTGTTTTCAATGTTCTAAAATGTACTGTTTGTGTAAGTTAAATTATGATAGGCTCAGTTGTCACAATGAAAATAAAATAAAGCCCTGCCTTACTCCTTCAAGATGTTAATAATACCTAGCTCAAGAAGAATTTTAGATCATGTGATGTGTTATGAGTATTTACGTCATACATACATACATCATTAGCCTATCGCTGTCCACTGCTGAACGAAGGCCCCCCTAGGGAGCAACAGCTATCCTGGTCTTGGGCAGTCCTCATCCATCTACTGCCAGCCACTTTTCTCAAGTTGTTGATCCATCATACCGCAAAGGAGCTATTCACTAAGTTTGCCTAATCGCGGTCATCAGCCTAATCAGTCCAAGTATTTAAATAGAAAATATAAACCATTACTGAAAACCTATATCGTTTACCTAGTAGATTAGTTAAATGTGTTCTTACTAGATACTTGAGACTACAATGTTTATTTATCAAACCCTAGTGATAATTTTGATAAGTTTGAAAGCTACTTAGAGGTTAAGGAATCCTCAACACCTTATTGTTTTGCTTTAATATTTTAAATAATAAATATTCCAGACACCAATCATAGCATCAATTTATACCTCAGGAAGAGATGAAAACAATTTTAGCGAAGCTGAGAAATTTTTGCCTTACCGATGGGACAGGAATGATCCACGAAAAAAGAAGCTACAAAATCATACATCATTCGCTTCACTGCCTTTTGCTCTCGGCGCCAGGTCATGTATAGGCAAAAAACTGGCGATCTTACAGATTACTGAACTCATAAGCCAGGTATCAGTGACCACAATTTATTCTAGATTTGGATTCTTTAAGATACTACCATTATGTGGGTATTGTGCAAATATTTTTGGGTTATTTTAATATTTTGCTGTTCCAGATTGTTGATAACTTTGAATTCAAATGTTTGAATAAAACTGAAATAAAAGCAAACACTTCCCAAGTGCTCGTGCCAAGTACTGATATCAAACTTGAGTTTTCTCGTTTTGAGTCCGCAAGCAAGGATCGTAGCATCTGAGTTGGTAATATTTTAATTTTAAATAGGCATATATGTGTATTTGAACAATAGCTTGTACTTAATTGATACTCAAGTATTATTTCTGAAGGCCAATTCTCGTAATAAAAGTTCGGTCTCATTTCAGTTCCGATCAACTCTCGATCTCACAACTGTCATAAAAGGTTTTCCTATTAAAGTATTAAACATCCAACGTTGTCTGTTATGGGATTATATCGTATTGTAACCAAAAATTTAATCAGTAATCTGCTAGTCTTAGTAATACTTTACTATTTTACTACTAAAATACCCTTTGCTGTTATGAGATCGAAAGTTGATCGGAACTGAATTTTGACTGAACTTTTATAACCTCCGAGACTCGGCCTTATGGATAAGGAGAACAATGTATTCGATAACGCCTTATATAGGTTTTTGTGTAGTCGAGAAATAAGGGAAGCTAGAAATCAACCCTCACGTCTGCTGAAAGACGTTTTCATCTTATATTTTTTGCTACTAAGGTGTTTAATAGTATACAGTTCGGCTGATAGAAAGAGTGACCATATTGTTAGCCTTTAAACGTGTGGATCTCTACATAAGGTTGTGAAAACTAGACTTAACTATTGTTTTAGGTTGCGCATTTTTTCACATAACTCTTAAGTTCTGTTATCGGATTCCGAAAATATATCTCATATTATTTTACATCATAATGATCACTGATCACTTCATACAAATATTAAATACTAACCATCGAAGCTCAATCATCAGAATTCACAATATCACTAATCATACACCTGGTTTACACTAATATTTGTTTTCATATATTTTCTAATACTAACAATAATCAGTTGTACAACAAACTCCTAATCATTCTAATACATACCTACCTAAGTTTAGTTTAAGTTTATGAATACGTAGTTAAGTGGTTGTCGCGTGCTTTTAGAAAAAAATATATATTTATCCTGCAGGCACTGTCTTTGTTAAATAAAAATGTGTAACTACGTTATGACAACTAGAGGACTAGTTTTACACGAGTAAAATCACCTAAAAGTAAAAATGGAACCCCTTACACGCCAATGTCGATTATTTCTATTCCGCAGCTATAATGTAAAATATAAGGGTCGATCAGATTGCGAGCTTTAAACCCGGGGATGATCAGTATAGTTAAACCGCCGTAAGCTTGGCCCTCCTGATGGTTTGGGGGACGCGGGGCGGGGGTGCATTCAACCAATTAGCTAGTGCGTCGCTGTCCGCCGGCAGTGACTGACGTGAAAGCATGGCTGTACGTGTTATTTTTCTTAAGACTGCTACACACGGTATTATTTTGCTTCATGGATAATCTGCCGACTCTGCGTCACAAAAAGATTAAAAAATTTGAAGTTCGGCTTACAGAGGTTCTACTGTTAAAGTTCTAATAAAGAATATTTATTATTTAACTTAATTTTTAAATTGTATCTGAATGTAATTTACATGATGAAGATAAGGTAATTTTATTAAAATTATTTCACAGTATTAAATTTTACAATTAATCATAAAAACTTACAATACAGACATTATAATACATGGAAATAAATTCGATTTTTATTACATCGTGTGTAGATTAAATCTCAAACAAATAAATCTGAAGATATCGAGTTAGTACATCGTGTCATGTATAGCCGAGCGCATCACCCGCCCCGCGTCCCGCAGACCATCAGGAGGGCCAGGCTTAAGGCGGTTTAACTATAGCAACTAGTAAGGTATAGTGCACTACGAGCGAGTATCTCAACTCAACTACATGTATAATATATATATTTCAGCACGCTCTCAGAAATAATATTTTGTTTCTTAATTTCTCTATTACCAACTGTTGCGTATGGTCTATTGACGGAAAAAAAATCACTTTCTACCCCCTCAATCAATTTCAGGGAACCGTGAAGATCATTAACAACAGTAATTAATTATAAACTAAGAATACAGCAACTACACATATTATGCAAGAATATAAAATTACAAAAGGACAAGGGATACAAAAGCTACGTTATTTGGTCATGTTTCCTTGATACAGAATTTTTTACTCTGTAATAATAAAAATAAACATTATATTTAAGTGTAATAGTTTAATTTATTTGTAAGAATTGTTTTATGACTGCCTTTTTACCTTCACGACTCACCTACTTTGACTGACTCCTACTCCTGATTGAATAGTCAGGATGTTCGGTTTGGTCAGGAAAACTAGATAATTATTAAATAATTAAATTCAAATGAAGGAAATAATTCAAGTAAATGATCTGGATTCTTAGAGTTATTTCTAAATGAGTTAAGATTTGTAGCTATTAATTAATTCACTGGTAATATAATTTTATTCGAAAACTGTAACAAATTTTTATGCATAAATAGAACTAATGGTAAGTATAATACATATGTACAAAAAATAAAAGATCTCTTTACACTACAAAATAAGACCTTAATATGGAAAAATACTAAATATATTACAATGTCAGCACACTATACACTTGTGTCAATAAACAACAATATAATTCGTTATACCTACTAAAAATAAGTTCCAATAAATGCATTAAACAAAAAGCCATTATCTATTTCATTTGTCTGGCAGTTTTTATTTACATAATATTATTAATCATTAAGGCCAGTTTCTGTTCCTAATAGGCTAAGATCCGGCTGCAGAATCAATGCACTCATCGAGTATGTGCTAAAAACCCAGCTTTTACGAATATTTATGATTAGGAGATTTTATATCTACCAGGTTGCCTATCAAAATGTGGTCGATAGTATTTTTTATTGAATTTTTGTTAATTGATTTTTGGGAAAAGATTTCGTACGCTTGTTTTTTTTAAATAAAATATCGTACACTCCACGTCAATATACAGCGTGTCACCTCTCTTTATTTGTAAACCACATATTCTGCACTTTATTTCTAGACGATTGGCAAAATTTAAACAAAAAATATTCAGTGGTTCAGAAACAGGTCTTTTTTTTTGTTTTCGTAATTTGCAACATCATGTATTAATGCAGTCATAATACATTGACCTCAGGCGGCGATCAGCTGTTTACGCGGCGTGGTAATCACACGTTGCCGTGTATACTTAAACAAAATATGTTGATTATTGCGTCATCAGGATGAAGGACACGCGTTTTTAATTAGTTCACCAGTAAGAAAAGTCAGTCGGCCCTTGGCCACCGGCGAGTGTTATGCTATTCTGTATCCTTGTAGATACGCTCACGACAAATAACCTTAATAATAATATTGTCGTTGTTCATGACATATTTGTTTGGAAAAGTTTTCTTGTGTTAATAATTGTTTAATCTTATTGCTTTCGTCATAATACACGGCAATGGTGTGAACAATTAATGTTATCGTGTGCGCAAGACTTCGTATTGTAACGAGTCCTGCTAATTTTATTTGAAAAAATGACAATATTAGGTTCTGTGTGTAGTGCAGTGTGAAACTGAGTGAATTATCAGTCTTTTAATTTTATTGGGTTATCGGTATCAACATCCATAATGCCGTGAGTGACCTTCACAGTCGCGGAATATCCTGCCATGATGTTAATTTATGGGAAACTCTATCAAAACGCATCTTTAGCTTTACGGACAGGTATGCAGTCAATTGTGTATGTCCTACAGACTGCCGAATTTTTGTAAGGGCGGTACAAAGATTACGAGACAACCAAAGTACCTACTTTTTCAAGGAGTGACATTCCCAAAATAAAACCGGTGAATAAAATCGTATTATTAATAAATAGATTTAAAAAAGCAAGTGAAGTGATTAGTAGGTAGGTAATAAGAATGTAAAGTTCGCCGGCTCGTCGCGGCGGCGGCGTCGCTTTGATGTCGCCGACATTGTGACGCTGCCATGTACAGTTCATCGACTCATGTTATCAATGGTGTTCTAATTCGGCAATTATTTTATTGTATTTAGTTTGTTCTAAATTTGCATTTCTGTATTTTCGTACAATTTTTTTTATTTTAACCGCGTATATTGAACCGTGTTATCTGTTATTTTATTTTTTGTGATATGTATCATCACATAGTGTATATAAAGACTGAAAAATCACGGTTGCCGTTGCGCACTCGGCGGTATGATTTTGATACGTTTATACTTTCATAACGAACGTTTATTATTTATATATCAAATTAAAGCTAATTTTATTTCGATTATCATGATATACGGTTGCCTAATTAAAACTGGCCGCAAATAAGGGTTGCTGGCTGTTAAAGATGGTAAATATTTAAGCTAGAGTGAAATAGAGTTAGCGCGTAACATCACTAGTCAGAGGAGGATAGCGATTGCCAGCTGTACGACGCTTTAAAGCCATTGCGCATAAGTCATATCCTAGTGTTCTCAACTCACAGATTACCCTCTAATAGATTCCGCATAGGCACGCAACACCTACTTGTTGTAGCTAGCATACGACGTAACGCTAAGAATGACGACTTTAGTAACGACTAAGTTCGTGACCCGTACGCACGTCCGAATTATTGACAATTTAAAATAGTTTTATATCAAAATATAATAGAAATGGCTTCCTGTCCTGTAAAATGGTGTGGCAAGTCAGCTAAGACATCTAGTTATCATAAAAATGGCATTACATTTCATCGGTAAGTAAATTATATTCTTATCACGTTAACCTAGTTCAAATGCACCAGACTTCAACTTCATTCTCTGAACCTTTTCCCAACTCAGTCGGGGTCGGCTTTCCAGTCTAACTGTGATGCGGCTGAACTTCGATATTTTCCGTGAAGCGACTGCCATCTGACCTCCACAACCAATGGTCCAATGACCAATGGCGATATCGAAGTTCCAAGTTAGACTGGTTGGACTTTTGAGGGCTCCAACTACCCGTAACGACTGCCATAGATGTTTGTATGGCAACCAGACTTCAACTTATACTAATACAAAGTGATAAAAATTAAGAACCCGTTGATGTATTTTTGAAATGTTCCTTTCACTCATTACGTAAATTGAAATTCGTGATTTATAGGTCGATATTTTTTTTGTCATCCTTTGATATGCTTTTATTGAAATCATTATTTTGTAAAAATAGTAGCGTATCATTGTGGTGTATGTAATTATATTTGACTATTCTTTTGACTATGCGTCACAGTTACTCGAAATAAATTATTATCCCCTAATCATTAATATGGGTTTTGAGCACATACTCGATGAGTGCACTGATTCTGCAGCCGGATCTCATACTATAAGTACCATATACGAACAAATATTTACTTCACCAACTGTCTCAATATCATTGACTTAATATCTTCAAGCCACTGTTCCTTATACTCTAAATTAAGAATGGTATTAAAACACTTGGTTCGATCTGACTCACACATTTTACCTGTTAACAAATATGCAACTGATTCTACACATAAGAACCCCATTCCCTCACTAAGTGACCACACATATATTTTATCAGCCGTTTCTGGCGTTAATTGAAATTGTAAAATAGCGCTGCTTAACAAACCTTTAAGCTTTTCAAACAAAAATCTATCAGCTAACAATAATACTTCTAAGCTAGTTCTTAGATCAGCAGACATTGGAAAACAATGCACATCTAATTTGGGATTATCATACGCCCAATGTAAGAGGAAGAATAAGTATTCTAATGCAGGTTTGGTTACATTTTTTAAACGTACACAATTTTCTTCTGACTCTTTGAAGCACCCCATCAACATGGCACTGAAAACATCAGAATTTTGACATAAAAATACTCTATTTGCTTTCACTGTTGAAAAATCGTCCAATTCAAATGTGACAACTTTATCACAAGCCAAGCTTTCAAGTATGGTGTTGTAGTCAAAGTTCATTATTATTTTAAACCTATTCTCTAATGTTTTTGGATCTTTTATGTGAACATTATTTGCCAACTTAGCTAGAGCGGTAACACAATCTTGTAAATCTTCTTTAGACTCAGCAATGGAGTTGAATAGCAAATTTAATGCTCCACAGTCAATAAAATATTTCTTCAATGGCTTTTCAGTTCTGAAAAGTGAAGTGTGAAAGTGAAAACAATATAACATCTATTTAATTATACAAGGAAACGGTAATAATAGGAAACGGTAGGTATTTACAACGTGAATTCAAATTTACAAACAAAGTAAGAGCTTCTTGTAGTTTCGAAGTAAGTCTAGACATCCGTTATTGGTACAGTTCTAAATAGTTAGGTATTTTTATCTTTCTGAGGGAATTAAACAAACACTGTAAATAAGTGCCAACAGTTAGCTTGAAAAAGAATAGATACGGGCGGTAAGAAGGTCGGCTTAAAATTTAATGTTCAATAAGTACTTTCGAATATTATATAAATGCTTGACTGCACTTTAACTTTAACTGCAATTCAGATAGCAATTACAGTTATTTAGTTTACCTACTAAACGTTAATTTTAATAGGAAGCAATTAAGAAAGATAACTGTATTTCTGTATCGGTAAGTGTAATGTGATTTACAAATATTTCCCTACCAAGAAAATGTGGGGTGTGAGGGGCGAACCACCATCTTTCGCCCCAAGCCAACCTCACCTGCCCGCGGTGCATCCTGCTGAACGACGAACGAGGCTCTGGCGACCGACCGATGGCGGTATATCCATCCCAATAGGCGTAGCTAAATACAACAGGCCGGTGACGGGCAGCAGCGTTACCGGTGCGACAAGCTACGCCCTGCGATCGCCAACCCGCCTGCCCAGCGTGGCGATTATGGGCAAACCCCTCCCATGCAGACGCAACAAAGGCCACGGCCCCCAGTTCCCGGCGGCCCCGCTATTCCTGGTCATGGTGGCGACCACGGTAAAGGCGGGGCAGGGGGTGCGAAGAATCTCCGGGCTACGGGAGGCCACCACAACCGACTGACCCTGGCTACGTACAACGGACGCACGCTACGGCTAGACTCGCATCTGGCGCAACTTGAGGTGGAACTTGGGAAGATTAGGTGGCATATCCTAGGGCTATGTGAAGTCCGAAGAGAGGGGGAGGACACCATAACCCTCGAGTCAGGCCACCTAATGTACTTCCGCGAGGGAGACCAACAATCCCAAGGTGGGGTTGGGTTTCTGGTAAATAAGTCCCTATCTGACAACGTTGTGCAAATTTCCAGTGCGTCGAACAGGGTAGCGTACCTCATTATCAAGCTCACCGAGAGGTATAGCCTCAAGGTTGTGCAAGTGTACGCACCGACCTCGGCACATTCGGACGACGAGGTGGAGGATATGTACGATGACATATCGAGGGCCCTCCACTTCACAACTAAGACCCACTACAACGTTGTTATGGGTGACTTCAACGCTAAAGTGGGAGTACAGAATTGCGGCCAATCGGTAGTAGGATCCCATGGATTTGGAAGCAGGAATCATAGGGGGCAAATGCTGGTCAACTTCCTCGAACGGGAGGGGCTGTTTTTGATGAATTCTTTCTTCAAGAAACAGCCCCAAAGGAAGTGGACGTGGCAAAGCCCCGACGCTATGACCAGAAATGAGATCGATTTCATCATGACGGATAGAAAGCACATATTCAGAGACGTCTCAGTGATCAATAGGTTTAATACCGGTAGTGATCACCGACTTGTCCGGGGCTCTCTGAATATCAACTTTAAGGCGGAACGTGTCTGTTTGATGAAATCCAGGCTCCGACCAACTCGGCTCCAAGCCATGACAGGATCTGAAACGTTCCAGTCAAAACTGGAAAACCGATTCGCTGCCGTGGAAACCACAATCGACGTAAACCAGAACTTCAAAAATGTGGTTCAGATCCTCAGGGAAGAAGGTATGAGATTTTGTGAAATGCAGCGTAAGGGCAGGAAGTCGAAGCTTTCAGAAAGGACCCTAGGGCTGATGAAGAAACGACGTGAAAACCCACCTGTCACTTTGTCGGCAAAGCGGACTCTAAACCGAGAGATCAGTAAACTCGTACGACACGACCTCCGGTGCTCCAATACTCTTTCAATTGAAAGAGCGATCGAGCAAAATCGGGGGTCAAAAGTGTTCGTACAATCTCTTGGAAGAAGCCACCTGACAAAGTTGACTACAGAAAGTGGAGAAGTCGTTGCTTCGAAGCCGGCAGTCCTTTTGGAAGTGGAAAGCTTCTATGGCCGGTTATACGCTTCGCATGCATCTCGACCTGATCCCGAAAATGAGGACTCTAGAGCCACATTAACACGTCACTACACCGAAGACCTGCCAGAAGTTAGCATTGACGAAATCGAGATGGCTCTTGGACAGCTGAAAAATGGAAAAGCCCCTGGAGAGGATGGCGTTACAACAGAGCTGCTGAAGGCCGGGGGTAAACCCGTACTAAGGGAGCTCCAAAAGCTCTTCAACGCTGTCCTGTTTGAAGGGAGAACTCCCGAAGCGTGGAGTAGGAGTGTGGTCGTCTTGTTCTTCAAAAAGGGTGACAAGACCAGGTTGAAGAACTATCGACCCATATCCCTTCTAAGCCACGTCTACAAGCTGTTTTCGAGAGTCATCACGAACCGTCTTGCGCGAAGACTCGACGAATTCCAACCACCGGAGCAAGCTGGGTTTCGGAGCGGATATGGCACCATAGACCACATCCACACAGTGCGGCAGATTATACAGAAGACCGAAGAATATAATCAGCCCCTGTGTCTAGCATTCGTGGACTATGAGAAAGCCTTTGACTCGATCGAGATCTGGTCTGTTCTGGAGTCCCTGCAGCGTTGCCAAGTAGATTGGCGATACATCAAAGTGATGAGATGTCTCTACGAAGCCGCCACCATGTCCGTCCAAGTACAGAATCAGCAAACAAGGCCCGTACCATTGCATCGAGGAGTGAGACAAGGGGACGTTATTTCCCCGAAATTGTTCACAAATGCAATGGAGGACATGTTCAAGACGCTGCACTGGAAAGGGCGTGGCATCAATATCAATGGCGAATACATCTCTCACTTGCGATTTGCAGATGACATCGTCATCATGGCAGAGACGTTGCAGGACCTACAGCAAATGCTGAATGACTTAGCTGACACTTCTGTACGCATCGGCCTACGGATGAACTTGGATAAAACCAAGGTCATGTTCAACGAACATGTACTACCGGAACCGATTGCGGTACACGGTGCCGTTCTCGAAGTTGTTCAAAATTATGTGTACCTCGGGCAGACATTGCAGTTAGGTAGAAACAACTTCGAGGACGAGGTGAACAGAAGAATTCGGTTGGGTTGGGCAGCGTTTGGGAAGCTACGTCGAGTCTTCTCATCGTCGATCCCACAGTGCCTTAAGACGAAAGTCTTTAATGAGTGCGTCCTACCCGTCATGACATACGGAGCTGAAACGTGGACACTTACGGTACGGCTGGTCCACAAGTTCAAAGTCGCTCAACGTGCTATGGAAAGGGCTATGCTCGGCGTTTCTCTAAGGGATCGCATCAGAAATGAGGTGATCCGGCAGAGAACTAAGGTCACCGACATAGCGTACCGGATCAGCAAGTTGAAGTGGCAGTGGGCTGGCCATATTAGCCGCAGAACCGATAACCGTTGGGGAAAACGAGTTCTTGAGTGGAGACCGCGTCTCGGCAAACGTAGTGTAGGACGCCCACAGGCCAGGTGGAGTGACGATTTGCGCAAGATGGCTGGCAGGAGCTGGATGCGAGAAGCCCAAAATCGATCTAAGTGGCGTGCAATGGGAGAGGCCTATGTCCAGCAGTGGACTGCGATAGGCTGATGATGATGATGAAGAAAATGTATAGTTACTTTAACTAGATGTTCATATCTCTGCGAATAATAATGACATAAATGTTTTACCTCACTATATAAGGTAGCGTCAGTGAAAGAGTTTGTTTTACTGGTGCTTCGCCTTTCAAGAGTTGATAGCTAATTTCTCCGATTCCATAGCTTGACTCAGCCAATATTGTAAGCTGACTCAAAAGCTTTGAACTCAATCGTACAAGCTGAAAAAACAATTATGAGTCTTTATAGTTTTAGCAGGATTAATAAGAATATTGTTTGCTTCTTTTCTCGTTTTCTTTTATAACCAACTTCAAACTAGGTTCTAGATTCGGTCTAGTTGTTAGCTTAAATCTATCTTATTTATAAACAAAATTAAAAAAAAAAACTGATTTGGTGTCCAATTTTAAGAAAAAAATGTCACTGAAAAAGTATCACTAAAATATTAACCCTAGGGGTTAATATTTTAGTGATACTTTTTTCAAAGTTATTGATTTTAACCGTTTCCAAAGTAATTATCCATATGTGTTCTTAATGTTCAAAAGCCATACGATTCTTTTTTTTATTACGGAAGAGGCCGCAAACGAGCAGATGTTTCACCTGATGGAAAGCAACAACTACCGCCGCCCATGAACGGCTTGCTTCTTATATACTATTAGCTGTACCCTAATTTCATTGACATTGATGACACGAAAAATAAATCAAAACAATCTTTAAGGCGGCTAGTATATCGTGTCAAAATTTGAGCTCAATCGGTGCAGAACTTTTTGGCTTCTAAAAGTGTACACAAACCAACTTAACATTTATATAGATAAAGATAACAGGTAGATAGATAGGCACGCTCTTATAAGATATTAATTTTAATGATATGCTTTAAAAGGAAATCTTGATCTTTATTTAATGCAAAACGTATCTACGAGTAATTAGATAAGGAATTATACTGTATTGTTTAAAATAGCTTCGTAAATTACCCTTTTTTTTTGTAATTTGTAAAAGATCAAAATGGTTACTGTGGGTTATGAGATAGACATATACCATCGCGGTCTTTTTTGTAAATCTTTTTAAGATATACAAATCCTCAGTAAATTATTTTGATGTATCTCGTAAGGTTTGGCTAGCGATTGCAATCTAAGCGCACAAATACATGTTTTTTACGACTTCACATTTCAATCTTTGGAATTCTCGGTTTTTCTCTACTATAATATGCCTGTATTATAAATATAAACCATCCTCTTAAATCACTCTCTCTATTAGTAAAAACCGCATTAAAATCAGTTGCGTAGTTTATAATATCTAAGCGCACATTTTATACCATGTAAAGATGAATAATTCAGTATTATAACTTATAATGTTCTAGAAAGAAAATATATTGCGACTTACTTGCTTGCACTGCTGACATTTGGTTGACGGGTGCTTGGAACTTACAGACATATAATGCAATCTTAGAGCCAGTCTATGTCTTAATATACTCATTAGGCAAAGCGCATTGCTGTAAACAATTAATATTAAACTGTAAAACAAACCTGGTCTTAAGATAAAAATACAAAAAATATAACCTTGTTAAATATTTATTCCTTTGAATTTAATGTAAGGACGGCACTTTAATTTCGAGTATCCCTAAAATTACTTAAATCATTGTTGACTCTTTCGACCCTTATATTTATTTGATTCTGTTTCACTTCATATAAATCACGACTATTATATGTTACTTTTGGGTTTATAGTTTCTCTATATTGCTAAACATTTAGTACGAAGTTACTTTTAGATATAAAATGACTTTAGTAACAATGGCATCAGTTATTTTACAGGATTTCGTGATAATTCATTTATATATAAATTAAGTAGGTATACACTTCTTAATACTACAAAAAATAAAAAATAAATAAGAAAAAAAATAAGAACCGAATACAACGGTGCATTAAAATAAGAAACATTAAACAAGCTAATTATTGAAAAAAAAAACACATGAGACAAACATCTACAACATACATTTTACAGAATAATCTTAACAAATATTGCACTTATGTTATATTGTAGCCCACAACGTTATTCACAAACAGAAATAAGTATAAAAATGATATTAAATACGATCGAATTTATACAGGTAGGAATATACATACATTAATCATTAAAGTTATGCAGTTTGTTAGTGGTAATTATTAAAATTAGAACTAAGATCAAAGTTAATTCGGTTACGTTATTTTACGGTAAAAATACTACCTTAATACTTTGGCGAGGATCCGCGCGGCTCGACCAAGAGGCCTTTTGCATCTCTCCACATAATCTAGTAAAGCATTCAAACATTCTCGACCCGTCAACAGTTCTAATGTTTGATTAGGTACCGGTTCTTCGCGGAGGGCTCCTAGTGAGTTGCACGCTCCATGAGATACTCGAAATAGTAACACTAGTACGCACGCGATGTGGACTCGAGACGTTTTAGTATGTTTGACGTTATTGACAGCGTCAACTGAAAAACAAAAAAAAACATGAAACCACGGAATAATAATAATAGTTAATGCTATTTCCGCAGAGGCCACAATTCAGCCACGTCTTAGAGTCCTTACCCCATACGAGGTTAGAAGCCAGAATGGCTACACTCTTTCTTGAATGGTATATCTAATTTGTTTGAGAGTTTTTGAAAACGAAGGGCAATATTTTTAGTTTAATTATTGTCCCAAAGGGCTATAAAGGGCTAACTATATGACCTAAAATAAATAAATATTCATATAAAAGAATTTATAACGAAAAAATAATAATTTACAAGCACGCCCTTAATTTATGGAATCGATCTAGTCGCACTGTTCTCAGAAAGTTAATAGGAAGGGGATCGCTTACCTTCGGTTGAAGGCTCCGCCTCTACACTGTCATCGTCTTCCATAATAAGTTCATCCAAGTCATGGGCGACCTGAGCCGCATTTAATTCATCCACCGCGCTACTTACACCAGCAAGGTCCACAACCTCACCTTCATTATCACTGCATACCGGAGAGTAACGACCAGAGATCTCCGAATCTGAACTGTCTGGAATATGCATGAAATATTTTTCATGTGTGTGACTGTGGCTTCTTTTCCTAAAGATCTACACACCACGCATCGACCGTATCAACGTTTGCGTTTCGTTCCAGTACCGTTTTATACAAACGTACAAACCTTAGTAAATTATGTAAAAAGCCTTTATTCATATAATTTATAAATTGCAATAACATCTATTATGGGATTTAGTTAGACTAAGATTTCAAATCAACATGAACAAAGCAAAATAGATAAGATTATAGAATGTCTACTATACAACCTCGTAGTATAAAACCAAAGGCGTAAACATTAGGTATTACTGTTTGTATGTACGTAAAAAAAAGGCTGATGAAACTAAGAGATTTTTTTTAACCTATTCAATTATTAGAATACTGGAACCGCCGCTAATTAAATTATAGTTTATATGATTTTTTACCTTGGCTTTAAAAGGCATTTGATGTCAAAGTGAACTTAAAAGCTTCCGCGAGGATATAATTTCTCTATTAGATAAATCGTGCGAAAATCAAAATAAAAAAATCGCATTGTTGATACTAAAACTTAATACAAGAGAACATTAAATTACGCACTGAACTTTTGGAAATTAGAAGTTCTCATAAGGCTATGGAGGACCAAATTAAAGATATGGAATCCGATTTACATGATTTGGAGAATAACAGAAATAATGAACCTACAAGCGAGCGGAACGGAAAAAAAATATTAAGTATAATCGCAGGTATACCTCAGCTAGACAACGAAAACTCTGAACAAAGGCGTATTTATGACCAAAGCGAAGTAAAGAAAGTAACTAGATCCATCTTTAATGACTGCCTAACTCCAATTAAGATCATTAGATTGGGTTCATACAACCCAGGTAAACACAGATGCCTCAAAGTAAACTTTAGTACGGTAATAAACTGCAAAGTACTTACTGCGAAATCAACCAAAAAGTTCTGGTAGAATACGTTTTTATTCACCTACGCAAAGAGCTTAAATGCAGTATTTTTTATTTTTTGTATTTGAAAGAAGAGTTAGCACGTCGAGAAACGAATGGAGAACAAGACTAAAATACGTCAGAGATACACCTAAAAGCGTAAAAAAGCTACAAAAAAACTTAAGCCAACGACAGCCGATAACAGATTACTAGAATGTAAGGAAAATGCTCACTCTCTATCACATACTTACGATGTTTTATCCACTCGAAAATTAACTCTGAATTTTCTATATGCCAACGTACGCAGTTTATGTAAGCCGGGAAAGTTTCACGAGCTAAAGTGTATTCTCAAGTCCATTAACTGTATCACACACTTGATTATAATTATCGGACTGACAGAAGAGAGCGGGGTGTATCTATATTTATCCACAACAGATTCAAATATGATATTACAAAATAATTAGATTTGGACCTATACAGTACATGGTGCCAGTGTAATCTACTAACGATAAATACAACAAAAACTTCATAGATGATTTTTAGTGCCAAAAACAAAAAAATATCAAACTATTTAACCTTAACCACATATAAACCGAAAATATATGTACGCTAATTAAAAAAATCATGTCAGGTCTGGTACATACTAACACATCCCTAACTGAGAGACAATATACGCATAACTTAAGAAATAAAATAAAAGGTTTATTTTATTTAACACCAAGAACAAAATACGGTAAAAGAAATTTGCTGTATAATGGAGTAAAATTGTATAAGAAACTGCCCAATTATATGAAGGAAAGTGAGAGTATGCGTATATTTAGATCAAAGATTAAAAGGTATGTACATGATAAAATGTATTAATAACTAGCTGACCCGCGCAACTTCGTCTGCGTCTCTCAATAGTAATAAATTTTCTCCGTTTTTGAAACATTCTTCATTGGTACTCCGCTCCTATTGGTCTTAGCGTGATGATATATAGCCTATAGCCTTCCTCGATAAATGGGCTATCTAACACTGAAAGAATTTTTCAAATCGGACCAGTAGTTCCTGAGATTAGCGCGTTCAAACAAACAAACAAACAAACTCTTCAGCTTTATAATATTAGTATGGATTAGCGTGATGATATATAGCCTATAGCCTTCCTCATTAAATGGGCTATCTAACACTGAAAGAATTTTTCAAATCGGACCAGTAGTTCCTGAGATTAGCGCGTTCAAACAAACAAACAAACAAACTCTTCAGCTTTATAATATTAGTATAGATTTTAAATAATAATAACAGTCACAAACACGACTGACACATTACTATGTGTGAGTATTTCTTTTGTTGGCTTTGCAACAAAAAAAAAAACCTACATCTAGTATAATAAAATATATATATATATATCATTTGCACTTCTTTTTGGACAGTCGAGGGATATTTTTTTAAAAATATTTTCACTAGTATATAAAAGATAAGGTAAAAAGAAAGGAAAATGACGATAATGCTACATTATCTTGTTCATTCTTTGTATGTATTTAAATTTTAAGGTTCTACTTTAGATATAAGACAGCTGTGTATATGGGGTGGAGGGTTGATAACCTGAGATACAGGAACATTCCTAGTTCAGGTATCAACCCACCATAGTCCCTTTATTTTCGTTTAATATGTATTTAAATGTAAATCCTGTGATTATGGTGAGAAAATAAACTTATACTTACTTATTCTAAAATTATTATAAGAAAAGTAAAAATATAATTAAATATAATATAATATATAAAAAAATAATTTTGTGTTTAAAGCAAATAACCAAATCTATTATCAATTAAATATTCTGGTGTTCAAATTAATTAATTAAATAGAACAATATTCAAATTATTGATAACATATTTGGTTGATACTAGAAATAAAGTAGCAAAAGTGCGGGCATACTATATTATAAACTAATGTTAATTTATGTGGTGCAATCTAATGATTACTGCAGTGATTGACTCCCTACAAACATAATATGTACAAAATATAATTTCGTGTGAGTACATACTACAATCTGTTTTCTTAACTTTTTTGAGTCACTGATTTAGAAACCTATGATCGCTGTTCCTTGTTATTACTTTGTTTATTTTATATTATGCTCACTAATTGGACTGTAACGTTCTTGAGTATTAAGTTCTTTAAACCTAGATCGAATATGAGCAAGAGATCCAAACAATATCAATGACTTGATAATTCTCGAAAGGTAATTTACCATATTGAGACAAGATTTCACAAGAGAGATGCATGAGAATCGCTTTCCGAATGTTTCTAATAACTTGAAAGTAGCAAGTAAGAATTCTGCTAGGTTTTAGTTGGACATTTAGTTTATTATCAGATATTTTGTTAACTAACATAATCCCACACTTACCTTCTTTGGCACTAAATGGTGAAGCAGGTCCTCCAGAACTACTTGGACTCCATTGATATTCAGTCCAAAAAGGCGACGTTGAACTACCTTCTCCCGAACTAACTCCAGATTCAGGACTCCAGTCCCATTTCCTTCGTTTATTGGACGAGAAAGTCCTGTATTCCGGGCTGAACCCAGATTGATAGCCATCTGAATATAAAGAGTACGGTGATAATGGCCCTAACGTTTCACCTCTATCTGGGCTCATAGAAACATGGGAGCCTGAAGCTTGATTAAGAGAGGGCCATTCAGGACTCTTTGGTTCCCAGTATACACCAGCTGACCAATCTTTGCTGGCCATTTTTATTAACTGAGACTTCTAAAAACAGAACACGTAAGTAAATACTAAGCATACAAAACATAATTTAAGTAGTTCATTACATACCTTTTTAACGGCTTTTGGACTATTGGATCGAGCTCTTTTCAAGCACTTACGTCGTAGAGGTGGTGTCTCATCTTCGCTTTGACTGTCATCAGATGCGTCACTATCAATAGCATCAATAAAGCCGACAATCATATTATCCCTTTCTATAACCACTTTAAGCTCATCTTCATTTCCACAAGATAACGGACCTTTGCGACGTGCAAATAAACTGCATTTACCTTCTGTGTTACTAGCACCGGACTGTTCGGTTGTTGGTTGTCCTTCACTACTTGTCTTGACTTCTTTTTGGGTTTCTGTTACTCTATCTACAGTTTCACCAATTTCACTTTCAGTGTTGTTGTGTTCAAAATTCATTGTTTTTAAATATGTAGTAAGTTCATCAGTTAATAAATTTACAAGACCTTCATTGACCAAAATCTGAAATGCTTTAAAAAGAAAAAAGATCTCCTAAGATTTTTTAAACTCATTTAATTTTCCTTCTTCTGTGCAAGTTTATAAAATATGTAAGGTTTTATAAATTATAGTTTATGTCAAACGTGTCAGTATACCAGAAATAGGTTAATGTTAGGCTAAAATATACTTACACGTGTCATCGAAAACATATTGCAGAAGAGCATGCATGGCGCGTGGGTTCTCTCGAGCTGCCGCCACTAATAGTGGCAAGCCACCGCAATGACGTAAGCGAGATCGGTTCACTGACTCACCACTAAGTTGCGCTAATGCCTGTGCAGACCCCTCCGGCCAAGAGGAAACATCTGTAATTCGTGTCACAACATTATTGTATTCACAACTACATCACGATGACCAGACGTGTATTCCTTAGGAATATCTTGTCTCGAAAAATAGTGTCTGTGATAGAAGTGGACATAAAATATAAAATAGCTATAATAAAAGGTTAAACTATAATAGAAGTAAAGGACTTTTTCGTTTTTGATATTATAGTAATAGTTCAGATTTAGAATTATTCTAAATCTAAACTATTATAAAATAAGTTTTCTGCGTAATGAAAAATTAAAAGCTAATGACGACAGGATTCTTTCTTCTACTGATTTAGAAATTGTATTATCGATTCACACATTTACAGTTACCGCGACACAGGATATAATCATAATGAAGTTGTATTTGAAAAAAAAATTAAGAAGAAAGGTTTTAATGTTAAACTTGTTACAAATGATAATAATATATTGACACCAAAATGTTTGCAACTAAAATTAACAGAAAAATAAATTAATCAATTTATTTTATAATATAAGTACAAAAAACATCTGTGTCTAATGCACTCAGAAGTACAATTTGTGGATCACAGAAAGTGTTGTCCCATGTGGGATCAAACCCACAACACTCAGCGCAGTAGGAAGCGGACCGCTTAAACAGTTTTAAATTGGGATTGAGTTAATCTAGTTCAATTTTGGCGGTTAAAGCCATACGCGGTTACAGCACCGTTTCGACGGAGACGGCGCATTACCCGGAATTCCCCCGTGGGATTTGGAGGCGGAAGTCTTCGCCGAAGTAAATCAGCGGACGGCGGAGTTCCGGGCGAGTAGCGGCAGTCGGCCCTCGCCCGAAGAGATACGCGAGTGGTGTGAGGCCGCTCGCCGAGCCACGATGGCTCGTTAATCATTGCCGCCGTGGTGGCGCTCCAGTCGGTTGAGTTGGCAGGGCGGCAGCATGGGACCCTTTCCTTTCGACTGACGCAGGTCCTTTCCGGGCACGGCTGCTTCGGAAGGTACCTGCACTCGGTCGCTAGGAGAGAATTGAGTCTCGCTTGTCACCACTGCGATTGCAGTGAGGACTCGGCTCAGCATACGCTTGCAATTTGCCCAGCTTGGGCGTCGCAGCGCCGGGTCCTCATTGCAGTCATCGGAGGGGACCTCTCGCTTCCGGCCGGCATACGCTCTATGGCCGGTTGTGACAGATGTTTTACCTCGGTCGCATCCTTCTGTGAAGGTGTGCGTTTCGATTGCAAACAGAAAAAATAATTTAGGAAAAATTTGTCGAAGTCGTAGGGAACAAACCAAAAATGCGTCAAAATAGAAATTTTAATAAAGAAGTTATAAGGGTTTTAAGTGGGCCGCGCGAACGAAACGTGGAGAATTGCGCGGCCACGGTGATCTCAGCAACTACTTAAGTTAGAGAAGAAAGAATTAGATATTCTTTTTGTCAATTAAAGACAAGTCCCGGGGGTGGTGGCCCAACATCGGTGCCCTCTGGAAAGGCTTGCAACTTGCAAAAGTAGCATTCCGGTGATGCGGCACATTCCTAAGGCTGCACGTAACCTAGCCGCGGCCAAATTAAGCAACATAATAGATGGATGCGTGTACGGTAATGGTGTAGAGGACTGGTCTTTCTTTTGCCTTTAGCGCATTGAGGGTGCCGTCTAAGTCTCTGCCGGGTAATATGACGTCTAAGGTAAAGGCGAATATCAACTCCTCGGGCTTTTACCAGTTTGAAGAGGAGTGTGACGGCGCGCCAACGAATCGAAGGTCGTGTTCATTACAAAAAACTATTGAAAATCTAGCCTTCCGCCTGTTGATGTCGAACGACAAATTTGCTCAGGGGGGTACTGAGACCCTGGCTGCCTTGAAGCTTAAGCACGCCGGCCCGTCGCGCCCACTCAACCCCCCGCCAGCGCCGGATGCGTCATGCGCATTCGTTACCGCTACACCAGAGGATGTAGCTCAGGCGCTAAACTCTTTTTATAGTGGTTCTGCTGCGGGTTTGGACGGCATTCGTCCGGGGCACCTAAAGGAACTCACTTCTAGGGCGGCGGGCGAAAACGGGCAACGTTTAATGGGTAGTCTGGCCAAGCTGTGTAACTTCTTACTTAGCGGTCAGTTAAACCCTGAAGTGTGTCCTTTTATGTATGGGGCTTCGCTTTGTGCCTTAAATAAGAAGGATGGAGGACTCAGGCCGAGCCGACTCAGCTGTCGGCAGCGTTTTCCGCCGTTTGACTGCTAAGCTGGCCTGTTGTTCAGTCAGGGAGGAAATGGCCGAGTATCTACAACCGCACCAGTTAGGTTTTGGCACGCGTCGAGGTTGCGAGGCGGCTATCCATGCCTCACGGACATACGTGATGGACCCTAAAAACTCTCGTTGCGTCATCTTGAAGCTTGATATCCGCAACGCTTTTAATACCTTGGAAAGGGATGTTCTGTTAAGCGCAGTTAAGGATAAAATTCCTTCCCTCTATCCTTTCCTTCACCAAGTCTATAAATCTCCTTCGAACCTCTTTTACAATAAGGATCTTATTCTTTCGCAAGTGGGAGCTCAGCAGGGAGATCCACTTGGGCCACTCGTCTTCAGCCTTGCCATCCACAAAATCATTTCCAAGCTGGAGTCACCCCTAAACCTGTGGTACCTAGATGATGGTACTATTGGCGAACAGCCTGAGGTGGTGGCGAAAGACATTATGGTTTTGATCCCACGCCTCAAGGAGCTAGGTTTGGAGGTGAATCCAGCAAAGTGCGAGTTTTTCCCCTGCAGTACTGAAGCTCGCACACACTTTACACACTTTGAAATGTTCTTTCCTGGCCTCAGCGAGATCACACCAGGTACCTTCAGCCTATTGGGATCTCCCATTTTCCTTGAGGCAGTTCCTGAGGCCATTGCTGCCCGTCAAAATCTTCTCCTTGCCACTCGGGAACGTTTAAAGCATCTTTCTCCTCATGTTGCGGTTCTGCTGCTTCATACGAAGCAGCAGAACCGCAACATGAGGATACGGACATACGTGATGGACCCTAAAAACTCTCGTTGCGTCATCTTGAAGCTTGATATCCGCAACGCTTTTAATACCTTGGAAAGGGATGTTCTGTTAAGCGCAGTTAAGGATAAAATTCCTTCCCTCTATCCTTTCCTTCACCAAGTCTATAAATCTCCTTCGAACCTCTTTTACAATAAGGATCTTATTCTTTCGCAAGTGGGAGCTCAGCAGGGAGATCCACTTGGGCCACTCGTCTTCAGCCTTGCCATCCACAAAATCATTTCCAAGCTGGAGTCACCCCTAAACCTGTGGTACCTAGATGATGGTACTATTGGCGAACAGCCTGAGGTGGTGGCGAAAGACATTATGGTTTTGATCCCACGCCTCAAGGAGCTAGGTTTGGAGGTGAATCCAGCAAAGTGCGAGTTTTTCCCCTGCAGTACTGAAGCTCGCACACACTTTACACACTTTGAAATGTTCTTTCCTGGCCTCAGCGAGATCACACCAGGTACCTTCAGCCTATTGGGATCTCCCATTTTCCTTGAGGCAGTTCCTGAGGCCATTGCTGCCCGTCAAAATCTTCTCCTTGCCACTCGGGAACGTTTAAAGCATCTTTCTCCTCATGTTGCGGTTCTGCTGCTTCGTATGTGTTTCGCGGTTCCTAAAATCATGTACTTATTGCGGACTACTCCAACCTGGCTTTGTGCGGAGGCTGTCGCTTTGTTCGACGGTGCTTTAAGAGATACTGCTGAGTTGATCCTTAACGTCTCCCTTGATGAGCACCAGTGGATCCAGGCAGCTCTGCCAATAAGATATGGGGGTCTCGGATTACGGCGTCTGCTGGATGTTGGCTTGCCAGCCTTCCTAGCGTCGGCGCATGGGGTTGCGGACCTTGTCGCTGTCACACTTTCTCCAAATGGTGATAGGGCGAGCATACCTTATGTGTCCGAGGCGGTATCGGCATGGTCGGCCGTCAACGCAGGTGAGCCATTTCCAGTGACCCTACACGTCCAGCGAGCATGGGATGACATTGGAGCTAAGGGACTCCTTAAACAAAGGTTTGATACCGCTAGGGGTATCGATCTGGCAAGACTAAGGGCCGTATCGCAGTCAGTCAGGGGCATGGTTACATGCACTCCCATCGCCTCACTTGGCTACCTTGTTGAACGGCGACTCTTTGCGTGTGGCAGTGGCTCTCCGCCTAGGCTGCAGGGTGTGCGAACCACATAGATGCACCTGCGGTGCCATGGTGGGGGCCGATGGTCTTCACGTACTGAGTTGTCGTCGCTGCGCAGGTAGATTTTCGCGACACCATGCCCTAAATGACATAGTCCGAAGGGCTCTTATATCCGCCAATGTACCCTGCGTGCTGGAGCCATCGGGTCTCAGCAGATCTGACGGGAAGCTAACGGATGGCTTGACTTTGGTGCCGTGGAAAAACGGCAAGTGCTTGGTATGGGACGCTACATGCGTTAGCACAGTCGCGGCCTCACATCTGAGTCGCACCGTCCAAGCTCCGGCGGCGGCGGCGGAGGATGCTGCTAGTAGGAAGCGATCAAAATACGCCGCAATGGAGACGCACTATTATTTTGTGCCTATTGCGGTGGAGACTTTGGGCAGTTGGGGGTCGGAAGCTAAAAAGTTAATTGCGATTAAAAAGTAATAAACTCCCGCTCCGGCTCGTTTCTGGGCACCTTTGCACCTTGCACCTTTGGGTTATATGATTTGACATGAATAAAAAAAAGTATAATAATTACTAACTTAAATGTATGTATTAGATAATGTAAATTAAAGACTAAATTTGTCAAAAAACAATTATAAGCTATAGATCAATATTTTACGAAATATACACCTTGAAAGTTATGGCCGCAATCGTACACTTGTTGTTTTTTATTGTTGATTATTTCTTTAATACTTAAGACCTATGCAACAAATTTTTTGCAGTTCTTTTTCGCATACTCTATTAAGAAGTCATCTCGCAAAAGGAGGCGGCGGAGAGGGCCGGGAGGACAATCTCCACTCGGACTCAATTCGTAGCCGGCGAACCGGGAGGCGCTGGTAAGCGCACCAGCGCCTCATACCGCCCTGAGTATGGCCGCGGGTGGACGGTGACGGATTTTCGTCTCCAACCGCTATAGTGGCCAGCGAGGAGGCGACGTCCGCGTGTGCCGTACGTCGCCTTAATAGAGAATTCACCTGAAGGTGGTGCCCCCGCTTTGCTATATTTATTTATTTATATATACATTCATATATTGATATATTCATTTAATACATCATGCACTTTTGGTGCATTGGCGGACTTAATGTCTTGTGAATTGTACAGGAAGATTGTAAATAAATATTTAGTTATAGTAATAATAATTAAGAGGGCCAGAGTTTAGTTATAATAATTAATTAAGCTTGTTCAGCAATGGGCTGATGATGAATATATTTTTTTACATTTCTTACAAATTACCTGTAATGTTCTGTAGGATGCTAATAAGGCACTCAACAAAACCTGCAATTCCAAGTAGGGGTCTGCAGGTCGACAAGTAACAAATATTCATAAGACACTTAAGTGCCAAGCTCTCAAATCTTTTTGTTAATGCTACAAGACATTGGAAGCCTCTGCCATCTCCTTGAATCTGAAACATTTAAACCAATACTTGCTTAGCAGTGTAACAGTATGTGCTGTCTCGAGTGTAAGTAACCTAGAAACTGTACAGCAAGGAAGGGCAGATTGGAAATCCATTAGTCTTTTCATGGAAGGTGCTGATATATAAATACTTTAATTAACTGAACAGCTAAATAAACGGACATTACCTGCTCAGCACACTGTGCAGTAGAATATGTTGTAAAATAGCCCAAACATTTCAGTATTCCTAAGATAAGTTCTTCCTGACTTTTCTTGAGTCCTTCTGTTTCTCTAACTGGAACAGTAGATTTTATAATACCTGCTGTTTCACATTCTGTGGTAAGTAGTATTGCTATACAGCGAACTGCATTAAGGCTCAGCATTTCATCCCTTTTATCTGTCACCATCCACAGTTGCCTGAAATTGATGTTATGAAATACACTTTATATGGATAAACATTTTAAACTGACTAATGATTTCTGATAGTAATTTTTGCCGCCCCTACTAACCTCTGCCATTCAATATAAATTTTTTTACGTGCGGAAAGCCTCGCGGGCTGTCACCCATGAAACTTTGGCTACAGCCCGAGGGGCGGTGCGCCTGGCCGCCAGGTGTTTATTTCTGGTGGTTGGTTGCATTTTTTTCTAAATTCTTTTTAAAAAGACATCCCGTACTAGGAATATATCCTGTGTCGCGTCGGACTTTACAAACATATAGAAACGGACACAAAGAACACCCAGAACAATAATTTGTGGATCTCACAAAGTGTTGTCCCATGTAATGTAGAAAACGGCTAGGTGACCGCTGATACCACACCTTATCCGTGCATTCAATTGACATCATTAAGGCGATTTTTTTTATGGTATAAGGTGGCAAACGAGCATACGGGTCACTTGATGGTAAGCAACTACCGCCGCCCATGGACACCTGCAACTCAAGTCACAAGTGCGTTACTGCCCTTGGAGTCCCTCACGCTCGAGTCAGCGGGAGAGAGGATTTGGGCTCCGGTAACCTCACTTACTCAGAGAAAGGCAATGAAAGAATTACTTAACATCGAACTACTACCAGAAAAAGTAACTGGACCTGATCCTTAATGAGAGGTGGCTCTTCGACGAGCACTTTCGAGAGCTTGCTGTAAAGCTGGACGGCGCTGCGTCTGCCCTTGGGCGACTTTTGCCAATTTTGAGTGGTCCCAGCGTAGCGACAAGACGTCTGTACACGGGGATTATCTGGTCCATAACACTGTACTGGGTCTCGCCCCTGGGATCGTACTTATCGCGCGGCGCAGCAGAAGCTCCGCGCGTTTGCCTCCTAGCCCAGCTTCCTGCAGGAAGTGGTTGAGGGCCTTTTATCGCAATGGGCGGCACACCCCCGTCGATGCCAGATCCCTTCTATTGTTGATGAAACATGTCTGTTTATCGACATTTACCGTGTATTTAGAGTAAATCTTAAGATTTGTCAAGTGTATGCTGGTAAATTCCGAAATTCGGTTGTTACCACAACTTGGTAAATCTTTGGTTTTACCAGGAAATCGTAGAAATCTGCTGGTAAATCCGCCACTTGCATGATAATTTGTTATGTGTCTGGGTGGGTATTCATCTATAATATCCATGTATATAGAAATATTAAAGTATGTTTATCAGGAGTTGGGTTGCCATAGCACAGGCTCTGCCTAATTGAGGTCAGACTGCAATATGTGAGATATGTGAAGATATTATACAAATGGCACAAGATTTAGATAGTAAAGATTTTTATAATAGAATAACTTTTATTTATAGAGAATTGCATTGAAATTATCTACATTCTTGGAAGTCAAAAATCTCATTAGTAAAATATATTATGAAGATAAAGACTGCGGAATGAGCAAATGATCCGTTTTAGTTTTCTTCTATTAACAATCAAAAAGCACAAATAATCTTTTCATAATATGTATTAGCGACATATATGTGTTTCAATAATGATAATAATAGAACCATGAGAAACTTCTTCTATTATTTAAAAGTGTGCCTATATTTCTAAATATGTTCAAGGAAAATGGAATGTTGTCCATATATAAGATACAGTAACCAACACTGCAAAAATTATCTTAATACTTTTAGAGCAGTTGCTATTTGCTATTGAATTTTTTCAAAGAGATAATAGACATTACAGTTACCTGATTGCCCTTACAGCCATTGTTAATGTTGGATAGGAAGTACTTTTATCTCTAGTCTCAATTAAGGTAACCAATGCCGTAACCACCCCATGGCTGTGTAAGCCTTCTGCATTTGAAGGCCTTTGTGCTAAGTTCCCTATAACACGGCAAGCTCGTCCTACTATACTATCACGGCATACTGTTTTGATTATATTGACTAAAGGGGCAAAGATGTATAATTTACCAACCTGGAATTATATAAAATGTTAAGTACACTATAATTTTATCTACTTTAGTATAATAACACTGAGGAATGACAACACTAAATACAGAAATTAATTTTTAAAATAAACCTCTGAACAAAATTTTATACACATGAAAATTTTATATTTTCTAATATACATTTTTCTATATTTATTACTGCATGATAAAATTTGATGCTTATAAATTTGAAACCTAGTTTATCATGGTCATACATATTCTTGTCACGATAATGATCATTTAAATAAATTATTATATGGTATATAGCGCCTACATAAAGATAATTGTATAGCAGATTGTTAATGCTTAATAAATTAGGAGAACTTGAGATTTAAATTGACTGTGGTCAAACTTAAAGAAAAACTACTGTGACATACCGTAAGGCTACTTTCTTCCTCAAGACAACAATTACCAAGTATACTCAGGGTAATATCGAGAATTCTTTCGTTAGGTTTGCGCAAATGTGGTAACAAATATTCTAAGCCTCCACATTCACGAAAAATCTTTATTCCATCGTCATTCGCTATTATTTTGCTTCTGATTTTTACAAGAGTCTCTTGGACGCGACTTGAGGATGATGATTTTAATCCTTCTATGATAGATTTCACATAATTATTTTCCATTTTATATTTAATAAATATTACTTTTCAGTTCCAATGTTTTGACATTATAGGCACTTTTAGGAAAAAGTCACAAACGCACAGACTATTTATAACTTAGATTATGTGTCAAGTCAAGTCACAAGTAAAGTGCAGTCACGAATTAAATCTGAAGGCCAATTCTCGTAAAAAAATTCGGTCTCAATTCTGTTCCGATCAACATTCGATCTCACAACTGTCATAAAAGGTATTTCCGTAGTAAAATAGCAAAGTATTACTAACACATTACCGACTTGTAATCACTTTACATTCAATTTTGGATGTTTACTAATTTACTACGATAATACGTATATGACAGTTGCAAGATCGAAAGTTGAACGGAATTGAATTGAGACCGAACTTTTATTACGAGAATTGGCCTTCTGTTTATCTGTTACCGAAAATTCTCTCTGTATATTCTATTTATGATTCCATTCTACAGGGCAGAGGCGGACAACACAGAAAGTCCTACACAATGGCTGTAGCCTATTTTGTACTTAGATTAAAACATAGAGATAAATCTTTATAGATTAAAAGCTGTATTCTTAACAAGAAGCTATAAAATTTTGATATAAAAAATGACGTAGAATACAATGCTATTTTATAATAATGGATGTTTTACTTCTGTATATCGATTTGAATAAAATTTACTTACGGGATTGTTGATAAACTGTATTTTTTATCTGTGGCAAATAAAAATGAAGAATTTGCAATGCGATGACAGATTCAGAAATTGTTCTACTTTGTTACTCTGCAAACTAAGTAAATAAATTATATTCAATTGTATTGTAACATAAATTTGTCATGACAGCGTTTTCTAAGAGATGAGTGTCTTCGGTGATTTTCAACGTGTGTGGGTGCAACGTTTTCCTGAGAGTGCTTTACCAGCAGCTTGGGAAGAAGATGTCAGGGCCAATTTATCTAAACACAAACAAAAAGTTGCTATATTGAGAGAAGAATTGGAGAAGGAAGAATTTTATGTAGAGTACTTGGAGACACTACTTTCAGATGTTGAGAAACATAAAGCTGCCGCACAAAGCAATCGGACGGCTCCGCCCTCGGGGGGTGACGTGAACGATCTCGACGATAAGAGATCTGATAGCAAGCAGGTAACCCAGCCTGTATACCTGTTTGTGTAAAAATACTATGTCATAGTCATCATTTTCTCCACCCTTTTATCACTGAAATTTTGGTATATTGGCTTTTAAATTATGTTATTACAAGTTTTAATTTATGAACTTTTAAAAAAAATATCATATTTATATATTTTATTTCAAATAAGTTATTTATAGATTTTTGAATAACCTATTTTTTTCTTTTAATTACAATAAAAATATTAATTCCTGAACATTATATATCCCTATATTCTTTTTTAAATGGGATAAAATAAAAATGTTAGGGATGCCTATTGAATGTGCCCAGTCTACCTTAATTACTGTATGAATCATGTAGATTAATGGATCTAACCTTGTAAGCTTAAACACATAATAAGTTGGTTCCTGTCATAATAATACTTTTAAAATTCTAGTTTTGTTAAAAGCATTTTGTTGTTAACTCATTGAACCCAGTGGTTGAGATGTAACTGACACTGTATACATAATACAATTACTTAATTTATAGTATTAAAATAACCTTTTTATATTTTAAATCCTTTGATCTTATTCTTACCTATATTTATTATGGTATAACATGGTACTATTAGGACAATACATTACATTCATATTGTGATAAATAATTACTCAACTGAATTGTCACCATTTATGTGCAATATATTAAAATATAGTATTTTCTATTATTTTTTAAGACTAGTAGTTCTGTAATTGTGTTAATCCTACATCAATTACACTATATACTTTACTATCCTGAAACATTCATGAATATGCATATAATGCATGGATAATATACATTCAAAAACTGATGAATATATAAATATATTATAACATTCAGATAAATCTGGTTAGTGTAATAATAATATTTAATTCCAATTGGAAACAATAATTGCTCAGTAAACCATTTAAAAAAAATCTATATTAAGTAACATTTTTATTCAATGCCCTACATCACTTTTAAAGGTTTAATATTTTCAAGCCAGTTTTCTAAATCAGTGGCATATAATTATGTATTATGTTGCTCTCAATAGAATAGAACCGTAACTATAACTGTGTCTATTTAATATTAATGATATGCAATGTTTATCTACACATGAGTGCAAAATAATTAAAGTTAACTGTTAATTGATTTATGAAGCGTATGAAAGTAACAGTAAGCATGACCTGTTACATGGCTTGTTAAATATCTTGCAACATTCATCTATAAACCGTGATACAACACTAGGGTGTGATGAATCATCAATGAGGATGTTAATGAGATGGATGTTATAAGGTTTTGAATACAAATAAGTTTTTATACATACTGCCTATGGTATTGTTGTTTAAACCTACTTTGAATATACAGTTGCCTAAGTTTAGTTAATGATAATATAAATAGTCTAGAGGTTCAAACCACAAGCAGATAATAAAGAACACTGAGGTTGTAATATTCATTGGCAGAGTTATGGGTATATGAATGTGTAGACAAAACATTCCTTTTATTAGAGCTTTAAATTGTTATGTTGGAAGCAAGAAGCTCTTTGAAAAATGTTTTTTTTTTCCTTAAAGTAATTTATAATAAACGTAATGTTTTATATAGGCATATAGGCATTTATAGGTAGCTGCTGAGCATATGAGAAAAAATCTTTTGGTCTGATTTTCACCTTTTAATTTTACTTTCCAAGAATTATGGTTTAATCTATGTATATGTTTTCTATAGTGAATATTTACTAAACTCACACTCACAAACTTAAAAGAATACATACATATGTATATCTAAGACTGTTAATGACTATTATTTTATAGATCACATAATAAAGATAGTTAAAAATTAATATACTATACATAAAACTGGTTAGTATTATAAATTTTCCTTGAATTTAGTTGAATTTGGTTAAAGATAGGGTTAATTGTATTATGTTATCAATTCTTGAAGGCTTTCTTAAATGTCAAGGAGAAGTTCTTATAAAAAATAATGGAAATGTATTTTTAGGGTACCAACTATGATTCTTTGCCTAAGGACATTGAGGCAAATGTCGTAAGTAATGAAAGTGATGAATCCACACCAGTGGAGACAGCAGAATGTCAAGTGCAATTGAGGAAAAAGCCTGTTCGCATAACTGAAAGGAGCTCTGTTAATCAATGTATCAATGAACTGTCTTCTAACTTAGCATCTGAAGCAGCTCGAAGAAGATGTAATAGTGAGATTTTCCAGAGAAACGATATAAAGCAAGAAAATAATGGTAATTATTATTAATCTTAAACTTTTCTTTAGTTTTGTATGATTCCTACTATTTTATTAGCATATTTTATTAGTTAAGTGTTGTAGTTATTGTCAAACTACCGCATATAATCTAATAGGGTAAGTCCTAAATGAAACTATAATTCCATACTCGAAGTCTTGGGTTCAATGCCCGGATCGGACCAAATGTTTGCATGATTTGCAAATATTGGTTTCTTTAATATCAAATATTAGGTGCATTCTATGTGTAATATGTATGTATTTACAAAAAAAGTAAGAAGTATTCAATTTTTAGTATTATTTTATAGTACAAGCTCTTCTTAGTTTGAAAATAGATGGCGTTGTGTGTTAGATGTCCCAAAAATATTGTCATTATTATTCTCTTTCTCACAATGTGACATTGTTGACACCGGTATTAATTAATAAAATATTGTATAAATTTATTGAGGTACTCTTACTGATTACATTAAAACTAATGTTTGTGAATCCAGAGAGGATTTTGTGCAAAGTCTAGGATTCTTTCTACTGAAGATAATCCTGATGTTTGACAAGCAACAATACAATGAAATCTTTTTTAAAAAGACAACTCCCGCATTAGGAATGCGGGGGACTTTACAAACATGCATGAAACGGACACAAAGAACACCCAGACTCAGAACAACAATTTGTGGATCACACAAAGTGTCGTCCCATGTGGGGTTTGAACCAACAACACTCGCCGTAGTAGGAAGCGGCGTGGCGACCGCTTAAACCACTACGTCATCCGTGCAGTCAGCTGTTGTTCACCTTGCCATCACTTGAGTTAGAAAGACGTGTATAAAAAAGCCTGTCACTGTTTTGTTTCTGCTAGGGATCCACGGTCAATTATGCCGAGCGGTGTCACAGTGTTTCTTTTGGTGTCTATTACTGACACTAATCACTGTAATTTTTTTTAATAAAAATCTAAAATAGTGATGGTTAGTTTTCGTATGTTTTAGAGTCAAGCTATATATTTTCCAACTTATATAAAACAATATAAAAAATATAATTGTAAAAAAAAATTGTCTCCTCCAATTACTTGGTGGTAAACTGCAATTTTTATGCAAATTCTCTTGGAATCAACTAAGCAATTAACCAAAGTGGAAAGTGTTGTTAAACGAATTTCTCCTACAAATTAAAAAATGTTTCTATTAAAATCAACCTTTTAAAATGAAGCCACGAAGTTACTAAATTTAGAGGAGGCATCCTGTTCAATTTTTATTTTTCAAATTATTACAACTAACTTTGTTTTCGAAATCTGCATTTCTCATCTCCACTAAAAGTAGGCGCTCTTTATTATTTTTCTCCACAGATATCTTTTCTGTGTCGTCGTTGGGTCGATGTCTTGATTTCTTGTAATTCAGCCATGAAGTTGAGGTCTTCCGCGCTCTTTCGGTCCTGGCTCGAACACTTATTTAGGCATGTGATATCCTCATGACTTGGCATACAATGGCAGTCGTGTTTCTGTTAAAACATCCTAGCATATGATCTGAGCATTTTTATTTCGGTGATATGTGAGTGGTGAGGTATGTTTGTCGGCTTGCTGTTACTTTAGCGGCCAATATTCTGCTCTGTACAGTAATACGGCAATGCCAACATACACTTTACCTTTGACTTACATATTTTACCGTTTTTGATCTATCCTCTTAGATGCTCAACGTCTCGGACGATTGTTTAAACGCCATATTTTGCAGGCACGTGTTAAGTTGGATGTTACTGTCAGTTAATTTACAATGCATGTACTCAGCTTTGTCTCTATTAATCTTAAGCTCTTCTCCAGTGTTGTTTGGAAGGCTACTAGCTCCTTATCAATGAGGTCTACATGAAGTATGAAAGATACACCATGATGTAGATCCGGATCAGAGTGCGGATCCCTAGTGTTCCCCCACATTCGCATGGAATTCAATGCCGATTCCTATTAGGACTTGTCTTCGTAAAGAAATTGTAGCATACATGTTAGCTACCATTTGTATTGTATTTTTATTTGATATCAAATAAAATAGCCATGTTAAGATGTTTTATAAAACTGGATAGAGACAAAATTAATATCTTCTTAGAACTGTCTTAAAGAAATGTAGAAATGCTCACGTAATGTTTCTATGGGTGTTTATGTGATCCCATTATTGCAGTAGGAGTAGATTCAAGTCCAAATCAAGCAAAAAACCGTCCAACATCACAAATTGGTGATTTCGTAACAGTCATCGAAGTAAATGGTCTGAAATTAGCAGAATCAGCGTCCAAAAAGACGGAAGAGTCACAGCAATCGTCGGAAGGGAGCCCCGTCGATCCTGTAGCCATTGCCAAGAAAAAAGTTCCACCAAAGTGAGTATAATACAGATATTTATATGCTAATAGTGGCTTTTATGAAAATCAGATCAGCAGTTTTAAAAACATTATGTCCTGTTTAAAATTTGAGTATTCATTCATGTGAAAAGTATAGCAGGTATACTATAACTATTTAAAGTGATAAATGCCAGGCTAAATGGGAACCGATTAGGTTAACACATTGCAAAGTTAACCAATCCTAGCCAGGTCAGTTTATGAATGGGTGATCATGATGGGTGACCACGTAACGTTTAGTGGTTATGAGTTGTTGGAGCCCTAAAAAGTCCGACAAAAGTCTTTCTAGAGAACTTCAATGATCTACTTGGGTTGTGGAGGTCTGATAGCAGTCGCCCTGCATAAAAAAACGAAGTTCAGCCGGATCGTAGTAGACTTATGGCCGATCCCAACCTAGTTGGAGCAAAAGACTTGAAGGAAGATGTAACAGTTATTTAAAAAAAAATAAGTTATGAAACCGCTTAAAATGGTGTGTCTCAGCTATTATTTTTAATAGATATATTATACTGTTTGTTTATTGTGGCAGGAGCCTATGATTAATTTTCTCTTCTCATTAGAGTTTATAACTTGAAAATTAACCGTTTCCAATTTTTTCAATTACCATCTTGGTATAACTTTACTATTTTACTTAGGTAATTATTTTATTTATGTTATTTAAAATATCAAGTATCACCACATTTTAGGCCTTTTTTTTTGTTGACTGGGTAGAAAATCCCTTCGGATCAGATTTACTACGAAAACTCAAACTCAAACTCAACTTGAAGTTATACATTTTAAGCACTATCCATTTCCTTGTTTTAGACCCCCGCCAAAGGTGTTCAGCAAACGCGGCGCCTCTTTACCTGAGACTGGTTTAGCAGAAGATAGTCCACCATCATCTTTAGGGCGTAGAATCCGTAACGCGGAATCCCGCGAGTCCATCGCCAGCAGAGCGTCGACGCCTTCCATTAGTGAACGAGTAAGTTACATTTTATTTATGACATTTACTATTAAATTGTCTTGTAAATATCACGATCCGTTTTCGTTAACCATTCGATCGCATGATGTGTTAATGGGACTTATGAGGATTTTATTAGTTCCAAAGTTTTTACTAGTAACATCTAATGCTATCAAATCAAGTAAGTTATGTATCCACTACAGGTTAAGAGCTACGAGTCTATAAATTCGCTGTCATCAGAACGTAAACGATCTGGTGGTGCGGCGACACCACGGTCTATTGACGAAGAAGCTATATCTACCACTCCAGACTTAGGAGAAGGTACCGACGCCGATAAATCAGCACCAATATCACTAGAAAGTATCCCGGCAGTTTTACCTGGTTCTGAAGAAGAACCGTACTACGATCAAGTTCCAGTGGACATTAATGATGGAGAGTACGTTTATATACAAGCAGGTAGGGGAAAAAAGTTGTTATTTATGTATATTTAATTTTATCAAAAGCTGCCCTAAATACTTCTAGATAGCTAAAGTATATATTCCTATAAATCGTTAATATATTCTATAATGAGTTCATATTTACGCTTTACTGTTGTTACTCACATAACACATAAAGTGTATTACAGTTAATATAATTAGACGACCCAATCCAAATTTGTAACGAAATTCTCTAATTTACAATTAAATATCTATTATGATGTGCAAACCTGCACTTTAGCTCTGTTAATTACTTCGTTTACATACAGACGAATCAACTAAATAATAAAGAAAATTATGTAAATGTGTATTGAAGAGAATACCCAATTCCTTTTATAATAATAATAAAGCACAACGATTGTCGGATCAAGTACGAGCTATACAGCGCTGTCACCTGTTGGATGATGCAGTACTTGAGAGGATACGTTCTGACATCGGAATAGCTTCAATATCCCTTCTTCGTCACACACTGTGGATTTGGTATCTAACAGCACACCTCAGTTAGTATCACATACTAATGATGTTGATGAATTACAGTCGTCACAAAATAAGAAGACCGTTTTGACATTTGTCATGGTGGCGTAACTAGTGATTAACCATACGACTCGGTGCACGATACTTACGATAAATCGATTCAAGCTTGTAGAGTATTTGATTGATTTGACTATATATCACAAAGTGCATTGGATTTAAGTTATAATTAGAACATATAACTTAAACTTTAATGTTATAGGCAATTTGAAATAATACAATGGAAAGAAATGTCAATTTGTCTTTAATTTAAAAATTTAGCTCAATCACAACAAAATCAAGAAAAGTGAAATCAATCATTTTCTTCTAATGACGAGCCAGATGAGCTATCGTCGCCTGTATATATAATTATTTCATTTTCTATAATATTATCAATATTGACGTCTCTATCATAATCTTCCTTTATTATTTTTCGCGTCTTTTCTACCACTTTTGCCCAATCTTCTTTAGTTATTTTATCACAAGCTTCTTTTAACAATGTCATCATATTCTTAGTGGAGAATGGTTTCTTTGTATTATGACGTGCTGCGTATCCTTTGACCTGAGCTCAGATTAATTCAATAGCATTGTACTGACAATGGTACGGCGGCGTTCTTATCAATTTGTGACCATGTTGAAGTGCCAATTCATCGATTTTATATCTTAATTTTGCAGGTTTATTTTGTTTTACTAATTCCAGCAGTTCAGCTTTCAATAAATTCATGTCAGCTTCTACGCCTTTTCTTTGTAACCACGCCACTAAATCTGCCTTTTTGCTTGCTTGAATAGGTGAATTATCTATTTGAACTGAATGGTAAGGTGCATTATCCATAATTATTGTGCACTGTTCGGGGAGGTTTATTAACAACTTAGTAAACCACTCAAAGAATTTATTTGCATCCATTTCTACGTTGTATTCTTTTGTACTTCTGGACTCGAATGCGAGTAGAGCATCATGCACAAAACCTCCCCCGGCTGATCCGGCATGGCAGATTATTAGGCGTCCACCCTTACCCATTGGCATTTTGAACAGGATGCCTTGGTATCACCCGTCCACCCGTTCAGCCAAGTTTCATCGATAAATATGACATTATACCAATTTGTAATTTTGTTCATTTGCCTCAAGAATGATACTCTGTGCAAAATTATATCATATCGTTCCATCATAATTTTCCTCTTGTCGGTTTTCTTGTAATTGAAACCAATTTGCTTCATAATTGTTATTAAAGATGTTGCACTGCCACTAAACAGGCCAGCCTCTCTTAGTGATACCACCAACTTACTTACAGTTGGGTACTCACTTCTCGTGTAATAAGCATATACGTGGTTTCGAATAGCATGTGCGTCAAATGTGTCAATACCTGTTACAGGCTTACTTTTCTTCCTCTTCTTAGGCGTATGTAACAAATTTTCTTCAGTACCGGTAGACCCATACTTTTCCTTCAAAATGGTTCGAATAGTTTTTTTGCCGATTCCAAGTGCTTCTGCTACGCGATCTTGCACTTGAGTTACGGGTTATAATGGTCCACCATTAACTGATTCGCGTTCGAAGTATTCGGTTAACTTCACAACCAATTCGCGTGATTGGCTGTTGATTGTACGTCCTCTTTTCGACATGTTGAAACAGAGTTTGTACAATATAACAACAAACACCAAAATCGAGTCCAAATCGCTATGCCTAATCAATGTCCGGAATAGAAGAGCCACGGTCAACGTGATAGTAAACAAAAACAGTCCAAAAGCAAAGCCGAGTCTAGAAAAAATATCAAACATAAACGAGCGCACCGTCAACTACACAAGATGTCGAACGAAAGACTGCGCAGTACGCGGTACGCGCATGGATCACGTACCGCTTGGTCATAGACAAACCATTCTATAGGTACATAGAGAAAGGAAACAAATTATGTACGGCTTTGATAATTCTTTTATAGACTGACTTTTAAGGACTGTTGTCAAATGTGACTGTTGCAAAATGAGACATGACGTTTGAGACAGAAAAATGAGGATGAATTATTTTTTTCAATATCATGATGAAATGATTTGGTTAAAAAACCCGGAGTCCACTCCGGGTTTTTTAACCAAATCATTCAGTATAAAATCAAAATATTCATATTAAATATCAAAATAAAGCTAAAACTATATGTGATCAGATTTTGTTTTTATATGTTTAAATATTAAATAATACACTAATTACACATTCATCTCTTTTTTTAATATAATCTTTGTAAACGATTTTCAGAAACTCTATTTTATTCGGCCATAAAACGGCTTTTTAACGGTTACAACACTACGGCAACCAACCCAAAGACATGACATTGTAGTAAAGTCCTGTCGGAATATTAATCAACGATTAATTCGAGTTTTTGAGTGCATTTTTTCAATATAAAGTTAAACTTGATGCTTATTTATGATACGCGTTGTGATAGTGTATGGGTAACATAGTAATTAAATAGGATTATGAATTTGATTTTTCAATTTCTTACATAGACGTTCATACAAAGTTATCGCGGCATGTCAAATGAGAAACGTCAAAACGGGCTTCTTATTTTGTGACGACTTTAGTGGAGAGTGAAGTTATATCTGTAAGTACCCAATACAATGATAGGATAAGGAGCGCTTTGGAGGATGCGATTCTGGAGTACCGGTATGTGAATTGAAAAAATAGACCCCGGTTATCCCGTTTGCCCATTCATAAACGAAATTTAGCGCTTGTGGGTGCCCTGGATTCGTTATTGCCTGATTATTTAGACAATAGCGAAGATATTGGTGATATACATTCTATTATGTACTGCGCGGCTGTTGCAGTTTGTCGAGTAGCTGGTGTTAATATAGTTGAAAATGGCACTACTACTCGACCTAAATCTACTGTACCAGCTTGGCAGTGTAGAATTGAACGTCTTATTGGTGAGACCAGGGCGCTTATTGGTAAGCTAATTAGTTTTCGATCAGGGAATACGCGGCCGATGCGCTTTGTGAAACAGGCATTCTTGGGGACTACCATTGGTCCTCAACAGTACATGTCATGTGTCACAGAGCGCATAGACTTTCTAAAGCAGAAAATTTATGCATGGGCAAATAGGATAAGACGGTATAAAAAACGAATTGATCGGTATAATCAGAATCGGATGTTCCAAAGAAATGAGAAGTGGGTGTACCGGAAATGGGAGGAACCGGATCCATGTGTGAGTGATGGGCATTTGCCAGATGAAAATGTCACAAATACATTTTGGCGTAACATCTGGTCGGTGCCTGTCACTCATATAGAAGGTGATTGGATGCGGGATGTCAGACGCTCATGTGAGTCTATAATACCTATGGAACCAGTTATAATATAATTGATAAAGATGATGTAAGCTGTGCAGTTCGTTCATTACCGAATTGGAAATCACCCGGTTTAGACGGACAGCACAACTTTTGGCTTAAGTGGTTCCTAAGCTCACATGGGTGTTTGGCATCTCAATTCCATGCAGCAATTACTCTAAGTCTGGTAGTGTCATGAATCCCAAAAATTTTAGACCTATTACATGTTTACCAACCATGTACAAACTTCTAACATCTATTCTGAGACTCAAAATTACTTTACACATTAATAATAATTCGATTATGTCAGTATCTCAGAATGGATGTAGAAGTGGGACCCGTGGCACTAAAGACCTCCTTATTATAGATAATAATAATAATAATAAGGTTTATTTGTCTTAAAAAGGTAAATAGGTACATAGGTTTGTTATGCTACTATAGTAAAAATAACATACATGACACCTTAGTGAGAGCTGGAGTTTGTAGTAGGTTCGAAACCTGTGTGACAAATCTCCAGGCTCCCACCTTAGCGATACAGATGCAATACATATACATGTAGATTTTGGGCAACGTGATACATTTTTTTATTTTTTATTTTTTTTTAATTCAAAATATAATTAAAAAAGGTAAGAAGCATTAGAAATTATTGTATACGTGCGTGTGTGTGTGTGTGTGTTGAGTGTGTGTGCGTGTGTGTGTGTGTGTGTGTTGAGTGTGTGTGCGTGTGTGTGTGTGTTTGTGTATGCGCATGAGTGACAGTACTTATTTTAGAGTACAGATTATCTTTTCTGTTTCGTCATAATCCAAATCAATCAACCACTTGGTAACAGCTTTTTTACATTGAAATTTAGTCATTGGGTACACATTCAGGATTGGACCATTAGCCAACAGGTGCGTCGTAATCGTAAGAGTTTGGCGACATGTTGGATAGACTATAAGAAGGCTTATGAATCGGTTCCACATACATGGCTTTTGAGGGTGCTGGAGTTGTATAAAATTGATACAGCTCTGTGCACTTTCTTGAAGTCATGTATGGGGCAATGGAGAACAGCACTTCGTTATCCAGGATGTCGGCAGACGGCGGTAAACGATGCACCAATAAAGATCGAGCGGGGTATATTTCAAGGTGATAGTCTGAGTCCCTTGCGGTTCTGCCTGGCTTTGAACCCTCTTAGCACTTTATTAGAGGGTTCAGGGTTAGGCTATAGGTTGCAGAAAGATGATCAAGTTATATCTCACCTTCTTTATATGGATGATTTGAAACTACTAGCCCCTACCAAATTACAATTGTCAACGTTACTAAAGGTGACGGAAAACTTTAGTAAGTCTATCAAAATGGAATTTGGTGTTGACAAGTGTGCAGTCATGTATGTAAAGAAGGGTGTGATAGTAGAATCTGAAGGAATAGAACGATTCAACAAAACTCGGATTCTGTCTGCTACTGAAACTTACAAGTATTTGGGTATATCACAGTCGTTAGGCATACCAGAATCTGACATGAAACAAACGCTGCAGGAACGTTTTTTTGGCCGCTTGAAAAAAGTACTTAAAAGTCTTTTATCAGGGGGCAACAAGGTGCGAGCCTGCAATGGTTGGGTCATACCGTTTCTTATGTATTCCTTTGGTATACTTAAATGGACTCAGACCGAATTAGATGCCCTTGACAGGAGAGTCCGTACATTGCTGACTGCATTTCGAATGCACCACCCACGTTCATCGGTTATAAGATTGTATATCCCGCGAAAGCTAGGGGGTCGCGGGGAATGCATCGCAATGTAGTTGAAGTGGATATTGGATTCACCCCGCTCGCTCTGGGTAAAGAGAATTGGCGCCTACAGGTTTGCGCCAATCTTAGTACTAATGATCGTAGGGAAGTATGAAAGGGCAAAGAGCTCCATGGCCGGTTTTATCGGGCCCTAAACGGGTCCGATATAGACTTTAAAGCATTTACGACTTGGCTACGGTATGGTGATCTCTTCGGAGAAACTGAAGCTTTTGTTTGTGCGATTATGGACGAAGTTATCATGACGAATAACTATCGGAAATATATCCTGAAAGATGGTACGGTTGACATCTGTCGGGCATGCCACCGTCCTGGAGAATCAATCAGGCATATTATTTCTGGTTGTTCTCGTCTCGCTAACGGTGAATATTTGCACAGGCACAACCAAGTAGCCAGGATCGTACACCAACAGCTTGCTCTTAAATAATATCTTGTGAATCTAGAGGTGCCATACTGCAGGTATGTGCCCGACCCAGTTCTCGAGAATGGTAGGCCCACGTTGTATTGGGATCGATCTATTATCACAGATAGGACTATTGTTGCCAATAAGCCTGATATGGTAGTGATAGATCGATTAGAGCGATGCGCAATGATTGTTGATATCGCCGTTCCTCATGACGAGAATCTCGTGAAAGTAGAAAAAGAAAAACAAATAAAATATTTGCATTTATCTCACGAGATTGTCGATATGTGGAATGTCGATTCAGTGATCATTGTTCCGATAGTCGTATCTGCTCACGGATTGATAGCCAAGAGCCTCGACCAACACCTTAAGACGCTCACGTTGGACGGCTGGATCAAGGGTCTGATTCAGAAGGCAGTCCTTGACACGGCTCGTATAGTGAGGTTCCTATCTTTGGAGTCCTAACCACCGGTGTCCTGATCCCTGTACCCGATGTCGGTGGTCTACTATTTTTTATATTTTTAAATGTATTTTTATTTCTTTTGTAATATATTTAAAAATGTAATTAATATGTATATATAATTTAATAAACTGAATAATAATAATATTCTACCACATACACACAACGCCCTCTAGTCCCAAACTAAGCAGAGCTTGTACTATGGGTACTAGACAACAGATATAAATACATTATATACTTTTTTTTGTTAATAGATACATATTATACGAGGGCGGGTCAATAAGTCCGTGACTTTTGGAATAAAACACAGATTTTTTGATAAATAAATCATTTTATTTTTCAACGTAGTCTCCCTTGAGCTCTATACACTTTGTCCAACGCTTCTCCAATTTTTTTATCCCTTCAAAAAAATATGATTTGTCGAGGTCCTCAAAATAGGCCTTTGTTTGCGAGATGACTTTATCATTGGAGTCAAATCTTTTTTCACCAAGCCATTTCTTCAGGTTTGGGAACAAGAAGTAGTCACTCGGAGCCAAATCTGGAGAATAGGGCGGATGAGGGAGCAATTCATAGCCCAATTCATGGATTTTTGCCATGGCAACTGCACATGTGTGCACCCTTGCATTGTCTTGGTGGAAAAGAACTTTTTTCTTGGCCAAATGAGGTCGGTTTTTTTTTTCAAATCGTCATTGAATCGGTCCAATAAGTTGGCATAATATTCCCCATTGATTGTTCTTCCCTTTTGAAGGTAGTCAATGTGGATTATCCCGCGTGCATCCCAAAAGACAGTCGCCATAATTTTATTGGCTGACAAACCCACCTTGGCCTTCTTTGGCGCCGATTCACCCTTAGAAACCCACTGTTTTGACTGTTATTTGGTCTCTGGTGTGTTGTGATGGATCCATGTTTCGTCCACGGTTACAAAACGGCAAAAACTCCTCAATATTGCGATTAAACAACGCCAAACCTTCCTGTGAAGTTATTACACGATCGCGTTTGTGGTCGACTGTGAGCAATCGCGGCACCCATCTTGCGGAAAGCTTTCTCATGCCCAAGTGATCATTCAAAATTGAAACCACTGAGCCATGCGAGATCCCTACGGCTTCCACAATCTCTTGCACTTTCAATCTTCGGTCGGCCAACACCATATCGTGAACTTTTTCGATTGCTTCGGGTGAAGAGACCTCAACTCAACTCAACTTCGGCATCTTCAGTGCTTGTACGGCCACAACGAAATTCAGTAAACCACTTTTTTACCATTGAAATCGATGGTGCAGAGTCCCCATAGTATTTATCAAGCTTAGCCTTGGTCTCGGTAATGGTTTTTTTTTCGCAAAAAATAATGCTTAATAAGCACACGAAATTCACTTTTTTCCATTTTTTCCTCAAATTACTGGGTAGTCTGATAAAGATAGCTGTCAAACACAAACTAACTGACGCAGCAAGTTCAAATTTTGACAGGAGTCAACTGACAGATGCCTGTCGACAAGAGTAGTGTTGCTTTTTCAGTAAAGAGGTCAGAAATTCAAAAAGTCACGGACTTATTGACCCGCCCTCGTATGAACTAACATTACAGGCCTAGACTATACTCACATTTACATACTTACAAAAAAAACACAGTATACAATTCAAGTTCAATGAAAAAAAAATACAATTTGAAAACATACGAAATACAACAATACAATAAATGTCCATCATTTTCAAGCATAACAACAATGATCAATCTCAAGAAAATTTGTAATCTAAATAATCTTTTACCGTGTAGCCTTTTCACATAGTTTTTGTTTTACTAAAGACTTACATTTGTTCACGAAATTTGCTTGGAATTTTATTGTAGAATAGCACACCCTAACATCGAAAAGACATGCTTACTTTTTGTGGTCTAGTGGTTGGTAACACGGGTTTATCTTTATTTCTAATATTTATTTGGTGAATTTCGCTAAACTTTATGAATAAATGAATATTTGTACCCTTTAATTTATCCCTCAGTGACTGCCTATAACTCAGATTATAAGTTGCGCGAATAGCTCTCTTTTGCAACACAAAGATACTTTGAATGTCAGCAGCATTTCCCCACTACAAAATACCATATGACATTACACTATGAAAATGGGCAAAATACACCAGTCTGGCCGTTTCTACATCCATTATTTGACCAATTTTATAAACCGCGTATGCTGCAGAGCTGAGTCTATTCGACAATCCATCAATATGTGGACTCCACTGCAATTTAGAATCTAGAGTTAAACCCAAAAACTTGATGGTGTCATCAAGATCCAACTCCTTTCCATTTATCAGAACATTGGTTTGTACCTACTTAACATTAAGTGTAAAAAATCTAATACATTTAGTTTTTCTCGTTTAAAAGTAAATTATTAACATTGAACCAGTTCACGACCTTAGGGAGATTGCAATTTACGTCAACAGTAACTGATTGTTGTCGTTTAAGTTTAAATAAAAATGAAGTGTCATCCGCAAATAGCACTATCTCCTGATCATCTTTTTTTCAGATTTACCTAATCTGAAAAAAAGATGATCATGAATGATGGTCATTTATATAAACGAGAAACAAAAATGGGCCCTGCGGAACCCCCATAAACCCTCATTTGACACGTATATGACATTACATATACATTACGTTTTATACAGAACAGGGAATAATTATATTGTTGTAAGTTAACAAATAAAAACGACGACCGGATGGCGTAGTGGTTTGTGTAACGGACTGCTATTCCAAAGGTTGCGGGTTCGATTCCCGCTCATGTCAAACATTTGTGTGTATGAACATTTGATGTTTGATTTGGTCTGGGTGATTCTATGTACTCGTATTTAGTAACTTTCTGGTGGTATTGAGTGTTTCCTCGGCCTACTCAAATGTCCCGCTGGCTGTAGGTTCGCGCTTCAGGCCTTTGCTCTTGACTAATATCGGTTAGGCTACACGATGCTTGGGCTCGTATGCCGTCTGTATGGACAGGCCGACTCAAAACTATGGTCCTTTCTTCAAAAGGCCTACCCGGACCCTACACTGTACTCGCATAGTTTTTTTTTAATTTTATTGCGGACTAAAAAATACACCTCTGTGGTTTGTTTCGGAGTTTCTTCCCAGAGTGAGTCTTAGGTAATGCCGGCTCCATCTAGCTATAAAGTCCGACTTGTACAAATATCTGAAAGGATTTACTTACAGAAGTAAATATCATTTCAACATTTCATTTCATTTCAATGAATTCCCTTAAACTTGTTTAAAATATGGTACTTATTTGTTACTAGGAGGTACAGGATCAAGTACAGAGGATGCTTCTAGCGGCACGAGTACATTGCCACTTGCGGCAGCAACTCTCTCGGCCGTGGCACCCACTGCCCCGCGCGCCCCGGACTCACCCCCCTGCGCGCCCACCGCACCCAACTACGTCAACATACATTACTTTATACAGTAAGATTTAACAGAAGTTACTCTTTTGTTTCACCATGTCAAATTGCTGGCCAATCAATGATTTGTATGAATACTACTGCAGCATAGATTCATAGTGTAGGAACATGTACATACCGACCGTGCTTTGAATGACTGTATGGAATGATTCAAAACGAATTCAGTGCTACTTTTGAATTAAAAAATATTTAGAGAATACTTGTTGTTGTTATGTTATTTTTCTGTTTAGTTAGTTTAATATTTTCTTCATATGTATATCTATAATAAATTTGGTATGTTCCTAAATATCATGAACTGAATGTTTCATGTCATTCAGTCGTTTGGGTATATTTGTGTTAAAAGGTTTAATCTCTCTATAAGTAGAGCAAGTTACGGGCTTCATTGAGTCTGTTATATGTTCAGTTGTGTGAAAAAGTAATATAAATATTATATTTATATTTTGTTCAACGATGGAAATTGCTCCTATCATCTAAGCAATGCTGTATCTTGTTTTTATAAGTTACACGTCCTTAAATAAGATATTCACGTCTTCTTTTCTTATAGGGAGGGAGGTGGCGATGCTGAAACTAGCGATACTGTAAGCGAATTAGCAGATTCCAGCGATACCCCTCTATTTCTAAGAACGATATCCTCAGACACTGAAGCCAGTGCCACTCCACCTGCATTAAGGAAACTGCAGACACAGGTAAGTAATATATTAATCATCACTTTGATCATAATCAGCATATCGCCGTCCACTGCTGAATGAAGGCCTCCACCAAGAAGCGCCTACTATCCCGATCTTTGGCAGTCCGCATCCATTCACCGCCAGCCACTTTCTTTAAGTCGTCGGTCTTTTAATATATTGATAGGTTAATATCATTTACTTTTTGGCGTTTTGTTCTTTAAAAGGAAAAAAGAACCTTTATAGAATCAATTTGTTGTCCATATCTTTATCCCTGTCTTGAGACGCTCTTTCTCAAGAAAGCGTGAAGGCATCGAGTTAAAACACTACAACTAAAAGAGAAAATCCGAAAGTCATTGGTTTGTTATTCTATAGCGTAAAAATATTTTTATTTGCAGTCAAAACCTTTTACTCTTGCAAAACTGACTAAAATGGGCAAAAATTCTTAAGGATCGATTCTCGAGTTTGACCTCTTATCTAAATACAAATTGTTTGTTTATGAAACACTTGTTAAAGTCGCACTTATCCACATTTTTAAGGAACATTTTTATCTAATTGTTAATTGTTGTAATATTAATTTAGTTCATGAAATTTGACAAGAAGTAAAGTGTGATACCTGATATGTTGATGAAAGCATTCAATTGTTATCACATCAAATTGTTTTACTTGGTTTAAGCTAACAAGCGTCGTTGGAGAATTAGTTTACCCATTTTTTATTTAAGTTGTTCAGTGCAAATCTAGTGAATATTCGAAGTAGTTGCGATTCCCTTAAAAAGATAATACAATACTTGTAGTACGAAAAAATAAATAATGGACAGGTCTTTATACCTTTATCATAGCTCTGTAACTTAATTACAATCACGTGATAATCTATAAACTTAACTGGTATCTTATCTCAGAGCTACAGTGATAAGGAAGTAACCATTAACACACATTCATTAATTCGTAGCGTAGTTTCGGGACCATGAAAACAATTGTTAAATATTTTCTTAAAGTATTTTATTCAATAACATTTAATATACTATTTCTGTATTTTACTGTTGACGCAAGGAACATTGTATTTTCTACTCGGTTCACTGTGTAGTGGGCATGGTTAGGCAGCTTCCCTGTGTTTTATCCTGAGTAACGGACGTGGCAATATCACGTTTATGCCTTAAACTAATATTTTGTAGTGCTTGATGTAGAAAATACTTTGGACCTCTGTTTTTTAGCGAACAACATAGGGTAAAAAGGGCCGAAATATCCGGGTTCGCCTTCTCTCTATTCAGCAGCCGTGGACATGATCTGCTACATATTTCCATTCGACCCTAATCGTTACGTTAACTGTCAACGCTAGGAAAAAATGTCTGGAAAAATTACTAAACGTCGGCAGGTGCCTTATCGCGTTTGAACTCGGTCTAACAAAGCTATAATCCTGAACTGCAACAAAAGAGGAGCCATTGGAAAGCTTGGCATAAAATTACCTGACGGGTGCCAGCGAAAAGAGCAGAGAATGTTTTACTTACATGTGTTGCATCTTCTCGATCTCAATGCGGTACACGTCGTTTTTTGGTATTAGTGACTTCCAATATATTTATGTGTCCGTGGGCACGCAGTACACATTAGTGACCGTTTGGTAGTATCTTTATTTTTAGATCTTTAGTTCCGTAACTTCGTGCTTGCCGACAATAGGATTGAATGCACGTGTCAAGATGTAATATTAATATAAATATTTGGAACGCCACTGTCTACCCCTTCCGGGATAATAGCACGAGTTCTAGACCCCGTGGTATATACAAATATTTTTAAACAGTAAAGTTAATGCAATGAAAAAGAAAGTTTTTATGTATTTAGCAGATAAGCAGTTGCAAATGTTTCGCAGTACGATTCTTGGTCATGCGGTATTAAGGAAATTTCACATAACTTACAACCCTCTCGGAGATTAGGACATGTCAAAAACCTGCATAAAGTAACTTCTTCATTACATTTCGTTACAACCTTTGCCTTCTTTTTATTCGCATTTAGCTTTGCGAACGTAGATTCCAAGATACTTAGCAGTTGTTTTTCATTCCCTTGTGAATTTGTCGAGCTTTCAATTAACTTTACATGGTGGCTTGCCAGTTCCGCTTTATTACCACGAATGTATTTTTTGTTTAGTACTGTTGATGTAATGTCGAAATACAATACGTTGTCTGCAATTTCTGGCTTTATATTGGCAGCTGAATCCAAGTTTATAATTTTAAGAGACTTCTTTTTCAGCTTACTCCATGGATTAAAATAAATTACCTGGTCGATCTATTTATACATGCAAAATAATTTAAATGTCAGTGAAAAGTTTATTTAAATAATTGCAATCATAAAAAGATTTTATTAATTTAGCTTAATATAGAAGTTTGTAAGTAGTTAATCTACGACTCATTAATTATAAATGTAAATGATAAACAGGAATATAAGTAGTTGCTTACTGACCGGTGCCGCCGAAGGCAGGATTATATTTATGATTATTATAAAAGGTATGAATGAAATCATTTGTCGTTTGGTAACATCTACGCATCTACACGGTAACGAGAACGATAGCGCTTACGACTAAGTATGAGAACAATTACAAGGCTTATCAGGGTTTCAAACAATCACGTGGGACTTTTTAAACAAACATTGTTCTTATTAATTTTTTATTTCCTAATTATTACTCACATAGTTTTCAATGTTTTGGCATTGGAACAGTGACCTGTCGTATTTAACTCCTTAACGGTACATCTCGATTTCATGAATGTCTTTTTAGATGCAACGAGAGTAATACACTTGGAATTAATGCAAAATGTAGCTTTTCCAAATATCTTACCCAACATTTTATTTTGTAATATATCCACGACTTCGAATGCAATGTTTGAAGGCAAATCCATTATTGACTCCATTGATGCGACGCTATCTGTAACATATATTACCATTAGATTAATGAGTAGATTAAATAAAATAAGTTTTATTTTTAATTATTCTAGTTCATTAAAAAAATGTCTATACAAGTTTAAGCTGACCTGTACTTTTTGAACCGGCACAATGTCCTTTATTATTTAGTCTATTTGCCGGTGCGCACACCCTGTGCAGACATGTTTTATCAGCGCAATTCATTGAATGACAAACTTGTTGAGAACAAAATGTTAAGATGCCACGAACATATTTTCCGACAAAGGACATAAAAGCTGGAGCGACAGTGTCTATATCATCCCAATCCACTTCACCAAATATGGCTTGTTCTAAAACTTTCGTGTGGTTTTGACGCAACGTTTCTTTACTCATGTTTATTTTTGTTTTCTTGTGTTCATTTTCTAATATTATTTTAGTGATGTTTTTCTTATTAGTAAGGGACTCGTTTGGCCCAACACTAGGCCAATAAAGCAACTCAGCATCAGTTAGCAGGGTCTTATCAGGCTTTTTGTTGGTATCGCGTTTTTGACGTACAATTGGCAGATTAGTAGTTCCGTTTGATATCATTTTCGGGAAATCTGTTTCAATGCTATTCTCAAATTTTCGACTGTCTTCTGTTGTGTTATATACAGTGTTGGAAATGTTAAACGTTAGGAGAAGACTTTCCTCAGTCTGTGATTCATTTATGATTGCATCGCTTTTATTTATCATGGAATTAATATCAAGTTGTAATATATTACTAGGTTCCATCATAGTTTCATTTACATTGCTACTTTTATTGTTATTTTTAATTGTATTATTATCTTCAAAACGTGTTGGAAATAAAGATTCCTGTTCCAGTTTGATGTTATGGAATGTTATTATTTTTTTGCGGTGTTTTTTATTATTATTGTTAATTCTGGATTTCTTCTTTTTATGGAGCATTAATTTGTGTAACGGTATGGAATCGTCCTTGTTATATTTTTGTGGCTTTTGGTAACCAAAAAGCTCCAAAGGGGCCGGCAAATTAAAGTATGGAAATGGTAATTTTATTGCTGTTGTAAGTTCTTTAGAAATTGTATCTTCTGGGTCAGTTCCTCTAAAAAGATTATGGTTTTTATTCTTCGCAACATTTTCCAGTAATTTTGGTAACTGTAAATCTACTTTAACATGAATGTTTAAAGTATTTTCATTTAATTCTTTTAGGTTATCGTCATTTTGCTTCATAGAACATAGTGAACAACGTTGAACTCCTGTGCCTTTTTGCTCCTCTAGTGAGCGCATCTTCATTTGTGGTTCTCCTGAGAAGGGTTCTATATGTATTAAGCACTGTTTACAATTACAATCGCACGGGATATGTCTGTTTTTACAAAAGCATGACGACTGCATTGGTTCAAATGAAGGTTTACTAAAAACAGGTGGTAAATCCAGCATTTTCTTATCTTTAAAGACTATTTTATCGAAATTCAATAAATTCCCATGATTTATTTTTGGAGTAACTGCCGTTATATCTGGTTTATTAAAATATTTTCCTTTTGAATTTATAGGAATGAATACATCTAACGGATTATTAAATGACGTTTGGGGAAGCCTAAATGTGCCAGAGTTGTAATTAGAAAAATAGTAATCGTTGTTTTTATAATCTTGTCCAGGCTTCGGCTTTGAAAATTGATCGTGGCGCAGAAGAGGTACCTTATTTTTAGGTTGCGTTTTTTCCTTGTAAGCCTTCCTTTGTTTATGAGCTCTCTCTAAATAGTGTTGATATTCTGTTAGCAAATCTTCAACTTTCTCATCGCTTTGGCTGTCGCTATTCGTAAATACATGGAATGGTGAAACCTAAAATGCAAATTGGATGGATGTGAATTCATAATGCGACCTATATATTTAAGTAGAGCATTTTATTAAAACCAGCTTCGTCCCCAAGCCATAACGCAATTCTTAATGTAACGGAATCCTTACCGTAAGGAACACAGAATGGTCGAAGTTATACACGTAAAAAATGATGTGCTCGATAGTAACCTACGGAATAAAGTTGCCAGGACAAGTACATAGAACGTGACCAATACGGCGTGAAGACAACCCTGCCTTTATAGTAGCTTATCTTAATCGTCGCCAAAACGGCTAAACAAAGGCTTCTTTCATAATTCAATGAACTGAGTCATGACTATACTGGTTGACTGCCTTAAGTGACATATAGATGTTTTTAACAACTTTTTATTACTAGTAACGTCTTTTTTTATAGATAGGTAAATGCAAGTCCAACATTCTGTATGCGCATGGTCCTCTGGTTGCAGAGATAATATCTAAAGACTTAGCATATTGGTTTTAAATACAAATAATTTCATATCATTAACACATGTACATTTTTATACTTACACCTTTATTTTCAAAGTCATTTATAATATCAGCGATATCGTTGTAGATAATAGTATCATAAAACGGAGTAACTTCAATTCGATTAGATTCTGCACCTAAAAGCGAAAGTTAATAATTTATTTATGGTCTTAATAAGTTATTACATTGATTATATTGTCTTCGATAATTTTACTCACTTTCGGAATCGGAATAACAATTAACTATATTCAAGAAATATATGAAACAAGATATGAATATAATTTCCATGGTTTGTATGCCATGCAGGTTGGAAAAGACTGGATTAAATTTAAATTGTGTCGACTTAATGTTTACTAGTAAACGCTTTAATATTTCCCTTTTATGACATTTGTTTTCCAAACATGTGTTTTAATGGCTATTGTGTGTATGATTGCGAAACCAATTATACAACTTCCCTGATTGCGTATTTTTAGTTTTATGAAATAGTTATTATATAAATAATTTGCATTTGTTTCAGGAGTCGAGCAGCAATAATGCGGAGGCCGAGCGTCTAACTATGCATCACTGCATAATTAAGAGCATCATTGAGAGCGAAACTGTTTATGTTGAATGCCTTTACGTTATGGAAAAGGTAATTCAAAATATTTTAATTCAGCGATTGTTTTTTCCGCATTCTGGCTCTGCGGGCATATTTACTTTCACCTTATAAATATAGACACACTCAGGGCTTGAAACTAAAAAAAAATTAGAGTAACAGTTTATGGTGTCTGATATTTTATTTGTAATAAATATATGAATGAAGGGTAGGTAGAGATTTACTGTACCTGTTGTTTTTTTTTTTTGTTTGGGGGGGTGGAAAATCCCTTCGGATCTCCGGCTCTTCGGGGACGCACTAGCCAGGAGTATGTGGTGTTTCGACTAAAAACATCCCCGACAGCCGGTCTCAGGCGCCCTGCTCTGGGGAGGACCCTGCGCCAACATGACAGCAATTATTGCTGGCGGAGACAGGTCTCGTCCGATTTGGTCGACCAGGGCCTCGCGTTCAGACGCCCATGCGGGGCAGTCTTCCAACGTATGCTGGGCGGAGTCCCAGTCGGCTGCGCAGTGCGACAGCGCGTTGGCGCGCATTCTGCGGCATTCCGAGCTCGTCCTAGTCTTCCTCACCCTCACCCCGGCGGATCGCGCTAGTCTAGTCATAGACCCTCGTGTGCATATCCGTCAGGATATCAAAAGGCAGGAAACGTGTCAGGACTGTCGCCGCCTCAGACGAAATTGTGCGGTAACCTCGTACGATCCTAATGGCCCCTACCCGCTGCGTTTGATTTAGGTTAGCTCGGCAGCGGGAGGAGGCCGATAGGCACTTGGCCCATATTGTTGCTCCGTAGAGGGCCATGGATCGTATCACCGCACAGTAGAGGCGACGTACTTCCTCCCGCCGACCCCCTAGATTAGGCAATAGCCTCTGTAGGGAGCCCCGCAAACTCTGGGGATCATCCGCTCAAAATGCTCCCCGAAGCTCCAGCAGCTGTCCAGGGTGAGACCGAGGTATTTTATGACCGACCTAGACCTCTGTTCTCCCTACTTAAATAGCGTGCTGGTGGGAACTGCACCTCTGCGTTACCTGTGAAACCACAGGGCTTCCGTCACTTTGTTCACGTGACACAAGCTGAAACTAGTCTCAAGCGATGATTTCTAGGGCATTTTAAGGAAAATTAATGTGTTTTACGATCATTCGTTTGTGAATAATTACGAATGATTTACTTTACTTCATGAAGGAAGGCCTATTGGTCTAGTGGTTAGTGACCCTGACTGCTAAGCCGGAGGTCGTGGGTTCGAATCCCACCCAGGACAAATAATATTGTGTTGAGCACGATGATTTGTTCTGTGTCTGGGTGTAATTTATCTATAATATGTATGTATTTAGAAATATATAAGTATGTTCATCAGCATTCTGGTTACCATAGCACAAGCTCTGCCTAGTTTGGGATCAGACGGCCGTGTGTGTGATGTGTGAAGTTATTATATTATTTATAATTAAATGTCATACTATAATCGATTTACTTTAATTTACCTTAATTGATATTAAATTCACTGAAATATACATTTCACACACACAATACTTGTTTAAATTAAAATCACAACTACCTTTTGGTTCATGTTAAAAGTATAATATTATTCAAGTAACATAAAATTTTAGAAATATAAAACTAAAAACATTGTTTGACATTTCAACATGACAAGTGTTGATAAATAACTTGAACGTTCCGTTATAGCCTATATCTAGTTATTTCATATTAATATCTATTATATTATTATTAATATTAATATTTATTATATTTAATTTTGGATGAACGACAAGCTTGTTAATATGTTAACATTGCTACACTAGCCAATAGTAAACAATATACAAATTCACAGAAATTATGTTTGTGAAAGAAAATTATTTTTTAAATAATTAGCTCCGTAATACGGAATAATAATGTCAATCTAGCGGAAACGTAAAACTTAAAACGCGTTGTATAATAAGATTGATACTAAATACGGGGACAAAGCTTACAATATTAAGATGTCCCCTAGTATAGTCTTATCATAATAATAGTATAATTAATTACTCCACACTATAACCACATAAGTATTATCTACATTGCATTTGTGCGTAGCCGGGGCGGATCGCTAGTAGAAGATAAACGAGAGTTTCATGCATGGAAATTAGACAATTATGTATACATTTTACTGTATTTTATTAAATTCATCTGATTATAATTAAAGGTACTTACTGTGTTCCCATGAATGCTCTCTACCTTTACAGGTGGAATCCATACTAATATTAAAAATGCAAAAGTGTGTCTGCACCGATTTAGATGAAATTTGGTGTAGAGATAAGTTTGAGCTCCGGGAAAGAACATAGGATTGCTTTTATCCTAGCAATCATCCTTTAGAGGGGTGAAAAGGGGGTTAGAAGTTTGTATGGGGAATCAATAACCGCTGAACCTATTTAGATGAAATTTGGTATGGACATAGTTTGATTCTTGAGTAAGGACATAGGCTACTATTTACCGCGATAAGCGACATACACGCGGGCGGAGCCGCAGCCAAGAGCTAGTATTTCAAAGTTAAAATAAGAATAATTGACATCACTTCAAAAATAGGGACCAAATCACTTAGTGTACAAAAACAATAGTCTTGTGAGTTCAAACCCTACATGGGACGACACTTTGTGTGATCCACAAATTGTTGTTCTGAGTCTGGGTGTTCTTTGTGTCCGTTTCATTTATGTTTGTAAAGTCCCCCGCGACAGGATATATTCCTATTGCGGGAGTTGTCTTTAAAAAAAAAATACTTCGAAAAAAACCGACTTTACTGCGCTTTAATTGTGACTTTAAATGGGTCCAATCTTGAGAATAACCAATTCAAATTAAAATTGTATTATCTCCTTCTTTTTGCACTCGGCCTAAAATAATACTGCGTATGATTGTTTTTGGTTTAAAAAATAAAAATAAAAAGAATAGTAAGGAGTATAGTATTTTATGACGTCTGTTAAGTTTTTTCCCAATTGTAAAACAAATAGCGGTAACTATACGATGTGAAAGATGTTTTAATAAATACTCACACCATGCTTACACTATACTTTTCCAGTATATGAATGCAATAAAAGCGACACTTTCAACATCACAGCCAGTCATAACTGAAGAAGAGTTTAATACTATTTTCTATAAAATATCCGAACTGCATGAATTGCATAAGAATTTCCTTGATGGACTCAACACTGCAGTAGCAAGTTGGGAAGAGCCTCTTTCTGTTGGGATACATTTCAAGAAAATGGTGAGTAAATAATGTATATTATAATAATTTATCTACATATATATATTAAGGTAAGAGCAGTTAAAATGGACTTTCGCTCACAATTAGTTGTTCTACTTCTAGAGACGATTTTATAATTAATAAAAATAAATAATAATATGAATAAAAGAATAAGAGATCAATAACTTTCATGTTTGTCCTTGTTATATGGGTTTTGGTATAGTTTTTAAAATAAACAAATCTATTAAATAAGGATATAAGTTTACATACGGTCTTTTTACGGTTTACTGTCTTTTCACGGATATATATATATATATATATATATATATATATATGTATATATATATATATAGCCGTAAAAAGACCGTAAACCTAATATATATATAGACAACATAATCACTAAAATAACCACTAATTTATCCCCCCTTGATTGGCTATTTATCAATATATATCACATATAGCAATAAGCGCCTCGTCTCATCCATTATAACTAAATCTTTTTAAAGAGTAGATATATATTTTTGTAGGCTGAAAACATAAATATCTACGGCGCGTTTCTACACAATTACGGACGAGCGACAGATGCAGTACGAAGACGTTGTTCGTCGTCACAAAGCTTTGCGCACCTCACCAAACAGATCTCGTGTCATGGACAACCAATGTCACTTGACGATTTGTTACACAAGCCTGTAGCAAGGGTACAGAAAAATGCACTAGTCTTACATGTAAGTGTAGTTAGTCATTTTTATTTTGTTTTACTTTATACAAAAATAACGGTTGAAAACGATCTACAGTAAATCTTGAAACACCCCGAGCATTGGCAGTCAAAAGAGGATACAAATTGGAATATTCGTTTAAAGTCTTTCATCATTGCCATCAGACATTTAAAAAGTTCAGATAAATGTATTTTACTATTTTTCTTAATCACATATCTACCAAATTACAAAATGAGATGCTCAGACACATCAACATTCATTTATTGAACTCACCAAACAAGGTTTTTTATTTAGTTAACACTCTTATGTCAATATTTATATGTTGCAGGATCTTATAAAGTATACCCCAGCCAGCCACCCAGATCACGCCATGTTGACGGAAGCTCTCAACATGACTCAGCATTTCCTAGATGAATTCAATATTATACAAACTAAATCTATGTTCCCGGTAAGTAATGACCTTGTATTTATTATCGTTGTACAAATAGAAGAAGAAGATCTCATTATTTTTATTATTTATTCGTAGAACGCTGATAGAGCACAAAGAAGACTTGTCAAGAATTCTTTTATTGTTGAACTCTCAGATGGACACAGAAAACTAAGGCACCTGTTCCTTTTTAATGACGTCATTGCTTGTGCTAAGTATAAGGTAATTAATTTAAATAACTACTTACCTAAATTTTTAGGTAGGGTATGCTATAAATTAAAGTTTTTAACACATCTATAAAATATTATATAACCATAACTTTAAAGGCAAAGACTAATATCTATAGGAACAATTTTTGCTCGTTATAATACAACATACATTTAACCATATCTTATGTTTTGTTAAGGCGTCAGGTCGCGACAAGTTCACATTTGAACTGAAGTGGTTCATTCCCTTACCGGACATAGTGGTGGTAGAGGACGAGGCTATCAGCGTTAGCGCAGCGGACACGCGCGAAACATCCCCGGCCAACATCGTAGCGCTCAAGTCGCAAGCCTCCACCGTACGCGATCAGATACTGGCGGAAGAAAGAGCTTCCACTGATGACAAGGTATACCTTCTCTTATTTCTGCAGTGTTTTTTGATTCTAAAAATCTTTAAAAAAAACCTTGACCGACTTCAAACAGTACTTACAAAGAGCACTAAAAACCTAGCAGCAATCGCGGTTAATTTGCTGTCATTTTATTTAAAGTTTCGTTGTCTAACTTCGAAACTCATCATCAGATCTATATGAAATTTAAATAGGACCATTTCGGAATAAACCGCTTGCCAACAAAAAATAATTTTGAAAATCCCTCTATATATGACGAAGTTATGCCCGAACATACATAAAAAAATATAAACATCCGAATTGATGACCTCCTCCCGCCTTTATAAAGGCACCCGCATATTCCCAGTTCCTAATTTTGTATACTTATTCATTACTTTCTTGAATGAATTTTGTGCGCGAACGCCCACGCTTTTTTACTGTAATGTACATTCTTTTTTTTTTACATTGTACTTAATCAAACTTAATCAAATTTACACTATTCTTAATCCAAATTTATTAAACTTTATTTTCTGTTTTTTAGTTGGATTTTCTATAAAAGCGTGTTTTTAATTTTAGTTTTTTTAAACTATTATTTATTACTCTCTGTGTCATTACTTACAAATAAAAACATGTCACAGAAAATTCGGCTCGGTGGGCGAGGTGGTGGGGAGAAGCAGCGCAAGAAGCTAGCGGAGCTGGAGGCGCAGCTGGTGCTGGCCTCGCCCAACCTCGTGTTTCGCGTGGGCGCGCGCGCGCCCGGCTCGTCGTCGCTGCAGCGCCAGCACATATTCTTCCTCAGCTCCGAGTACGAGCGTACGCAGTGGGTCGACTCCATACATGCGCTACAGGTAGCGACAACTCTCCTTTACATTTTGTCGCAAACGAGCCACATGAAAAATGCGAGCAGAAGTACTATCAAAAAACACGCTGCCACACGGTTAACGAGTTATACGTTTTATTATATATTTTCAATATAATCCATTATAGAAATATAATTTACAGGCATCGTCTGCTCCGCCGGCTGGATCTAATGCAATATCGATGTTAGAATTGCAAGCTTGGGTAACAGCATGTCGGAGTTACTTGCAGACTGATATGGGTTCGTACCTACTCCGCAGCGGAAGGGACGACTCGTTGCTTCTTGGGGACCTGCAACTACACATCGGGGGAATGACTGCACCGTTAGATACTGCAGCTGGTTCGTAACCATTTTATTTTCTTATGTAATAAAATATAAAAACTGTTTCTTTAGCTTCCCTCATGTATCAGTTACCAACAATGATATTTTGTTAACAGATTACTACATCGTTGTGGAAGTAGATTCTTATGGGCATTACTTCCGCAAAGCCAAGTCGAAGCTGGTCTGTCGTAGTGCGCAACCACGATGGAACGAGAGCTTTACGCTAGACTTAGAGGGATCGCAGAACCTGCGTTTGCTATTGTACGAGGATGCCGCCAGACCCGTGCTGCGAGGAAAATGTACAATCAAGGTAATTACTTACAAACTTACTTAATAGTGTTCAGTCACAGATCAGCCTGTAATAGATAACGCTTTATTGAATATTTGTTCTGATTCGAGTTCACCAAATTTGGCGGTACGCAAGGGTTGCGGGGGACGTGTCAAATACTCTGTGATTGGATATTTCAAGGTCAAACTTAGAATGCACCGAACCATAGTAACGGAACAGGATTGGGACTTTGATCGATAAATTTGCTTGATCTGATTTTTTTAAAATCAATAAATAAAAAATAAATATCAGTAATTTTTAATTTATTGATTAAAAAAAATTGTTATATGGATTAATGTTTATTTGAAATTTATTAAAAAATAAAACAATGTATACTTATATATTTGTACATTTAATTTATATATATATATTTAACAGATTTTTAAAACGGATAAGCTCGTCGAGTATTATATAGTCATGAGTGTGTGTGTGTGTCTTTAAAAAAAACTTTCGCGCAGTGTCGCAGTCGCAGTATATTTTGCCTCAGCGACATTTTGAAAAAATAATTTTTGAGTGACGGGTCGTTATTTAGCGAGGAACGTAGAAGCCAGATGCGTGGTATAACAGTGTGGTTGTCGGTCGCCAGCTGTCCCGCGAGTGGGTGTCGGAGGTGGCGGGCGGCGGCGGCGCGTCGCGCACGGTGCTGGTGGGCGGCGGGTCGCTGACGCTGCGCCTGCGCCTGCTGCCGCCCGAGCGCTCCGCGCGCCGCGTGCCCTCCGCCAAGCCCGGCGCGCTCTTCGGCGCCAAGATCACGCACGTCGCCAAGTATGTACCGCACTGTGCCATTACATTTTATATAACGTTCATTTATTTCCTCAATTATACGACACATTCATTTTTTTGTTTAGTTATTGGTAGTAAGTTTAACAAAGACGCAAGCTATTGTCTTTATATCGTGACAATAAATGTCGTTTGCTTCTATTTATATCTCTAGGCGTGAAAAACGCAACATCCCATTCATAATAAGCGCGTGCGTCCGCGAGGTGGAGCGCCGCGGTATTCACGAGGTTGGTGTGTATAGAGTCTCCGGGAGCGCTTCCGACCTCAACAGACTTAAGAAGAGTTTTGAGACCAGTACGTATTATAATTTTGTTTGTTATTTATAAAAAAAAAAACTACATTTTTGACTAAATCACCACACAGTTTTGGGAATGATGCGGTGTGTATAGATAGCGTTGCTCATCTCATTAGTTTTTTTAATGTAGATAAAGGACAAACCAATAATGCAGATTGATCAACGCAAATAACCTATGTAGAAACTTATAGAAAAGCGAATAGAACAATTAGTCGATATTAGCACTTCGACATTGGAACTGACCTGCAACTATAAAAAAAATATATAATGGAAATAACGTCTTTGATCCCACTTGCTTTTGTGCTATCTACTGACTTTGGAATTTGGTTTATAATAAGCACTATATAATATACTAGCGGACCCGACAGACGTTGTCCTGTCAAATTTGACACTGCGATGGTAGCGCCGTCTGTCTGATCCAATGTAAAACATTCCAAAATCAACAACTACTAATAAATTAAAAATTAATTAAAAAAACATTGTCCAGCGGACAAAATTGTGATAGTCCAGTCATTATAGTAAGTTCACCTCGGAATTCGAGATACCCAGCTGTAAGTCTGTAAATACTTGTATATTGACACCCTAAAAGTTGTCTCAAAACCTACATATGGTAGGGTGTAAGCAACTATTAAATTTCAAGGTCAAAAGTCCCAAAAATCGGTTTATTGCGCTTTTTTTGGAAATATCTCATTTCCTATAGGTTTCTGCTATTTGTATTCATTTTCAATATTGTAGAATACAAAATTCTCTACAAATTTTGTCTAAAAAAAATGTTTGTACGGTGAACCGTTTTCGAGATAGAGGGCGGAGAGCCCGTTTTCGAGATAGAGGGCGGTCACAGCATCACTTCAGGTCAACCGGTGCCTCCGGTCGAAAACGCGCCATATATAGTTGATGAACTATCGATAAATCAATGATTATAAATAAAAATTGTTCGGCCCAGAGATTATTAGAGAGTGGAACTCAAACCTTATTGGCAGTCTATAATGCTCCGAAATCTGTGAAAAGTCTCGATCATCTTCGTTATATGCATTACGTCAAGTCTACAAAACTTAATAAACCTGTGCAGCTTTCAAATATTCCACCAACAAGTGCAGCTGCTCATCAACATTTCAACCGTGTATATTATCAAGTTCAAACTTGGTTAGGACATGATTTGGAACCCCAGGTATGGGGTTGGACAATGCGAAATGATTTTCTGGAGCCTATCATGACAATTTTACCAAATGCTCCAGAAGATTTGCTAAATACAATTTTCTGCAACTGCAAGAGTGGTTGTGGTTCGCGATGCGGATGCAGGAAAGGCTTGCAATGCTCTTTAGCTTGTGGCCAATGTAATGTGCAAGCTTGTCTCAATGCTCTACCATATCAGAGCGACATTAACGAAGATGGAACCTTTGACCCCAAAATCATGGAAGAACTTGAGACAAATGTCGTTGAAGACGATAATGAAGATAGTGAAATTTACCAGCAGCCAGAAGACGACGATGAAGAGGAAGAAGATGATTAAAATTATAAATTGTAGTTTTTGTAACCTTTATTCCATTTTTTTACTTTCAATAAAAATAAATGTATTCAATGATATTTTTTAATAAAAAGATTAATTCATAATTTATTTGTTTTTTTTTCATCATGTAAGAAGTTATTAATATTAATTAGGTTAAAATTCAAATATAATTCCTATATTTTCATTTTAATTTTAAAATTAATTCTGCAATTACATGGGCAGGTAAGTGTTGGTTAATAAATTAATACTGAATAAAAAGTGGATAAGTATGGAAAAAAATGATAAAATATAATATAATAGTTAATAAAAATTGACAAATATTTATAATCATTGGTTTATCGATAGTTCATCAACTATATATGGCGCGTTTTCGACCGGAGGCACCGGTTGACCTCAAGTGATGCTGTGACCGCGCGCTCTCCGCCCTCTATCTCGAAAACGGTTCACCGTATAAAAAAAATTTTTAAACAAAATTTTAGAAAATTTTGTATTCTACAATATTGAAAATGAATACAAATGGCAGAAACCCATAGGAAATGAGATATTTCCAAAAAAAGCGCAATAAACCGATTTTTGTGACTTTTGACCTTGAAATTTAATAGTTGCTCACACCCTACCATATGTAGGTTTTGAGACAACTTTTAGGGTGTCAATATACAAGTATTTACAGACTTACAGCTGGGTATCTCGAATTCCGAGATTCTTACCTAATTTAAGCTTAAATGACTGGACTATGAATCTAAACCATTCCCAGATCCCCTTGAACACACACAAAAAATTTCATCAAAATCGGTCCAGTCGTTTGAGAGAAGTTCAGTGACATACACACTCACAGAAGAATTATATATATAAAGATTTGTTATGAATCTTTTTACAGATGCTTATGAAGCAGAGCAATTGTTGAAGGAAGTAGATATTCATTCTGTCACCGGCGTCTTGAAACTATATTTGAGAGAGCTTCCCGAAGCGTTATTCACCGACGCTCTTTACCCAGAGTTATTAAAAGCGTGGGGCTCCACACAGGTACAGTCATATTAATTTAAAAACTACTAAGGAGACAATCTTGAATACACGTTACTAATAGTCCTAAAACCTACAAATTCTACAAAATATATCGCATTCTTGAGCCCACAACCACATATATACCTTTGATAGTCCGCAGCCTGCAGCCCGTTCTGTAATAGTTACGTACAGAAGCCACACTTACTGATGGTACTAAATAATAAGCGACACCGAAGCTCTAGGATCTGAGATTGTTCTAGAGCGTACTGCTCGGTGTGGTGAAGGATTAAGGATACAGAGTGTCACCACCACTAAGGGAGCAAACTACGCAGGACAACAGCACTGCAAAGAGAAGGAAAGCTTGACACAAACCCTGTACCAACCCGTCTGGCCGGCGTGGTATAGTAGGCAAAATCTTCTTCTAAGGAGAGGCCTATGTCCAGAAGTTTACTGCTAAAGGCTGTTGATGATGATGACAAAATTATTCTTTTTGCATTGGATATAGTATTTATTAACAAGTAAAAGCGGAGAAGTGGCCATAAACGCAGGTGAAACTACTGTGAAGGCCTAGTATTTAGTATAGAAAATAATTATGCAATATTGAGTTCGTTATTATTTCTTTTTACTCAGGGTGCTGGTACGTCAGTCGATTCAGGGCCAGCTCAAACAAGGCGAGTCGCGCTGCTGAAGTGTTATGCTCAACTGCCGGATCTCAATAAGAACTGTATAGACTTTCTGCTAAATCATTTCGTAAAGTAAGTATCTTCAGAATACAACATTATTGAAAATACTGAACTTATTCCATTAGTTCTTGTTGATTAACGTCTCGTATACAGTTAGTACTAGTACTATTATATCTAACACGTTAAAATGCATAGGGTGAACCAACACGAGGCAGACAACAAGATGTCTCTTCACAACTTGGCGACGGTGTTCGGGCCGACGTTACTGCGGCCGTCCAGCGCGGGCGCCGGCTCCAAGCAGCGCACCGACCTGCTGGCGGCCAGCACCGTGGACGCCATGGCGCAGGCCGGCATCCTCTACTCCTTGCTGCAGCAGCGACAGCTCGCCGCCCAGCTCTCATCCCACCATCGAGTCCTTGACTAACTACACTATACGGTTACATTAGATCGTTTACTAATATTCAAATATCCAATATTTCAAGACTGCAAAAAACCTGTTTTTTGATGACGAAATTCTCTGCAATCCGAGGTAAATTTAGCTGTCCAGGTAATTCTCGAGAACCCTGTTTAAAAAAAAAACGATTATAATACTAATGGAACAAAATACCGTCGCGCAAACTTAACCGTTATTTAAGTAAGAATATTACGATAGGGTAGATAACTGTCGAGTCAAACCAGTCTCTTTTTTAAATGTCAAAACGCTGGACACGGCACATTTTTGTATGAAATACGTTTCGTGTGAATGTTGATATCAAGATATGAAATCAATGAAAAGATTAAATTGATAATGGAACACAATTCAGGCTCTACTTTGTGTTACATTTTATGATGCAGGCGAAATAATTTATTTTAAACCTAGGAATCTACCCTATTATATTCTCAAACTTTTTGACTTTTGGTTAGTTCCATTGCCCGATGCCTGATAGAATGAAACTAAAAATTCTAATATACTTTTTCTTAATAATAATTGCGAACAGGCGAAAGTAAGAGTATTTAGTTAATATTAGCTATTACTGATCTTTTCAATTGATAAATTGTAGGGATTACTCGTTAGCCTCAATTTTTTACCACCGTACCACATTGTTGAGAAAGTACTTCATTGACAATCTCAATGAATTTCGACAGATTATTGATATCTAGTGTTTTATAGATACTCCATAAATATTATAAACGAGTGTATGAGCCTGTGTTAGGCAAATGTATAACAGGCGCTATTTGAAGAGCGTTTATCAAAAAGTATTAATAAATTCGATTCAGGCTATTCTTGAATCCTACATAGCTGCTTATTGTGTTCACATTGGAATATGCAATTTTATGATGCATTTCTATCTTCCAATTATATTATCACACTATTTATTTATTATACACCATATTATGAATTCAACTGAATACATTCCATAATTACGACAACAGACTGATCATAGATGTATCATTTAGACGATAATAAATCATTTACAAATTAGCATATACGTAAAATGAAGGATGACATGTTATGGATAACACTTTAATATGGCTTTACCAGTGTACCGAGTATTGTGGTATACAACACGCATACATGGTTGTGACGTTGGCAGCTGAATGTTGTGACAATGGCACAGCTAGTTCAACAATGACAATGATTCAGAACGATATGTGGGTATTACGAAGAGGGACCGAAACTAAATTTAATAATTTATGATACTAGAATCATTAGCATAAATTGGATCAGACTGATAATAATAAATTGTGAGATAGTGAGTTTATTTCCATTTTGATTAGGATTGTAATTTCAAAATTACCTTTATATTTTAGTACTATAAGAGTTGGCAGAACCATACTGATCATAGATTGTGGAGAATCATCAGGTATGTAGATAAACACTAATAGATCAGTCTTGCGCCATAATAAAGGAATATTTTTAGTTTTAAAGCACCAACTAAATAGTGTAAAACCAATCTACTTTGACAGTCCAACTACTTCACTATTGAAAACATTTAATCATTCCACATAATTTAATTTCTGATAAAATGGTACCTGTCTGTACATGTTTGATTCAGCTTGTATGGTTTATAGCTTGCTCTATAGTATAAGCATATAATATATAGGGCACTGCAAAGACATAGGGATTCCGGATGATTAATGGACATCACAAACAGTTTGTCCACAACAGCATTTTACATGCTAGTCGTGTCTATTATTAAGGTGTGTTATGATGTAAGCAACACTTTCTAGTACTTGAGTAAGTTTCCAAGATATAGGTGTCACAGGAACATCAACAACAATGATTAGTATTTAATGTACGTAGTTGTTTTATTTCACAAATAGGCTTAGATAAATGGTGTTATATTAGTACTTAAAATGAAGTTTTACCAAAAATAAAAAAAATCTTAGAACAATGTTACGTTCATATATAACAATTTGTGTTTATTTTGTTGAAAAACATTAATAACCTTTAATTTACAATTGTATGTTGTTGAATTTAATATATTTGAGACATAGGTAAGTGACTTTCTGTTATTTTTTTCAATTGCATATAATGTTATTCTCCACCAAAGACCACTGTATATCACACAATCGATAGTTACATCATATCAAATATGTTGTCATGTAACTAGAGAAATGCTAATGCCATTAACTTATCAGTTTTCAGTATGTAACTCATTCAGAAAATAACTCAATTTATTACATTGTGTGCATACATTTATATGTTTTGCACACCATAATAATTCAAGAATAAGTAATTTCCATGAAAGTTGACTGACAACATGAAACAATACTGAATGAAAAGTTATAAATAATATTACTGAATGGTTGGTACAATGGTTGGTTCAATATTGTTTTAAATTTGCTGCATTGTATTTCAATACGGCTTTCAAAATGGTTTGCTTCTTGTTACTGAATTTTCCTTACTTTATTGATAAAAATACCAACTTTATTAACATCACTTACTGTTATACGCGTAGTACCACCAATACAAACAATTTTGCACATTGACTTGGATTTCAGTCATCATTTTTTATATTTTAATAAGGAGTTATTTTTTTGCCTGACTGAAAATGTTTACCTGTGCTTGCTGTTGCCAAATTGACTGTTGCCAATTTTGTTATTAAATAATATTGTAGTGACATTTTATTACTACCTAGTTCTGAATACATGTCTGTACTACATAACATGAAACCAATGCACAGTAATAGTAATGTCTAATTACATACAGATATTACTAGATAGAAATGTTAGACATGTGAAATCATACCCTAATGTTAATATATGTTACCTTGTAGTCTCCTGGTTTATATGATACATGTTAGTTTGCTATTTAATTACTTTATACACTTGTATTTACTGACATATTTTTATTAGGTATTGTTCCTCATAATCTGAATTGTGTTTAGGGGGTGATTTTGTGTCAACTTACTTTCTCTATTCACCAAGTCAGTTTGTGTGAAAAATTCCTGCACCAGCTGCTGTATTATATAGTATGCCCGCGTTTGGTTATAATACCTAACTTTGTATTGAATTTTTGTATATAAATGACACTAAAATGTAGTGACATAAGTTTTGCAATAAAATGTATTTTTAATACACCTTTCCAAAGATTTTTATTACCTGTTAACAACTAAATGACTAACACTAGAATATTCAAATTGTTGCAGTTTTCTTATAAAGAAAAGTCTTTATCACTTGTGATTGAATATATTTCTTATTAGGCTCATATAAATAATAACACACGAGATGCTGGTCAGATAAATGCTAATTAAAGAATGCAATAGATAAAGTAATCAGATTTGCTTGGTAACACTAAAATAACTTTGGTACTATATAATGTATTGATATTATTTAACTAATACTTCTTACTCAAACTTATGAGTGGAGCGGAGTGCTGAAAGATGTAGATGTGAATGTTGGACTGATGAACGAGATTCAGGAATGGAACAACTATAGAGGAATAAAGCTCATGTCACATACTATGAAAGTCAGGGAGAAAGTGATTGAGAAGAGAATAAGAGTGAGATAACCCAAAGCCAATTTGGGTTTATGCCAGGGGGGCACAACAGATGCCATATTTGCAATGCGGCAACTATGTCAGAAATACAGGAGTGCACAAAAACTTGATATGGTGGTGTGGTACCTGAGAGGTATCGTGGTGGTCGGCGAAAAGAGGAAATATGCCTATTAAGTATGTAGAATTGATTTGTGGTTCTCGCTCTTGATGATTGATGTTTCGTGTAAAGACAGGCTTTTCGTTGAGCTCCAGAGTAGGCTGGAAAAATGGCAACATAGGCTGGCATTGGCTTGAAAATCAGCAGAACTAAAACTGAGTACATGTTCTGTGGTTTCGGTGGTCCTGTCCAATGCTGAAATCATATCTCTAGTTGGGATAGCAATAACAGTCTGCTCCAACTACCCTGGCTCCTTTTTATAATGTGAAGGCAAGATCAATCGAACTATACAGCATCAAATTAATATGGGAAGGATGAAGTGGAGGCAGGTAATGGGAACAATTTGTGACCCCAGTTTTCCTTTTCAGATATTTTTACCAGTCGGACCTTTATAACTAAAAGGACTGTTTGGTTCTGAAAGTTGGCCCATGAAGAGACGCCTGAACAAAGCAGACATGCAAATGCTGAGATGGATGTGTGGTGACTCAGATGGACAAGGTCAGGAATGAGTTATACAGGGGAGTCCAAAAGCAGGGCCACTGGATGAAAAGTTAAGAAGTAATAAGTCATCTTGGTATGGACATGGTCATGCAGATGGATGATGTAAAAGTGGCGAAGAAAGTGTTAGGTATGGGAGTTGAAGGGTACAAGAGAAGAGGAAGACCAAAGAAAAGGTGGGAAAGGACTGAACAGTGAAATGGTGAATGATAGAGTAGAATAAAAGATTCATACACAACCCAAAATAAAATTGGGATAAGGGTAGGCAGATGATGATTATTTAATAGAAATTTTGCAATTGATGTAAAAGAATATCTTTGGTAGAAAATTGCAGTTGTTTCTCAGAAAAGTAAACATATACAGCTATAATTAATACTACTATTGATGCTAATGATTTGGAAACACGGACTATAAATAGTGCTATAACTAGCAAACCAACATACAATGACAATCTTTTAAATGTACTTGTTATAATATTTTGTTTCAATTCATTTTCAATACATGAGCCAAACCATAGAGCATACTTATGGTCACATGATATACAGTTCGAAGAGCCTTCACCTGTGCAAGTTTTACAGGATAAATCACATTCCTTACATCTATAAGATCCTTCAGTGTTTGTGCAATATTCGTTAGTCTTGCATACAGATTGACTGCATTCATTGATATCTATACACACTCCAGATTCTAGTTGCCAACCTGAGTTGCATTCTTGACAAGAATCTGCCCCATCACCACTGCACCCATTACAGGATTCATGACATGATTCACACAGCCCAGAATCTGTTGAGTAAAAGTTTTTAGTACATTCGTTACACAATGTACCAGTGTAACCTCTCTTACATACACATGTTCCATTGCCCTTCCTAGTACCATCACCATCACACCTCCCATGTCCACTACAAACTTTATTATCCATGTCTTTTAGACAAGGCGTACAGGCATCACCAAAATGGCTTATTGGACAACAATGTTGAAGATTTTCTATGCATAGCCATGTATACAAGTCAGTGGAGGTTGGATCTTCATGGAACCACCACTTTTCAAGAATTTGTTCAGTTTCTTCTGCTATAGTGTAACACTGATCTTGATGGGTTTTTAGGTCTGAACACAAACCTTCTTGTATTTCGACTAACCGAACTTCACTTCGAGAGTAGGATTTCAATTTTGTTTCCTCCCAAGCCGCATCGCCACCTTCATATTTTCCTCTAGAAGTTTTATCCAGCCAGTAATTGAAAGAATCCGTTAAAATTTTGCAGCGTCGGCACTCACTCAATCTGCTAGAATTATCGCGAGAACTTATTTTTTTGCTTCCCATTAACTCGCAACAGAAAATCAACAATACTAAGAATATATACTGCTTTGGTATCATAGAAAAGCCCATACTTAAAATTCCTTTTAAAAATATTATTAGCTGGGAAATACATACATTTATGTCAATTTAAATTTTATTGTAATACAAATCGCTTATTCTATGTGCCAACTTAACCTTTAAGTTTAACCATCACTCGATACTCTGTACCGGTCATCTGTCACACTTGTCATCTAATCAGTGCACTCAATGTATTGCTATTAGATGTCTATAAGTTGTTGTATAGTTGTGTTGTACGCATTATAACATCTTGCAATAAAAAAAAATATTGACTAAGCCAGGATTTAAATTTTAAAGGACCTTGTCCGGTCGGTCTATATGTTTTAATAGTTTGATAATGATAAGTTTGAGAACTGATTCTGCTAGTTAATTTTAACTAAATTTTAGGCTGAAACTACTAATCATCTTCCCTTTTCCCAAATTTATTTTCGGTACATCCTCTTTTACTCATTTTCGAATCGTTTTTCGATAAAGATATTTGAGAATTCCAATCACACAATGTTTTTGTTATTGTCAAACCAAACAGAAAAATCTCAAATATTTACAAAATAACGAAAGGAATTTTCATGATTTCTTGGATTTGAATTTTGAGACAGTAGTCTGTGTGCGTTTAATTATTACCAATTTGTTTTGATGATCAGAGCGTTGAATAATGATAATTTAATAATAATGGTAAGTAATTTTAATATCTAGGGTAAGTTCTTATTTTTCTATGACTTTTAGTATGTGAGTGAGTTTGTAGGTTAAGTATTGCGCTTTTTATAACTTGGATGAAGTTGTATGAAACTTGAATGAAAGGTTGATATGAGTAAGATCACGTCATGCGTATTGCCTATCTCGCATTTGATCATGGCATTTATGTTCATTTATTTTAGTAAAAAATATAAATCCCAACTAAAACGATAACTGCTTAAATTTTTACTTACTAGCTTCTCCCTCTAGACCGAATCCAACGAAGAGCGACTCGAATCGCCGATAGCCCAAACCATGGCGTTAGGTAGAGATGTGGCTTCACTCTGCCTTATCTATCCCATATATCATGGAGAGTTCTCCAAGGAATTTCACCGGCAAAATTTTCATCCCCATAACCTGGATAGTTGGCGCTACTGTGCGATTTCCGAGACGCTTTTTGCCTCGCACGACCAATCTGTGGAACGGTTTATTGTCTGCGGTATTTCCGGACTGATATACCTTCAAACCTTCAAGAAAAGAGCGTACTCCTTCCTAAAGGGCCGGCAATATGTTTGTGACTCCTGAGTTTCAGATGTGCATGGGCGGAGATTGTCACTTTCCAATCGGTGACCCGTCTGCTCGTCTGCCCCCTCTATCACAAAAAAACTTACAAAAATAACGAAGGCTAACAGTTATTATTGTTTATTAGTATTATATAAAAATTCTTTAATTTATAATTCTCATAGAAATTCTTCATAGTACTTAATAGTTCTCTTACTAATATTGCTATTCCAAAGGATTTTTTTTTTTTGGACCTACCATTTTTTTTTTCTTTTTTTTTTTTTTTTTGAAGTATGGAAATCCCCTCGGACCACAATGTTGAAGATCGGGGTTTGCGGCGGGGTGGTGTGTCGGTCTCGGACCGACTAAAACCACACGGTGTGCCGCTCTGCGCCTGTAACAGGAGGGATCCGGGAACAGCTGTTATTAAGACATCCGGACCCCTCCTAGCGCCGGCCCGCTCCTGTTGCGGGCTCCGTCTCAAAATTTTCCTCTCTTTAGGCGACGTCCGGCACACGCGGCCGCCGCCCCCTCGCGGCTGGCCAAACTAATGCGGGTGGAGGGGAAACCCACCCCGTCCACCCGCGGCCACACTCAGGGCGGCATGAGGCGGTGTTAAGCGCGCCTTCGCCACCCGGTTCGCCGGCGGCGGATCGGGTCCGAGTGGAGGTCGTCCTCCCGGGCCTTCTCCGCCACCTCCTTCTGCGAGATTACTTCCTCGCAGAAGGTTGCGACCGCGGTAAAACAACTGTCGCTACCGGCCATGAAGCGTACTACGGCCGGTAGCGAGAGATCCACTCCGATGACTGCAGTGAGGGCCCGGCGCTGCGTCGCCCATGCGGGGCAGACCGCCAGCGTGTGCTGCGCCGAGTCCTCACTGCAGTCGCAGTGGTGGCAGGCGGGACTCAGTTCCCTCCTAGCGACCGAGTGCAGGTACTTTCCGAAGCAACCGTGCCCGGAAAGCACCTGCGTCAGCCGGAAGGTAAGGGTCCCGTGCTGCCGCCCTGCCCACTCGGCGATGACCGGCTGGAGAGCCTCCACGGCGGCGAAGCCAGCGCGTGGAGTCTCCAGCCGAAACGACCAACGAGCCATCGTGGCTCGGCGAGCGGCTTCGCGCCATTCGCGCACATCTTCGGGCGGAGGGCGAAATCCGCTCTCCGCCCGAAGAGTCAGCCACTCGCCGATAAACTTCGGCTAGCACTTCCGCCTCCAAATCCCACGGGGGAGTTCCGGCCAACGCGCAAGCCACCTCTGTCGAAACGGTGCGGTAACCGCGTATGGCTCTGACCGCCATTACCCTCTGAGGGCGCCAGAGGCGTGCCCTATTCTGGGCGGTCAGAGCCGCCGCCCACACCGGTGCACCGTATAGTGCCATTGACCGGACAACCCCCGTGTACAGCCGTCTTGTCGCGACGCTGGGTCCACCCAAATTGGGCAATAGTCGCCGTAGGGCAGACGCAGCGCCGACCAGCTTTGGAGCAAGCTGTCTGAAGTGCTCGTCTAAGAGACACCTCCCGTCGAGGATCAGGCCCAGATATTTCATCTGGGCCCGAACCGGTACGAGGACCGAGTTGACAACGATTGAGGCGCCAGGGGTGGACCACGACGGGGCCCATGAAATAACAGAGCCTCTAGCTTATCTAGGGCCACCCGTAAGCCCAGCGCCTCAATGCGCCCGACCACCAGGGAGACTCCCCTTGGGGCCAGGCGCGCCGCCTCTTGGAAGTTCGCCCCCCGGGCTGTCACCAGGGTATCATCTGCGTAACAAATTACACCCAGCCCGGGGGGGAAATCGGCTCGAAGGGCCCAGTCGTACCCTATGTTCCACAAGAGGGGTCCAAGAACAGACCCCTGTGGAACACCGCACGACATGGGACGACACCTCGAATTACCCTCTCGGTCCTCGTACATGACGGTTCGCTCCTCAAGATAGTCTGCCACTAGCCGCCTCAGGTACTCTGGCACTCCGTGGTAGCGGAGCGCTTCCCTGATGCAGCTGAATGGCAGGCTATTGAAGGCGTTGGCGATGTCCAAGGACACCGCCAACACCACTCCGCCGCAGCTCACGGCCTCCTCGGTCACGGCCCTAAGGCGCAAAACAGCGTCGACTGTCGAACGCCCCGCCCGAAAACCAAATTGGGCGTCCGACAGATCGGGGCCCACCTCGTAGAGGTGCCGGACGATGCGGGCAGAGAGAACCCTCTCAAACAATTTACCCGCCTCGTCCAGCAGCACGATGGGCCTGTAGGCCGCGACCGAATCGGCAGGCCGTCCCGGCTTCCTTAATAGGACCAGCTTCCCGCTCTTCCAGCACTCAGGGAAACGTCCCGACGCCAAGCTAGCGTCGAACACCTCCACGAGGCGGTCTGCCATGTGGTTGAGGGCTAGGGCCAACACTCGAGCCGGTACCCCGTCTGGCCCAGGGGCGGTGTTCTTCTAACGGATCCGTAGAACGGCCCTCAACCACTTCTCGCAGGAAGCTGGGCTGGAGGGCGACCCCAGCCCAGCCTTTTCTTCCTTGGCGCGGCTAATGGCCAGCTTCAGAGTTTTCCGCGACTGTCGGTACTCCTCATGAAGCCGGTCCTCCTCACCGTCTCCACGGTGACACCGCCGACTGCGCGTGTAGGACCTCCGGCCACGTGTACAGGCCGCACGGAGGTCCGCCAGCTCCTGGGACCACCAGTAGACCTCCTTCCTTGGAGGCCGACGACCTCGAATGCGGGGCATGGCCGCATCGCAGATATGCGTAATCGCATCGCGAAAGCGACCAGCCCCCACGTCGACCTCCTCGGTCGGAGCCTGAAGAGACAGCCACGAGTGAATTATGGCGCCTCCTCTAGTAGGTCCCGGTTTAGTCTGGATCTACTCTCCTCTCTACCTTTTTTTTTTTTTTATTTGTTTTACGTGTGGAAATCCCCTCGGACCGTCAACCCGCCGGGGCTCTCGAACTCGACTCGAACCGACTAAAACCACATGGTGTGCCCTCTTTGCGCTTCCAGTTTAGGAGGGGTCCAGGTAGTTATCGCCTTCTGGACCCCTCCCAGCGCCGGCCCGCTCCTGTTGCGGGCTCCGTCTCAAAGTTTCCTCTCTTTAGGCGGCGTCCGGCACACGCGGACGCCGCCCCCTCGCGGCTGGCCAACTAATGCGGGTGGAGGGGAGAACCCATCCCGTCCACCCGCGGCCACACTCAGGCATGAGGCGCAGGTAAGCGCGCCTCCGCCGCCCGGTTCGCCGGCGGCGGATCAGGTCCGACTGGAGGTCATCCTCCCGGGCCTTCTCCGCCGCCTCCTTCTGCGAGATTACCTCCTCGCAGTAGGTTGCGACCGCGGTAAAACAACTGTCGCTACCGGCCATGGAGCGAATTACGGCCGGTAGCGAGAGATCTGCTCCGATGACTGCAGTGAGGGCCCGGCGCTGCGTCGCCCATGCGGGGCAAACCGCCAGCGTGTGCTGGGCCGAATCCTCACTGCAGTCGCAGTGCTGGCAGGCGGGACTCGATTCCCTCCTAGCGACCGAGTACAGGTACTTTCCGAAGCAACCGTGCCCGGAAAGCACCTGCGTCAGCCGGAAGGAAAGGGTCCCGTGCTGCCGCCCTGCCCACTCGGCGATGACCGGCTGGAGAGCCTCCACGGCGGCGAAGCCAGCGCGTGGAGTCTCCAGCCGGAGCGACCATCTGACCATGGTGGCTCGGCGAGCGGCTTCGCGCCACTCGCGCACGTCTTCGGGCGGAGGGCGAAATCCGCTCTCCGCCTGGAAGTCAGCCACTCGCCGATAAACTTCTGCGAGCACCTCCGCCTCCAAATCCCACGGGGGTGTTCCGGCCAAGGCGCAAGCCGCCTCGGTGGACACCGTGCGGTATTCGCGTATGGCTCTGACCGCCAATATCCTCTGGGGGCGCCAGAGGCGCGCCCTATTCGGGGCAGTCAGAGCCGCCACCCACACCGGTGCACCATAAAGCGCCATAGACCGGACAACCCCCGCGTACAGCCGCCTCGTGGGAACACTGGCCCCGCCCAAATTGGGCAAAAGTCGCCCTAGGGCGGAGGCAGTGTCCACCAGCTTCGGACCAAGCTGTCGGAAGTGCTCGTCGAAGAGCCACCTACCGTCTAGGACCAGACCCAGGTACCTCATCTGGGCCCGGACCGGTACGAGGACCGAGCCGACCTCGATTGAGGCGCCGGCGGGTGGACCACGACGGGGCCCATGAAATAATAGGGCCTCCGTCTTATCCAGGGCCACCCGCAAACCCAACGCCTCAATGCGCCCGACCACCAGGGAAACTCCCGTGAAGTTAGCCCCCCGGGCCGTGAGTAAGGTGTCATCCGCGTAGCAGATTACACCCAGCCCGGGGGGGAGACGCCCTCGTAGGGCCCAGTCGTATCCAATGTTCCACAGGAGTGGTCCTAGGACAGACCCCTGCGGAACACCGCACGACATGGCCCTGCGTCTCAGGACGCCATCTCGGTCCTCGTACATGACGGTTCGCTCCTCAAGATAGTCTGCCACTAGCCGCCTCAGGTACTCTGGCACTCCGTGGTAGCGGAGCGCTTCCCTGATGCAGCTGAATGGCAGGCTATTGAAGGCGTTGGCGATGTCCAAGGACACCGCCAACACCACTCCGCCGCAGCTCACGGCCTCCTCGGTCACGGCCCTAAGGCGCATTACGGCATCGATCGTCGAACGCCCCTCTCGGAAACCGAATTGGGCGTCCGACAGATCGGGGCCAACCTCGCAAATGTGCCGGACGATGCGGGCAGAGAGCACCCTCTCAAAAAGTTTGCCCGCCTCGTCCAGCAACACGATAGGCCTATAGGCCGCGACCGATTCGGCAGGCCGTCCCGGCTTCTGCAGCAGGACCAGCTTCCCGCATTTCCAGCGCTCAGGGAAGCGTCCGGACGCCAGGCTAGCGTCCAACACCCCTTTGAGGTGGTCCGACATGTAGTCGAGGGCTCGGGCCATCACTCGGGCTGGAACCCCATCCGGCCCGGGGGCGGTGTTCTTGGATCGAATCCGTAGAACAGCCGCCCCCAACTCCGATTCCCTGACGGGCGGAACATCAACCTCGCTACCCCCGTCGTCTCCGGCTGATGCAGCCATCGACGGGGGTGTACTCTCCTCTCTACCTACCCTAGCTTAAGGTGAAGGGTAGGGTAAAATAAACGCAGCCTGGTGTTCTAGAAAAGGGCATTAATGTATTTAGGGATTTACCTATTTGCTTATATTTTGTATTTTTTCTCATACGTTTTGCTATTGCCTAAAGTAGCAACAATTATCAATAGCAAAAAATATAACATTCAACTAGTCATGTGCTTAACCGGACATCTGCAGGTTCGCACCGTACTAGTACAATTCGTACAACTTAATAGCACTTTAGTAGAAGTAGGAAACTTAAGCGTTTGTATTGATATTACTTAGATTAATGAAACGGAAAACCAAGTAATTAAAAAAAAGTGTTTTAGAATTTTGGCAGACCGCGCTTTTTATTTTTATTTTTAATATGGCTTTGTATTAGGCACTTACTTTCCTTCAGTATAGGAATAATTAGACAGTTCTTGATTATTTTTAATGTGTTATCCCTTTCTGAATCAGATAAACCAGAACAGTTTGACTTTTAAATGCGAATTTTTAGATTACTTCACATAAAACTTTTAAGCATACTTTTTGGTTTTCTTCATACTTTACAACCCAACGTATTGTAGTACAGCCTGTATCGCTGTCCCTTTTACTTTCACACTGTTTACCAATACGGAACAAACGGTGTGCTAGTACTTCGCACAAGGAACGAACGTAGACAGAGTAAACAATAGGTAATTTTAGTACTAGCTTGAAGTTGACACTGTGTACTAATAGTGCAAAATGTCCGATTAACAGTTGCCTTTGAACATTACTTTTAGTATAATACCCAGTACTAGTACTTATCAGTACATCGTACGTGTACTACCCAAGACTACATTCAACATCCTTCAGTTGAGCAGTATTAGCTTATTTTATTTTGGTATTGCATCTCTTTAAGGTAAAGTATTCCTAATATTTTATGTTTTAGATCCTCTAAATATTTATCCAGACATAGCCCCAGATGCCTCAAATGTTATCACCCGATTTGCCAATAAAAATAGAAGACTTCCATTTGTTTATAATGTGTGCTGTTTACTTGTTTACTCGACATATTTTATTGTTAGTGACCCCCTCCAAAATTTTAGACTGCGACCGCGCCTGCTGTACATAGTAATTGAATAATTACTAATGTTTTGAGGACACAATCTTGACATTTTTCACTTAAAGAACCAAGCATTGAAGCATTGTCTTAAACATTGGTTTCATTCGCAGTAGAAACTTTTGTTCTTTTCGGTAGGTACTCTTTCTATGGCATACGTAAAACAATAATTAGTTACCTATTCAAAAAGATCAAGTATATGTGAATTAACCTATACCCATAGTATATAGTAGACCTAGGGTACACTTGGTTCCCCGGCTACTGGTAGTACCTGAGACAGCGTTTTTGGTCGGGGTATAATTGAATTAAAGTAGACGTTTTATTTAGTTCATTTCCGTCGCGTTGAAATTTCATTTACGTTTTTAGGCAACTATCGAAAAACATGTTAATGGGCTGTGTAAATTTTATTTGGAACAGGACACTTTTTACTTTCACTCTATTATTCTACGATGAATATGTAATCCTAAAATATTCTTTGAAGAACCTTGAAAATTATTCCTATGTCCCTTTTATACGTGAAGACCTCTCTCACCTCACCTCTATCTAATAATAAAACTATACTAATTAAAGTGCAATGTAAGAATTGCATACGTATAACAAACTAATAAATAGAATATAATTAACATGCAATATGATATTTAATATAATAATTTTTAATAAAAGGAATAATAAAGGAGTGTTTTTCAAAATTATTACGTTTTTTAAGGTCGCAAGTAAAAGTTTTAAGGATCAAAAGACGCGAATTCATATCATGTAACTGCAAACTGAAAATTAAGAAAAAGACAATTGACATTTGGCAAATCCTACATTATACTAGCCTGTGGGCAAATTGGGGCAAATCGTGCTTCCTTTATAATAACGAATCGTGGATTATTTTCTTGTGTGGTTAATTTATTAATACTCTTTCCATAAAATATTATATTAAATATGGTCGAACATTACTGAATGGCAATATCAACAACGCGTCATAAATGGATAACTAACCTCAAAAATCGCTATTGACAGTGGATCCAGTCTCAAGAATAAATACCATGGCAGACAAAATAAAGTAAGTTGCATTGGATACTTTCATCGTAAGATAAGTAATGGCGTAAAATAATAAAGTAAAGGATAAACGTATGTATTACAAATAAATAAGTAGGTATGTTTTTCAAAGCATGGGTTGGGTTCTTGGTCCATTGGGACTGACTAATAACATTCAGAAACGGACGGCCGTGCGTAAGATTTGACATTATTATTATAAGCACAATTCGCATAGTTATTATGCTAGATTCAGATTTTGGCAGTATTTAATCAGTGATGTGTGTGTTGCTCAAAAATTGTTTGTCGCTGCTATCATTCTTGTAAAAAGAAATTACTGTTAAAATGTAAAGATATCTAGGTATAACTTAAAACAAAAATTAAGTTGTTGAGTAGAGACATAAATTATAAACAGTTTGCCGGGCCTGTTGGTCTACCTAGCGGTTAGTAATCTTGACTGCTAAGCCAGATGTTGTGGGTTTGATTCCCACCCAGGACAAGTATTACATGATAAACACAATCATTTGTTCTATGTCTGGGTGTGATTTATCTATAATATGTATGTATTGAAAACAAAAGTATGTTTATCAGCAGCGTGGTTACAGGCTTTGCCTAGTTTGGGTTCCTATTGTCATGTGTGAGATTCTTTTAATTATAAAAGCCATGTCCAGCTTGTGATAACACTGTTTACAAATTGGACATGCCTTTACATTATTGGTTGTAATATAATTCACTATGTGTATTCTAAATCCTTTATTTTTTTTGCAGAGTCAAGTCTAACTTCGATATGAAAGGTAATTATGAACCTTCAGATTCAGAGGATGAATATACACCTAGAGAAAAACAGTTGTTGGAGAAAGTGCGGAAAAGAAAACACAATGACTCTGAAAGTGAAGAAGAAATGTATGCCTTTTCAGAATCTGATAATTCAGATGATAATAAAGATGATTTAGGTATGGCAGACAGTGATGTTGAAGGCCAAGAAGAATCTGATGATGATTTACCAGATTCAAAGGCTTGGGGTAAAAAGAAAAGATCATATTATGCAACTGATTATGTTGATGAAGATTATGGTGGATTTCAAAATGATGAGGAAGCTGCTCTCATGGAAGAAGAGGAGGCAAGAAACATACAAAAGAGACTGTTAGAACAATTAGGAGAAGATGACTACAGTCTGCAATTTCTTAATAAAAATGTTGCTGATATTGAAGAGAAAAAAGAAACTATAATAAAAAGTGATTTAAGTCAGATGTCAAAAAGGCAAAAACTGCAGCTACTTGAAAAAGAAAGTCCAGAGTTCTCTGGTCTTATTAATGATTTTAAAACAAAATTAACAGTTGCAAAGGATGATCTACATCCTGTTTTAGAGCTTGTCAAAGATGGCAAACTACCAACCTGTCCAGCGTCAAAGTTTGTTAAAACAAACTATGATTTGATTTTAAATTACTGTACTAATATAAGTTTTTATTTATTACTTAAAAGTCAAAGAACCAATATACAGAACCACCCCGTTATAAAAAGATTGTATCAGTATAGACAAATGCTAAATAAAATGGAACCTATTTATTTAGAAGTGATAAAACCACAAATTGACAAAATAATGCAAGCAATTCAAAATAATTTGGAATTACAAGTTATTGAAGTTAAGGACACAAGGAGTAAAAAACGCAAATCAGGAAAAGAGGCAACTGAATCAACAGCCAAAAAGTTGAAACTTATCAGTGCTTTAGAAAAAGAAAATGAAGATACTGGTGTTTCAGATAATGAAGATGAATATGAAGGCAATGACTTCTTCAAGGCTGACAACAAGCTTGATGTTCAAAGGCAAAATGAAGAATCTGAAGAAAGTGGATTCTCAGATAATGGTGCATCACTCAATGAAGTTGAGGATGACAATAAACCTACTTCATCCCAGAATATAATTTCTGAGGAAGTTGGTGAAAAACGTGAGATTACATATCAAATTGCTAAGAACAAAGGTTTGACACCTTATAGAAAGAAAGAGCAAAGGAATCCTAGAGTCAAACATAAGCTTAAATATAGAAAAGCTAAGATAAGGAGGAAGGGGGCTATTCGTGAGCCTAGAACGGAAGTTACTAGATATGCCGGAGAAGCTTCAGGAATTAAGGCTAATGTAAGAAAGAGCATAAAAATTAAGTAAATCCAGTTTATTTAAACAAAAAATATTGTAACAATTTAACAGTAAAAAGTTGTAATAATATTATTGTTTTATTTAATGTTGCCACCTGAAAACAAATAAATAATTCATTGTTAGTTTAGAATTTTTAAAATGAAGAAAAACTTAAAGAGTATAAGAAAAAAAAATGCTTACAGTTTCAAAACTTTATCCTTTCCTCCAGAAGCTACACATGCTCCATCAGGAGACCAATCCACAGCATAGACTTCATCAGCATGACCTGGTAAATCTAGTTCTAATTTTTTCGTTTTAATATTCCAAACTGAAACAGAGATCACAAATGGAATGGAAACCATGCCCTAGTTTATACTAATCAAGTGCCTTTACTACATAAGGTGAAGGTTTTGAAAATCCAATGCACAGTACCTTAATAATAAAAATACTTTGATGCTGTGAGATTAAATAACCTGGACTAGCTGATGATTTACCCACCTTTTAAAGTAGAGTCTGCACTCGAGCTCAGTAACAGTCTCGAGTCTGCAGACCAAGCAACCATATAGACTGCTTGGACATGGCCTCTGAGTGTAGTTATAAACTTGCCTGTTGCGGCTTCCCAGAGCCTTACAGATTTGTCGAAAGACGCAGATGCTATTAACCTAAAAAATATTAATTCCTTTAACATTCTTATATAAGATTAATTACTTTTTACTTCAGTACACTACAGTATACCTAATCCTAATAAACAGTTTTCAGATGATATTAGGTGTTCAAGGCTATTATAGATGCACTACCAATTTTTATCTACCCACTCAATTTTTTTTTATTATTATTTAAGCAGTGTACCTGGTGTCAGGAGAAAATTTGACGTCATTAATCAGTTGCTGGTGACCGGTCATTCTTGCTAATGGTCTCTTTTCCTTTTCTGGTAACCACAGAAATAATGTGAAATCATCTGATCCTGATACTAGGCGTTCTTCACATTTACCACATACTGATTCATACCTCTCGAGGGCCCGCTGCTGTAGAATGTTTTCTAAAAACAATTATTTATTTGTATTATAGTCATCATGATGATTAAAGATCAGATGGTTGGAAAATAAACCAAAGCAAAAAACCAATTCACAACTAAAAAAATTGCTTCTTAGTCTTCTTACACAAATGTTAGCATAGTTAAATTGATAACAACCTAACTTTCCTGATAGTTGTATCACAACTGTAAAAATTTTATCAATTATAAAAATACAGTACAACCAAATGGATTAATTGGTAGGATCCAGAAGAGCAGATTGGTCAAACAACAAACAAACTTACTGTCACTGTCATAGGCTTGCTGATCAGTTACTGGATGAAAAGGACCTGTTCTCAGCACATAATCTGTGCTTAAAGCTAATGTGTTTACCCAGTGGGCATGTCCTTCTAGATTTCTGCAAAGCACTCCGTCTGCTGCTCTCCATACCTGTTTAAAAAACAAATTAGTGTATCATTGAACACTTCAGGCAGTTGAGGAAATGTATATACATAGGTACAAGCAAAACTATTCATTCTGGCTAATAAATAGGAAAACAATGTCAGGTATTTTATGTTTTCAAATAAGTGTTCAACACGACCATTTGCTTGTTTTATGGTATGTAAATCTTGAATAGCAGCATTAAGGGGAATTAATATTTAATAGATAAACCATAATTTTAATATTTGGGCAATATGACCAATCCAGTTATGATTAAAGCAGACTAGTTTTGTGTAACTCTTGCCAAGTCAGCAACCTAAGAACAATATAATTCACGGATTGTTGTAACAGATATTTCTTCAAATGTATACCTTAATTGTTCTATCTTGGGATGATGTATAAATAAGTCCATTGCCACCCCATTTAACAGAAGTGACTGCTTTAGAGTGTCCCGTTAAACTTAGAACTGTTAAACCGGTTACAGTATCCCATATTCTGACATCACCATCCTTGGATGAACTGGCCAGCTTTCTACATTCTGGATTCCTAAAACAACATTAACATTTAAAACATTTTTTTTTGTATCTTTAATTGACTAAGTCAATCTTCTGTCTTTTTTGTTGTTATTTAGAGGAGAATTTCTGTAAATTCTCTCCCTCTTTTATCACTTCTAAATAAATAGGTACCATTTTATTTAGCATTTGTCTGTACTGATACAATCTTTTTATAACAGGGTGGTTCTGTATATTGATTCTTTGAATTTTAAGTAATAAATAAAAACTTATATTAGTACAGTAATTTAAAATCAAATCATAGTTTGTTTTAACAAACTTTGACGCTGGACAGAGATGAGAATAGTATTCCATATGCGGCCGGACTTGCTCCTTATAGAGATGAAGGCGGCGGGCACGAGTGAAATACTGCCTCGATCTGTTTAGGACACCGAGCTTCTTCGAGGCCAATTTGACCTTGCGCTCTAAGTGACCCTGAAACTGGACTTTAGCACAATATCTGCTTACCTCCTCCTTGACTGTAGGCATTACCAAGTTTTATGTATATCTACATTTCTAGCAAACCATGGTAAATTTCAGATTGTCCTCAGTGCTTTGTTCTGAAACCTGTGCAGGATTTCAAGATTGGAGTTACAAATGATCCCCAGAGCTGGATTCCATGTGTCCATATGGGTTTTATTATGCATTTACAGACAATCTTTTAGATTATCCTGTTGTTCAAAGGAATTGGTGATTGTCTCCCAATCAGCCAGTAGTCTCTTAAATTGTAAATCCGCTTCTTTCCTTTTTGTTTTTAAGTAATAAGCCCATGTTAATCTTTGATCCAAATGAAGTCAAAGGTACCTTACACACTTTTCTGTGGGCAGTTGCTGACCTCGCAGCGTAACGGCTGGACAGTCTCCTTTGCGGAGCGCGAACGTCATTTGTACGGATTTAGTGACATTCGGCTTTATTCTCTACTTTTTTAACCACTTGTCAATTTCAATCAGGTGTGTTTGTAGCTTTGCTAATGCTACAGCCGAGTCTGTATGTACATGTAGCGCTGTTACTACATCTGTAGATAAGCTCGTGTATAATGAATATAGCACTGGCCCAAGCACGGAACCCCGTGGTACAGACGCCCTTATGTCATTCTGTGTTGCAGGTAAGATTTGAGGACCATATAATACGAATTGGGTAGAAGACTTTTCAGCTTGTATAGAACCCATATGCCAAACTCTATCAAATGCCTGCTGGATATCCAGGAAGACGGCAGCACAGTATTCCTTCTGCTCCAAGGTTTGTCTTATCGTGTTCACTACACGATAAACCTGTTCTACCGTGCTAAATTGCTTCCCGGAACCCAAATTGATGATTCGGTATTATGGCTTCCTCTTCAAGAATTGGCTTCAGTCTTCGGAAGAAAATCTTTTCGACTAGTTTGGACAGCAATGGTAACAAACTAATTGGCCTGTAAGAGCTTGGATCCACAAGTACTTTTCCAGGTTTTAGTAACATGCATATTTGAGAGATACGCCACAATTTCCTAAATAATGTAATCTCATTATGGCATTGAAAAGTATGGTCAGAAAGACAACAGGTTTCTTGGCAAGATGTTTTAGGACTTCGCCAGTGATCATATCGAAGCCTGGAGCTTTTTACACGCTTTTTATTAGCTTCACCTTTATGTTTGTTTGTAACCGACTCCTTTGGGCGTGATTTTGACTGACTATAAATGGTCAGAATTCGTTCAAACTTTGTAGATATATCGAGGACCGATGCCAATACACTAATTTAATAAAAAAAAATAGATAAAATAAACTAAAAACACGCTTTTTATAGAAAATTAAACTAAAAAATATAAAATAAATTTTAATAAATTTGAAAAAAAGTGTGGGGTGCTTTTTACTACTGACAACATGCACCCAACACTTTTTTTTTTATTGCTTAGCATTCTAATTGATTTTTGTAATTCCCTCCCTACAAGTTTTATAGGTGGTGATAGCTGATGGTCATTGTAAAGGAAATCATTTACCTCTTGTTCAAATCTCTCATCGTAGAAGTATTTGGTAAGAAGACTTGACAAAAAACGTTAAGGGGAGGAGATCTGCTTTCTCTTTAGGGCTTTTGGCCCATGTTCCTGACTGCTTGTTGAGGTCTCTTGAACTGTTTTGTGAGTTTCCATAGGTAATAATCATAACACATTTTTGCAGATAGAGATGACAGTTTCTGTTGGAATGTGTAGTTCTCATTCTCTGCTATCATTTCCCTTAGTTCTCTAGCTACTTATACTGTTTTTTATCATGCGTGTCTCTGCTCAACTGCCAGGCTCTCCTGAGTCTTCTTTTCATGGCAAGTTTCTCTCGTATTTGCAGAGGTATGTTTGTGGTTTTCCTTCTAGCTCTCAAATATGGTGTACTACAGTTGGGATACAATCAGAGGTTGTATCCCAACAGTTTTCAATGTCCAGGTAATTATCTTAGAAACCTTTGTAAATGAAAGAGTCTAGCAGATCAGGGCGCTTATTCGGGTCTGTTCGCCAGTGAGTAGGTTCTGTGGGTCAGAAGACAGCGAGGCCATTCTTAGACTGTCCATACACGTCATGAGCTCTCTGCCTCGGGTAGTTGTCAGTCTTGATCCCCAGTGTGTATGTTTACTGTTCCAGTCTCCTCCACAAATAAATCTTTTAAAAAGTGTTTTAAAATAGTTCTTAAACATTTCTTCATTAATATTGAATCATGCTGGACAACATACAGCACTTATATTCATAGAACCAATCTTAGATTATAATGTAACTGTAATGGCTTGCAGGTGGTCTTCTCTGAACTGACTATGAATATGATGTTACACCCAGGTCAGTGCTCATAGAGGTCTCTCCCGCACCCAAGTGCCACTTCTGAGGGACGGAATTGTACTGGTCCTCTCCCATTCCCTCTTTTGTTGCCAATTAAGTAGAAAGTACTTCCTCACAAAACGATGATCTCCAATAAACACTTTTTCTTACGGGAAGGACCACTATTTAGGTGTATTTGGAATCCATTTGATAAATATCTTGACCATCACTGTTACTTCCTACTTTTTACAGCTGATAGAACTCAGAAAAAAAAATAAGATTGTCTCATTAAAAAAAAAAGTATAGCACTTAAACATTGTGAATATCAATGAAGTTACACTCTACCACAAAGCCATTACCCAAAGGTTGAAGTTAAATATCAATGAAGAAATCATGTGTAAAATATGATATCATTTTATTAAAAATGTACAGAAGCAGTGCCTTCACCTATCTATCTGAAGTTTGATAAAGTTGATGCCCACGGTTGTACCACAAATTTTATCCATATTCATGACAAGAAACTGCCATTCTTTAGAGTTCCTGTTCCAATTTGTACTGTTTCCAAGATTCACACAAAAAAGGGTTGACTGTGGCGTGCCATTTGTCGCGTTATTGCAGGCAGGCGCTAGGAGAGGTCCGGATGTGTTAAAAACATATGTTCCCAGATTCATTCTATCGAAGCCGCAGAGTAAAACACCATGCCCTAACCACTGCAAACCTAGGAGACGTGACGGCCCAAGGGGATTTCCACATGTAAAAACAATGTAGTGTGGCACCTATTGTGCAGATTTATTTTATATGTTTGTTTAAAGTATCATACTTATGGTAGGGCTCCCAAGATAGAGCAGTGATCCATTGCTTATGACCTATCATAGTCTTGCCAATCTGATTGCCAGTGTTTGGATCCCATATTATTATTCTGCCTTGCTTGCATCCTGATGCTAACTTGAAACCATCTGGTGACCAACTTATACATAGAACCCAGTTTGAGTGTCCTGTAAAAACAAATTTTTACAAGCATTAAACAAGAATAGTGACTGTCCTACCCATTCATAGTATTTACTAATAATGTGCATAGAATGAGACATGTTGTGTTCTAAAGTTCTTGTAACGCCCTAGTTTAGCTAGATCATTTATTACTAATATGGTGACAAAACATCTCAAATAAATAGGTAGTGATTCTTATTAGTTTAGCAGTTTGTATTTGTATTACCTTTACATACATACAATGGGGTTTGTGTATGTAGATCCCAAAACCTCACAGTAGTGTCACCAGACCCACTTGCTAATTGTTTTCCGGAGGGACTGAAATGGGCAGATATTACAGCTTCTGCATGCCCAGGTATTGAACTGTAAATTTATTTAATATTTTTTTAAAATTTTACTCCAGACATTGTGCTACTCTAGGAAATATTTTCTTCACTTTCATTTATACTAAATAGTGCAATTGTACTTACCTAGTACATCGAGTGACTGGCCTTACTCGGAACACGGCTTGTTGTTGATATATAATTTCAACTACTTCTTCTGCATTCAACTTTGTTATATCCAGTGCATCTTTTAGTGTATTTGTTATTTCTACATCTTTTACAAAGAAGAGAAACAGCTTATCTTCCTAAAAACATATCATATGCAGTGATATGCATGTATCAGATCTATGATCTATATTAAAAATATACATAAATAATTGTCATTACAAAAAATGAAGTTCGTTTTAGCAGTTGAGTAGTGTGAAAGCTAATTTTGTTTTTCTTATTTATATTAGATTGAATACTTTAAATCTATATAAATGCACTTTATAAAAAAAAAGATATTGTAGACACAGGCATGAGAACAAGTAAATTTACACAAACAAAGTTTTTATTAAATTTTATATTTTACACATCCCTGATCGTTTCCGGTGGAAAGGAGCCCATCACACTTGCTGCACTGCTGTGTTGAATAGCAATGGCCAACCTTTGCACCAGGAACGAACCGGAGCAGAAGTCACTATTCACACTGACACTTTTGCGATTGATTTTATTTTAATCAAGAATCAAAGTAGGATCATGTATCATGTTAAAACGCAAAAAAAAAATAGACAACCAAATAAGGTTCTTTTTAAATTAAATAAACACTGTCATTAACCAAATTTATATTAATTTAATAAATTCATTTTTCTAACTATTTGACAAAACAGATATTCTTTTTTTTTTTTTACAATTCCTGCACTAGGAATATAGCCTGTGTCGCTGGGGACTTAACAAACATACATCAAAAGGACACAACAAACACCCAGGCTCAGAACGACAATTTGTGGATCACATAAAGTGTCGTCCTATGTAGGAATGGAACCCACAACACAGCGTAGTTGGAAGTGGCGTGGCGACCTCTTAAACCACTACGCAATCCGTGCATTCCTAGAGATTGCTGCAATTGTGTGTTGATTAATGACTTTAGAGTCTAAGTCGATTTCAAACAATTTTTGGGAATTTTATGAAATAAAGATATTTTGAATTTGAGTTCAAATAAAACGATAATATAAATGAAAAATTCATCAATTATAGAATTGATGAATTTTTCATTTATATCACCAAAACTATAGAGTTTTGGTGATTTCCTTCCTATTCCTAAAGAATGTTATTGTAGTGTTTTAACCCAACTAAGGTGAAAAGGTAGGATTATTACTTAGTTTTTGCCATACATTTACTAACGAACTCTCGATTCGCATTATCTTAAAATTAAAGCCTTCCTTACCTCTTGTAGTAGAGCATTGCATATTAGTTGAAGTTGATCTCTAGTTATATTGAGAGGAAGGTCTAGGGGGCTTCCAGTATCTTCACCCGCATCAGATTTTAACCTCGCCTGCACGCAGCTTGGTAAATCAATTTCCATTTTTAAGGTTTTCTGAATTATTTACTTTTAAGATAAACATGCACATAACCTAACATTTACAAAGACAGACTAGAGTTGTGTAGCTCCTGAGTGAGTGACATAAAAGATATATTTCATTCACGCCGATAAAATTTATCACTCACTCACACTAGCTCCGAATATATCATTACTAGCTTATGATTCACTACTAGCTCACTACTCAACTCACTCACTAGCTCAACGACGCCTATCTTTTTTCAGTTTGTTTCTTTATGCAAAATGTATATTATTTTAATAGGATCAAAGTTTAACATGACTTAAATAAATAAATAACATGACTTAATTATTATTTAAGATTTAAGACTGCTAAGTATAAGAAAAATCTATTTATGGATGTAATAAATGTAATTATGTATGATTTCTAATTTAAAACCTAAAAAAGTACTAAAAATAATGTTTTATACGTATTTTCATATTAATTTTTTTATAAAAGGATGTAAATAATTATGTAATCTTATCAATATGAATAAAAATTGTATTTAAAAAAATAAGTTAAAAATGAAGTGAAGAACTGAATTTAGGTTAGTTAATATGAGAATAAAGAAAGGTTTGTATGAGTGAGAGAGGCTTGAAGTGAGTGATATATACTCAGCTAAACGATCTAGATGAAGAAATGAATTAATTGAGAGACCAATCAATTGAATTGGATCACTGAGCTAGTGAGCTAAACGAGTTAGTGAGCTAAATGAGCTAGTGAGCTAGATGAGTGATATATTATTTTATCTTTTGACCGAAATGATATGTATCAATCTTTTCAGCTCAGTGATACATTTTGCGCATCACTACTTTAGAGCGAAATGATATGTGTCTATCTTTTCAGCTCAGTGATACATTTTACGCATCACTATTAGTGAGCTAAATGAGTAAGTGAGCTAGTGATATATTTCTTTAGAGCGAAATGATATGTGTCTATCTTTTCAGCTCAGTGATACATTTTACGCATCACTATTGACAATGAAAAACACTGTAACATGTCATGACATGTATATTTTATCCAAGATCTGTGGTCCAGTGTTGTGAACCACAGGTTATTATGTTGTACAGGTGGTATCCGAAGGGATTTATGCAGGAAAAAAAAAAAAAAAAAAGTTATTATGTTGTAGCAATTGTTGACTAGAACTAACGCCTAAATCGGAGTTAAACACAATTCCACGTTGTTGTTGTTTTCATTTTACGATAATAGAATAATTTTTCTTTAAAGGAAAAGGATGATTAAATGATTAAATTACTAAAGGTTTGGATAGGGTCCGTAGTTACCTAAACTACTTAATCATGGAAGAGCTATGTTTCGGCACTAACTAAAGTAATATCACGGCCTCACAGAAAACTGGAGTTAAGTAGTGACCTATCTGCTCTTTTGTCAAACTCTGCCAAATAGGCACCCCCAACCAATACATACTATTGGTATTGGTTGGGGCGCCGATTTCCACATTTAGACTCGAGAGTGGTCCTTTATGCGTCTAAAAGAGGTTGGCTAGGTAGGGCAACCAAGCTCCTTCCAGAACTGTAGAAGCCTCCTGGGGCGTTCACAGACTTCTAGGAGCGATTTTGTACTAGGTATGGTAGTTGCCCGTTGTGTGGCCACTCCCTCGCATTCCAGGATTACGTGGGCGGCCGTTTCTTCTGCTTTCAGGCATCCCCTGCAAAGAGGACTGTCTATCGCATTAATGATGAATAGTTGTCGGTTCAGTGCTAGGTGTCTTGTTATGGTTCCTGCAACTACTCGGATATCTAGTCTGCTAAGAACGATCAGTCCGGAAGAAAGTCGTGGTGAGACTTAAGTCAGCACCAGTTTATACTGTCTGCAGCTGGGTGAGTTTTTCCACCTTCGATTGTGCGCTTCACGAGTACGCTGTCTAACCCATGATCGAAGTTGGTTAAAAGGCAGTGGCAGGACTGTGGTTGGGCCAGCGGCCGGGGTTGCCGAGCCCCTCCTTGCCAACTCATCGGCATCGTCATTCCCGTGTGAATTACTATGCCCTTTAATCCATTGGAGGAGCACCTCATTTGTTGTGGCAAACTGCTCCAATGCTTGATGGCATTCGAAGACTATACCAGAGGTCTTTGTGTTGCCCTCCAGTGCCTTTAGGACGGCCATGCTGCCTGACAGTATACGGATGTTGTAGTCCTTAATACCCTTTGACATGGCCGTTGTGGCGGTGTAAGTTATTGCCACACATTCGCATTGGAATCATCATCAACAGCCTTTAATAGTCCACTGCTGGACATAGGCCTCTCCTTAGAAAGGAGGTTTTGGCCTACTATACCACGCTGGCCAGATGGGTTGGTACAGGGTTTGTGTCAAGTTTTCCTTCTTTTTGCAGTGCTGGTGTCCTGCGTTGTTTTGCGCCCCTAGTCGGCTCGTACGACACCTACGGGGGTACTGACATTCCGTATTCTTAATCCGTCACTACACGGATTGCAATATGGAAACTTATTGGCCTAACGCTAGTGATATGTTCATGTTTAGGTCTTGTGACAAAACTCCGGCTCCAGTTCCTGACCCAGTCATCTAGCGTCAGAATGGGATATCTTTTTGTGTGTTGGGTGTTTTGGGATCCTGTCGCATGGGGCTGCTAACAGTGGCTCATATTCCACCAATTGATCCCATAATTTAGAGTGCGATCCCTAGCCTTTGTGCCACAGACCCAGGTGACTGAGTTTAATGATCGCCATGACTGCCTCCTGCTGTATGAACAAGTCCAATGGGGGCATACCAAGAACCACCTCTAGTGCGGCAGTTGGCGCTGTGCGCATACAGCCAGTGACGGCGGAGCATGGGAGTCGCTGGAATAGCTGCAATCTATTGAGGACAGGGTTTAACTCTGTTCTCTGCCACCAGACAACGGCACCGTACGTGATTATTGGTCGTATGACTGTTTTGTAGAGCCATAGTGTAATCTTTGGTGATAGCTTTTGCATTCATCATCATCATCATCAACAGCCTTTAATAGTCTGCTGGACATAAGCCTCTCCTGAGAAAGGAGGTCTTGGCCTACCATTGGCTTTTGCATTGGCAGAAGACAATGTAGGTTTTGTTTAGTTTCTCTTCGAGGTGCCTATTCCACAGGAGTTTACTAGTCTAGTATAACTCCTAGGTATTTGACCTCTTTGGTAAGAGTTAGTTGTGTTTGAAATAGTTTAGGAAGTTTGAGATTTCCTAGACAACGTTTGTTTGCGAACATGATCATCTCTGTTTTCGATAGGTTCACTGTCAAGTTGTTTGCCACACACCACTGTTCAACGATCTTCAGTGCGAGTCTCATTTGATCGCATATAACGCTCTCAAAATGACCACTGATGAGGATAGTCAGATCGTCTGCATAGCCTATTGTGAGGAATCTACGGTCGTTAAGTTCTGTGATTAATTCATCCACAACAATGTTCCACAGAAGGGAGGAGAGTACACCGCCCTGTAGGCACCCTCTAGGCACCACCCCCTTGGTCACTTCGCTCGCAGTAAATTAAATAGATCTATATCTTAGCATGCTGTCGATCCACCCTGAGATTGTGGAATCAACACCATGTCTTGGCTAATGTTGGTGAAATTTGTTTTGTCAAAGGCACCTTCGATGTCGATAAAGGTACCTAGTGTTGATTTTTTGTGTTTTAGATTGCCTTCTAAATGTGATACTACTCGATGTAGAGCTGATTCTGTTGATTTGCCCATCGAGTATGCGTGTTAGTTGTTTTGTAGTGGGTGACTAACTAACGCAGTGCTCCTAATTTCCCTATCTATTAGCCTCTCAAGAACCTTTAATAAGAAGGACGTGAGACTGATAGGTCTGGGTGATTGTGGTTGTGTGTTTGGGGATGAAGACTTCTCTCCATTTCAAGGGGATGTGATGGTATGCCAAGCAGCCTCTGTTGATTTTCACTCTGTAGAAGCGTCACGTCACACCACCTCAGCAGGCCAGGGAAGATAACATCCAGTTCTGGCGCCTTGAATGTAAGAAAGCTGTTGATTGTCCATCTAAGTTTGTCTAGGCTTACAACTTTGTGGGCCCTCTCCCAGTCTGTTTCGACTGGTGTTTTTTTCCACCTGTCTTACCACGTTTCCATCACATCTGTTATGCGACATTATTGGAAGTGTGTTTTCAATAACAGCTCTGAGGCTTCCGAGTCTATTTTAGTATACTCACCATCAGGCTTCTTCAGTGAGCCAAGACTGTGTTCGCCTCTGCTGCACAATATGTTTTTGATTCTGTCGGCCTGGTTGTTATCCTCTATGTTGGTAAAGAAGCTTTTCCAGCACTCAGTTTTCCTGGTTCTGATTCGTTTCTTGTTTTCTTGCCGTGCCTGCGTGTAGGCCCCAGTGTTGGTCTAAGCTAGAGTTTTTTGCTTTATTGAACAACTTTCTCACCGTACGACGTAGTTGTAAAAAGCAATCGGTTAATGTTTGTGGAAGGTTGACAACATGATTGTTAATGTCCTTAACAGCTCCCTCAGCGGATGTTAAGTCAATACCCAGAAGTTTTTCTACAGTAAGATGCTCATACCGTTTCCGGTCCATCTTACGGGGATTTAGTCGGGAATCGGGTGATTTGCGATTCATTTCAAAATTGAATTTGGTCCAGCGACGATCCGAGCACGATGCTTCGGTCGGAACATGCCAAGTCGAGATGGTGTTGCGATGCGTGCTCACTCGCTAATTTGAGATCAATAATAGTCTGGCCTCTGGATGTGACATATGTCGGCACCGAGCCTATGTCGATAATGTTCAGCTTGGTTGATAGAAGGAATAATACAAATTCTTCACTGTTCCACACTCTTGTTGTTACTCCTGCTTCCCCACAGGGCATGAAGTGCGTTGGTGTCACCAGGAATGATCAGCTCCAGACCCTCACACTCGCAGTGGTGTGACACCGCAGCCAGCTCTGGAGTGGGGATGTCAGCGTCGCCTGGCAAGTAGGCTGATGCTATTACCATGTGAGGCAGGTCGGATGAGAGTTCCTTTAACCTAATAGTGGTAAGGTCTCTGGAACAGGACGCGGTTATTAAGGTGGTGCGATAGAAGGATAGATAGAGGATAGAAACTTCATTAAAAAGTACTTCTATGCTTCTACTAGCTTTTGCCTACGGCTTTGCTCGCGTAAATGTCAATTTTGTCAATAACTTTGACCGGGACAAATGCCTTTGTCCTATTCTAGAATATAATCTATCTTTGTGCCAAATCTCGTCCAGAACCAGAAAGCCGTTTTGGTGTGTTTGAGTAACAAACATACTTACGTTTCCGAAAGTAAAAAAAAATTGTTTCATTATTTTTTTGATAAAGAGTAATAATTGTACTGATAGTTTGGAATCGATAAGTCACCTGAGCAACAATTGTGCAAAATTTCATGCTTCTAGATCGCTGGGTTTCAGCTGCGCGTCGATGTATCAGTCAGATATTCGGTATGTAAGTTTCTTCTTTTATACAGAGTGTCCCAAAATTCAACGATAATCCGTTATCAGATGGTGGACCTGCTTATGACCACTCGAGGACAAAAAATTATATCTCAATTACAAAAAAAATTGGTTAACCATAGAAAATTGACACCCTTATGACATTTTTAACTATCATGAACACAGTATTTCACATAATTTTAATTTTTTTAGTATCCATCATAATTTTTAAAAATCCCAGAATGCCTGTAATTTTTACATAAAAATGAAGCAAAATATTTTTTTTCCTACAATTTTAAGTGATCTTGGTGTTAAAAAAGTATGGACACTACCATAGCAAGTATTTTAAAAATTGACGCAACTAACCAAGATTTTGAAATGGTGTAATACTCTAAGAAAAATGGCACAAAAAAGTATACAGACAATTTTTAAACAATAACTAAATATATATTTATAATAATCACTGCAGCAGTAAGCAATTAGTAAAAGTAATTACAAAATAAGTTTTATATTGTTGAAAAATGTTAAATGAATCAAAACAAGTGGTAACAATTTGATGTAATATTTTATTAATCTATTACTTTACAGTAAAGGTTTATTCAGGTTTCAGTGAATTGTTTGCCACCGGCATTAATATAAACACGACATCGCCTTAAAAAATATCGTTTTATTTTTCTTGCATATCTTCTACCATTAATATGATCCGATCCTGGGTGATTTTTTGGCGAAGTTCGTCCAATGTTGTAATGGGTTTTGAGTAGACCTTATCTTTGAGACAAACCCAATAGAAGAAGTCCAGACACTCCAGACATCTCCAACAGTATCAGAAGCACAAATCAAAGCCAGTCAGAGTTAGTCAAGAATTGAAAACGAAAGAGTCCAAAAATAAAAGCCCAGTTTTCAACTACCGGGTTGTACGTTAATTCTTAATACTCCTGGTCTTTCATCTAAGTTTTTTTTCTATGAATTTGAATACTATTCTAGACTTTTATATATTGTTAGATAGCTGATAATATGTACATTTTTACCAATCTGCAGTTAAACTGTCATAGAATTTTTTGATAGCATTCGTCCCTTTTTTTATTTCTTTTGCTATTATTAGCATCTACTTTGGCCCAGTTTGTTAACCATGACTTTTGTAATGGAAATTATAAAACAATGTTTCAACTAAACAAAAACAGTAAAAACAAACATAAAAAAGATACAAGTTCTAAAAAAAATATTAGGCTAAATTTCGGCAATTTTTCATAAATCCTATGAGTCCAATATCTTGAAAATGGTTAGGTTTGGGATATAGTATTTCATAGTAAAACCTATCGGAAATGTTGGCAACTACAACCTCTTAAAGTATTTAGGTCGACTCGATCAGTAACCCTGTAGATTACATTTTCTCTGCATTGTATACAACTATACTCTTTTATTTTTATTAGGATATCTGTTATATAAATCACTTCTGTCACCATAATATATTAATGTGTGTTCATTTTTATGACGCCCTATTTTTTCCACTTCTAAGTGAAAAATAAAACATTTTATCCTTTTAATATGACTTCGGCACTACTAAGCCTACTGCCTAACTAACTCGCCTTAGGATCACGAATAAAACTAATACATTATATTGCCATCATTTAACTCTACACTCTATTCCATACCATCACTGATAAAAAGTCATTTAGTTGTATTCTTTTTAGGCTAGGTCTTCCGAACCCAAAACCTGTTCGCTATGTTTACACTACCGATCGATAGAATTACGATTCTTGTGGCTTTACAACGACATTATGTGGAATAAGCATAAATAGGAAAGTAATTATTCCCAAATTTTCTGCTCCAGATCTAACAATGCTTGTGCTATAAAATATAGTCAATAGAATCAAGTTAAATGAAATGGTCTATTGGAGCTTTTTGACAGATACAAACAAAAAATTATGTGGCAACTTTTAATCCATAGATGTTCGACATCGGCATTCTACATACGTGTTATGTTTATTTTATTTGGACTGTAATTGGTTAAACGAAGTTATTTGTTGCTGCTAAAAATGAAATATTTATATTTATTGTTTATTTTTTGGACTATAGTAAATTGTGACGAACACACGCATACCTATAAAAATGGAGAACAAGTAGTACTGTGGATGAATACAGTGGGCCCTTATCACAATCGCCAAGAGACGTATGCATATTTTTCATTACCTTTTTGCGTAGGTACCAAAGTAACTATTGGACACTACCACGAGACATTATCTGAAGCACTTCAGGGAGTTGAATTAGAATTCAGTGGACTTGATATAACATTCGCGGAAAATGTACCGGCCCAGCAATTTTGTGCTATAGAACTTACCGACCAATCCTATAAAGCGCTTGTGTATGCTGTGAAAAACCATTACTGGTATCAAATGTACATCGATGACTTACCGATATGGGGCACCGTAGGTGAGATTGACGGTGACCACTACTACATTTGGACTCACAAGAAGTTCGACATTGGGTACAATGGGAACAGAATTCTAGAGGTAAACCTCACAGCTGAAAACAAGGAACGTCTTTCCCCCGACGCCAAAATTCCATTTACTTATGAAGTTAATTGGAAAAAAACCAACATTAACTTTGAAGATAGATTTGACAAATATCTGGACCCTAACTTTTTCCAGCACAGAATTCACTGGTTCAGTATTTTTAACAGCTTTATGATGGTTATATTTTTGGTAGGTCTTGTTTCCATGATTCTAATGAGGACACTTCGTAAAGATTATGCTAGGTATTCTAAGGATGACGATCTTGATGATTTAGAAAAAGATTTGGGAGATGAGTATGGTTGGAAACAAGTTCATGGTGATGTATTTAGACCAGTACCTCATTTGCCAGTATTTTCAGCATTGATAGGGGCAGGATATCAATTAACAATAGTAACTTTGGCAGTAATCATATTTACCATTTTTGGTGAACTTTACACTGAAAGAGGATCTTTATTATCCACTGCCATTTTCATCTATGCTGCTACATCACCTGTCAATGGCTACTTTGGTGGATCTCTCTATGCTAGAATGGGAGGTAAACTCTGGATAAAACAGATGCTACTGTCAGCTTTCTTACTGCCAGTTTTAGTCTGTGGCACAGCATTCTTTATTAATTTTATAGCAATGTACTATCATGCATCGCGAGCAATCCCATTTGGCAGTATGATGGCTGTTATGTCCATTTGTACTTTTGTAATACTGCCTCTGACTTTAGTGGGAACTGTTCTGGGTAGGAACCTTGCTGGTCAGCCTGACTACCCTTGTCGCATTAATGCTGTTCCTAGGCCTATCCCTGAAAAGAAATGGTTCATGGAGCCACTAATCATTATTTTTGTTGGTGGTATTTTACCATTTGGTTCTATATTTATCGAAATGTATTTCATTTTCACTTCATTTTGGGCATACAAAATATACTATGTATATGGTTTTATGTTGCTGGTATTCCTCATATTGATGATTGTGACTGTTTGTGTAACAATTGTTTGTACTTACTTCCTTCTGAATGCAGAAGACTACCGCTGGCAATGGACCAGTTTTCTTTCTGCTGGTAGCACTGCTCTCTATGTTTACCTATATTCCTTCTACTACTTTATATTTAAAACAAAAATGTATGGCCTGTTTCAAACTACTTTCTATTTTGGGTACATGGCATTATTCAGCTTAGCTCTTGGAATTATTTGTGGAACTGTTGGATACATGGGCACGAGTATATTTGTCAGGAAAATCTATTCCACTGTGAAAATAGATTGAAGTCAGCAAAATGAGTGTGCCTCCAAACAAATATATAATTTGTAAAAAGAGATGAACATTGCAACATTTCATCTTTTTAGATTAGCATGTTAACGCCAACAACAGACAGTCAGTTTAGCAAAATTAAATGATCTAATATTGGTTTCAACAAATATGTAAAGAATACATTTGATTATACATACTTTAGTAAATTGGAGGCATTCCATGAAAAGATAAAGTATGTGCTATACAATGCATTTAGATTTTTGAATAATCATTAGGTGTCACTGTAAAACATTCTCCATAAAAGCAAATTTATAAATATCAACAACAACCAATAGGTAGTATTGTTTGTTTGTATTGTTATTTAGTATGTTTGAACTTCACCTGCGCACATATAATTTATACCAGTACTGCCATAGAATCCTATCATTACATTGTCCATTCTTAAAAAACACTTCTGTCTAAAGAATGCAATTTTATTGATTCTAAAGGTGTAAAAACTAACAGACTAAGTAGAAGCTAAATTGTATGTTAAACGAGAAATCTTTTTTAAGTATAGATATTTAATGCAATATTAAAATAAGAGAGCTTGTTCTACTTCATGTATTGTGTTTGTTGCATGAACGCAGAGTGACAAAAGATACCCCATTAATATGAATGTACCTTAATGTCAATTCTGTGAATGAGTTATGATGTGATAAATACACTGTACTCAAGTTATAATTTTTGTTGATTTGTTTTGTTCTGTGCTTGCTCACATTGTTTGCTGGTGCAGACATAGCTATAATATGGCAGAAACATTTACAGAATAGTAAGTTTGGAATTATTAGTTGATTAATATAAATGGATATTTTAGGTCCTTTTCTCTTTCCTTGTTATTGACTCTAATTGTTTAGGGGTTACTGTATTTTTTCTTACCTCTAAAGGGTCTTGAAAGTAATGTATATGTAACACATTATTTACACAACATTGTCGCAGTTTAAGTAGGTATATTTTTTTTATATGTATGTTGAAAGATATACAAAGTCTTATTGCTAAATGGTAAGAAACCTTAAGATATAGATCAAGATGATTCAGTACAGTGGTAAAGGTTAAAAATTTACATCACATTGTCTTGTCAGACACTAATAATCATTTGTTATTGGAGACTGTCCCTGTTAAGTCTAAATATATGTTTCATGTGAAATTGGGTATTTCTTACTTTAACCAAACTTCAGTGCTTTGGTATCTAAGTTTTAGTTGTTCCAACATAATCATTTTGTTCTATTAAATAACTTATTACTCAATGAAAATCTGTTATATAATAATGTATTTTATTTTTAGTCAATATATTAAATAGTTATAAAATTGCATACCTATCTTTGTACCATGCTATTCCTATGGTGTATGTAAATATTTTCTCAGCCTTTTTAGTGTTAATTATGATGTAACTGTAGTTGTAACAGTATTGTGTACGAAATTTCACGGATAGTTCAACGACTGGATATAACTCATTGCTCTAAAATCTTAAGTATGGTTAGGTACGAAATATAATTTATAATATTTCTTGATAGTTTTAAATGGAGCATTCAAAACTGTCACTAGTAATATACAACCACAATGTGTCGTTTAAATGCGTGATGTCTTCGACGTTTGTAAATAGTAGGGCATTATTAAATGGGCAACTTTATGCTCGAATTTGTGTATTGAGATTTTAAAATCATATTGAATTCATAATTTTTGTTACACAGAAATGTATATCATGTATGCCATCCAACATTCTTGTACCTATTTTGGCATGAAAATAAAGGCGAAATATAATTAACCATTGTTATTTTTTTTATATATTAACAAAATACACCCTAAATAAATAAAAGGCCATTATAATTTTGATACACTATACGGTATAGAGTTTATTACACATCATTATCTCCTTCCACAAACTTTTCTACATCGACTGCACCTTTTCTAGATTTCTTTCCACCTGGATGTTGCGCATGGAAAGATTGAGCTGTCCTTTTCCTCAGCATGTTGACATCTTCGTTTTCGTCCGTTTGTTCGGCCCATTCTAAAACTAACCTCCTTCCGTAGAGATGGGTTGACTGGGACAAAGCTTCAAATGCAGACTGAAATAAAGTTAATTAAATGAAAAATCTTTTATGTATTTTTGTTTTGTTAGAAAAAGAAAATTAAATATACCATAGCATCAGCTTTAGAATAATAGTCGACGAAGGCAAAACCACGATGCTGCTCCGATCCAGGCGAAAGTTTTTTTGGCAACCTTAACGTTTTTACCTCTCCATATGCCCTGAAAAAGCAAGCATGTAATTAAGGTCAACTCGAGAAATATATCGATTGATAAGGAAACGATCAAATGTACGTAATCTAAACTGTATGATAAAACATTAATCACCAGTTCATATCAAGCCATTCTTAAAAAGGTTACTTTATTTTTATACATTAGGTAGATATCATTGTCTATCTAGATAAGGTTACTAAAAGTAGATATAACATCGGAACTAATTGGTAACTACATGGGTGTTTGACTAGGAATTTTCTTCACAAACAAATAAGAAACTTTGACGTTAGGAAGTAAATATAATCATGGTTTAAAGTTAATTGACACATGTATATTGCGAAAGTAGTTATAGTTATATAGATAGTATGATTAACATCCATTATATATAGACGCTCAAAAAATGAACCAACTGAACTGTGCTTTAGAGCCATTAGACACTTCGTTTGAAGTGCAGACGAAAAATGCTATAACTAATAGGTCTTTACCTATGAAATTGCCGTTTTGTATGCAATAAGTGAAAGTACTTATTTTTTCAATTTTTTTTATTTCTGTTATTCGAAGTAATCACCCATGCAATCGACGCATCTTTGCCAATGCATTGGCAGTTTATTGATGCCCTTCTTGTAAAAATCAGCTGGACGGGAGGCAACAAACTCTTCAAAGGCATTTTGTACTGCCTCTCGGGAATTGAATTGACCAAAGCTGGTTGCTTGGTACTCACCAGAAAAATCAGTTTGAAAAAATAAGTACTTTCACTTCTTGCATACAAAACGGCAATTTCATAGGTAAAACCCTATTATATTCAATAAATGCGAAAATGCATAAAATGTCGTACTTTCGATAAGTACACATATATTTATTATAGCTATATTTTTTTATAAATATAATAATGACCTTGTAACGAACGATAATTCAAAGTTAGTTATTTTTTAAATACTTAGTCTCTGCAACCGTTACTTTTTCACTCTGGGCGAGTGTTAATCGAAGATTTATTTAAAATGGTAGGTGGTTTAAAATATTAGAATATAATTGGAAGCGTTATAATTTATATAATCCCTAGCAGTCAAGCTCCAATTCAAGCATTAACCTGAAGTACACAAGGTATTATTTTAAAATTTACATCAAGACCAATGATCTACGGAAAAGGTACCGCGATTTTAAATTCTCAATTTCTCAACTTTGCCTGCTATTAAATTTATTTACATGAAATGTAAACAGTACAACATTTGCGCAAGCATTACTCAAGGTAAATCAGATACATACATTTTTAATTACTAACAAAGTTTTTATCGCCGACCAATCAAACATTACATTAGTTAATGGAAATATCTACATCATTATTTGTTATTATTATTACAACATGTCCTTTGGTAAAATTAAAAACAACATACATCAGTGATAAGCTGAAACAATAGTTTTATTTCAAAGTATAATCTTAGCCTACATTTTATAACGATACGAGCCTTTTCATAAATCAAATGTAATATAATATAACAAGTACAAATAACTTCAGTTTGTCAGTCTCAATTATCTAAATCTTGTCACTAACTTTTTTTCAACGATAGTATTTCTAAAAATGTCATCATCATCTTTATCATCAATAGCTTTTAGTAGTCCACTGCTGGACATAGGCCTCTCCTTAGAAAGGAGGCTTTGGCCTACTGTACCTTCCAAATGGGTTGGTATAGGGTTTATTTCAAGTTTTCCTTCTCTTTGTAGTGGTGTGTGGTAGTGGTTCTTAATCCGTTACCATACGGGAAAAGTACGTAGGTAATATCTATATAATGACAAACTGTGATAGGCACTAGATAGTCAGACAGCCTTTATCAACTTTAATTTGTTACACATGTCACATGTTAGTATTATGGTCGTGAAGTTTCACTACGAAATGTAGTGCCAGTAAAACAAGACCGAAACATTTCGGACAGTAAAAGATGAGAATTACCTGAATATTTCACGTAACTCTTTCGAATTTGCTTGGAACGGTACATTTCTAACGAGAATTTTAGACCCATTTTGAACAGTATTCTTATTTGCTTTTTTTGATGTTCGGACTTCATTTCTGCCAAAAAAAAAAGTTGTACTATTTATAAATTATCATAAAAATGTTTTTGCTATCCTAACTATATGTATAAATAATGAAATAAACTAGACATTTAAATTTTGAAGATGTTAATGCAAGGTGTCTTAATACTTATTATTAGTACAAATCGCTTAAACCTATAGTTAAACCGCCGTAAGCTTGGCCCTCCTGATGGTTTGCGGGGCGCGGGGCGGGTGATGCGCTCGGCTATACATGACGCGATGTACTAACGCGATATCTTCAGATTTATTTGTTTGAGATTTAATCTACACACGATGTAATAAAAATCGAAATTATTTCCATGTATTATAATGTCAGTGTATTGTGAGTTTTTATGATTAATTGTAAAATTTAATACTGTAAAATAATTTTAAAAAAATCACCTTATCTTCATCATGTAAATTATATTCAGATACAATTTAAAAATTAAGTAAAATAATAAATATTCTTTATTAGAACTTTAACAGTAGAACCTCTGTAAGCCGAACTTCAAGTTTTTAAATCTTTTTGTGACGCTGAGTCGGCAGATTATCCATGTTGCAAAATAATGCCGTGTATAGCAGTCTTAAGAAAAATAACACGTACAGCCATGCTTTCACGTCAGTCACTGCCGGCGGACAGCGACGCACTAGCTAATGGGTTGAATGCACCCCCGCCCCGCGTCCCCCAAACCATCAGGAGGGCCAAGCTTACGGCGATTTAACTATAGTTCGCACCACGCTAGTAATTTAGTAGAGTATGGAGTAATTTTGTAACTAAGGGTGTCTGAACAATAATCAATAACTTTACATTAATTGTCGGAAAGACATCATCCCCACTAAGCCGGACTACTTTCAATATCTTTACATGATAGAGAATTGTAAAGTGACAAGGTACTAAGCATTAATAGATAAGTTTATGTAAATTAGTGAACTAGAGCAGATGACTGCTCTAGTTCACACAGAAAATGCCATCTATCATACAACATACATACATGACATACAATGTTGGAAATCAATTGACACCTTGCTAATTGACAAATTTACAAAATCAGAATTACGCGCAAGGCAAGGAAGATTTGTCTTCCTCACAGTTCACCACTTCTGATAATAAAAAATACTTACGTATTTCCTCGTTCTGATCTTTTTAACTCCAGAGTTTTTCCGTCCAGTGTTGAACACTGAAGCAATTTCAAGGCTTTATTGGTGTATTCTTTCCTAAAGTACTGCACAAAGCCGTAACCCATAGAAAGCAACTGGCCGGGATTTTTCGGATCTTTCTTCTTTGCTATCGACACACTGTATACTTTGCCTGCCTCTGAAAAATGCTGCAACAAAATATATTACAATTTATTTTTCGAATTAGTATTAAACCTCGCGATCGCGAGGGTAGCCTTGCATTTATAGTATATCATGCAAATACGTTAACATCACGATAAAAAATACTAACCGCTCTCAGACTTTGCTCAGTCGTTTTGAAATTGAGATTTTTAACAAATAAAGTCGTATCATTTTCAGGCTCCTCAGAATCCTTAACGTCATCTGTGCTCTCTTCAGGTTTCTGCGAAACATTTGCCTTTGTTTCGGTGGAATCTTCTTCAGATTTTGTAATATCATTCTCGACATTTTGTAACATTTCAATTTTTGGAGCAGATTTCAGGAAGACATTTTCCGGCGCCCATTCTAGATATAAAGGTGCACTTTTGAACTGAGAATATGCTAACCTTGTAAATGCTTTTTTAGCTTCAAAGGGCTCAATAAAATCAACCAGTGCAGTAATGCCGTGTTGTGGCATCAAGAATCTCGCTATTTGTCCATGTTTTTCAAACAATGCCTTTATTTCTTCTTTATCTGTGTTCGCGGGTAAATTTTTTACGAGAATGCAAGTCTTCGATCTTTTTTTTGCTGTCTACAAAGGAATTCTTTAATTAATTTTCATATTCGAAGTGTCACAAACCTACGAAGATTCTTTTCGAATTATCAATAAGTTACTACGACATTATCAATTGGTGAAATATACAGAAAGTATTGATTAAACATTATTATCGCTTTATGAAATTCGTTGATGTAGTGGTATTGGCAAGCCAATCAAAAATTATTGTGCGTAGTTTAAAAACTTCACTAAAGTCTCAAAGATTTGAACTAACGACTATGAGTAACAAACATAAACGGCTAACAGTGGTCAAGGTTAAAAAACTAAGGAGGTATCCGGTTTTAAAATTTTACATACGACGTACATATTTCTTCAGTCAGGCCATTAATAAAATGATTTGTGTTGTGGATGGCTTTGTTATGTAAGACGTTAAGTGGCCTGGAAGAGATAGTAGCCTGAAATAGGACAGTCTAATACTCTAATATAACTCGTTTATTTATACGTGTATTTCCTTCTGAATAATTTGATGTTTGTGGTGCAATAAATTTATCCATTTATATATAAATATCTCATAACTTATGTCATAATTTTAAAAATTCTTCTCGTTGTCAATAGTCGTCAATTGTTTGTTACTGTTAATGTTGTATGTGAATGAAATGTTAGTCTAATGAAAAATACCTAGCAAAGCACATTTTTCATCTATAATGTATTTTAAATTATTAAGTTTTATTATATTCATCTTTACACAATAAACAAATAAATACAATGGATTGGCAACTTAAAAAAATAAATAAAAAATGTTATGTAATTACAATTACTACTTACTGTGTTAAATGCATCTAGGTAGACTCCATTCCCTTCTAAGAAAGCCTTGGTTTCGACAACCAGTTGCGTCTCACCCAGAGCTAATCTTACAGCAGCACTTGTTCCTAGTAAAGAAAATAATAATAGTAACAATTTATAATTAATTAACTTGTAAGGAGTATAGACATTGTTCTAAAGTAATATGTTATGACTGTCGTTTCTTCGTGATTTCTTTTTAATATTTAGTTGCGTTTGTTAGTAAGTTGTACCGAAAATTGGTAACACAATGTTTTTGTAATATGATATTCAATTTTTGTTTTTTTTTTCCACAGTTAAACCTGCATAACTGGGACATTAGGGGCCCGCGAATTTGTCTCACTTAAAGAGGTATTCCACTTACCCACTGTCTCAGATATAAATAAATTGCCACTTCCACTTATCCAGGTCCCACTTAACCAAGTTTCATTTTTTTTACTTTACTTTGAAAATATTTGAGCAATCTGAGAGTACCTACTTATTAAAGTTTCACATGACAAGGTACTATGTTAACATATTAAATTCTGTAAGCTGAGTCTTGCACATGCGATTCGAAAGAATTATAATGACAACTTGACACATCTCACACACGCCCGTTTAATCACAAATCAGGCAGAGCTTATACTATGGTAACCATACTGCTTCTGATAATAATACTCATATATTACTAAGTATATATGCACATATTATAGATAAATTACATTTGAACACAGAACAAATGATCATGCTTTTAACAATAATTTGTCCAAGGTAACTAACCTAACCTAAAAGGTATCTAACCTCTTACCTCTGGTTCAGCAATCAACATCACTAATCACTAGACCAACAGGCCACTCAATTAACTAAAATACAGCAGCAGTTGTAAGGAGAACTTACTTGTATTATCATCGAGTAACTGCTCCTTCGTAGTGCTGTAGTTAGCGGCGACGACGTCAGCAACAGCGTTGGAGCCCAGAAACAGAACGTTCCAGTTGTGGGAGGATTTCGCTTGCGATTTTAATTTCTTTGCCTTTTTCTCTTTAAATGATAGTCCCTCTAAAATTATGAAATAGTAGCATATAAATTAGTTTCTTTAAAACAATAGGAAGATGTTTGTTTGTGTGAATATAGGAGAACAAACGAGCAGACGAAAAAGTAATCTACTTTGTACTACATGAAGAGATTCTTTCGTACTCTTTTTTAAGCAAATTTCACGAAACAATGAATATAAATTTTGGAAAACATAAAGTTTATATGTAGAACAAGTGCAGAAAGCTAAAATTTAAAATATTACCAAAAACATATATTTATTTGTAAATGTAATGGTGCATTTATATTACTGATGAAATGGATATCCGGCCACTATCCGGTCTCCAGCAAGATACTGGATACATTCTAATTAATATAATAAAAATAAAAAAGCTCCGTATACGGTAAAAATTACCGATCATGTTCTTATGTCTCATGTGATCATGTCATTTACTCATTGTTACCTTGCCTTAGGCGACTACAGATATAAAACTAGTATAGATTTAAAAGCCCCTATTAAAGGTGCAGATAAAAATACATTTGCACACCATCATCTTCTTCGTCTTCATGTTTCGCAGTTTTAGCGGGTAGCAGATGAAGCATTCTGCCACTGAAGGCGGTGCCATCTAGTTCTGTGTATGCTTTCACTGCGTGTTCAGGCATCATAAACGTCACCGTGGCAAATCCTTTGGGCTGTCTCAAAACTGGATCGATAGGCATGTTCACTTCCGTAATTGGACCTGGCAAATTAAAAAGAAATTTAATAACATTGTCTCCAATGTAAGCCTAAGTTTTTTAAATGATAATCAATATTATTTTATAATAATCTTATTTTCAATCAACCGATCATCAAATATGAATCATGCAGAGCTGGGCAAAATACTTACTTTAATTTATTTAAAATACAAATATATACAAAATACTTTATGAAACACAAAACCATAATTCAGTAAAGAAGAATTTTCTTTCACGAACAGCAGCTTTGAATTGTAAGAGACAAAAAGTTTGTTGTTGATACAAAACCTAACTAGCTTAGAAGTATGAAAAGATTTTTGTTTTGCTTATTTATGAAGTTAACTGTAATTCCGATTAAGATGTCTGGGGTTAAACACTAAAGGGGTACATCTCAGTCTTCTTCCCCTAATTCCCTAAATGATGGATGGAGTTTGCGGCGGGGAGGTGTGTGAGAATCCGATTAAAACCATACGGTGTGCCACTCTGCGCCTGTAATAGGAGGGATCCGGGAACTGCTGTTCCGAACCCCTCCCAGCGCCTGCCCAAATCGGCGCGGGCGCCACCTTCGGGTACATTCTTTATTTAGGAGACGTCCGGCACATGCGGACGTAGCCTCCTCGCGGATGGCCGTTATGGCGGGTGGAGGGGAAAACCCGTCCCGTAGACCCGCGGCCACACTCAGGGCGGCATGAGGCGGTGGTAAGCGCGCCTCCACCGCCCGGTTCGCCGGCGACGAATTGAGTCCGAGTGAAGGTTGTCCTCCCGGGCCTTATCCATCGCCTCCTTCTGCGAGATGACGTTTTCGCAGAAGGATGCGACCGTGGTGAACCATCTATCACTAACGGCCATGGAGCGTATGACGGCCGGTAGCGAGAGATCCCCCGATGACTGGAATGAGGACCCGGCTCTGCTATAGGGTCTGGGTAGGTCTTTTGAAGTAAGGACTATAGTTTTGAGTCGGTCTGTGAATACAGACGGCCCCCAGCCATGGTGTAGCCTAACCGACATTGGTCAAGATCAATTACCCGAAGCACAACACTACCGCTAGTAGGACATTTGGGTAGGCCGTGAAAACACTCAAAACCACCACAAAGTTCTTAAAAACATGAATTAATATTACAAGCCGTGTAGTTACATACTAAAACAAAAATATATTAGGTCTTTACCTATGAAATTGCCTTTCTTCAGTACTGGTCATTTCAAATAAAAAAAAGTTTATAATGGCTCTGTATTCTAAATTCAAATTAATTTTGTTTTAAAACCATGACATTCTATTTACAAACTCAGTCTTTTGTTTTTTGATTAGCGTTGTATTTTCATTACATTTGAACATTTTTCGTCATAATGGATACTTTAAAAATTCGTGTAATTATGGAATATGAGTTCCGTCGTGGCACCAACGCGACACAAACGGCACGTAACATCAAAAACGTTTACGGAGAGAACTGTACAAACGAACGCACAACCCGTTATTGGTTTTCCCGGTTCCGTTCTGGAAATTTTGACTTGAAAAATGAAGCTCGTGGTCGTCCGGAGACTTTGGTTAACAATAATGAATTAAAGGCGATTGTGGAAGTTGACGAAACTCAATCTACAGCCGAGCTAGCAGCAGCTTTTAATGTAAGCATCAAAACGATATTGATCCATTTGCGACAAATTGGCAAGGTAAAAAAGCTTGATAGATGGGTGCCCCACGACCTTAACGATCGCCAGCGCAACGTACGCGTCGAGACCTCCCTTGCGCTGCTCAACAGGCAAAGAAATGAAGGAATTTTGAAACGAATTGTTACGTGCGACGAAAAATGGATTCTGTTCGACAATCGAAAGCGCTCAGCAAGTTGGTTAGACCCTGGTTCAGCACCAAAGCAATGCCCTAAACCAAAAATGACCCCTAAAAAGGTGATAGTCACTGTTTGGTGGTTTAGTGCGGGTGTGATTCACCATTTTTTACAAAACGGCATGAGCATTAATGCAGATGTGTACTGTGAAGAACTGGAGAGAATGATGGAGAAGCTTGCACATCTGCAACCAGCTTTGGTCAATCGGTCGTCCCCACTGCTCCTTCAAGACAACGCGCGACCCCATACTGCGCAACAGACAGTCTCCAAGCTGCAAGAGCTGGGGTTGGAAGCTCTCCCTCATCCGCCATACTCACCAGACCTTGCACCTACCTATTACTTTTGTCTGACTGTCTGTCTTGACTATTACTTTTGCCAAAATTTAGACAACTTTTTAGTGGGTAAAAAATTCAATTCCCGAGAGGCAGTACAAAATGCCTTTGAAGAGTTTGTTGCCTCCCGTCCAGCTGATTTTTACAAGAAGGGCATCAATAAACTGCTAATGCGTTGGAAAAGATGCGTCGATTGCATGGGTGATTACTTCGAATAACAAAAATAAAAAAGTTTGGAAAAATAAGTACTTTCACTTATTGCATACAAAACGGCAATTTCATAGGTAAAGCCCTATTGCTATACAATTGTAATTCAACGATAAGATAAATAAATTGAAAATAAACAAAATACGAAATACAACAAAAATTGAATATATGTCATCAGATCAAATGTATAATATATGAGCAGCATCATTCTGAAGCAAATTTGTCATCTAAATAATCTGTAGTCTTTAGTAGTCTGTAGTTTTTGTTTTACTAAAGACTAAATTTGTTAATACATACTTAATTCATGAAGTTTGGCATTTTATTGTAGACTCGCACACCCTGACAGCGAAAAGACTTGCTAAAAGATTCTATTGTGTCGCCCAACAGGCCAAAAACAACGACAGATTTAGCCTACCCAGAAGCGAGCACACAAGTCCTTTTGTTAAATTATAAACTTTTTTGACATTAAGTTTTTGTTTATTAATTTTACTAAAACGATACTTACCGTACTTTTCGAAGAGGTTCGTTACCTCTTCCTCTGAGACCACGTATGCTAAGTTTCTCACAAATATGCTTCCACTCTCTCCAATGGTTTCTTCACTGTTTAATTTCTGGAAAGAAGGTAATTTTTAAAATATATTGTGAGAAGTGCCATGACTGACTAATAATGTATGGGTTTCCTTTAAAAAAAACGACGTAAGGCATGTGTGCTAATAATATTGATGTAGTTTAGATGTTGTAATGACTTACAAACATGGCCTTTTTAGCATAGTCTATGAGTTTTTGAAAACATTTTTATTTGTCTAAGTTTTAAGAGTTTATCAGAAAGAAGTATCCTAGTTGTTTACTTCCTGAATCTACAAAATATGGAACAACAAATGTGTAGTTTTACCTGCAAATAGACGTGCATTTGTAAAATATTACGTTAGTTAATCGTGAGATTTATTCCAAGCTAGTAAGTCCAAAATAGCAGAAAATACTATATACAAACAAACAGTATAAATTTGCCTTAAAATTAATTTATGAGTTCAAATTGGCTTACGTCTTCTCTCCTTCTTGTCGTATTTTGTTCCTCTTCCTCTGCAGCCTGTTTTGCTTTATCCTCATACTTATGTATGTGAACTCTATGATTACCTAAATTATTTTCAATTAAAATTAAAACTTATTTATTTTAGAATTACTAGAAGGACATATATAACAATAATAAATTATTTGTATCTAACTAATTCATCTTTCTTTTATTTCTCATTGAAAATCATCAATCATGAAACCAGGACAATGTAAAGTAATGTTCTTTCATGCTACTATGCCAAGCTTTAATGGTACTGTGCTTTGTGCGGAGACAGTAGTTGTTGGCGATAAAAAGGAGATCACTAAAATGGGTTTAACAAGGTCTTCATTTGGAAGTTCTCAAACTTTAATGACTAAAATAAAGATATGGTCAGTGAAAACGGAAAGAATACTTTCTAAGAAAGAGGTTAGCGAGAACTACATTTATACATAATAATTAATACATTTCTACACATTATCCAAATTTACTTAGCTTGTAAATATTTATACACACCCAAAAACAACTTATCTTTTCCAAGTGCTTTCTTGAGTTCCTTTTCTGTTCTGAATCCAACATAACAAAATCCAGTAATTTTCTTGCCTTTGCCAAGTGGGAGTCTTATCGAAAATGGGACTAAAGGTCTGAAGAATTCTTTAATATCTTTTTTCTTACATTTGTAAGGCAAGCCTGTTATCTGTAATAAATAAAATGACAGCTGTGATTTTATAAATCACTATTTCATTCTATGTCTAATAAGAAGTTCATCTATATTTTATCAATACTTTTATTAAATTGTATTTGCAATATTTCTATTAAAATATGATAACAATGAAAAACTTAGAATTACGAGTTAGTGAAAGACATTACACGTTGGAACTTACCTTAATATGAAAAAGAGGTCTATTTCTGATTTTCTTTGGTGTCTGTTCTTCTGCATCCTCTTTTTTTACTTCTTTTGTATTTTCTATGTCTGTAGCGCCTCCTACCTTTTTCATTAGTAATTTCATGTACTGAAATAAAAATAAGTATAACTGAGTCCAAAAAGCGTGCGTAATTATTCATAATTATTGTTTTAGATGTTTTGTCCGTGTGGTGACGGATTAAGAATACAGAGTGTCACCACCCCTATTCATGCCTTAAGAGGCAACTAAGGACACAAATTACGCCAGACAACAGCACTGCAAAGAGAAGGAAAACTTGAAACAAACCCTATACCAACCCGTCTGGCCAGCGTGGTATAGTAGGCCAAAACCTCCTTTCTAAGGAGAGGCCTATGTCCAACAATGAACTGGTAAAGGCTGTTGATGTTTAAATATCAATTAGTTTAATTTATGCATAACTACTCATCACCTCAGTTTCAACTTAATTTGTTCTATCATTCTTGCTTAGATTGCCCTCCTAACTAAATCTTGCTTGGTACTTTATTTCTTGTTTTATTTTTCTTAGATTAAGTAAAAATTATATTTCTATCTATAGGTATATAATTAGTGATTGTGATCCAGAAAACCGGATCCGGTAATTCGGAGCAGCCGGATCAATATACATGGGTGCCAATTTAAGGGATGCGGTAATTAGCTTCGGTGATTGTATATTTTAGTAAAATACTTTAAACGTGCGGTGTTTAGGCAACAATAACGGATTTCGCTAGGGCTAAAGTAATAGTGATTTGGCCGAATAACGAATTTTCGGCGAGCCTCTTGGCCGAAGCACCGAATATTCGGCAATACTTAGTTGATTTTGCGGTTATAAACCTGAATCAGTAAAATAGCCCCAAATGAAAAATATTATGCTGTAAAAACTGTACTGGCCAAAAGAAACATAAACAAGGAATTACGTTTCATAGGTAAATGAATAATTCAAACACTTATTACTTTATTAAGTAGACTATTACTTGTCTGCATGTATTCATGATTGATTAATGATTATTTGCTGACAATTAAACAGACAAGTCAATAAGCCGAGGGAGCCTTGTTGGCCACAGACTACATTATTATTATGATTGTTGTATTGTGGTCTGTGCTACTTATTGGATAGATTCGGTAGCCTGTCATATATAAGTGTAAAATTGAATAGCATTCTCAAAGAGCTAATTATTGACATTATTTCCATTTCAGTTAAGGTTATGTTTAATTTTATAATCTTGATTTTCTAACTACAAATTCCTAAAAATTTTATTCTAATTATTTTATCTTTAAAATCTAACTAAGAAGACTGCAGAAAAAAGCCACTGTTTTTCATTTTAATTTAGTTGACTTTCATTGCTCTGACACTTAGGATTTATTTTCTCATTATGAAATTAATAATAATAAAACGGAAAGTTAAGTTATCCTGGTTAGATCAATCCTGCGTAGGCCAGACGCCAATTTCAGATTGCAATCTCTATGTGTAATATTTTTCTTTTGCTTTCCTGCAATAAGTAGGAGTGATTTAATGAAAAAGGGGAGAAGTGTACAAGAGAAAGCCAGAGAAGTGCGCTGTTTGATTTAACTCATAAGCACTTACAGTGATTGGTTGGAAGTCAGTTGTTACACATTTTATGTGACTTTCTAATTAGAGGCCTATGTCCAGCAGTGGTCTATTAAAGGCTGTTGATTATAATATGTGACTACTTTATGGCTTCTCTTTCTTTTTTATAGTTTTCCAAGCTTTTTAAATAAAATGTGATACACATATTATTATTATAAACAATAATAAAGGTTTTCTTACTTCTAAATCACTGATTGGTTTATTAGCAACTTTTTTAGCAGATTCTGTGTCATCATCTTTTTCAGTTACAAGATCTACATTAGATGCCTCTTTAATATTACTTTCAGTAGTTACGTCATCAACCCCGCTATCTTCCTCATCACTTTTAGAAGCTGACTCAAGGGCTTCCTTTATCCAAGTTGTTTTATCATTGATGTGAGCTTCAATGAATTCTGCAAATAGCGGGTCATCTTTATGCTGAAAAAAATAAGATATTTATGTGTAGTCTGTACTATTGTTTTAATTTTTTGCAAGCAGATTCTGATGAATCTATAACAACATAAAAGATCCACACCTAGATATAGCAATACAGTATCGACTTACCCTTTTAAGTAGTTCTTTAATTTTATTTTTGTTCTTTTCAATCTTCCTTTCCTTCTTTTCTGTTTTTCTTAGCTGATCCTTGGCTTCAATTTCATCTTTATGTAGTTTCTTATAGGCGGAACTGTCTGGTGCATATTTGCTCCAGGCTTTTGGCTTTTTCTCATCCCCTAGGTTAGCACAAGTTTGGACTTCAATTTTCATAGAATTAATACATATACCATTTAAGTAGTCCCTTGCCTCTGTTGCCTGCTCTTGGCTTCTGTACCCGATGAAACCAAAATTCCTAAATTTGCCATCTTTTGTATATTTTAATTGCACATCAGTTACTTCACCCTTTTCGCTAAATATTTCTTTTAATTTATCAACAGTGACCTGAAACAATAGTTTTTATAATGTATGTGGCAGAAAACTAATCACCGCTTAGAAATCAGAATTCGTAATTACCTTATTTGGTAAGTTTTTCACTATTAGACGAGACATTGTACTTCGTATTACTATAATACACACGAAATAAATAAATAAACAGCACGTGCACTGCCCATCACATTTCTATCACTTTGACATCAAGATCAAGTCTGATCAAGTATTTTCAGTTGCCACGTTTTTCAAAACTTTCCCCCTAACGCAATTTTAAAACCCAGTAAATCCACACCAAAACTCCCAAACGACGGATCAAATATTGATATATAAGATAAGGTATACACGGCGCTATCCACTAAAACTGGCATCATTCAATCTGATTATTTATTTTTAGTTTTGTTGATAGACGTAGAAAATATTGTAAAATTGGTTAAAAAATACAAATTTTACATTTTTTTACATATTTTAAATTTATGGGATAAAATTGTCCCTAAAATACCCCTAGCAAATTGAACCCCTAAAAAACTCGATTTATAGATTTTTTCCCTTAAATTTGGGGAGAAAAACCCAGGAATTGGTATCACTGACAGCAACTAAAATGAAATGTAAACTATTGTATTATCTATGCTTAAATCCTTACGTCAATGAAGTGCTGCCAATTATTATTGTAAAACTGTAAATGTATATATATTATTAGCTGTATATATATTTTACTAGTTTAAGTTTTATCATGCCAGTAAAAGATAACAATTTATTCATTATTATTCTTTCATTCTCAAAATTTTTCATTGGCTTTACCACAGCTCTACATAAAATCCTTTGACAGTTTGTCTTTCAAATACATGACATTGGCGAAATTGTGGTTACACTCTACCACAAACCATTAACAAGTTAAAGTTGAAGTTATTGTAAAACTGAGAGCCAAATGGGAGTATTTAATTTCTATTCGATCGTCATGGTGACTGCGTTTGGCGCTACGATTGGCCCGCACTGAAATATAAACCAATCGCAACGCTAAACGCGCTCGCTGTCGAGAGCGAGTCGATGTGAAATAAACTTGCACTCGGCCCTCTGGTCCCTATCGTCCAAAGTGACAATACCTTGAGCGATTTAAACTGAGACCATTGGGTGGGTTATAATCTTATAACGAAATTATAATAATGAATTTCACTGGATTAATTTAGTGTATTTATTATTAAGTGTTTCAATATTCAACATTTGTTTTTATCAACCCGTCTGGCCAGCGTGGTATAGTAGGCCAATACCTCCTTTCTAAGGAGAGGCCTATGTCCAGTAGTGGACTGTTATAGGCTGTTGATGATGATGATGTTTCAATATTTGGATGTTTTATGCGAACCTGTCATGCAATTTTCTAAAACATGCTGTGTACTATGCTTGTCAACATACAATGTAGCTTATCACTTATCAGCATCACCGCTGATTACTTATACAAGATTGATTGAGAACAAAACAAAAAGAAATAATTGAATGGATATGGAATGTATGTTAAGATGATAGTCTTAAGCACTTATCCTTGTATTATAGTGAAAGGCCATTCGCAAAGCGTGGGTGTCCAGATGATTGAAACCCATGGTCACGAAAACAATTTTTTTTAGAAAAAGTTTGTCAAGATCTCTATATGTCAAAATGACAAAATGTCATAATATCAGCTGTTCAGTAAAAACAACATAGGTTATTAAATTCTCAACATACTATTGTAATCCATTTAGTACAAAATCCGCACTAAATTTGTTCAAAGAAGCAAAGTTATTGTTATAACTGCCTAAAAGTTCACCAAGGATTTGGAATAAACTGCAAAATGTCGACTGCAATGACTTTTGGCCAGAAACAGTTTATACCGACTCCACCAGAAAAAGGAAGTTTTCCTCTGGATCACGAAGGAACGTGCAGGTCGAGTATGACAAAATATATGAAGTGCTTATTCAATAATGACAATAATAATTCCTTGTGCCGAGACGAAGCGAAAGATTACTTAGCCTGTAGAATGAACAATAATCTAATGGCTAAGGAAGACTGGTCCAAATTAGGTTTTAGAAGTGAAGATTCTAAAGAGGTAAAGTGATTTTGTGTAAGTGGTTCTTTAATCATGAATAGACTTGTTATCTTTTTTTCAAAATAATAAATAATATTAATAAATATAGTGCCTGTTTTTAAACTATTTATTTTTTAATCCATTCCCAAATAATTTGTTCTTGTCCCTTAGACCGTTAAGTATTTTCTTAATCCCTTGAAAGTTATTTAGGTAATTTATTCACTATGCCTAATGTATAAATATATATGCTTAATGGAACATACAGTGACATTTTTTATGATGAAACTCATGGGATTGACCATTTTTTATTTTATTTAGATAGTTATATAACCAACAAATTTTAATCACATGGCATTAATTTTTATGCATTTTGGATATTTAGTGCATTCATCTTGATAAAACAAGATTTGTTTCTATTAACTCAGCAGAATTCAGAGCGCGTTGAATAGTTGGTGGTAATTCAGAATCATCCAATTGAACAGATATGATATGATACATCGTTCTTTATGTACAATGTTTTATGAACGAAACCTCTCTCAGTCACAACTGTCACAAGCATAGATTTTTCTATTTAATAAAACAATTGCTTTGATCGGCTTATCAACCATTATTTTTTTATTTGTTGTATGTGAAGAAGTGAAGCAAAGTTATAGTTAACTGTAATAGATAACTCAAAATTCAACTGTGTATATTGCGAACGTAACCAACCTCGTATTTCAATAACATGATTTCACTCTTTTTCATTGTTTTAGTTAAAAAGTGAGCTTAAAAAGGTAAACTTTCATTTATAGATTTTATTTCAGAGTTAGTTGTTACGAGTGCCAATTCCTATAAAGGGACATGCGTTGAAGATGTGGGACGATATGAAGGGGTTATTTCCTGGGCTTCATAGTCTAGCCATGATCTATTTGCCCATCATGGCAACTTAGATACCTAGTGAGCGGTTATTCTCAGAAGCTGGTGCTACAATCACCCAGGAGAGAAACCGCTTACTGGGACCCATGTTGTCAAAAGTATTATTGTTCTATTGTACAGAAATAAACTTAAAAAATGTTTCATTTATACTTGTTTTTAGTTAAAAATTAACCATTAAAAAATTATCTATATTTATCTATCTTTCGTAGGTGATCCTAATAAATAAATAAATAAATATATATGTAAATAAATAAATAAACTATTCAATAAAAATGTAAAAGAAATGTGTACAACTTCCTAAAAGAATTTAAATATAAAATTAGAGTTCAATACTGATTTGTTTCATTTCTGTTAAAAATAATAATTTTTTCAAACGCAATTCGAGTTTTAACTGATCTGAAAAATAAATTTATTTCTTTCTTTGTATATTTTTACTTTAAAAATTAGAAAATAATCTACTCGTATAAATTGTTCAATTAATACTCGGATAAAACGAAAACGATACTTAAGTATACAGTGAATCGCTTTTATATATCCGACATGAAAGTTTTCATATCGCTTCATAAACGTGTGCTGATAAATTTTGTATATAATAATCGTTTTTTCTAAAAAAACTAACTTTTTTCGGGAGATGGTTTTGTTTGTTATTCAAGTCCAATAGAATATACACGTTATCGAAAACCGAGTATTCATATTGGAACAAGTTACATTATATACGTATGATTAATGAATTATATTTAAAAAAAAATAGTTTATTATAGAAAAGCAGTTTTAATTGCTATTTTTTTTATTATATAGTCTACATTGAACATAATAGTGAATTATAATTAAGTAAAATGTCAAGAAAATGCATTAAGAATGTTTTTCTTTAATATTTAAACCGTAACTCCGATTGCATTTACTCCGTTTCCAACATGTACTCATTTTGATAACACTATGTTTTCAACATATATTCACTTTTGATTAAATATATAAATAAAAATATATAAATATAAATAATACTTTTGAGTTGCAGGTGTCCATGGGCGGCGGTAGTTGCTTACCATCAGGTGACCCGTTTGCTAGTCTGCCCCCTTATACTATAAAAAACACGCACTGGTAACGCTCTGGAATCAGCAAGGTTCACCCATTTCCACTGTTTCCAGAGTGTTTAAGGAATGGAGTCAAATCCGCGAGGGAATGTAGAATTTGCCATCAGTTTCAACGAGATCCAGAATATATTTTTAGTTTTCAGGTATAGGTTATACGGTCTATCCGCAATAGTTAGTGGCGATCTTTACTGATTTTTAGTGGAAATCGATCTTGTACCACTCTTTGTTGAAACTAGTAAGCCTTTGTGATAGATAAGGTGTGTTGAAGGAGGGAAATAAGTAGAAACTATATTAGAAAGTTCTTTATTTTATTTATTAATATGTACTTAAAAGAAATTACATTAAACTAAAATTATACATTGAGTAATTATTTTAGAAAGACTTAATTTTTTTTATTACTTTTTATCGCCGTTGTTGGCATTTTTTATAAAAGTAAATATCACAGTTATTATTAAATTATTTGTGACCAAAGAAATTATAAAAAGTTTAATGTAGCCTATAACACTAAAAGATGAGCGACTTGAGAGGTATAACATTGTTTTATATACAAGTCACCCTAGTTTATGGACCATTTGGCTGTAATATTATTATTATATGTAAATATGAACCAATTACTGCTGATTGCACAAGATATAACAAATATTTTGTGAAATATTATATTTTCTGCTTTGTCCCTATTACTTTCACTATGGGGTAACAAAGAAGGAAGGTACTTTAGTTATCTTATTCTTCTTGGTTAAAATTGATTAAAGACACAACAGCAACATACAAAAATATCCAAAGAGAATTTATTCTGTACAATGACTAACTATAATAAGCACCATATTCATTCTACCAAGTTTTACTCTTCATTTTCCACATTGGCAACACAATCAGATTATACATTTCATATTACAACTCGTCTCTCTATCTTGCTTTTTCACAGTCCATTTAAGGCCATTTTTTTATAAAATATTTTGTATATATCATTCCTTATATTTATGTTGATAGCAATGATTTATATGGCCTCTATATTTACTTAAAAATTACAATCCATCTAAATCATTTACAAATTACAGTATATGTGTACCTCTTTTAACCAGCATAAGAGATATAAAATAAGTTACTTATCTATTACAATAGATAATATTAATCATTAAGTGAAGAAGTGTAGTTCAGCACACACATGTTAGCATTAAGGATCGTCGTTGTGCAGACTTAGTTTTTAAATTCTCTGAACGCACTTTTTTGAGTTCAAATTAATAGCTAATTTTGCAATGTATTAATAAAGTTCAATCTTGTTGGATTGAAAAATCTAATATGGCAATATAACTTGAGAAGCTTTGTCGCTGTTATTAATTTGCTAACCGGAAAGGAACGAAGTATATATGCATGTAGATCGGCGGTCGACAGTTTGCGGCCGTGCGGTGCAGGTAGATTTAGTTATACTACATCGTTAACTGTGCTATGTTTCATAGCATTAGCTAACATATGTGTACAAACAAACTGTGGAATTTTACAAGATTAAGCTACAAATGCATACATTAAATATCAAATTACTTTTTTATTATTTGTTACTATGACACAAAGTATTTGCTAGTTTAAATACTAGCATGTAAGATACAAATATTCTCCCTAAATTAACTCAGTTATTTTTCACATTAAACATCGAGAACAATACAAACTGTACAGAAGCTAAATGGATGGTGTTTTATACCTTACATTTCAATAACAAACCAAGCACTCGATCCTATTGAGATCAAAATGTACATATACTTAATAGAAATAATAAACCATATGACCTATAAGTTTAAAAGTTTACAATAACTATAGTAGATAATATTTAATTAAAGTATCATTAAAAGGTATGCTATAATATGTATATTATGTAGATAATAATAATAATTTAATACTAAACAGGCAGTGCAATTTTGCGCAATAGTTACTAACTCTAGTCTTAACTCAGACACTTTCGATATGTACTTGTTGATTCAAAACTAGTTAGGTATGGTGTAAACAGTAAAATCAACAATCATTTGGTACTTATTTGTATATCTGTGTAAGTGTGTGTAAGGTTTGTAAGACAACAAAATTTTATTACTTTCAATAATATAGCTACACGTTTCAAGGAAATTAACATTTAGCTGTCATTAACCCTCCTTAAAAAAATCCAAACATTGCCATCTTATAGCTTATCAGTACATTGCGTATTTCTAAATAGGTAACCCGACTAAAATAATAAAAACACTTTTATGCTGCAGTCGTTATAAATAAATATGATCGACTAGCTGACCCGCGCAACTTCGTCTGCGTCTCTCAATAGTAATAAATTTTTTCCGTTTTTGAAACATTCTTCATTGGTGCTCCGCTCCTATTGGTCTTAGCGTGATGATATATAGCCTATAGCCTTCCTCGATAAATGGGCTATCTAACACTGAAAGAATTTTTCAAATCAGACCAGTAGTTCCTGAGATTAGCGCGTTCAAACAAACAAACAAACAAACAAACAAACAAACTCTTCAGCTTTATAATATTAGTATAGATTAAAATATTGACTAACAGTGTTTAATATAAGTTCCCAATATCAATAGTGTAGAGTATAAGAAAGGTAAAAAGTTAACACGTAGAGTAGACGCAGAACTAGGTGAGCGAAGAGTTGAGCCTGGAGCTGGAGGCGCGTGGTAGCCGGCGCGCCGGCCCGCGCGCTCCGTGGGGCAGCCCATCCAGAATGGAGCTGAAGGATATTGTTTCTCGCGTTCCACACGCATTTGAAGATCGTTGAACTTCCAAAAACCTTTTCCTTTGAAGAAGTATGTTTTGCCTGCAAATTTAAAAACGAAATAAGACTAGAAAATGTTACTCAGCAGCGTAGGAAAGCAAAGATGTGTTACTTATATAAAAACTGATATGTAGGCGTACCAAGGTTTAGCTTGCAAGGAAAGCAAATTTATTTAATGTTTATTTGGCCCTGGATTATTTGTGTGTAGGTACCTAACTATGTTTACCTGTGTTCTAGACCATACGGCTATAAGAACGAAGATATTATTTTTGAGGTTTAAACATACAGCCATATATACATTTTTGCAACCTATATAAAAACCTATATATTTTACATAGAAAATGAAAATGGGAATATTCATCAATACGAATATTTGCATAGAGCGGACTTCAAACGTGCGATCCACGGGACGTTTGCACTACTTTTCGTGTTACAGAGGTCGTAAAATTATCATAGTCTTGTAAAAAATATTGATCATCATCAACAACCTTTAATAGTCCACTGCTGGACATAGGCCTCTCCTTAGAAAGGAGGTTTTGGCCCACTACACCACGCTGGCCAGACGGGTTAGTATAGGGTTTGTTTCAAGTTTTCCTTCTCTTTGCAGTACTGTTGTCCTGCGTAGTTTGCTCCCTTCGTCGGGTCTTACGACGCCCACGGGATGAATAGGGGTGGTGACATTCTGTATTCTTAATCCATCACCACAAAAAATATTATTGTTGTATATGTATTTTTACATAGTGCGACAAGTACTTCATAAAACTCTCATGTTATCGTGCACTGATAGTGTGTACCTATACCCTATACCCTGTTCATTTTTTTAAATGACAGTTAAATTTTTAATGATTCGTTATATATTTAGTAAGAGCAGGGCAGATAAGAAAATAGCCAGCTACGAATTACGTTCTCGCTTAAAACGCATCCTAAATGGGTCCTCGTGGCATCCTAAGCACCTAAGCACGCATCCTAAGTAGTTTATAGAACACTTCTTCAAATCCATTCAAAACTTAGAAATCAATATAGATCATAATACTAGTTCAGACGCGTAATCCCCAGCACGATCTAAGTACTCCAGTATTTAGCTGAATCTTACCGTCTTTCCATTGGAATACACTATCGATGTTGTAGCCGACGCCTTTCCACATACCCATATTGCGAGGATAATCAGGTTCTACGCGACCATCGTCTTCGTCATATCTGCAAAAATAAAATTTATTCTTAATAGATCCTCTAATAGATTTTGTATGTATTCCTGAGGAGAGAAGCGTCGATGGTATAACACCCTTTGATACGTATTACTTTTTTAGAGAGTAGTGATGTGCAACGCCACACTTTTATTAAATTTGACAATGTTGGAAGTTGGGAAGTCACAACAAGAATTCAATTTATTTTGAATCAGCAATTTTCTTCCGATCGTTACTATCATTTAACTTGCGCAGTCATTTATTTAGTAGGCGGTAGACAATGCAACAGCCGTAAGTCTCTCACAACGGGTGAACTAAAGAGTCACCTAACAAACATTGCTTCTGTTTGCATTCACTTAAGTGCAATCAGTGTGTTTAAGGAAATTTGGTTTTATTTATGTAACTAGATGGCGTTGTTCATTTAGACATAATTTCTGACTCCCGGTGTTATGATTTTCCGTCTATTAAGTATAAGGATAATTAATGTAGTATTGAGATCACGCCGAGATCTAATACGCATTATATTTGTAAATTGTGAAGATTTTTTGTTTATCCGAGTGCCGCGAACTATTTTTCAGCTTCTATTTGGTTATATGTAGCAAGATATTTACTTACTTCCAATATTGAGAACCACTATAAAAGTAAGTTTTGCCGTTGTGTCCCCAAACCATAGCAGCATCTAGTTTCTCTAAATTTTCAGGAAGACCAAGTTTGGTTAATGGCTTCGGGTAACCTGGCACTAGGTATTGTGAATCAAACAAGTACAATTCTTTACCTGAAACAAAATCAATAGTTAAATTTTATAAAACTCGTTTAAGAAGCGTGAAGGTCTAAATTGAAGAAGTAGAAGAGCTTTGACTCTGAGTGGAAGCACCTCACGTTTACGTTCTACGGTAATGAATAGAGTCATCATTTCGAACAGGCGGCACGTATGCTTGTACAATTCAAAAGAGTAAAAAAAAACAATAAAAGCCCAACATACCTACGAAAATTGCTATTTTCCGATCTGGTCTTTCATAAACAGCATCAACATGAGTAAGATCTCTTGGTAAACTAGACCACATTCTGGTTATCTCCATCGGATAACCGGTGTAGCGTCCACTAGCTCCTATCCTCCAATGATACTTTAAACAAAAATCGCATATCAATATTAGTTGAGTTCATGCACTCCATTCATTACTCATATTTTAGATTTGGCTTACTACTTACTCTGTTCTTAAAGATAAACAGCTCGTTACGTATAAGCGCAACTGCGTCATAACTAGTATCGCACGTATCAGGTTTGTCAGCAGGTGTCGTCGTTGTAGGTCTTTGAGTAGTCCTTTCAGGGTAATAGGGTTTTCTTGGGTTATCTTGCGTGGGATTGTTAGGATTTGGATAACTAGGTCGTGGATAACTTGGATACTCGGGTCTCACATGAGGGTATCGAGGGCGATAGGATGTAGGATGCGTTGTAGTTTCTGTTGGACGTGGATAATGATGATTGGTGCGGCGAGGATGTTCATCACTTGAGTTGTGAAGACGGCGATCTGGGTAGTTGTATCTTGGGTCAGACCGGTCCGGATAGTGTGGTCTTTCTGGGTAATAGATAGGATATTTGGTGGGAATACGTGGATATTGTGGTGTGTATCCTCGATTAGGGTATCTTTCAGGGTGTCTATTGTGATGATGATGGATATACGGACGTCTGGTTGTGGTAGTTGTTGTCGTGGTCGTTGTTGTGGTAGTTGTTGGTGGTGGTTCTACCGGTCGGTAATTTGGTGGTATTCGTGCCCATTTGTTACTTGTTTTAGGACCTAAAAACATAAATTGTATTAGTGGGATTGAGAATAATTGACACTGTCTGATTCAATTATAATGATGGTATCAATGTTTCGTACCATACATTTGTTGAATGCCGTTGCGATCGTCTTCGGGTAGAACGAAATTTGGTTGAATGCCTTGATACCACGGAAACATGAGAGCACCTTTAACCGAGCTGTGCTGTAATCCTAGTGAATGCCCAAACTCATGAGCAGCCACGGCAAATAGTGAAGTACCTGAAATTTACAGAATTAGAGCCCTTAGCATATGGTTACTGAATGCATACGTATTTTTTATTTATTTATAATATGAACTCCCTCATTTGAACCTTAGGTTTTTATGATTTTATAGGTATTTGTAGCTTTTCGGAATTGTATACTCGAGTCAGTTTGTCTGCAAGTCATACATAGTAATACTATTCACGTGGCTTTATTCAAATAAAGGTGGATATCCACACATGGCTACCCGAATACAATTCGAAGTGGTGTTGTAACTATTCGTTGTTCGTGTAAATTATCACGTATGCACACTATAGAACGTTGCGGTAATAGCTGCGTCGTGTCTACGCTGTTGTGGTGCCACCTATCGGCTACCACCCATGTTTATGCTTCTAAACAACACTTGGTTTACTCTGTTCAATTGACAAAGCTGGGTATACGACAGAAATGTAGGTATATAGTTCTCAAAATGTAATTTGATATCTGCGTTGATATTTAGTTTCATTACATTATTAATTAATATATTACTTAGCCAGCTGCCCCGGCTTCAGTGTGGTCCAATTTTTTTACGACTTGACATTACAATTTTTTGCAATTCTCGGATTTATTCTACTATAATATGCAAGTATCTTTATCACTAGCTTTTACCCGCGGCGCTGCCAACGTAAATGTCGATTATCGCGGTAAAATGATTTTATCTTTCCTCAAGAAGTATCTCCACACCAAATTTCATCTTAATCGGTTCTTGTCGGTTGTCCTTTTCACCCCCTTAAAAGCTGCTTTCTGGGATAAAAACTACCCTATGTCCTTGCCCGGGACTCGGACTATTTCTATACCAAATTTCATCTAAATCGGTTTAGCGGTTTAAACATGAAGAGATAACAGACAGACACACTTTCGCATTTATAATATTAGTATGGATTAGTGTGAATTTCTCTCTCTGTTGGTGAAAACCGCATTTAAATCCGTTTTGTAGTTTGAAAGCTCTAAGTGTACATAAAAAAAAGGTTTGCCTCTGTGTAAACTAATCTAAGTAGAACTATTTAGTATTGAAATCTTGAAATTAACTTGAGAAAAGCTTAGGTTATTACTTAAATGTTATGTAAAGCGTCTGTCCGAAATACGGCTAACGCTTGGTGGATTGGGTTAGATTGAGAAAGGAGGAGCCTGCCTATCGCTGCCGTATGCGTGAGAGAAAGGGAACCCAGACAGACTGGCGCCGTAACGCGTTACGTAACGAAGCGGTTTACCCTCCCATAAGAAGTTATCACTTCAAACTTCATTTTATCCTACGTAAAGATAAATAATAATCCACAGCGGTGTGCCAGGCACAAACACGTAGCCCGGTCGAAGGATCCTTTATTTGTGTTAAAAGGACATAACACTCTTTAATTCACTCTTAAATATTTAAATGCGTAACTTAATGAAAATGTTCCTTCCAGTTGATCAATTTGGATATGAATTTTTTTAATTCATTTTGAAGTTGCACACTTTTTATCCATTCTAAAATTTACATACAAATTTACGTTTACAACCTTCTAAATTATGTCAAGTCTAAAAAGCTTAGTTAATTGTTGCGAACATTTTATTTCTCTCGCATATATTAGTTAAATAAGACTATGGGTAACGGTTTGTAAATTTATCAATAATCTGTTACTATGTCCAGCAGTGGACTATTAAAGGCTGTTGATGTGATGTGATGTGTTACTAGCTGGGGGCATGGCTTCTAGGAAGTCCTGGAGCTCGCCGAGTTAGGGGTGGCTTGTGTCGTTCAAGGGATGAGCGGTCAGGATCTAAGGGTTGCACCTCATAAAACGGAAGCCTTGTGGTTTCACAGGAAACGCAGATGTGCAGTGCCCACTTATTAGAGTGGAGAGAACAAGGGAGGTCGGTCAGCCGGCACATCAAATACCTCAGCCTCACCTTGTACAGCCCTGGAGATTCAAGGAGCATTTCGAGCGGATGATCTCCCGAGTTCGCGGGGTGGCGAGCTCCATACAGCGGTTGTTGCCTAATCTAGGGGGTCCGCGGGAGTAAGTTCACCACCTCTACAGTGCGGAGTGCCGATATGGGCCAAGCGCCTATCGGCCTCTACCGGCTGCCTATCTAAGCTCAATCAAGCGCAGCGGTTAGCGGCCATTAGGATCGTACGAGGTTACTGCGTTGCTGGCGTTCATGGGCGGCGGTTGTCGCTTTCCATCAGGTGACCCGTCTGCTCGTTTGCCCCCTATTCCATAAAAAAAGACGGTCACAGTCCTAGCACGTTTCTCGCCTTTCCATATCTGACAGAGACTGGTGCAGTGGCGCGCGCGACTGCGAATGCGCGCCAAGGAGCTGTCGGTGCCTTTCTGCCTAACCTCGAAGCTTGGGTAGGTACAGCGGGAGGTCGCGTCACCAACCGACTGACGCAGGTACTCACTGCATGCTTCGGTGAGTACCTGAATCGGATTGGATGCGAGGAGACGGTACAATGCACTGCGCAGCCGACTGGGACTCCGCCCAGTATACGCCTTAAGATACTCAAATACTAAGGGAGGACAAGAAAATAAAATTTAAATTTAAACTAAAACTAAAAGAAATGTTTGGATATAGCAATAGATTAAAACGCGTATATAAATAGGGAAGCACCCATGAAATAGTCAGGTTATACATACATATTTATGTATTGTTTATGTCTTGAACATATTTTGTTTTTTTAGTTAGTACACCGTTGGAAGAGTAATTATCATTACTAAGTTTATTATAAATTGAGCGAAACGCCTACAAACTGTTAAAACAGTTTGGCGAATAGAGAAATTGTAAAAAAATGTAACTTAAATGTGAAAAAAGTTTATTAAAAAAAAAAATGTTCTGCGTGGGCGTCAGAACGCGAGGTCCTGGTTTGAGGCCATGCTAGCGGGTCAGAAGGGCAGGGGCGCAGTGGTCTCTTTCTGAGAAGCTGTAATCCTATAGAAAGAGACCGCTGAACGCGAGAGGGCCGATCCCGAACGTAGAGGACGTCGGCAGCGGCATCAGCCGTCAAAGGGGCCGCTGCCTGTCAGAGAGTGGGGAAACCTCTGGTGGCAGATTAGTTGCTGCGGTAGGCGATAGGATGGCGGCCTAGTCACATAATGCGATCGGTCCGCAACACATATTAACATATAACCTCCTCAGGAATAAGGCCTAATTAGGCACGGCGTCGATTCGGGGGGAACCTGATATAACATGGTCCAGGTCCTCCCCTCGCCTAAAACTGGCTGTCGGGGTGGTTTTTAGTGGAAACACCACATACTCCCGGATCCTATATCTCCGAGGAGAAATTTTGCACCCCTTCAACAAAGGATATACAACGGAGTAAAAATTTTGAAAAACATGAAAATAATTTTGTGAGAACCTTGATTGTTTTTGTGACACGACTTTCGGCTATTAGATATTATCTAAAGATACCTACTCTACTGTATATACTCGTACCTTAGTTCTATGTTTAGCCTCATGTATGTAGTAGAGTGTTTTCGTTTGTTGTGTTGACTGCAGTTAATTAGCAGATTTCCAATTTAGCAGGTTTGCTTTGAAAAGTTCACGTAGCGTTCGGAAATGAGTGTGTCGCGGTCAGCGATGTTTTGACATGCAAATGTCGAACACGCCGGAATTCGCTCTGCAGCTCAGACAGGGAGTAGTGAGCACACACTTGTGTATGTTTTACGTTTCAGGTCCTGTTTTGCAGAGTCGCTAGTAAACATTTGGATGTTCACGGTTTATATTGTTGCTTTTCTTAAAAATTTACTTAACATTTTAAGTTTTTTTGTAACTTTAATTTCTAAGGAGAGGCCTGTGTCCAGCAGTGGACTAAGAAAGGCTGATGATGATGATGAATTATAATAAATTAGGTAAGTGTTGAAGTATGTACATTATAGTTTTCTAAGTTACATTTCTTGTCAAGGATATTGTTATTTATTTGTGTACCAATTACATTACGGAAGATAAAGTAAAATGATAATTTAATCAACGCTAATAGACGCGGGTCAAAATAGGATCATAACCGAGAATTCGAAATACTTCTTACTAAAAAGCTACAAAAAAAGTTTGTAGTTCATACCTTCTTCTTCCTCATCGTTTGGCTCTAGTAGCCACAGCTCATCATCGTCGAAGTGAGCGTCTCCACCTCGGCCACTGCCCGGGAAGAACGCGTGCGCAAGAATCGAGCCGCGGCCGTCGAATGGATACGGGTCGTCATGGTAACGCCTGCACAAACAAAAATAAAATACTTAGAAATGTACTAAGATAAAAATGTAGGTTCATATTATGACAAAGTTGCATTAGATTTTTACTATTGATGAAAACAGTCATACTGAAGTAATGTATTCATTTCGTAACAAACAACAATGGCTGGAGTAGATGGAGTCTACAGAGCAATCAAACTTGCGTCCCCCGGGTGCCGCGCTCGGCTACTACCAACCTAATCATTTTTCGCGCCAACAAAACAACTGAAAGACCTCGCCCATGCATATTTCACGCGATATTAGCTGACCGTTGCGTTATTGAGTTTCCATGTGAAAGTTCTGCCATTAACCGATATGGGCGGGTGTGCTAATAGGGAAAATATTCCTATACCTACTTACTTAATACCGCTATTATGGTCCGTAAGTGAAGCAAGCCAATAAAACAATGACTGGATGTAAGGTTATGTAAGTACACTAGAGCGAAATCCTATGTAGAATGTTTACTAACCTTATCTAATATATTTTCATATGAGGTGGGTGTACAAATCCCAATATATGAGTTCGTATTCATATACAATGTCGGTAAACATGCAAACGGTCCGCTTGATATAAGCGGGTACAAGACTACAAACAACTAGAGAAGCAAACCTCATTACCACACGTCGAAAAAAGTGTAACCAGTATTGTACTGTGACGACATAGCTTTGAAACCATTAGACATTTGAAAGTAAACATACATATGTCTCACTTACACGCGTCGCAAGAACAATACCGTTGCTAGGATTAGGCAAAGACATACAAACATATAAACCTGCAATGGCGGGCCAGTGTTGACTACCATTTGTAATCTTACCCATAACAACCGATTTTTGTAATTATTTTTCTTTTTTGTAACCGAACAAATTTTGTAATTAAATAACTCGCTCACTATCAGTAGCTCTAGAAGTGCTGGTTTATCGTGTTTTTCTATAGGTTAGGGTAGCATTAGCATGGGTAAACAGTGCTAACAGCGCAACAGATCGTAATTTGAAAGGAATACCAATAACATTCATAAAGTGAGACAGAAATTAACGGAAAAAGTATAATATCAAAGACTGATAAACTGATGACAATATTTAAAATATTTGTTGCATCTAAATCTCTTTTGTATTTTTTTTGTTGTAATACTAGGAAGAGTCCCGCTACATCACACTCTGAATAGTCTTGTTCATTGACCTTACATAAATTATAATTATAATATATTGTTAATTAATTATTATTAATTATTATATTAATTATTATCTATAGAACTTAGTGAAATAACTAACCAGGTGACTTATAAGATAATTAAATTCCAGGTCAAATTAAAGCATATAACGAGGACGGCTACTACCAAGATAAAATTTCATCCTTTGCGCTGCCACTAGCTTTCATAGTTGATAAACTGTTGACATGTCCTATAAAAAAATATTTTAGGATATTGATAAAACATCAATCTATCTAATAAACTTGTGTTAAACGTGCCTACACCACGATCTTTGTATGTATCTTTTGGTTTCCTGTCATGTACCCACATTGACTCATATTATTGATGAATAAAATATGAAGCTTTCATCTTACTGTTTTACATATAGGTATATTTACTTTGTACATTTTGTAATAATAACCAGGTCTAGAATTAATAGGATTTCTATAAATACATAAAATATGTTCCTCTACTTTTGTTGGTTTTTAGGTATAATTTTGATACGACACAGGATAGCTTCTATGTCTGTATACTTTTTAAAATTAATGTTGAAAATTTCTTGTCTGGAGTAGATAAAAATTACAATACCTACTGTTCGTTTGTCGCTGCTTTCGTGTGAATATCTATATGTTTTTTTTTCTACATTTATAATGACGGTACTTTTATTAAGTGCTTTTATAAAAAGTACAGGTAGGTAGTAGAATGAGGAAGTGTCTCGTTGACATAAGCCGTCAAATATAATGGGTTCGGAAAGGAAAGTTTCCGAGTTAGGGGATGATTTATTGCCCATTGGTATCTGCCCTTAACGATCGTTCGCGAATTTGACATATAGAAACGAAATTTTTAACTGTTGAATTTTATTGTTAATGCACTTTTATACCTAAAATAATACATATATACTAATAATAACTTATATTGATCACGAGTCCCAAGCTAGGTAGAGCTTGCACTATGGTAGCCAAACTGCTGATAAACAAATGCAAATATTATATTACTAAATATAATGATGTTATAGATAAATTACTTTGAGTCTACCATAAATTTGTAGGTGTTTAAATCTCTCAGGTAAAGAACTATAGGTATATAATACCTATCGTTCTTTGCCAAAGAGATTTAAGTTAGTACCTACAAAAACGCCTGTTGCCCTTACTGTTCTACTCATTAATAGCGAAGAGAATTAAATTATAAATTTATGTATGTATATGTACATAGAAACTACAAAATAGTCATTGTAAAAAGTAGTAACTAAACATATAAGTATACAATAGTACTGGAAAATAGTAAAAAGTAATGGTAGCCAGCAGTTGATTTTACTTAATAACAATTTTTTAAATATCTTCTTGGGATGACATTCCTTGCTGCTATAAAATCATTATACATAAAATATAACAATTGTTATATATTACATACACATGCGACATAACAGTGATTTCATTTATATCACTGGTGAGTTTGAGAAGGCAGTTAAGTTGTACGCAGCCTTTATTACTTGGGCAATATTACAGTTTATGAGTGCAATAAATCTCGTCAACGCATATAGTGCGGGTACCTACTACGTTTGGTGCAATCACTTCGCCCGCTTCGGCACATTCAACGTAGATGATGCAATTGCTTCTGTATTAAGTTATAAAGAATTCATTACAGGGGATTGTACTACAGAGGTTTTATATACACATATTGTTCATTTACTCTGTCTTGAGTAAGTATAATTTTATTTAGTGTATTATTGATCTTTGTATTTTAGTCTATGCATGTAGTCGATAAAGATATTTTTTTAGCTTTGGTTTTGATTTCAGTCTGCCTTTTAAGTAGCAACATTATCAAGAATTCTTAAGAGTGTGGAATAAACCGAATGAAACATGTTTTATGTAGTTAAAATATAATAAATACTTTTTTATAACCTGTGAAACGATAGAAACCGTAGTATTCACGCGAACCACTACTATAACTATTGATCTGAAGCTATTTAAAGCTACAGTAGCGTCACTTCTGTGTACAGACAGAGCAAAAGAAAATTTGTAATGCAAGCTATAATATCTACTCGATTAACAACCGTCACTAATCTTGACCACAATTTAAAAGCACTTTATTTTCTTACTTTTCGGTTCAAACTATATATAGGAATAATTCATTAAGATTATAAATTATAAAATATTTCTTGTTTATGTTTCCGATTGGACGAACTACAGAGAATAAAAGTTTAAATAAAACGTGGTAGACCAAGCATATACAAGTGCAGGATTGTATTAAGAGACCGATAAAAGAAATGCTTAAAGAACTTGAGTAATTGATTTGGGTAGGTATCGTATATATACAGAAATATTCTCAAAACTACATGTCTAGATACCGTCAAAAATATTCGATCTTGATCTTCGTTTTTGTAGTAGTATCGTTATATTGATTCAGTTTACCATAGAATGATAACTTTCCGTTGAATACAGTAGGAAACGGAATACTTTTATGGAGCGCAATATAAGTTAATGGCACGCATAAAATCCAAGACAGGTACGTAAGTGTCGTACCATTTGATATGTCTTGCGTACTATAGACGATTTTAATATCTTCTCGTGTTAATATAACACTATTTATATCTACTAGTGTGGAATCAATATAATTAAATAAGTTATAGGCATTGGCTATTATTTGTAAATACACGTCTAACGTGACTTTATAGATGTGGGGAATATGTTTTTTTTTGTCCGTGTGGTGACCGATTAAGAATACGGTGTCACCACACCACCCCTATTCGTCCCGTGTGTGTCGTGGGCAAACTTCGCAAGAATGGAGCACTGGAAAGAGAAGGAAAACTTGAAAGAAACCCTATACCAACCCGTTTGGCCAACGTGTTATGGTAGGTCAAAACCTCCTTTCTAAGGAGAGGCGTATATCCAGCAGTAGACTACTAATGGCTGTTGATGCTGATGAATTTTTTAAACTTCGAAGAGATAAAAGTGTGAACAATATAAAATGCTTCAGAATACACGTATTTAACAAATAATCTATCGGAAAGTCTTGTTGGACGACAAACTTCTTATTGATTCGACAGCAAGTAATAAAAGTGCGCTCGTGACGAGACCACAAACTCTCAAAATAGACGAAACTCTAGGGGCACTTCGAAAAAAGAAAATTTTATGCAGAGAGTAGTGGACGCCGTCGCCCTCGTCCCCGCGTCGCTGCAAGTTTGCAGTGTCCCCGCAATATGGTGGTCGCAATATGTCTACTGTAAGGAGAAAGTAGAGTTTTTTGTCGCCGCTACTTTCTCATATCGTCGTTTACGGTGATCTAATAAGTGAAACTTTGCCCTACTCTCATTCAATATGAGAGTCCTGTCGGAAACTTCGTGTCATTAGTCACATCGTAGCTGTGTCGTGTATAGTAACTATAGAAGATAAGCGCCTTATGATTACATAAAATACTGGTTGTCTTAATGTCGTCTAATAGGTTGGCGTGCTCGATCATTTCGATGCGGTTTAGGCTTTTTTGTTGGAGATTTAGAATACCCACAAAAGAAGATTGTTTTAGTTGAATTGGTTTACTATTAATACGAAAATAAACAAATCAAACTTTATTTTAACATCAGTAGTATAGTTAGTGAGTTAACTTAAGGCAAACGCTCAGCTTTGTGTCTTATTCGACCCTATTCTTATGCCTCGCACGACGAGTTCGCAAATCCCCTTAAAATGGATAGGACGTTTCTCTAAATCCTTACTTGATTATTATTTATTATCAACACAGTATATTAAGCTTGGCTATATTTAAAGATGTCTACTAATTTTATTCGTTTACTTTTTTGCAAGTCGTGAGTCAACCGTGTATAGGGACTATACGTAAATATAATTATTTTTACATCACGAAAAGAAGACACAAAATTATCTTCTGTCTGTGCAAGGTCTTTGCACACAGGTAAAATTATTAAGTTTAATTTACCAAATGAAAATATTACACTACCTTAAAAACTACCTTTAAACAAAATTCAATTGTTTTTCAAGTTCACTTTTGTGATTTTTTAAAATGTACGTACCTGGCAAAGGAAACCACGATGTCAGCCTCGTCCGAATTGACTTCTTGGAAGGTGAGACGTGATGCTTGGGCCCAGACGTCGAGCGCTCGGGACAGCACGCTGCGAGTCCCGTACGGGTCGAGCTGTGATGGTCGCCGGTCGGATGATAAACTGTGTACAAAAAAAACATTATTACTTCTCACTCTTCAGACATTTACAATCATGTAGTGAAGTACAAGCATGCTTCACCTTTACATATCCTTCATACTTCATATTGATGATTATGATTGATGAGTTATAATTATTCCCATTCAAATAAGGTAAATAATTATAACTTGCTTGCTTGTGTTAGGAATGGAAAAGTTTTAGATATCTAGTAAACAACACTTGAAATAGTCATCTGTCTTATAAAGCGAGTTTTCATAAACTATTTACTTTTTACACTTTATTGTAAGATTTTCTTTCTTTTGTTCTATTTAATTACTTTTTATTAACAATTAGGTTTTTTAGACATTTTAACTTGTCGTTCGCAATTCACAAGTGCCTTAATATTTGTACTTTTGTTTTATTGTTTTAGTTTATTTTAGCGCTAACATTTTATTTTTTTTGACTTTTCGTTAAAATAGTTCGTATCTGATGATTATTTATAGTTTAACATATAGCCAGAACAAAATTGATTTGTGACAACAGAGTTGATATTTTTGACACAAAAGTGAAGTTTAGTTACTATACTATTATCAGTTCCCAATAGCTTAAAGGAACCAGCACCAAACATAGTAACTCGCTTTGTGTAACATTAAACTCGATGACGTTCGTGGCATTAGATGGATGGTGGGGTAACAAGCATTATGTAATACTTAGGTTAGGGCTAGGCTTGTTTCAGTGTTGTTGTGTGTGCGTCCTGCGGCCGGACAGCTTTCGAGTAATGGAATAATCGCATTGTGGACAATTTGAGTGACTCGGGCTCTATTTAACGCTTGCTGCGTTCATTACACGGGATTTATGCGTTGTCATGTACAACAGAGATACCTCATTAGGTCCGACCAGGTTTTAGTTAGAGTTTTAGTCTCAGTTAAATATGAAACTAAATGGATTTTGTGTGAGATTATATGAGATTTTGTGATAAACGTGAAAGATTTTTTTTCTTACACGTGAATTTATAATTTCAAAGAAAGACTTAGATGTAGATGGGTATCGAGGGAAATAGGTACGCATTGACATACTGTTTTGTACCTCGTGCCTGTTACCTAAGTTCCTTGGAACAGAACGAGCGAGAATGACAGCGTCAGAATGAATATTATTATTATACATCGTATTTTTAGACTCATGTATGGCTGCCATTAGACGGGATTTATTGTTTATTTTGAAGTTACAATTATTTCCCAATATTAATTACCTAAGTAATGCTGAGTTAAACTGGTTAGGTAAATGGCTTGCCTAAATCTGTATAGCTATAAATATTGGAAACACTAGTAGATCTTGCGTTTTCTCAGTTATTATTCTGTCAGTATGGTTCTCGGGCAATCTTTGTCTCAAATTTGTATATATAATATGCGGATGCTTTAATACCTATGTCTTTTAATGTTAGATAAACGCTATTCTATGTCCTTTCCTGTATCCCTGGCAACGTGTCTGCAAAACTCCACGATAATCGGATGAAGAGCAAGGCAGTGCACATAATAAGATGAAATAAACATTGATTATATGATAAGAATATATGCTAGGCATAACAATATAATGTAAGTGGGTGGTAAGGGAGAACGAGCGCAGGTGGATTTTGTTAACGCTTGAAACGGCGTTCACATCATGTCACATTATAATTGGGATGGACGTGTCAATGGGTGTGGCATTGTCATTTTCATCACATTTTTTTTCGGGTGCCTATTTGTTGAATTGCCTTAGTTTCTTAACAGTCGTTTAAATTGAATGAAGCAACCAACAATTCATTGAATATTTTCAAGCGTGTTTATCAGTAGCCGATCACGTGTCCTAGAGGAATTAAACGAATTGAAATTCACCGAGCTAACAAGGGAAGTTTATCACATTTGATCACAACACGAATGAATTGATACATGAAAAATAATTTATCTAGTCGTTTTTAAAACGGCCAGCCCCGGGACATTTGCACGGGTTCGGATGAAAACCGCTGCAAATTTATTATTGCCATATTACCACGCGCGGCCGCTCGTGCACGCACTATATCAGCCAACTAGTTAATTGCAAGCCTTGGATGAAACTCGAAACCGCATTTCGAAGTTAATGTTGTTATGTCAGCCCAAAATAATGAGTGTGGTCAAACTGCATGAGGGAATTTGTCCTATACGCTGTGTAGAATGATTTTGGTCTTGCCAAGACTCGGTAGTACCACAACATTAATTAAATAGAGGAACAATTCGACGGTATCTAATTAAACTGTCAAATAAAATGTCCATCTCGTATACTATAATATTGACGGCCTCCTGGAGCGCCCGTGTCATGCTTGTCATGTGTGTTTACACCCCATTACAGTAATGTTCTGATAATAATCACTTCATAAACTACTAACTATTGTTTGGATCAAAACATTAATTTTAATTACTTAACTTTATATTTAAAATATCGATGGAGAAATATTTTCGTTTCGGATTTGAACTTTAATTCAGTAAAATTTCTAACTGTTAATCTAAGAATTATACAGTCTTCCCTTGAGCGGTAAGTTATTAGGGGACGAAGCCGGAAAAATACGTTTCTTGTTTAAAATGAGGTCAGCTGCCTAATCATTTTCATTTCAGGCAAACACGTGAGTTTGTAAATAAGTTTGTAATGGTTTTGAAGGACTTCGCAGCACGTTGTTTAGCGGTGGGTCAGTTTGAAGGAGTTTGAAGGAGTTACGGGTAAACAGAAGCCTACGGTTGGGTAGGGTATTGGTACACGTGAGAGACGGCGGGAGCTGGTCTCGGCACGTGACCACGTGATTGCCTTTAGATGACAAAGCCTGCCGTACGCCTACGTAACGACAGCTCCGTTTAAATCTAATCTAAGTAATAAATTCCATTTGTCAGAGGTAAATTGATCTCACTACCTTTGCGCTGTAATTGTTCCTTTTTTTGGAACTGGAATCTGAAACTGGTTATCTATTATACGGCATACCTATATTAGTTTAGTATCTATTGTTAACAACTATATATTTAAAATATCACGTGCCAATATTACTAGACGCCATACCAGACGAAATACCTACATATTTACACGAGCCAATTGTGTAAATATGTAGATATTTCGACGATTAATGCAGGGATTCTCCCTTTTTAGTTCGAAAGATACAGTACGATTGAGTACTTAACGTATCAAACAAATGAACAAGCAAACTCACTTTTTCTTTTTTTAAAGTATAGTTAAGAAGAACTTTGGAGTAAAATAAAATTAATTTTCTATACAAATGAATAAAATTGCAGTGTCTGTTTGTAATGTCAAAATAACGGTTTTTTGTCATGCTCACACAGTTTAAAAAAAATTGACAGTCTGTCTGTCTGTTTATTCCGGGTAATATTCTATTTTACATTTTTGTATTTTAAGTATATTATTTTACTACCAGGTATTTGTCTATAGCTTAAGTCTAAGGAGTAACTTAGGCTATTTTTCATCTCAGAAAAAACCATATATAATTCCTGGCCCGGGAGTCGAAGCCAGTAAGGCAGCGTTTTTCAAATTCTACGCGAATGAAGTCACGGGCACCAGCTAGTAATTAAATAGATCTAATTTTTTTATGTTAGTTTTACAATAAGTTAAAAATATTGTTTTTACAGTAGCTATTTCTGTATAGTGACAAAAACGTCATATGTACAACAATTATGATAATGTAATTTTGCTAAATGAAAGAAGTTCAAGAAGTGTAGCAATACAGAACACTTGCCTCAGAACATAATCAAAAATATTTTCAATTATATATAATATTATAAAACTACTAGCCATTCAATCAAAATTTAATATGCATCACACTATTTTCAGTATGATAAAGGCATCTATTTAATAGATACAATGAAAATTCGTTACACCTACATAATATTTATCATATCCATATATCTACAGACTGACACACCCGCATGAGTTCATGAAATCTTTATTAACAGTAAATAAGTTCCATTGTTATATTTATTGGTAATAAACTGTCATGATACGCGTTCGATACTCACATTAAAACGTTTCTGTATAATTTAGCGGAGGAGGCGACACAGTGCGTTTAGAGCGCGAAATAATAAAACATGCGATATCGTCACGACGACGTGGCGACGAAGACGTCTTCGCAGCGAAACGGACATAATCTTGTTACGATGTCATAACAAACAGATTTGTAAGCACGAATTTTATGGTCTGTGTCCAACGAGCTAAAATTTAATTTTCTGAAATAATCTGTCAGCGAGCTATTAAAATTATTCGTCCGTGTACAGCCCTACAGACATTAGAGTTTATTACAGTCAAAGATGTTACGAACAGGACAATAAGCTAGTAACTTTGTTGGCCAAGTATTGCTTTATTACCGACTATTCTGTTCTTTCATATTTGTTGACTTCTTTATTTTTTGAATATGTGGCATAACATCCTTACGTGATATGGAACTGTAAAATTATACGAAGTTTCCATACGACATCGTAACGTTAACGACAAGACGAAAGAGTGCACGAAAATCTCTTGCAAACAAATCATACGTAGTGGTTTCCTTGAAACCTTTATGTAAACATTTTAGATTGTTCGTGTCAAAGACATTATCGTCAAAAGGGGTGAACAGCGATCAAGGGGGTGAATATAGATAAAGCGTTGAGATAAAGTATATTGTTATTTGTTGTGTATAATGAGTTAACAGATTATTATGGTGCAAAAACTATAAATTATTACAGTGTATGTGAGTAGTTAAAGTTAAAAGTGCAGACACTAAATGTGTAAAGATCATTTTTCCTTTCCCAGAGGCAAGGGGACACGGTATCAATCACTCAACTAATCCAATTTACAGTGACATAGCCAGAGGCAGTCGCATAAATATTCTAAAGCATATAGCATATATAGTCTTGTATAGACAAGACTATATATGAATTTACGTGTAGAAATACACCATGTTTATAAATTTTTAAAGTACAATATTTTTTAATACATATGCACGATCCCTACTGTGGGCTACGTGATAAAACAACAATTAAATATAAAAAATGATGATAGATATGGTGTTTTTAACGTAAATAAACTACAATGACAATGGAGCCTCCGTTGTCATTGTAGTTTATATTCGTTTTGAACCTTAAAATAGTCATTTTTTTTTGTCATCAGGTAGCACCTATTTAATTCTATTATCTGCATATAGAGTAAAGATTAGAATTTAAATAGACTCTGGAGCCTCTGTATTGTCTGAATATCGCATTTAAACAAATAAACTTTTTCTACTTTTTTAAAAATAGGTTAACTGACAGAAGGCCACATTCAAATTCTTCATTGTTTTGTAATGAGGTGATTCAGGTTTCTAATAGTGAAAGAAAAAAAGAAACCGCTCATAGACGGAACAGATGTATATTTCGACAAGGTGGAACATTTCAACAAGGGTAGGGTTGGCAAATTACTTTTATTTTACTGTTTGTAAGGAGAATTAGCATAAAAATAATAAAATGTCAGTGGGATAAGGTCCCCTGTGGCGTGCCAGGCGCACCCTGCCCCGGACTGGCTGTCAAAACGATTGTCAGCTCACCTCCGATGACGAGACATGGAGCCGCTATCTCGATAATTGTGAAGAAGCAATTATTGTTAGCATTGTTATGTTTATAATATTATTAACTTCGTTGTGAAAACAAAATGACTAGGACCCAAATTATTTCTATTTTTCTAACTTTGGAAACTTTGAAAAAAGATGACATAAGATATTATACTTGGACTTTCTGTATATTTATTACAGGTCACTCAGAATGGAAAGTGACTAACGCCGCCCATGAAGGCCTGTAACTCGGGAGTCACAAGCGCGTAGTCGTTATCTATATAACTTATCTATTCCTACTTGTATGCAGCAATTGTTTAATTTTTGCAATAAATTAAAACAATTAGAGTTCATATTAAAACTTAATTTTAAACATTGGGACAAGGTGACTAAGAAAAATAATAAAGTTTTCTAAAAATATTCTTATGTATGTGCCTGTATTGAAATGAAATGTTAATCGTTTCTGTCGATTGCAGTAATTGTTCACCTCGATGCAGTAATGCACTCCTTTGAAATGCCTTCCCCTCGGTACAGGCTTGCCTCTCCGCCTTCTGCTCTTATGCCGTACATTGTAGATAAGCGACGTGGCAATAGGCATTGATGCTCACTGGGGATTTCAATAGCAGTCTACCGCTTGAATTCTTTGATGTATAAAGGGATTTACAGAGACTTCAACGTGAAGAAATGCCAATTTTAAATCGATGGGTCTCGTTTGACTTTATTAGACGGTATCTTGAATAACTATTGACTGAGAAAAATATTCTTAAGTTTCTATTGATAATTTTTTTTATGAAAATGAACTATAAGAATATTTATGTCTAAAAAAATCCACAAAAATAATTAATCTTCAGGTTATAGTTTTCATTCTCAATAATAAATGGATGAAGATATCGAAACATTGATCGAGCGATACAAAATTTATCGCTTTGATTCCTAATTGACCTTTGACGATGTACTCCTTTATTAATAGCTCCTTTGAATGTCGGCTGTCGGTCGCCATCTCTCACGTGCATTAGGTGGAGTAGCATTGACGCTCCGTAGGGATTTCAGAGGCTTTCTAAACAGCGCTTTGCCATCTCTCTATAGAACCTTAGGTTTAAACGGCAGTTCTGTCTCCATTGTATACGTGTTTATTGGAGATTATTATGCCTCTCTAAGCGCAGAATACTTTACTCTGTATTGTCTTTATCGTCGTGCGATTGCACTATTTGTGACAGAGTTAGGTAGCGAGTATCGGCTATGGGTTCGATTCGCATTTTGATTGAGTTTTGGTTGGCGTTGTACGAGAGGAATTAACAGTGGGCCGTCAGACTGCCAGGGGCGAAATTAAGTCGAGAGTAACGTTGTTATAATGGTAATGGCATATTACCGTTCGGTACGTGCTGACATTTTCCAGATGAGAACGGATTTAAATTGAAACGATTTTTCAATGATTCGATTGCATAAGTAATCACTATCAGTCAGTGCAGATTTACAATTGATTCTGAATGTAGATAGTGAGACGTAATCAATTTTGTTTTACATCGGTGGGATAAAATAAATTAAACCAATTTTCTTGACTACAATGCGCCTAAATCACAATTACAGTTTTGAATTTCGAACAACTTGTTGTATATTTTGTTATTGTGTATTTCAAATTTCTATAGAACTATTTTGAAGGTAAAAAAGTTAGGCATATATATGTAGATAATGAATTAATCTGTTGGTTTGATTTATGTCCATAAAGTTTTCACCGTGGCGGGTTTTAACTGGCGACACTTAAGCATCTAAAAAGTTTTTATAACTTAGAGAACAAAATTACTAAGAACTTTTTTTTTATTTAAAAAGAAAACACTAGTAGAACAGTTTACAATTCGAAGTACGTAGCATCAGTTCATATAATTAAAGTAATAACAGTGGCTATACTAGGAGCCAGTTAAAGACACGGCTGTTAGAACTTTTATATGAGTTAGCCAAACTGGGAAGAGATGTAATTGGCAACTTTAGACTTGAGCAACACCGTCCCGATACGACACCACGTTGTACTGCTTTTAGTTACGATCTTAATTTTTGCCGTAAAACAGGAGTTATTATAGATAAACGGCCCATTAAATCAAGCGGATATTAGACGGTATAAGTATCTCTCACATAAGAAATGTTGTAATTGCTCGATTTAAGTTTAAATAGGTATGTATATCGTATAGTTCAATTTAATACCTGTACTATAAGATTTATGGCTTATGTCCAGCAGTGGACTATTAAAGGCTGTTGACTATAAGATTTATTTTTCACCTCTATCTTCTCCTTCTGATTTTTTCTCTGTATTAGCTACTGTACAATACAGATAACAATACAATTAAAATTGTAGTTACAATTTTATTGTGTCTAAATAGATTGTTAATGAATTTACATTTTTGTAGGTTTTAAACTGTTAATAACATAGATTCGAGTATAATAAACAAAATTATGGCAGCTGTTTGAAATCTGTAGACAATAGACAACTTAGTGGTAGCAACAAGAAGGCAGTGGTGCTAATTCTGTTGTTCGAAAACTCTCTAAACTAAAATAAAAATCACTAAAAATTTGTTTAGTTCTGTCAAACAACGTTTCCTATTCTGAAAACGTAATATTTGACAGGAAAAAAAATGTTTTTAGTGATTTTTAGTTTAGTTTAGAGAGTTTTCGAACAACAGAATTAGCACCAATGTATCTTATTTTATACATTTTGTTTTTGCCAAATAAATTATATTTTAAAATTTTTGTTATTTTGATTAGATTATTCCTTAGATAATTAATATATTATTTAAAACTACTTATGAAACGCTTTGCAAATCCGTGTGGTGACGGATTAAGAATACAGTGTCACCATCCATATTTATCCCGTGGGTGTCGTAAGAGCCGACTCAGGGAGCAAACTACGCAGGACAAACTGTACTGCAAAGAAAAAGAAAATTTGACACAAATAGTATACCAACCCGTCTGGCCAACGTGGTATGGTAGGCTGAAACTTAATTTCTAAGGAGAGGCCTATGTCTAGCAGTGGACTATTAAAGGCTATTGGTGATGTGGTGAAACGCTTATCCAACTTATATTTATTTCTAACCTCTTGTGAAGGAATTCTTTACGTAAGGATATGCATATGAAATGAAAATTAAAATCTTTAAACACTCTGTAAGCGAGGCTATAATTTCGCCTATCTTTTCGATAGGTGTTTTCGGTGCGAAGCGTAGTTCCGCCCGATAACCGGCGGAAGCGAACCGATTTATGAATATTCTTGCAAGCTTTCTGAGGCTGCGAGAGATTAGAGGACACTGCTCTTACGGATGCTGAATGTGCATACCGACGTATCATCGTCAACCTATGTCATAGTTTACGTGTGTTACATGCTGATGTTTTATTTAAAACTTGTAACTTATCTTTACGAACATTACAGTATAAATGAATGAAACTTAATCATAAACACCGATGTATAATATTATTAGGTACTCGTACTAGCAATCTGTCCCAGCTTCGCACGGGTGCAATGTAGATACTACTGATGTGGTGTCAGTGTAGAGTAATGAATTATACTATTATTATTGTAGGGCTATTCTACAGGACATCTTTAAATGCCACATGTATAGGATCCTGTCGGCCGCGGCCGCTGCCACCCGGGAAGACCGTCCCTTTAAACCTCTAATATCTTCTAAAATATTCATTTTGATGATTTGCTATGAAGAGCAATTTTAATTTACATTAAATGCACAATGTATCTAAAGTATTTAACTGGATAACTGGATATTTAACTAAAACTAAAGTTGTTGTTAAAGCATTTGACAGATTGGTAATGTACAATAACAAGGGAAATAGAAGAATATTATTCGTACAAGGTAGCTAACTATTTAAATAAATATATAAAAATAAAATAAACTTTATTCTGTACGAAAACGCTGTATTTCAGTATTTATAGACTATTAATTCACCATTCAAATTCAAATATCCATTTTTCACACAAAATACATATGCAAAGTTTGATAAGAAAATATGTATAGCACAGAAATAATATGTGTCTACGGAAGTGCCAGTTTATCTATCCAATAATGCCGTCGGCTAAAGCAACGGGTGCTCTTTGATGTTTCAAGTCTATACTCTTCGAGATCACTGAGTGTCTGCAGTTATTTTTACGGACCCTTATCTTAGCACGCTAAAAGCATTTGTCTAGAATTTTTAAAATATCGATAGGATTTTTATAGCAATAGGCAACTGAAGAATTAAATTCTGAAAAAAGTTGAAGTTTTAATCTTAAATACAGACTTTCTAACCATCGAGGAAAAAAGCATAAATATAAATCGAAGCTAGTCGACGTGGATATCGTTGCTGAACTAGTGCAAACCCCCTGTAGTATTGTAAACAAAAGGCAAATATCAAGTATTCAAAACGGCGTCGCGGCGGTCGATTGCGGAAATGACAAACCGATTAGTTGCAGATCTCTGCACCCTGGGAGAGATATATCCGGCGGAACTAAGCGAAATTACTTCCCGCGTCGCTCCCGATGCAACAATGCCTAACTAAATTGTGAAATTAGATTTAAGAACGAACTACTGGCGAAAAGTCCATGCGACCACTTCTAAAGTTCCAACTCACTCGCTTCATTACAATCGAAATTCCCACAGTTCATTAGGATTCCTCAGAATTCCCGGCGTTCGTTAGAAATACTCAGGCGGCAGTGGACTTCGGACGTAAATAAGTGATTAACACAGTTAGGATTGTTTTCAGACGCTCTGAACGGGGCCGAGGCTGGCTGCATCTACATAGTTAGAGTGAACTCTTGATACATTTAAAATGAGCCGCTGCCAGCCGTGCGCCGCTCCAAGCTTAGCCTCCCTCTCCGCGTCAACGGTACGCGCTAATGTTTAATGAGATTACTTACGATCTCTAAAACGGTGACATTTTCTTCTCTTTTAATATTTCTAACAATATCTTAACACAGCAAAATGGTCCCAGCCTTTAAATATTTTCATATTCAGAAAGAAAATACCTTTATACAAACGCCACGATCAGTGGTGGTTTGCAAGCAGGTATGTAATGGGTATTTTTAAGCTGAATTTTATTACGCGAGATTACGTTCTATCATCAAAGAGGGTAAAATATAATCCCAGGTATCAATATTCTGAACTATATTTTTATGAAAGTTAATATTACGTCCTCGCTTTATACTTTTGTAGAAGCAAGTTTAACGCTTTATAACGTTTGTGGACTTTAAGATTTAAAAACGAGCTACAATTACCGGTGCTTTATTAAATGTAATGTTGTCTATCAACGATCTACATAAAAGACTTAACTTTTATTCTTTATGCCTTTGAAAAAGCTTCACTTTAGACAGACCTAGCATTGGAACTGATACTTTATTAATAGCTAAACTTAATTATTAAGTCCGTCCATTTGTCACACAACGCAAACAAAGGGCATACCTACTGCCCATCCATATAAAGTTTATTGATACTTAGTTTTATCATAAATACGAGTACTGCAACCCTTACTGTTTTGAAACAACAAAAGCAATTGTTTAAGCAAAAGCATTTGTCGTTATATACAATATATATATATATATA